CGCTTCAGGATGGCTAAACATTCGGACGCCCTGAGGATCGGGAATATGGCTGGGAGGTATCGACGGCTGTAACGAGACGCAAAGTAGTGCCTCGGACTATCGCGGAGCGAGAGGGAAGTTAGACCATCTCCGATATACGAGAAAATCGGATCTTCCGGGTTCGGATACGAGATCGTCAATGACCGTAGGCGGTAGCTAGTATCCGGAGGCTCCTTGAGCAGAAGGGGACGTCGCATTACTTCGCACTGCATCACTTTGACCGAGAGTGAGCGCAGGTTCGGCATGCGCAGAAGGAGGAGGGGGATAGCACGACATTGATTTGGATGGGTATATCGCCCGGTGAGCGACAGCGTATGCAGACGCGGCCAGTCCATATTAGCCATCTCCAAGAGCGGTGCCGTCTCGACAGGGAGGGTGAGCGACTCGGCGGTGTCGGACATGGCAAGAACAAGCGCGCGGAGGTAGCTCGTCTCGTAGGCGTACGCTGGCTGTATGTTTGTCTTCCGCAACCGGCTTTGCGTCTCGCGCCACTGACATGGTGTGTATATGAATTCAGTGAGCCGACAGCCGTGGGATGTCGGTGACAGGTCGGCCGGGATGGGGGACGGTGGGGGGAATATCCACGCCGAGTCTTTGTCGATGGAAATAGACGTGACATTAGGATAATCCAGGCATTTCGTGAGAGCGTACCAGGGCACGCCTCCCGGACACAGAAGGAATGTGACAGCACGTACGTTGGGAAGGTAGTCGAGCTCGAGACCAAATGGAGGAGGGGGAGGGATTTTGACGATACTGTTGCCGGAGGAGTCGACCAACGGCATAGGTACCATCATGCCGTTATAGAATCCAGCAGCATAGACCTCTTCGATCTTATGGAAAGCGCGAATGTATTTGATGTGCCTTCGTATGAGCCTATTAGGGTGGACACATAGGTGACATTATCGTATGAGCTAACCTAACATGCGCACGAATAGCCTCCGGTGGGACGCCGCCAAAGCGAACTATAGACTGACACTCATGAAAGAGGACAGGCATACAGTACGAGCGCATGCGCTTGCACGTCGTCGATAGATTCTTGAGAGCAATGCTCTGTTCATCGGTTTGCGTTCTGAGAGCTGCGACCTGAACAAGGATGCAGTATAAAATGTCCTCGTTGAGACCATCAAGTCTGCAAGTGGTGAGCAGATGTGCGTATGTGAGGACAATGATCCTTACCTGGAAATCTTGGCCATGGTGACATGGGGCCGTCGTCGTGGCAAAACACCGAGTATAAATGGGGCAGGACGGAATGTACACTGTACAGTGCAGCCAGATGTGCGACGCCGATCCGCTTAGGCTTCACCCCAAGTGTTAACCGGAATTCGATCAGTTCAAAGTCGCCTCAGATGACTGATAGACAGACAGAGCAAGAGAGAAGTGAGAGCCTAGAGACCAAGAAGATGACCGGGAGGTGGCCGTTAACGCGAAGGAAGGAGGAGCGAGCGCACTGTGCATAGGCGCCTGCTGGGTATGCCGAGTTTGTACGTATTTGGTACGCACGGCAATCGGGCGCTTGTAGTATGTACCTGCCGTGTTTAAACGTGCTCGGAGTGGTCCTCCTCCTTCATACTATAGTAAGATTGAACACTGCGCTTTCGGCCTCATCGGTATCGAAAAAAGCTATGGGCTTCAGGTATGTTCTCAGATCAGACAACGGCAGATCGTGATCTTATTTTCCACCAGGAGAACTTGGGACCATGAGTCCCCGAGTACTAATCAATCTTGCGGCTAGACTCCAACGCCGACGGCTCTAAATTTTCTCAAGAGCACCGTAACCGTGGTGTTAAACCTCAAGCCAACGTTGTTGCTACCACTCGGAAAACTCAGCTTCGATGTGCACGGCATGCGCGAGTACTCGGAGATACTTACTGATCGCCACATGTCCCCACGCTCTCCGGTGCGCTGCGCCGGAGCTCATGTACCCTACAACGACACTGGCAGGTGTCGCACACTCGAGATTCGCGAGCACTAAATCCTTGGTATGTCAGATTCAATTTGTGACGCGCTTCGCGCTCGGATGATATGGAAGCGTCTGAATCATGCCGCATGTCGCATTCCACATCCTGTTCTCGCGCTGATCGATTGGATACGACGGCGCCCTAGAGCGACAGCGTGGACATGAGATGTTCGACTGCGGCATCGTCCGTGGGGCATAAAAAAGGTTACGAATGGGCCCGCAGTTTTTTAATTTCGTGAAACGGTGAGCTCGGAAACTATCCCTCGCTGGTGGGGCCGGTGGATCAATGGTGAGTGGAATTTCTTGATGTATTTTCCATACGAGCGAGCTGAACAACAGAGATATAATAGGACAATTTCGGGAGCTGTGTACTATCCCGAGTCTCAACAGGTGTTCCACGATGGTGATCGATAACCAATGTACGGGCCGTCGCGTTCGCGAAACACCGAACATACGCTAGCACAGGGAGATGTTGCGTTGCAGACTAGTACATATCTGAGTATCCCCTTCTTCTTCCTTTAGGAACTCGTGGACTACGGCGCTCCGCAAATGGAACAATAAGGGTTGCACGATGTCCGCGGAGAACAATCAGCAAGTACTGTGTTGTTCACGGGAGCTCTGCGAGGGCAACCGAAGACAGCACCGTCCTCATGGACGACATGCGCCGATCCCTATGTAATTACTAGCCCTGTGATGCGTATGTATGATACGCTCCGAAGCAATCGTCCACCTCGTCAGACGCTCACCAAGGAGAAAACTCCGCTTATCCGATTCCGCCCAGACGATCTACTATCCCATGCGGTACGAGCATAAAGTCTGTGAGGGACTCCCACTTTCACAAGGTCTCTTCGCTCTCATCCCCTCGCTCTCACCCCCTCGCTTCCAGCTTACTCGTCAATGGCGTCCACCGAACCTGCCCCGGACGACTGCCTACTCGTGCCCTTGAAAGCTCCCCCCTTCTACGGAACTCTGGAGGAGTATCTCTCCACCTGTGCCGTGAGTTCCATGCGCGTCAGATACACGCATCGTCTATCCATACTCATGCTTTACACCATGCAGGCTGATCACATGCGCCATGCTAGAGTAGGGCTCTCACCCATGGCGCCCCTCGGGTATTCCCGAGTGGCCGACGACGCGCCGCTTAGTGTCAAGCCCCCTACCGTCGCTCGCAGTCGTCCGATGCCTGCGATTCCCGTTGATGATTCTGCTCGCGCTCGCAAAAAGGGCAAAGTGGTGCAGGTGGGCGACGCCACCCATTTCATGGTCTTTCAGGAGCTCGCCACTGATGGCACTCTTAAGGCTAGCATTCCACGGTTGTCCGACAGGAGGAAAGAAATCAAGCAGCTATTCGATTCGAATATCACGCGTCTCTCTGCGGCTGGTTTAGGACTTGCTCGCATCGTCGAACCCATGAAGGCCGAGGTTCATCGCCGTACCGGCACTGCGACTCGCATGGCGGGTTTGCAAAGGGCGCATAAGGCTCAAGATGCACTGTCGCTGATGCCGCTCTTCCCGGCATTCATCGGTGAGTTTCATGTCAATTCTTTCTTCATCGTGGGCACTCGCATTGATTCATTTCCTTAGCTAAGCTCTATACGATCCGCACTGTGCGTCTTACCATCTTTCGCTTTAACATGGGTTGTGCTGTGACTGAAGCAGACTCACAGGAGCTAGATTTGAGCTTTCACCCTCACCATCCTGACACAATATTCCGGTTAGGGATCGATACTGGTGCGTCCGCTTCAGCCCTTGTGTTCCCATGTCCGAGCCGCGCCTTACCGCTCCGCATTCAATGCAATATTTTAGCTTCGTTATCTTCGTAAGTACACTCTCACATTCGGCTCAGCGACATCAGCTATCATGGCATGCTGAGACGGCTCCACGCGCCCGCAGATGGACTTATGGTTCAGATTTCCAACAGATACCTTCTTTGCTAGCTCAGAGACTGGGCTATCTTGAGTTGGAGGAGGATGAGGAGGATGACGACGACGACGATCAGGACGAGGGCGAGAATGAGGGCGAGGACGCAGACGAGCAAGAGCAACAACAAAAACAAGAGCAAGAGGAGGACGAGGAAGAATCAGAACCTGACACTGTCCCTTGGCACGTTAAACAAGTTACGGCTCACATATCAGGGATTAATACCGTGATACCGGTGGACGTTGACGGCGAAGAGGTTCCTTTTCCAACGAGTGGTGCGCCCCAGGGTCCTAATGAATGGTCGGCTTATTACGGAGACGGCTCCGCTGTCTGTACGTCCACCTTCCGCGCGTTTGCTTTGTTCATCTCGAGATATCGTTCACTTACTGCGATTCTGGCCTTATCGTAGACTTGCGCCATATTCCAGACAGCTCTATCACAGCCCATTTCCCATGCTGGTCTTGGAAAAACAACGACCAAGCCACATGCCGATTGGCACTCCAGAGTGTCCTGGCTTTCGGTGCAAACCACGCCATCATTTCATTACCTCCTGTTGACGGCCTCATCGGATTGGGCGTGCCAAAGTATGTTACCTCTGATCTCTTACGGTGCTATTGCGACGTCGTGCTGACAGGTTTTGTACACTCCAGTGTGCGACCGTTGGCATACCATACTGGGACCGTCTCTGAGAGAACGGTAATGTGCCTTGGCACGGTGGCCGCTTGAGTGTTGTACTTATGTGGATAATTTTCAGCAATTTTTCGACGCTTTAGAAACGCCGTTTCCCCGTGTCTACGAGGTACGCAGTGCATCCCCCGAGCTTACGTGAGACAAACCTGGACCACCACCAGCCACGTCGATTCTTAATCAAATTGAATTATCCGGAAGATGTGGATGAGTGCGAAGAAAACGGCGCGTGAGTACTAGTAGACTCCTTTTTGCGAGAATGTGGTGGTTTATTCATCGCGCCCCCTAGGATCGACTTCATGTATATGGGGATCAGGTTCCCATGCATACTCAAACCCGTGTTCACGCCGAAGCTCGCGGTGTACGCAGCAGAGACGCCAGGGTCCCCCTGCGACAGGATGTGGATGCTTGGAATGCGGGCGATGAGTCTCCTTGTTCCCGACGGTAACAACGGCTTCTCCGAGTTCAAGATCAACATGGTCAATCCGAACAATGAGAGCGTCAAGGCATATCCCGTTTTCGCGAACATGATTCATGTATTGCTTGACACAGGTGCGCGCATTATGCTTGTCAGTCTCCGCCGTACGCACGCCCATTTATGGCATTCATTGCGTCACTAGGCACATCTAAAACTTATCTGCCCAAGGATGTCCACGACGAAATCAGGGATAGCTGGCTGGGCAATTCGCAGGCCATCCTCAATCTGCAAGCCAATCGGAAGATCCAAAGCTACTGTGGTCCGGAGCGAAACTTGGACGATTGCGAGGTCGTTTTCACATTCATCGGTCAAGACGGTGGATCTGTTGACTTCCGGTGCCCCGCCAAGCCGTTCCTCAAGTCGTACTTCCCTTTGCCTTCTCATGGGCAGGAGACACCACCAAGCCGCTACTGCTCAACAGTGATGCACTGGTCTCCCGGGATGGATGAAATGACGGGCGAAGTCACCATAGCAGACAGCAAGCGCAATTACTGGGTGCTAGGCTCCGTCAGTCGCTCTTTGATGCATCACCCGCGCTCACTGACGCATATTCATAGAACTTCTACTGGTCGGCCTTCGTCGAGCACGTCGGGCCAATCAAGGATGAAAGAGTGCCGGAAGCTGACTTTTCGCACTACTCTGAACCCTACGTCCGGCTCGCACCGCAGAGGGCTCTGAAGCCAGATGGAAGCATGGGCTATGGCGAAAGATTTCACCTTCTTCCGAGACCTCGCTCCGAGATTCCACCCGCCAACCCAGGAGACCTGAAGCACTTGCCAGTCGTTGCCTGTGTCCAGTAGTGAGTTCTTCTACGCCGGCGCCGCGGTGCCTCACGCTGACATCATTCTGCAGCGACCGCATCCCCCTAGCCTCTATTCTGTACAAGATCTGCTATGAATCTGCTTTGTACTGTCCAATCTCCCGCTGAATGATATGTCCCTGTGCTTGAAATCGGCTTGATAGATGTTCCCTACCATCCAAGTCGGATTTGCGATGTTTCCTGGCGGCGGGCGCTCCATAAATGTTGTCGGAATGTATAAGTCTCTTGTCTTTCCCGAGACACCGCTCTCAGCGCTCGGTCTTCTACGCCGCGGTCGTCGTGAAGCTGTACAAGGGCGTTGGTCGCTGGGAATACCGCTGCAAAGCCCTCTCGCAGCACCAGACGATCTCCATGTCGACTACGCTGTGGCCCACGCCCCGACTCGCAAGGTGGGAGACGTAAATTCACTCGCCACGCACAGGACGTGCATAGGGATCCAAGTAGGAATGCCCACCAACGTCCTTGCGAAGGAAGTCAGCGGCTTGTTCATGTCCGAGGTCAATCTAGTAAAATGTGGTATCGCTACAAGTGGGTATATAGGATGATCTAGTGCCAGTCCGGTGGAAGAGTCCTCGTCATAAGCTTCTATGGGGCCGCAGACAGCCGCGTCTTCTTTTGCGTTTTTGCCCGATACTCGATGCCCGCGTACCATGCCCCTCCGAGCAGGGTTATTCCGATCCCGAGGGCGTTGACGCGTGATATCGTGAGGTTGAAGACCGCCACCGCGAGCACGATGGTCAGAACTTGTTTGACGTTCGCTGCCAGTTGTGATTGCAGGGTTAACGGAAGTTACTCGCGGCTCAATGGGTGGACTTCACCTGCAACCGTCATGTTCAGCGCGCCGACCTTTCCGTTCGCGGTGAAGCTGACAACGTTCAAGCCGAACGCGATGCATCCGTTGATGAGGAGCAGGAACAGGTGCCACCAGGCTAACGCAGGTGCGCTAGCGCTGGGTGCGGGGTCGCGCATGCGTGCGAATTCGCCAGAGAGGTAGGCGTACCCGACACACTGTACGAAAGCGAGTGGAGACATGCGTGCGAGGAGGTCGAGTGGGTGGAGGTTCAGTGGTGGGGGTATAATGAGGGTGTTTAGGAAGCTAGATGAGCTGGATCGGCTCGCGAGTTTGGCGGTCGCGGTCGATGGTGTTCGAGATTGAAGAGCGTTGGTGTAGATTGTTTTGAGGGCGGCAAGAATGGCACCGAGCAGCGTCAGTAGGAGGCCCATGTACGTGAAGGAGTAGTCGCCATAGGTTCTGCAGTAAGAATCAGCTATGGAAGGCCAGACATGTAGTGATTTGGCATACGCGAGGACAACGCCAAACATGACGGGTGCTAAAGCGATTAACCGCTCCGCACTTAAGCGGGTTCCGAGAATGAGAGCGGAAAGGAGGGTGGTGAATATAGGTGTCGCGGCCCGCACGACTTGGTGGAACTAGAGCGATGTGAGCATGCTGGACATCTTAACTATGTATCCGCCTACTTACAGGGACGGTTACGAGGTGTAATGAGATGTTGCTGACCGCGATATTGACCGCGTAAAGCACGCTGAACGCCGCGAGCACTGCATAGCTTTTCGCGTCCAGACATGCCGGAGTGTAAAGCTTCTTCCTTCTCAGCACATATCCTCCGAGACTGCCACAAAACGCATGCACTGCCGTTAGCGTGTACGGGTACGGGAAGCGCACCAGCACGCCTTTATTGTAAAGCGTTAAACCGAGGTTGAATGCAAAGTACAACGCTAGCCAGAACGCCTGCGAGCGTGTCCCGGATAGAGCAAAGCGATCGCCTCGCTTGGTTTTCCGCATGGGGGATGTTTGGGCCGCGGCTGGAGCTTCTGGAGCAACTACAGGCAGTGACGGAGAAGGCGGTACGCTCTGGGGGAACAGCGGTGAGGCCACCAGGTCGAACGCCGGGGTGAATGTGATGTCTCGGGCAAACACAGCTCGCTGCCTCGGAGAACGACCGGGTCGTGAGTGCAGCGTCGGAGAGTGCATGCGGTTCGCCAAGGAGGGATATTGCAAATCGATAGCGCCTTCATAGCCGTCTACACCTGGCCCTAAGCCGTACGTGGCGCGACCTGGTAGATGAGGATTCCAAGCGAAGAGCGAAGCGTGGCTAGCGTATGCAGGGAGGTCGAAGTATCCCGAGTGTTGTCGCACCCCTAGCTCCGCCGGGGAGTTTGGGCTCAGCAGCGGTGAGCGCATCTGCCACGATGTCGCCTAGTAGATAGCTCTGGCCGCACCCGGCGAGGAGGGAGATGGAAGACCGTGGACGAAGCGAGATGGCGGTCAAGAGCAGCTTCGGGATGGTTGAGACGGGAGCCACGTGGTTATCTTATCTCCAGGTTCAGACTCCGATACCAGATCTACTCTCCGCTGTGGCTAGGACCTGCGGCCCACCGTCCTTGAACTTTGGCTAACCACATCTCTCTCCTCAACCACTACCACCCACCACCCTTCTGGGATAGCGGAGAAACCGAAACCGCGAGCTAACATGTCTTCTCCTGCTTGTGCTCTCGCTCTCGCAAACCCCAAGAAGAGGGTTTTAGCAGACTCTGATACGGAACAGCGCGATCCGAAGAGGACTAAGCCTCAAGACGATCCCTTGGAGAACGAGTTGAAGAAGGAGACGAAGGACAAGAAGAAACGGCGGAAGAAGAAGCGCAAGGTGCCCGTGGTACTTGCCCAGGACCTCGCAGAAGCAGACGCGCGCGTCGTGCCCGGGGCATCAGGATCGCGCTCGCGGTCTCGCTCTATGACTTTGGCAGTTACCCCGGCTCCCGATGAGCGTCTCAGGGAGCTAGCTGCCTTGTCTTCGCCGTGTGCTGGCCCCTCCAAGACTACGTCTCGCGAGGCTTCGCCCTCTCGTTCAAGCTCCAGCAAGGGCAAGGGCAAGGTCCGAGCCACTCCAGACTATGCAGTCGCGCAGGATAGGCGACAAGACTCCACCGGTGTGGAAGGTCAAGTCTCAGCAAAGTCAAACGTGCGTTCGTCCGATCCCCCCTCCTACTGCATCGTTCCCGATGTTGACACCCCTTCACTGTACGCTGCCCTCTCTAAGGCTGTCTCTCGCGACCCCTCGCCGTCCGATGCAGGTTCTAACAAAGGCAAGGGCCGAGCCACTCCTGATTGTGCATCCGCGCAGGACAGTCAAGAGCGCATAGCTGATCTGGAAGGTCAAATGTCGACGAAGTCGAACGTGCGTTCATTTAATACATCAAATACCACGCCACTCACGATGCCCCGGCAGCTGGTAACACAACACGAGACGCTGTTGTCCTCTTTCCAGCAGTCGCTCTCCTGTCAAATCTGTCTCGACCTCATGCACAAGCCCTTCGCGCTTGCCCCTTGTGGTCACTCTGCTTGCCACCAGTGTCTCGTCAACTGGTTCAAGGCTCCGCCACCGGATGTCCCTGCTCACGACGTTCTTCCCGTCTGGTTGCGCAAGAAGACCTGTCCGCATTGCCGCACGGTGATCAAAGACAGGCCCATAGTGATTTGGACCATCAAGGACATGGTCGCTACCCTAGTCAAGAGTGGACTGGCGCCAGCGCCCCTGCTGCCACTGGCTCCGCCTCCCGAAGAGGGTGCCGCGAACGCCGATCCCTGGTCAGGTATCTTCCGCCCAGCGAACAGGAATCACGACATCTTCCCCGACTGGCAGCCGCCCGAGCTCATGCAACAGCTCATGGGGATGCGGGACGACGAGGATGGCGGGATCTACCGATGTGTTGACTGCCACCACGAGATCGAGGACGGTGCGTGCTCGCAGTGCGGGCGCGTGTATCCAGGGCACAATCCGCTTGACCACCATCCGGACGAGTTCGATGACGACGTCGTCGGACACTGGGCAGCGCACGAGATCCTGGACGACTCCATGGACGAAGATGAAGACGACGACTTTGTCGCGGCAGACCATGGCGGAGGCGGAGGGTTGGCCCGCCTGCCAGTGGAGATGATCCGGCAGCTGTTCATGCTCAACGGCCCCGGCGACGCCGATTCCGACAGCCTCTACACAGACGAGTCCGGGGACGACGCTGGTTTTGCAGATGAGCAGGTTCTGGCGGACTTCGTGGCCGCCCATCCTGGCCACCATGCATATATCGAACGCGTTCAGCACGACGACGGAGACGACGAGGAAGGATACGAGAGCAGTTTCATCGACGACGACGGCAACGATGAAGATCGGCCGCGCCGGCGCCGTGCACCCTCCGTAGACCTCGATAGGGACTCCGTTATCGACTTGTCAGAGGCGGACGAAGAACCGGCTGTGGACGACGGGCAAGACGACGAAGTCCAATTTGTCGGCTTTGGCAGGCGACGCGGCGGGCTGGCAGCCCGGGGGAGGGCAGCGATCGTCATCACCTCGGAAGACGAGGAGGATGAAGACAGGTTCGCGAGCGAAGGTGGCGCGAGCGACGACGACGGGTAGGTGCCTTCTACGTAAAGGCTAGACTTGTGCTCACCACCACCTTGCCCATAGCGATCTGGCCGCCGAGGTCGCCGCGCGTGAATAGTGCGTGTCCCCGCTTTTATACATATGTCGACGTCACAGAATCTGACGTCGTCTCTATGCAGTGATATGTACGGAGACGATGGCTCCGTGCCGCGGCGCGGCGCGCTCTACGACGAATTTTCCGATGAAGACGGCGAGGGATTCGACGACGAGTATAGCTCTTGAGCTGTCATTGACCCGGCTCCCTTCTTTCTCACTCAATGCAGCTAGCATATTGTATAATTCCGGGCAGAGATGCCATGCGCGCGGTATGAATTGCTTATGCGTGTCGTTGGCGATGAACGCGGCCTAGGTCTGAGCAGCTGAACACGTCGAGGCTCGCAACACTTCAGAAACATACTCGGTGCCGATGCAGACTTCACAAGCACTGTCATCCTCAACGCAGTATCCAGTGCCAGAGGAGGGAACACGCCGATGTTCGTCGGTACACTGTCGACGCCGACAGTACCGGGCGATTGCCTTCAACTGAATGTATGGGAAGAAGCGTCCACGGCATGGCTTTCCGTTGGGCTGCTCGAGTACGTGAACTCCGAACGGGGCGGAAGGGTGCGGGATCGTCCTGGACTGATGTGATATAGCCGCAAGGGTCCGGGTCGTGCGGAGAAGCCACCGCTTATCCGCTGTCGATAACCAGGCCTTGGTCATTCGACGAAAGCCCTAGAACGACCCTGTGGCACTCGGTGAGTACCGCTACGTGGACTACAGGAATCTAGAGGGGGCTTGACTCACAGACGCACAGGTGGTCGCAGGTGGTCGCACTAGTGAAGTGCACTGCCCACGCCGATTCGGTGCCCCCCCTGTATTCGGGGGTGCGTCGTGCTACAGAGTTTAGCCTGGGCCCCTCCTAGAACATCACAGCATTGGCACGATGTCCGTGTATCATGTGCAGAGATGATTTCAGACCAAGCGTTGCTCGCGGGAAGGTTACACGGCAGACAATTGTGCGCGCGCAGGTGGAGTAAATGTGCAGTGCGTTCTCTGCGCACGGTGTCCCGGTCCTTCCGCCAGCAAACCCGTGATAGGTCAGTGAGGCGAATCAAGCGGGATGAGGGAGTAAACATGTGGAGCGCAGCTATAGCGTCCGAGAATCCGAGTACATATGTTGCACTTCGCGTGTTCTTCGCGGCGACTGTTTTCTGACAAGAACGCCGCACCGAGCGGACGGTCGGCCTGCGGGTGTACACGAGTCGTCCGGTATCTGTAGAAATGCCTGATACGAGACCGGGACTGCGGTTCGCTTCGCGGTGGACAGCTACCACGTTTACGGGGAGATGCATCGTATCGAGAAGTATTCTCAGGGCTCGTTCGGATGTGAGGCGTTCGGGCATTTCTCCCGGTCCCCATGTTGCTACGGATGCTTTGCGATAGAAGTGACGCCCCAGAAGAGAACCACATGATAGCTCTGTTGTTCTGAGAGGTGCTACTTGTTGTCACGAGCAATTTGAGAACAGCTGGGGGCATCGCGCACGGGTGGTCGATATCCGAGATAGATTCAGTGGGACGGCGACTCTTCGGGCCCCGGCGGAGGGCGCTAACTGAGCGTGCTGTGTTTGTTGCTGTGTGTACTTAGGCGCCGCATGCATGCGGGGAGTTAGCCAGAGACCGTCCTTCCGACGGGCCATCGAGGCGACTACTACTACTACCAGACTGCTTTTCAAGGGCTCCCCTACCCCGCCACGCGTACGGAGGTATTTGTGGTCGCACTGGCTAAGAGAGGTAATCGCGGTTGCACTCGCTCCATGGCGAGGCTACGACGATGTCATGCGACGAGCCGCGAGCGGCCGCGAGCACGCAGCGGTGGCACGCGAGCCACCGCGGGAAGCGACTAAGATTCGTCGCTGGGCCAAGATTGACTGAGAACGCGTATTTTTCATATGTATACTCTGACGGAAAGGTTCAGGGAACACTCGACACTGCGCATATTCATCGACATGCGGTTGTGCCCGCTCCAACGGGCCGACATCTAGTAGTTCCCGCTCAGAAGGGACGGGAGACACTTCACTATACGGCGCGCATGGTATCCGCTACCGACTTCTCCGGCGGTTTCAATCTGCGAAGATACTTTTGTTCCTTCTCCCATGGATGACCTGGTGCGTTTATTGTTCACTTCGGCTTGAGGCTACTGCTGATCGTCACGATAAGGAGAAACCACACGACCAGTATCAAGCCCGCACTGCCCCAAATCCATAGGGGAAGAATTTGAATACTGTATTAAATCCGATGCTTCCCAGCGCACATAACGTCCGCGCGCCGGCTCGAGATTGTGCGTCCTTGGCACCCATCTCACCCCTCATCCGCGTGAGCCGGAAACCACATGTTGTCTGAAGCCTTCTTTTCTCAAGCTGATCTGTTGGATAAACAGCACCCTGCATTACACAAGGGACGATGCGATCATGGATCTTCGCTGTCACTCGCCGGGGCAACAATTTGTGTGTGACGGCGAATGGTGTGCTGCCCCGTCAGTGAAACGAGCACATTCATCCTGTTTTATTGAGCTCGAAGTTGGCTTACCGCTTAGCTAGTTTTGCTGTACGGATCGCGGTGCTGCGCACGGTGGCGATAGCGCTGTATGAGGTGCATCGATGTCAGTATGCTCCCGAACGCCCGGGACATATCAAGTCATCAGGAGGTGATCCATATAGGATAGGAAGCAAGGCTAGACAGCTGGACTGTGCGATCCCAGAAACGACCCTGGAGAAGTTGGAACACGTTCCGGTGCCCTCATGTGAGCGACTCCCACTTCTTTGGCTAAGAAGCTGACAATCAGCAGGGTCAAGGCTTCGGCGCGCAGTCGGCGAAGAAGAAGTAGGAGAACGACGTATTGTTCTGAGTGTGCGGAAGAAGGAAACGCGCGGGGCATCGTGCTTCTGAGCGACGAGCACAATTGCTCAACGGTATCATGCGGCATGCCATGGGAATCGCGCTCAGGCGTGGTCCCCCGCATCAACAGACGTCCGGCGGTGTCCCCGAGTTCGCGCAACATACCCTCGCCAACACCCCCTACCGTCTATCCCACGCCGCGATCTGGCTTGAGATACAAAAGCCCAGCATCATCGCCGCGACCCTCCAGGTCCCAACGCCTACCCCCGCAGACCCCCCTCACCCAGCTTGACATCGAACGATGGCGACCCAAGCTTCCAAGGACGATAATGAGCCCCATCATTCCATGTTCTTCCCCTTGACGCCTCCACCCTTCTCAGGGACGCAGGAGGAATTTGTGTCGAATCGCATTGTGAGTGCTACGCGTGTCACTTCTTTCGCGTCTTTACGCGACCTCGCACTAACTCAAATACAGGCCGATCTCATGCGCCACCTTGGAAAGGTGTCACCGGACGATATACCTCCGCGATACTATTTGGTATCGAAGGACGGCTCGCCCATTGTGCCGCCACCCGTTGTACCGCCGCCCGAAGTTTCGGACCCAAAGCCTGCTGAACAGGCTAGGTCTAGGGCTAGCGACATATGGGGAGCATCTTCGCAGGTATGTCTCGTAACCGACTATGTCTTGTCGATGGTTCTCATCATTGTCTCTTAGGGTGCTCGCAATGTCGGGTATGACCCGCCGTCGCCTAATCTCCCACATCTCTCTGCCAACTTGCAGAGCCCTCGATTTGTCGATGCACTGAGGGCGGAGTTGCCCCAACTCATCAGCAACGCGCCCCTCCACGAACTCCAAGAAGGGATCAAGTACGTGGATGCGCAGTCGCTTATACCAATTCATTTTCCAGACGAATCCAGTGAGCGTACATCCTCGGTCACGCTGCAGCCTGTATACTCACCTTGCGTGTCTACCTAGGGGCTCTCTATACCCTGGAGATTGTAAGTCTAGCCTGCACACGTATACTCTGGACTCGGTACATCGCACTTACGCAGAGGTTCCAGCGTTTGGATCCATCCATTCATCCGCAGCATATCGATGACGTCTTTTATCTGTCTATCGACACCGGTGAGTAAAGCTTGGCGTTCAACCTCAAGCTATCATTGGGCCGTCACTGACTTTCATATCCGATTGCGCATTTCAGGAGGGCGTACAACGTGCGTATACTGGGATCGATGACCCGCGTTACGATTGCTTACTGCCAGGTCTTACTGAAACATGTAATCATCTCTCCAGGTGGTTTTTTGGCAAGAACTTTGGGAACATACCTAGCCGCAATCAAGCCACCTGCCCGTGGACCGAAACGGAACTTATGGGGTTGAAGTTCAGAAGAACTGTTGTTCCCATCGACCACAAAACTCATAGGGTGCTCCCTTTCGATACGCGTGGCACCCCTAGTGAGTCCGAAAGTGAATGGACGGTGCCCTATTTGGATCGATCTACCCTTTGTGCGTGTGCAGCCACATATACCGTTATGCTAACCTAACTATATGGCTCATCTCACCGATAGATGCACGCCATCTTCCGAATGGCATCATCAGGACCAAATTTCCGTGCTGGTCCTGGAAAGACGGAAAGCCGGATACATATCTCTTCGAACTCCCCTGCGTACTGGCCTTTGGCGCGAATGAAGACCTCGCCCTCAGAAACTTCGACGGCAACATCGGATTAGGGGTGCCACCATTGTGCGTTGAATTTTGTTTGCCTGTGATGTCGTGGTGAGGTTCAACGTGCTGAGGATCATCCTATATCCAGGCGGAGGCCGGTGAAAGATTTCAGCCAATCCGGGCGTAGTAGCTATGTAAACATCTTGATATTAGCTTACGTACGGGAGCGATGCTTACATCTGGTACAGCAATTTTTCGACGCCTTGCAATTGCCTCATCTGCAGGTCTACGACGTAAGCACCTTGCTCTACTTCATGTTTTTCTTTGCCAATTTACGATGACACTGATATCACACATCAGTCTCATCAATTCTTGATCAAGTTGAACCACCCAGATAAGCTTGCTGCTTGCCAGGCAAAGAACGCGTGAGTACGCTCGAGCCCTGCATGCCTTGTCAAGATGTGCTTACTGTCCGTACCAAGCCTGGACTTCTTGTTCTTTGGCCCCGAATTTCCCAGCCCGCTAGTACCCGAATTTACCCCTCGTCTTCTCGTGACTTCTGTCGCTGGTGAACCAACCGAGACCCAGCCTGCGTATACACACTGGATGGTCGCCTTGGAGTCTATTAGCCTCGTCGATTCCAAGGGCAAGCACATCAAGATTCCATTAGTCCGCCCTGAGCAACCAAAGACACAGGGTAAAGGTGATAACCCACATGGCCGGATCGTAACCCCTTCAGCAACATCTAGTACTCCGGCAACACCCCCTGCCGCGACGAACTATTCCACTTACGAGGTCGCTCGTGTGGCACTTGATTCAGGTGCGTCGTGTTCCAGCTGTCTGTAATCCACTCTGATGGTCCTCATGACTGACTATTATCTGCACCAACGCAGGCTCGACTCTGACGTTCCTTCCCCTCCACGCGGTAGAAGCAATTCGTGACTTATGGTTGTGCAACAAAAAGGAAGTCCTATCACTGAAGGAGAACGTGGAAGGCAAAGTCCATCTCTATTGTGGGCCGGAACGAAACCTCGATCAGTGCGATATCATCTTCACGTTTGCGGCCTTGGACGGCTATATTCGGACCGAGTTTCGGTGCCCCGCAAAGCCCTTCCTCAAGTCAAAGACTCCGTTGCCTTCAGAAGGTTCCCGACGCTCTCCGCAATATTTCCAATGCAATGTGTCTGCTTTCAAGTTATCGGGAGTCCCGGAGCCCGCTTTCCACATCCTTGGCCTGGTAGGTCGTGTTTTCACCAACCATGTCGACAGGAATTGACACTATGTTTCAGAACTTCTACTGGTCGTCCATCGTCAAGCACTGCGGGCCGACTGAAGCGCACCCTCGTGCGTATGTTCAGCTCGCGCCCCAGAGAGCGATACGGTCGGATGGTACTATGGGCTCCGCGGAAGACTTCGAAATACTTCCTCACCTGCCGCCAAAGTATCTCAAGCGCTAATGATATTTGTTGATGGCTCTGTTCATTCGCATCTTTTCGTTGTAACATGATGACTCGGATGGCGCTCTACCGTATGGATTGTGATGAAAGCCTGAAATGTCTAATCGAGACCTTGTCTCCTATCCCAAGTAGTACGATATCGCGACTTATGCATTGTTTGACGAATCCGCCCCTTACGTGGCTGCCGGCCGGTTTTCCCTGACCGGCGGAAGTCGCATTTGATTTCCGGTATGCAGTTGAGCTACCGGCCACGATGACATTGATCAAAATTAAACGGTAGTGATTTAGTTGGGGGTCGCTGAGAGCGAGCCGCTCATCGTAGGGATCCGCTACTGGTACGGATGCTGTTGGCAAGGCCCGCGGATGAGAAGATCTGAAGCTTTCTTGTCTCCCCTACAGACGATGTGTGATCTTGTCGAGGAGGGGAGGACGAAGGACGAAGCTTTCGGAAGCCTGAGCGGAGCCGCGGCGGCGCTCAGCGCTCAATGCAAACACTGACAAACACGCAGACGTCGGGCGCGAATGTGACGCTCTGACTGAGTTCGTCCCTACAATCCTTCTTTTCGTTGCTGCAGTCATCATCGTCTACGTCCGAGTGCTCGCTGTCGCCATCGTTGTCACGCTCGTGCTCGTGGATATCTCCTGGAAAACAGTCTCATCCTCAAGCTGGATTTGCCTTCTCTTGGCTAAGCCACTGAGGTCAGAGCGACCTGTGGATCTGCATTCTTGGCTGTAATGGCGGACTATTGGTACGAGCTTCGCGCATTCCATTCGTACAGGTCTAACTGATTTCTCAGTCTTCGCCTGGAGAATCTCATTCCGGACGTTGTACACCGCATTCTACAAGAAATGACGGCACTCCGGAATGACGCTGAAGACGACGAGCACTCGATCAAGAACTTGTCATGCACATCTCGACGGATGCGCTCTCATTGTATGCCGATCTTGTTCCGCAGTTGTTACGGAAGCGCCGATTGCAGCACGGTTCCACCGGTCTCCATCCGTTCATTCGTCAGGTAGGCTTATTGAATTACCTCAGTGCCGTGCGCCCCTCGTCACTCACTTACTTGCAAGGAACATCGTCTATAATTTCGTGATCCACGACCCTCGAACCTACTGGATCTATGAAGGCCAACATTGTCCACCCCCAACTTCTCATTCGCTTGAATATCCGGAAGATTTACCCTTGTTTGGCATGGATCTCTGCTACTTCCCTGCGGTGCAGTCCGTCACATTCGACAACGTCCCTGAAGGCGTTCCCTGGTCGGCTATCATGCGATGCCTAAAGCACCCTGGTATCACATCTCTGTCTTTCCGCAAACGTTCGACGTGGACGTCTGCGTCATCAGAAATCCCGTCCGACCTCTCTCTTCACATCCCTCAGCTCACGAGGTTTGCATACACCCCTTCTCAGTGGCGCGAGGCCGAGATCGTGGAGCAAAGGGCCAGCCTACAAGATGTGTACGCTACCGAGTCAAGCTACCTCCGTGCGCTTGTTCTCCCTATGTCGGCCATGGCTGAATCCCTCACCCTTCCCGTTGAGACGGCCCCGCTTCTGGAGATGGCGGCTAGAGACTGGCCTCGCCTTCGTACGTTGGCACTCACCGGCCTGTATACACATCCGGATCAATGTCGTGCCATCCCCTTCTTGCTCCTACGCATGCCGAACCTACGCTCGCTTTCCATCGAAGTGGCGCAATCACCTAGGATGCTGCGCCCCCACCTACTCAAAGTGCCTTCCCATAACGTCTATCATCTGCGTTCATTGACGGTCTCGTATCCAAACCCGGACGATCCCATATTTTCCTGCCTTGGGGACGGTCTGACGGCTCTTTCACTTCGCGACGCTCCGAGACACTGCTTTCACGAACGCTTCACTCCGGCTTCGCCTTGCTCGTCATCTCCCATCCTTAGTTCCTCTGAATGTCTGACCATTCTGAAACGTATATCCGCCCCTTCTCTGTCTGTCCTCGAACTGGTCTATCATGCGGACGCCGTGGAAGAAGAGCTCCTGCAATACCTGACACGGACATTCCCGCTCCTACAGGAGCTCGAACTACACAGATATAAAGCATTCCCAGACGAGAGTGTCCCCTACGTAAGCATTTCATTGCGCCCGCTATCAACGTCCTTGTAGCACCGTTTGTGCTTACTCGCGCCACAGCTGCACATCGCACGCACGCTCAGCTCTGTCAAGTATCTGCGCGCGCTGTACCTCAACCTCGACATCCGGGACGGACCGTACAAGCCGTGGTACGTCTCGAGCGCCTTACTCCAGTGGGAGAAGGCCCGCAACGCCCGCGGACGAGAACTGCTCGGGATCCTGCAGACCGGGGCGTACTTCGAGTACGTCGCGTTGCTCCTCCACACTATGCTCGATTGCACATGGACGCTATACCGCCCGGAATGGGCGCCCCGGCCGCAGATTGACTGGCGCTCGCTATCTCAAACGTATGTCTTGCATCCTGGTGTCGCGTGGAGAGCGTGCCCCCGCTGACAGTGGCTCTGGACAGGGATTCGTTGGCGCCGGTCATCCCGTTGGGTTTCTTAGGCTGAGCATCGAGCCTGCGTCGACGCCGCATTGTCTTTCGGACGCGACTCCGTGAACGCCCATGCTATACCGCCGCCTCTCGTCCTAAGCGCCCTTGTGTTTGTATCGTTCTTACTACCCTTATGCCAGTACGCAGTCTGTCATGTACGATATCTGACAGGACAATCCTATTGACGGTCAGCGAGTGTATGTTCCTTCCTATTGCTCTCCTTCGTCGCTCCTGCTCCTGCTGAGGTTTTACACGACCTATACTTAGCAGCACCTACACACGGGTTCTGAGCAAGCCCTTGACGGCATACACTTTGCATACGGTCCGGGCAAGGCCGTTGACGTCCTACGGGTCATGGCCTAGTGCAAGCACTCTCCTAAGGCCCCCGGTGGGGAATACCAGACGATACCAAATTGGAATAAAGAGCTCGTGAGCGCCTTGAAGAAGACATCATGCGGTATGTATATTACATCCGATCAGCTTTCCAAGCACGAGCACATCTCATCGTGACCGATAGACGGATGATCGTGGGACTCTCAACGCGGAGGAAAAGTAGCTTCCTGACCTTTAGCTATCATCTGTGGCGACGCTCCAAAGTGCCTCCAAGTTGCCCCGGATCGTATTGCGATGTCACCATCCGACGATGCGCCGACGAGCCGCCACCTCCTGCTCCCACTCGAAGCCCCACGGTATGAATATTGGCGACCCGGATGGACAGAAGCACCCCATGTCTCTGCTCAAGCTGTACGCCCCCATTCTGTGGGTTATACGTCGTGCCAGACAGTTGCTGACACGGGTCGACTTTCTGCTTCTAGGTAGATGCTCTCCGCTACGCCGGCAGGCGCAGTGCGAGCATATCCGTGCCAGACGGGTATCTCCTTCCTGATAGCGACACCGCGCCACAAGGTCCGAAAGGCCTCTCAGGCTCAGATGGCACCAGGGGAGCAGCCCTTACGGTCGACACCGACGCCACTCGTCATACTGGTGACGGGTCCGATTCCGATTCCGAGGATGGCAGCGCCGGCGCACAGGTACGACACGCCTCTACTTCCGGTCTTTATATATGCTGGTTTGCCTTGCTCAAACTTTTTATCGCAGGGTAGCGGCAGCCGCAGGACACACGCATGGAGGAAGGGAGACACACCGCATGTGGCGGCCCTATTAGGAAAAGAGCGGGAGGTTGATCGCCCCGCACCAGCGGCACCTTCCGTCGCAAGGGATCCATACTTTGATATGGTGGCAGACGTTAGGGCCGAGACACGCAATTCAGTAGGCAGTAAGTCTTTAACGCTTGAATGACTCGCCGGCTTGATGACCACCACTTACGCGCCGCAGAGCATCTTTATACCGTGAAAACGGTGCGCTTCCACTCAGTCCGTGCTAGTGACGATTTCTGACGAGCCCGACGGACAGACGCTAGACCGCAGAAGACATTACCATCATGTCTCCCAGTCGTACCACCTGTCGATTGATACAGGTAAGCAACATGAGTGCAGGCACGCTCGCGCCACAGACTTATCTCGCACCCGCTTCCAGGAGAACCAGATACGTGAGTCCCACTGTATTATATCTTGAACGGACATTCACAACTAACGAATCCTCTCCGTGTCCGGCGATGCTTCCAGATGGCTATATGCTTACGGATTCCAGAAAATCATAGAAGACGGCGAGGGTACTTACGCGTGGTCCCGGGTCGAGGCAGAAAACGGCCACATACACATGAACCGTTTCGTCGTTCCCATCCCGAGCGACGGCCTTTCTTGGGAGCTCCCGGGCCCCTTTCCCACAGAGCACGCCCCGTCGCCTCCGCTGGAATGGACGACAAGGCACGCCGACGGTGGACTGGCTTGTACGTTTGCAGCCCCATATTCTTCCTACCTGCGGCCGCGTTGACATCCTGTACGACTCGCAGACCTCCGCTACGTGCCGCATGGCATCCTCCAAACGGAACTGCCACGCTGGCATTGGAAGGATCGGCAGCAGAGCTCGACGCCGCTGAGGATCCCCTGTGTCCTCGCATACGCTGCCAATCGCAGGCTCGCCATGCAGGTTCGCGCTGGGCACATCGGATTGGCTGTACCTAGGTATGATGTCTACCCCTGTGGTATTCCCAGTCTCTCGGCCGCATATTGACTGCTTACCACTTGACTCGCACCATCAGTGCGGGGAACTTTACAGGGGACCCTTCCGTTTCTAAACCGGTACGTATTCACTCTAGATTGCGTAGCGAAACCCTACTCACCCTAAAGGGAATGCTAGTCATTCTTCGATGCCCTCGAATCATCACCTGATCTACAGCTCGACGAGGTATGCAATCCACTCTCACGGCGATGTATCTACAGGAAGCTGAGAGCAGCATTCAGCCCCGCAAGTTCCTGATCAAACTGAACCACCCAGACGTCGAGGAGGAATGTTTGAGGGGCAAAGCGTGAGTAGCGAGATGTTTAGTCCACCCTAATGCTCCTGCTCATTTGATCGCAGCCCGAGCCTGGTGTATTTTGGAAGCGCGTTCCCGTGCATACTGCAACCGCAGTTCACACCTAAGCTCTTCGTCTACGGCCGGGTCGACGTCGACGTTTCAAGCCCATTGAAGTACGAGCATTGGCGGCTCGGGCTGAGCTCCATCAGTCTCGTTGACGCGGACGCGCCGGACGACATTCTCACAATCGACCTCGCGAATCGCGCTGTCGAGCCGTCCAATGACGGCGACACTGATCCCTCAGCTGATAAGACGGCTCGCGACTACGTACAGGTTATACTCGACACAGGTGCGGTTCCCTCGCATTATCACGCTGCACGCCGTGACATTGCCTTCGGCGTCCAACGAACTGACCGATATCCCGTCCAGGCTCGACGCACAGCGTCCTTCCCCGGCGCGCTGTGCAGACAATCTCCACCATATGGCTACGAAACAAGGAAGAGCTGAAGGATGGCGGGACCGTCCACGCTTATTGTGGCCCCGAACGCGACTTGGACAAGTGCGACATCGTGTTCACGTTCAGAGGGCTGGATGGTGCCCCAGTGAAATTTCAATGCGCTGCGAAGCCGTTCCTCCAGTCGCCCTGGGCGTTGAAGACCGCCAGCGACGCTGCGGGTGAGACGCCTAGACACTACTACAGCAACATCCGAGCGCACGTCCCGGGCGAACCCGAGGAGGAAGAGAGTTGCGACGTGCCCTTCGTCTTTGGCACGGTGCGTCCTATGCATGATCTAGGAGCATGATATGACGTGATACTCACATAGGATGTCGTAGAGCTTCTATTGGGCGGCATTTGTCGAGCATTGCGGGCCCGTCCGGGCCAAGGACACCTCCGAAATTCACGAGCCGTACGTTTGCCTGGCCGCTCAAAGGGCGACCATGCCGGATGGAAGCATAGGCTACGCGAAAGACTTTCACGTACCTCCGGATCCACCACCCAAGTCCTCCGAACAGCCTGCGAAGCATGAGTGGCCAGCCTCAACGACATAACTCCTCTATCGAATGCGGGATGGTATTGATACAATGAAGTTGCATCCGACTCAGAGGTGGTATGTGGGTGCGCCGCGCTGGACCCATGTGTACGTTAACCGAGGTGGGCTGCCACTGAGCGCGATGTCGAACACCGACCTGTACGAGCTATATAGTACGATTATGCGATTGCATATATACGTGTGTAACCCCTTGAATGAAAAACGCTATCATATTGTACTGAGCACTAATCGCCCTTCGTATCATGGGTGAATGGACCTGAATGGACGTCCATACCGTTGCCTGCGAGGCCGCGACTAACGCCCGACACGCGGTCATGTGCATGCGCCACACTCGATGCCGCCGTCGCCGCCGCCGCACCGACGACGATCGACGCCGAACCGGCTCCGACAACCTTCACTGAGATTCACTCCTTCTCGGCTCCCTGTCAGCTCTGTCTCCCTCTCTTTCGTTCGTCACCCGCCCAGTGCTCGCCGCCCGTCTTTCCTACCCCGTTTCAGCTGCTATTTGCTGCAACCTGCCGACCCGCACATCCAATTGCAACTTAATATGTGGGGCCCCGCTTGCTTGATTATGATATCCTGCAAAGCGACGGATCGGGAAGGTAGTAAACGACGAGAGCTGTGACGCGACTATCTGCTGGGTGGAGCATCGGACAGTTCTTCCTCGCCGACCGAAGCCTTCGACGTTTCGAGATCGACTTCCGGCGTAGGTGGAACTTACCGCCGGGCTGGTTTGTGGCTCAAAGCAGCTGCTTTCTGTCTGGATTGAGCACAGCGGTGTCGACGCCAGCACGTATAAAACGGCGACATACATCTGCAATCGGACAAGTCTTTCCCCCTCTAACCCCCAGCGAGAAACCTCCACGCGCCAGTACCTGCAGAAACGCGGACGAGCTGTAACCCCCGCCTCTTCGCCAAGTCGTTGCACAAGGACTTCCTATGCTTCCGCCTCTTCCACCGCCAACCGCGCCATGCCGACTCATCGCCGCGGGTTCTGCCGTGGCTGGTCGTCTCGCTTCGAGCCTCGTGCCGCCCGCAAACGTTATCGGCGATTCGCTCGAGTTGCACGCGTACGGTCCTCCACCGCGCGGTTACCGGTCGTTCCGTGTCCTATCTGGTACTCCCAGCGCGAACCTCGCGCGTGGCGACCTCGCGACGACCGTGCGGTGGAGCATCACGATCGCATCCCCGATCCAGTGCGCGCAGCAACGCGCCTGCCCAGCGTCTGTGCTTCAGCTTGGCTTCAGTCCACGCCCGCTTACGCCCGCTTCGCCGCTCTGACATTTCTCATGCACATCCGTGCTTCGTGTGAGAAAGGAACGGGTCCACTTCGCTGAGCCCGCGCTTGGCCCACGCACGCCGAAACCCCAAATAGGACCAGCCAGCGCTGCGCCGCACTTCCCCGACCGCAGGACTCCTACATAACGCTGAGCTGCGCCCCGTCGAACTCCGGAGTCCGAGGATGGTTTCCAAGAGCATCTACACTCTCGCGTTCCTCTGCGTGGTCTCTGCGGGGCGGCAGACTCTTCCGAATTCCTTTCCCAATGCTTGGCCGGGTCAGCCAGTGGGCGATTACAGTCCCGAGTGGCAAAGCTGTGAGTGACCCGCCTCGCGCTCCGCTTCATCCCAGCTGATTCCTGTCGCATCAGACTTTGAAGTGATAGGCCTCCCGCCGGCGATCCCGACAGGTCTGCCCCGCAGCTTTGCAGGCAATATCAACGTCAATCGCACCGGTCACAAGAACGATACACTGTTCTTCTGGGGGTTCGAACGCGAGGGCGCGAGCGGGACGCTCACTGCGGCGGCGGACGCGAGCAATACGGATCCGTGGGTTCTGTGGCTGCAGGGAGGGTAAGTGTATCTGTTCCGACCTCGTATGCAGGTGCTAAGCGGGTACGTCATGCCAGGCCTGGATCTTCTGGCTTACTCGGGATGGCGACGGAGGTGCGTTTCGTGCTCATCACTCCGGTACCTATCTGCACGCTGACAGTGGTACAGAACGGTCCTATCCATGTACTGAGCGACGGCTCGTGGGTCTTGAACCCGTATAGTTGGCACACGCTTGCGGATACGATCTGGATAGACCAGCCCGTTGGTACGCACTTCAGGCCATTCCATCGGTGACATGCTGATGGTCGCTACTCAGGAACGGGCTTCTCCACTGCAAGTTCAACGGGCTATGGTGAGTTTCCGTTATTGCTGCTGTCGCTTCACGTTCACTGAACTGGCTCAGCCGCGGACGAGGAGCAAGTGGCCGAGGATTTCGTACGTTCATTGCTCTCGGGTGCATGATCAGGCGCTAAGGTGATTTATAGTTTGGGTTCCTCACGAATCTGGTGAAAGTGTTCCCAGCCCTCGCTACTCGCCCCCTCTACCTCATGGGCGAGAGCTATGCTGGGGCGATGATTGTGAGTGCTGCATATGTCGCTTGCGCGACCTGGTGACGTACTGACATGCCGAATTTGTGCGAAGCCCTACATTGTCAAGCGTCTTTTCGCAAGTCCGTCCGGTCCGGTAACGCTGGGCAAAGTCGTGATTGGCAACCCTGCTCTGGGTTCTGTAGCCACGATCCGAGACCTCCCCGTGGTATGTACACTCATTATGATCAAGTCTTCAGTTGTTCATCCCCAATAGGTCAACATGTTGCAGACATACCCAGAGATCATCGGGTACGACCAAGATGTCTTCAATTACTTCAAGGAGCAGTACGCGCTGTTTGCCTTCAACGTGTAGACTTGTGGCTTACCTCTCCTGCAGACACCACCTCTGTGGATACGACTTGAACCTGACATACCCCCAAATCGAGCCGTTCCCCACTCTGAACTTCACCAGTGGGCTGAAGGCAGCGCTGAACCGTGCCGCAGCCCACGCTTCCCGCCGATCTGCCAGAACGTGGAAGGATACCTTTTTGAATGAACTCGCCGCACGTCAGCGCATCTCTGAACGCAGCGTCAGCGCGGACAGGAGCGTCAGAAGGTCGGAGCGGAAGCGGGACATATCTGGACCAACCGGGACCATCGACTTCTGGTACGGCTGCGACATCTTTGACGAGATGACCGACTATGCCTTGAATTTCACGGCGCCATGGAGTAAGCGACTCCGCATGTTCATGGGCTTGAGCGTATACTGATACTCTACTTCAGCAACCGGGAACTTCGACACGTTTGACATTCCGGATGCCACCCACCCCGAGCCAGTCTTAGACCCCTCAACCGTCCTGAACGACCCACTCACTCGTGCAGCGCTGCATGCCCCGACCTCGAAAGACTGGAGCAGCACGTTCGATTACCCCTGGGGCTCAGTGAGCGGGCGTTTTGACCCCAGCGTGGAGCCTATCGCATTCCTCTCGGAGCTCGCCGCGAACGCGAGCGCGCGCAACATCCCCTTTGTCTTCTACTCCGGGAACGACGACGCGCGCATATCGCACCGTGGCACCGAAACCCTGATCCAGAACTTCACGTTCGGCGGTGTTCAGGGCTTCACACGCAAGCCGTCTACGCCGTGGTTCGACGACGACGGGAACGTTGCGGGCATTGTGCACCAGGAGCGCAACGTGACCTACATCCTCGTCGCTGGGGCCGGCCACGAAGTGCCGCAATGGAAGCCTGCCCAGTCCCTCGTGTTCCTGCGCGAGTTCGTGTTCGGAGCGAACAGGAACGGCACCGTCGAAGGGTCTACCGTCGTCGGCATCGAGGACGCGTCGCTCGCGGCGGACTACTTCCCTGGAGGCGGGGAGATCTTCTTCGGGTCCCGCACGACCTCGGGGACGTTTACGTTCCCGAGCGCGACGGTCGCGGCGTGGAACAGCTTCATGGGGGTCACGCCTCCAACCGGCACCGCTCCGGGTCTTGTTCCTGCGACGGCGTCTCCCAAGGCCAATTCGGCGAGGGCGTCCAGATGGAGCACTCCTGTGATGTTCCTCGTTACGGGCATGGTGGCAGTGGTGTCTTTGCTGTGCTGAACACTGCGTCCGTTGTAAGTTTTCATGATATCCCCCACTAGCTATTCCCCGCCTATGCTCTCCATAGAATCAAGAGGACAGTATTTAGACATTTTAGACTTAGAAGTAATCGACCGCATAGACATTTTTGTATTTGACCTTGGAAGCAATAGAGCATCGGGAATGCTCCCCTCGTACGTTGAAAAAATCCGCCAGACGCGCCCAAGTATCAAATTCAAAGTGTCAAATTCCTGATCATAGTTGTGGCGTGTATACGCTCGCCGCTTAGGAGCCCGGCGTTTGGTATGTGGCGTTCCCAGCTTGGCACTGTTTGGCTGCATATGGTGGAACGTCATATGCGACGTTTAGGGCAGGTGCTCTCTCCTGTCTTCCTACATAGCAAACCTGGTGTAACCAGCCTTCGTTATCCGGTATGCCCACAGACACGACAACCTCAGAAGACCTCGATATAACAGTTCATCACTTCACCCGCGAACATGCGGAGGAGCGGTCACTTTCCGACCAGGTTCTTCTCGACAATGCCGCGGCGCTGGTAACATGCCTGCGCAACGACGCGGTGTGGCACACGCCGCGGGTGATAGACTTCTCCGTTTTCTGTGAGATTTCCAGTCTTCCTTCGCTGGATGAATATCTGACGAGACGTGTTATAGCGCTCACTGGGAAGGGCGTTCAGTACGCCGTGGAGCCGCCGCCCATATACGAAAGAGGATCCGGACTCAAGCTCGGATGCACCAGAGCAAGAGAGAGGGAGTGGGGAGAACCGGTACACCCGGACGAGGACAACGCGGTATCGGAACTGGACGAATTCTACCATGGGCTCCTTCGTGGCTTACTCGCAGCAGCTGCACGCGCAGTGCCAGAGCCTCCAGCCACAGCCACCATTGAGACACCACCTGACGTTCTGACGACACAGGACGACCAAGTACGGGCACGACCAGATAAACGCAAAACGTACAGCGAGAGATCCGTCTCGCAAGTCTCAGCGAAACGGCCCCGTTTCGACGAGGGCTCCTTGTTCGACGCACTGCCGCTTGTAAGTCCCGCATACAGCCCGTTTTTCAGGGCCCCATTGGCTAAATATGTCTGTTAGCCACATTTCGAAGCTTGCCTCATGACGTTCGAGAACCCATGGCCACCCGTCCAACAGGCCGAGTTCTACCCCTCCACGCCGACACCCATCGCCCCTCACACGCAGGCGACGATAGACGAGCATATAGCCGACGAGTTCGCCCGGCTCGCGTGGGTCATCCCAGTTCGCGGCTATCTTCCATGGGAGGGCGCTACCCCAGCATCTATGCTCGCCGACTATCCGGACGACGGTGCGCCTGATCCGCAGGTACCCAAACCCGAAGCAGCGTATCAGAATCCAGACTCCCCCTCGATCGTGTGGACGCGCGACGCGCTGCGCGCGTTCTGGCAGTTCCTGCAGGAGCTGCGGGATGCAGACAACCTGGGCCCGCTCGGCCTCGCGTTCTACCATCTTCCCGTGCCGCACAGTGCACCGTCCTCCATGGATCCCGCAGCGCACCTCGGATCGCACAAGGTGGACTCGACGTCGTGGCTGGGCTCCCCGTCGATGCCGGACGACGGTGCCTCTGAGGCGTTGGAGGCGCCCCGCTCTACGCTGTGCCAGATGGACTACGTCAAGGTCTACCATGACGCGCGCTATACGAAGTTTCTGCGGAAGGTGTTCAATGCGTGGGCGTATAGGAGGCCGGGGGTTAAAGTCCGGATGTTGAAGGGGGCTACGCTGGCTTTGTTGGACGAGTGCGAGAAGGGCCTCCTCCTTTGCTGATCTAGGATCGCCATCTACCTTATACATGTCCCGGTACGTTCGTTTTCCGGTGCTTAGGTTGCTCTTCCACTGACCATGTCATCTGCCAGTAATGCTTAGTTTCCTCGATCGCCATACTTACGCTACTAGATGCTTAATGACTATTCCGACCAGGTCGTCTGATGCGCCTCCGACTTTCAGTGACGCCCCTCGCACCAGACCTCCAAAATTCCGCGACGCCGGTGCGGGAAATCTACAGGGAAGTCGAAAACCCATCACAAGACGCAGCGCGCCGCGCCCAGTCCAGCGCCACGTGGCTCGCGCGACGGGCCCAAAGTCCGCGCGCCTGCGCGGGCCGCAGGCAGTTCTGTCCTTCCCGCACTCATCTACGCCCGCCTTCACGCGGCGCCTTTCTCGCAGAACGCGGTGACGCGATGAGAAGCCGCAGAGCAGGTCCGTACGGGTCTGATGATCCTAGGTTCCGCCGTGCGTGGCTTACCTGTGACCCCATCATCTGGTGCAGGCGCCCTGCTCGCCGTCATCGCCGCAGGCGCGGCGGCGGCCCTCTGTCTGCAAGGTGAGCATACGCGCATCCGTATAAAGTGCGGCGTGTCCTGAGATCGCGACCGTGCAGCGCTCGTGTTGCTAGCACACACCATGGCCTGGTCTCACCTCCTCTCCCGCCTGAGTTTCTGGGCCGCCGTCCTCCCCGCTCTCAGCTTGGCTACATCATCGCTGCCTAACGTGGTCGACCTTGGATATGTGAAGTACCAGGGGAACCTCTCGTTCCCGAACACAGTCGCATACTTGGGTGTCCCGTATGCAGAGCCCCCGGTCGGCGAGCGCCGTTTCCGCGCGCCTCTCCCTCTGGACACAGCTCGCATCGCACGCGAGGCCAAGGGCAAAATCGTGACTGTGAACACCAACCCGGACTTCTGTGTCCAAGGAAGCACCGGAGGTTAGTTCGCAGTGGCAGTGGTGTCACGTTTACTCAACTTGTGGTCGCGCGGCGTCTAGCTGGCGAAGCCGGAGGCGCTGGTAGCGAAGATTGCCTCAAGGTCAACGTATACGCCCCCGCGGGTGCAAAGAGCGGGGATAAATGTGAGTGCATATGTGCCGGTCGAAGGGAACGATGCTCACATATTTCTGCCCCCTGCCCCCTAGTACCGGTTCTAGTCTACATTCACGGTGGAGGTAGGTACACTAGCAAATGTCCATGTACAGCCGATCTCACACCATAACACAGGATACGTCTACGGCAACCCTGCAAACTGGCCATTCGACGACTGGATCAACCAGTCCCCCAATGTGGTCATCGTCTCGGTCTACTACCGCCTCGACTCTTTCGGGTTCCTGACTGTCCCCGAGCTGGCAAACAGCGCTCTCGGAGACCTCAATGCCGGCTTCCAGGACCAGATACAGGCGCTCAAATGGGTGCAGCAGCACATTAGCGCATTTGGTGGCGACCCCAGCAAGGTCACCATCAACGGCGAGAGCGCGGGGGGCTCATCCATAGAGCTGCACCTCGTTGCCCACGAAGGGCAGAAGCTTTTCTCGCAAGCGATCGCTCAAAGCGTATACCGCGCTCCGCTGTTCGAGCCGGAGCAGCTACGGGTTAGTCCCCTTTTTCCAGGTCGTTCTGTTAAGTTCGTGCTACTCACACCCTTGCTGCAGCCGCTATTTGACTTCTACACCGCCCAAGCTGGTTGTGGCACCGCTTCGGTGTCTGTCGCGTCCCGCTTGGCGTGTCTGCGAAAGGCCAGCGTGAGTGCCCTTGCGCGTGCTCAAGACGCGGCGATGTACAACTTGTGGGTGCCGAAAAACAATATGCACGCACATAAGCTGACACCATGTGTAGCACCGGCCTAGTCAAGGGTTTCCGTCCCGTGCTGGACGGCAAACTCTTGACCGAAGCTCCGACGGTGTCGCTCCTCGCCGGCCGCTTTGCGGACGTTCCGGTCATAGTTGGGTGCGTGGCTGCAACGACACACGCTGCTGTGCCCAGCCCGAACGGCGATGCTGACGCAACGCGTGCATAGCGCGACGTCGAACGAGACGCTCTCCGGCGGCACGAACATCACCGCGGCGCTGAAGTCGTACTTCCCCGGGCTCACGGACGCGGACCTGACCGAGTACCTGCAGGAGTACCCGGCGTCCGAGTTCGACTCGGACTCGCAGCGCTTCACCGTCGCCACAGGGGACTCCGACGTCAGATGTGGGGTGCGTGTTTTCGTTGACCGGCGTATCCGAAAGACGGCGTGCTTATTGCGTGCGCAGAGGGAGATCATCGGGCTCGCGGCCGCGCGCAAGAACAAGGCGTACACCTACCGCTACAACCAGGCCGTGCCGACGTCGAACTCGACCACCGTCGCGCACGCCTCCGAGAACTGGATGATGTTCCGCGGGACGTCCACCGGGTGCGTCTTCTCCCACCCTCGAGACTTATGTCGAGAACGCAAACCTAATACATCTATGCGCGCAGGTTCAACGGCACGACGACGTTCCAGCCACAGCGTCCGATCGACAAGGCGTTCGCGTCGGAACTGATCGCGTACTGGCTCTCGTTCGTGCGCAGCGGGGACCCGAACGCGCACAAGCTCGCGCGCGCGCCGGTGTGGCCCGCGTACAGCGTCGAGAGCAAGCGGCGCATCTCCCTGCAGGAGGGCGCGAGCACGGACGTCAGCGGGAGCACCGTCGAGGAGGAGCCGCAGCTGGAGACCAGCCATTGTGCGTTCGTGGCGAGCAAGGCGCAGCACCAGCAGGCTTGAAGTGAGCAATTTGGAGACAACGAAGTAGTGGTGGTGGCGGCGAATGTTCCGTAAAACGGGCACGAGTGAGGTTTCTACAACTCCGCCCGAATTGGTGTATAGTACACGATACCAGTATCATACAGTGATACACATAGGTTCCAAATTCTGGTTAAGGGGGAACCGCATCATCAGGGGCGCGCATACATCGACCTAGCGAGCTCCTGCAAAAAGTGTGGAGCCTTGGTGTCTCTTCGGTAGGAAGAGGTCTTGGGAGGGCGAATGGACGGGATCAGTGCTGCAGTCTGCTAGAGACAGCGACGAGGGACCGGCGCCCGTCGAGCTGATGCGCCCCGAGTCGATCCCAAACCGCGCAGGACGGGCAGAGAACACGTTGATGTGGCGTTACAGCGAGCGTCGGTGGTGGATGGTATGTCTTCAAACGGAACGACACCGTTCAGCCCGACGCGCCACGTCCACGACCACGACCGCGCCCTCTGCCGCGACCTCTGCCTCCTCCACCACCACTGCCACCACCCTCCGTCGTCTCGGCCGCAGATGCAGCAGATGTCTGGGCACCATCTCCCCCGCTCTGACCTTGCGGTGCCCTCGCGAGGATCTTCGGCGGCGGCGGCCCACCCTGTGCGTCGCGCTGTAGAATGGTCGGGGCCGCGGGAGCGCCACGGCCAGGTCGCTTGTCCTTCCCTCCAGCTTTCCCGGAGTGACCACCAGTCGCGGTGGTTGCGCCACCATCGGCGGCACGGTCGACGTCCTTTCCTTTGTCCTTCTCTCGTTCGTGCTCCCGCCGCGCCTTACGCTCGCCAGCGCTGACGGGCGCGCCCGCTCCGCTCATCGCGGCCTCGAACTGGCGCGAAGCGATGCCCAGCACCGGCCGCGAACGGCGCGCGGGGGGCTGTCCAGACGTGCCAGACGCGTCCGCGTTGCCAGTCGCAGGCGCCGAAGATCCCGAAGCAGACGGCACGGCCGCGGCGGGGGACGCCGCGACAGACGGAGCCTTGCGCTCGCGAGGTGCCTTCGGCGTCTTCGGAGGCCCAGCGGGCTGCTTCACTCCCTGAGCGGGAGGTGCACCAGCCTTGGTGTCCTTGGCTGGGCCGCCCTGTTGTGCGGCCTTTGCGGCGGCGGCAGCCTTCTTGCCTCCCTTCTTGCTCGGGCCAGCGGAGCCCTCTGCGGCGGCCTTCTCCTTTCCGCCGGCGAAGGCTGCGCCCTTCTTCTTGCTGTCTGCGTGCTTCGAGCCTGATGCAAGCGATGCGAGCGCGGCGGGGTCCTTGTAGTGTGCGTGGTTGCGCAGGATCGCCTCTTTGTCCTTCTGCGCGGACTTCTCGGCTTTGAGTGCTTCGAGGAGCGGGGTTGTGGTGGGCGGTGGCGCAGGTTGAGTCGAAGCAACTTGGGGACTGTTAGAAATAGCGAATGCGGCGTGAGTTTTTAGTCCGCACCTAGCGTCTCGAATGTATCGGCGTCCGAGGGCTTGGTGGATGCGTCCTTGAGAGACTGGAGGAACGAGATGTAGTCCTCCTCTGTCCCGACTGTCAGCTGGACGCGCCGCCGGCGAAGAGCAGCCGTGAGACGCACCTTTCTCTATCGTCCCCGCCCGCGCGTCCTTCTTCTTATCCAACGGCACCTTCTGAAACGGCGCAAACTCCACGATCGCCACAGACTCGTTTCCTGCGCCCTAGGATGAGCGGCACCATCACTGGCCCCGACCCGGAAGCATACACGCACCAGCCTTGTCCCTAAAGACGTGCCCGTCATACTCCCGACTGAACGCCGCAAGCACGGCTTCGTTCTTGAACGCGATGTACGCACGCGAGGGGATGTTCTCCTTGTTGAGCCTGGCGCAGCGTCAGCTCGCGCGTCCCGCGCAGCACAGTGAGCCCACTACGCACTTCGTCTTGAACTTGCCCGGGTAGTACACCTTCCAGGAGACGGTCTCGTCCGAGACCCAGGGCGCGACGCTCTGCCAGAAGATGTCCTCGGGGAGGTTGGGGGGCAAGCGGCGCACGACCGTCTTGAGGCGTTCGGCCTGTGACTTCTGGCCGCCGCCGCCACCTCCCCCGGAGGCCTTGGGCTTCTTCTCCTTGTCCTTTTCCTTGTTCTTCGCCTTTCCTACAGGTTTCGGCGCATCGGTGGTAGACATCGCGTATAGATGGTCGTGGTAGTCTGGTGAGAGAGCGCAGGCCTTGGCCTAAGCGCCCTAAGTATGTACGTCCTGTACCTGCGGCTTGCGGCAAGACGGCGATCTTCTAAAGTTCCAGGCAAGTTGCAACCACCGATACGCGCGATAGGCCTGATAGCCTCTGATAGCTAGAGCACTCATCGATGATACGTTTTGTCATTCAAGAGGCCTTACGCAAGTATGTATGCAGTCGTATAATCATAAGTACTAATTATAAGAATGACATGGTTCATGCGCGCATCTACAATACTATAGGAAATCTATGACAATCTATGACAATCTATGACGAAGTAATCAACACAGTAGAGACGCTACTGCTACAATGCCCGGAATGAGGAAGACAACAGGTGTATTCCATCTCGGAGTCCTCGCCATTGCTCCGTTGCTGTCGCTCTTCCCAGGAACGCTGCCGCTCGGAAGCGCGGTCGCCACGAAGCTGTTCCACGCCGCAATCGTCGCGCTCGGAATCATGGACGTACTCGCAGTCGTGCTGGAACCATAGAAGATCTCCGTGCCTCCAGGCAGGTAATCCCCAGACAACGACGCGTCCTCGCCACCGACCACATCCGAACCATGAACGGTTCCGTTGCTGTTCGTCCCGAGCACAAATTCGCGCAGGAAGACGAGAGACTGGGCCGGCTTCCACTGCGGCACTTCGTGGCCGGCCCCAGCGAAGAGGACGTAGGTCACGTTGCGCTCCTGGTGGACGACACCAGCCACATTGCCGTCGTCGTCGTACCATGGTGTGGACGGCTTGCGCGTGAAACCCTGGACACCGCCGAAGGTGAAGTTCTGGATGAGGGTCTCGGTGCCGCGGTGCTGTATGCGCGCGTCGTCGTTCCCGGAGTAGAAGACGAGGGAGATGTTACGCGCGCTCGCGTTCGCGGCGAGCTCCGAGAGAAACGCGATGGGCTCCACGCTGGGGTCGGAGCGTCCGCTAACCGAGCCGAAGGGGTAGTCGAACGTGCTGCTCCAGTTCTGAGAAGTCGGCGCGTGAAGAGCGGCGCGGGTGAGTTGATCGTTCAGGAAGGTTGAGGGGTCCAAGTCTGGTTCGGGGTGGGTCGCGTCCGGGATGTCGTAGGAGTCAAAGCCCCCATTCGCTAGAGCTAAGTGTCAGCGTACGCTCATGATCATGAAAATTTTGAGTCGCTTACTCCACGGGAATGTAAAGTTGACGGCATAGTCGATCATCTCGTCGAAAATGTCGCAGCCATACCAGGAGTCAATGGTCCCGTTGGGACGTCCGGACAGGTCCCGCTTCCACTCCGACCTCTTCGCCCTCCTGCTTACATATGTACTCTCTCCTTGGGTGCTCTGGCGTTTGGTGAGTTTATCCACGATGGTATCCTTCAGCGATCTTGCAGCTCGGGTAGTGTGACTTGCGACACGGTTAAGCGCCGCCTGCTGACCACTGGTGTAGTTCAGAGTAGGGAATGTCCCATTTTGGGGATACGTCAGGTTCAGGTCGTATCCGCAGAGGTGGTGTCTGCAGAAGAGATAAGACACGCGGCTAATCAAAAGATAGTGGCACTTACTGTTCCCTGAAGTAATTAAAAACATCTTGGTCATATCCGATGATGGCTGGGTATGTCTCTAAGATGTTGACCTGATGCGCGTGAGTAGCTAAACCGTTAGCTATTAGAAAGGACACGTACAACGGGGAGGTCTCGGATGGTAGCTACAGAACCAAGTGCAGGGTTGCCGATGGCAATTTTGCGCAGTGTTACCGGACTGGACGAGTTTGCGAAGATATGCTTGACGATGTATGGCTACGCGATCGTTCAGTATGTCTCAAATAGATCCTGGCGTGTAAGCGATACTCACAATGAACGTCCCAGCATAGCTCTCACCCATTAGGTAAAGGGGGCGAGTAGCGAGGCTGGGAAAGACTTTGACTAGGTTTGTCAGGAAGTTAAACTACGGAACCGCTTCAGCGCATGATGGTATATCACAATCTAGAGTGACACGCACGAAATCTTCGGCCACTTGGTCCTCGTCGTCGACTGGCGGGGTTAACGAACAGGCGGCAGCAGAAATGGCAGAATAAGCTTACCATATCCCTTCGCACTTGAGGTGGAGAATCCCGTTCCTGCGCAACGAAGATCAGCATGCCAATGACAAAAGCAGAGTGGCCGTATAGTGCATACCAACGGGTTGGTCCATCCAGATCGTATCCGCGAGTGTGTTCCAGCTATACGGATTCGAGACCCACGAACCGTCGCTCTGTACATGGATCGGGCCATTCTATACGGTTGTCAGTATATATACGTGGTACTGGATAGACGTACGAGGCACGAAACGTACCTCCGTCGCCAACCCGAGCAAGCCGGGAGATCCAGGTCTACAATAATGTACCTGTTCAGCAACTGCGCGCGATGCGGAAGTAGAGGCACTCACCCTCCCTGCAGCCACAAAATCCACGGATCCGTATTGCTCGCGTCCGCCGCAGCAGTGAGCGTCCCATTCGCGCCCTCGCGCTCGAAGCCCCAGAAGAACAGTGTGTCGTTCTTGTGACCGGTGCGATTGACGTTGATATTCCCGGCAAAGCTGCGCGGTAGACCGGTTGGGATCTCCGACGGGAGACTCGTCACTTCAAAGTCTGATGCGACGAGAAGTCAGCAATGGTGAGGTGAAGTCTGAGGGGAAGCACTCACAGCTTTGCCACTCGGTACTGTAATCGCTATCTGGCTGTCCCGGCCAAGCATAAGGGTACGAGTTCGGAAGAGTTGTTGCCCCCGCAGAAACAACATAGAGTAGCGCCAGCGTGCAGATGTTCTTGGAAAACATCTTCGGTGTTTGGCGGGAATGTCGCGGCGCTCACAGGCCGTTATGTAGGTCTTGCAGTCGGGGCTGGCTGGTCCGCGTTGGGGGCGTCGGCGTACGCGGGCTGATCGATATCGATCCGCTCCTGTCTCGCGCCTTTCGTACGAGAAGGCGGAAGGCGGGAGACGGATGTGCATTGTGCAAGCGCCCAGCCGTGCGCGGCTGACATCGACGCGTGTCGATGCGGTGCGCGCATCGAGCACGTGACCGTGATGCTCCACAACTCGAGCGACATCGCGTCCTCCGTTTTCCCGTTGCTCTCCCCGGGCCCACCAGACTTTCGTCGAGATCGCTTGGGTCGAGGGTCGCGCTTGCATACAATAGAGGACCAAGACCGAAACAGTGGAGGAGCGTACTCGAGCGGCAGCAAAGGCAGGCTTAGGGACGGTAAGTCGGAACGACTGTTGTCGGCTGCGAAAGGGACAAGCGGGACTCGGAAGAAGACTGGAATTCGTAGAGGGGGGAACTGTCGGTCCGCAGATGGATGCGGCCGTTTTATACGTGTTCTGGCAGCGAGGCAGTTGGACATAATCGACCGTTTCGAGATCGAGGTGGACCCGAGGGCCCTTTCCTTCTGCGCCACAAGTCAATTTCGAGGGATCGGTTCGGCGACGAGGAAGCCCTGTCTGACAGCTGCCACATGTCCATACGTGCGCTTCCTGTGCCAGCTCCACAACGGCTGATCGTATGGTGTTTCTCGAAACCTACCGCTTGCCATTCTTGTCGTTCGCTCTGCAAATCACGACAGAGGGAAACCACATATTTGCCAGGGACGAGCAACCAAATCGCGAGTGCGTAGGAGTAGATACGAGTTGCCAGGACGAGCAAGCTGTGGAGCAAGCACAGAAGCCCCAGGAGCGCTGTGACAGAAATGAGGATCGGACAGGGGGTGAAACTGTGATAACAAGCAGGTGAAAGAGAACGAGGTAGAGCTGACAGCGAACCGTGAAGGAGTGGGCTTGGACGTCCGGGGTCCGCCGGCGCCGTCGATCGTCGGCGAGCTCCGCCGGAACTCTTTCGAGAGCTCCCGGCGACGACAGACGTCCGCGCCGAATGTCGCGCGTGTCTGGCACGTGCACTATTTGCGGTGGCAGCGCGCGCCAGATGCACAGATAGCTGGAAGAGTATACACAGAAGCGTCGAGACAGGCAAAAACAGTATGATCGCGTGAGGTAGCGTTGTGGTGTGAATTAGGAAGAGTTTCATTGAGTCCGTGTACCTATATCAACCGCGGGCCTGCCCTAAATATGGCATATGGCGTTCCGGCATATGTAGCCAAATAACGCCAAGCAAGAAGCGCCACATGTGGCCCGCGATGTTGCCCTACAATTCGGGAGTTCCTATGCAACTGTCAATGCTTTAGTTAGGTGTAGGCAAATCCCGATAGCGGGGGCTATGAGGACTTACACAGGGCCCGTATTCCCTACTCGCGCAGAAGCACTACCGCTACGATACCCGACAAAAGGAAGCCCAGACCAAAATTCCACCTCGGAGCCATCACTCCATTCGTCGAGGAAGAGCTCGTCAGAGCTGATGAGCTAGATGCTCCTGAGACAGAGGGTGTCGTACTCCCGACCGAAGATGACGTCGCACTCGCGCCCACGCTCGCAACCGTGGTAGCGGTCGCCGTCGCGAGGAAGCTCTCCCAAGCCGCAATCGTTGCGCTTGGAACGGCGGACGTCCCCGCAGTCGTCCCGGACCCGTAGAAGATCTCTGCGCCCCCAGGCAAGTATTCCCCAGCCAGCGTCGCGTCCTCGCCGCCGACGACGGCCGAACCCTCGACAGTGCCGTTCTTGTTTGTTCCGAGCACGAACTCGCGCAGGAAGACGAGGGCCTGGGCGGGCTTCCACTGCGGCACGAGATGTCCAGCCCCAGCGAATAGGACGTAAGTGAGGTTGCGCTCCTGGTGCACGATCCCCGCGACGTCGCCATCGTCGTCGAACCACGGCGTGGACGGCTTGCGCGTGAACCCCTGGATGCCCCCGAAGGTGAAGTTCTGGATGACGACCTCCGTCCCGCGGTGCTGCACCTGCGAGTCGTCGTTGCCCGAATAGAAGACGATGGAGACGTTGCGCGTGCTCGCGTTGGCGGCGAGCGCCGAGAGGAACGCGACCGGCTCGACGCTGGGGTCGCCGTGCTCGTTACCGATGCTCTTGTTGTACACTGAGCCGAAGGGATAGTTGAAGCTGCTGCTCCAGTTCTTGGAGGTCGGCGCGTGCAGCGCTGCGCGCGTGCGTTGGTCGTTCAGGAAGGGCGCGGCGTTCAGCGGAGGTTCTGGGTGCGTCGCATCAGGGATGTCGTAGACGTCGAAGCCCCCGTTTGCTAGAAACGAGTATCAGCAGAGCTTAAGCGGACAGACGAGCGCCGCTTACACCACGGGAACGTGAAGTTGAGGGCGTAGTCCCTCATCTCGTCGAAGACGTCGCAGCCGTACCAGGGATCGAGCGTCCCATTTGCGCGCCCGGACAAGTCGCGCTTCCATTCTGACCTCTTCTGCAGACGTTCGCTCACATCTAGGCTGTCGCGAGAGGTGCGCTGACGTGCGGCGAGTTCACGCGCAAAGGCCGCCTTCAAGGATGCGGCAGCTCGTGAGCTGGTACCGGCGGCTCCAAGAGATGCCCGCAGACCGCTGGTGAGGTTCAGAGTGGGGAACGTCCCGACTTGGGGGTACGTCAAGTTCAGGTCGAATCCGCAGAGGTGGTGCCTGCAGGTGTTGTAAGACCCGGGCTTGATCGTAGAAAGCGAGTAGCACTTACTGTTCCTTGAAGTAATTGAATACATCTTGGTCATAACCGATGATTGCTGGATATGTCTCGATTATGTTGATCTAGTAGCGTGTGAGTATCTCAGAGGCAGGGCAGGTGAAAGGAAGGGCTCATACGACGGGGAGGTCACGGATGGTAGCGAGAGAGCCTAGGGAACCGTCACCGATGGCGATTTTGCGCAGGGTCACCGGATTGGATGGGCGCGCGAAGAGATGTTTGACGATGTAGGGCTTCGCAGTGATTCAGTATGACGTTGGGTCGCGATCGCACAAGCACTATAGGCAGTACTCACAATATATGTTCCAGCATAGCTCTCACCCGCCAGGTAGAGGGGGCGCGTAGCGAGACTGGGAAAGACTTTGACCAGATTTTCGAGGAACCCAAGCTGCAGACAGCCTCAGCGCATCATCGTGCATCAAAGGAGGTGCGCGCACAAAATCCTCAGCCATTTGGTCCTCATCCGGGACTATACAAGCTTGATGAGCAAGCCGAGTTGGCCATCCGTGAAAACTCACCATATCCCTTCGCGTCTGAGGTAGAGAAGCCCGTTCCTGCATAACGACGATCAGTACGTCAAGGATAAACCAAAATCTAGCGCAAAGTGCGCACCGACAGGCTGGTCGATCCAAATCGTGTCCGCTAGTGTGTTCCAGCTGAACGGGTTCAAGACCCACGACCCGTTGCTCAGTACGTGGATCGGGCCGTTCTGCGACATTGTCAGCACGCATACAGTCACTATATATGCGTGGAAGCGAAGCGCACCTCCGTCGACAACCCGAGCATGCCAGAAGATCCGGGCCTGCCATGCCATTCCTGCTCAGTACGGTACACTCATGCGCTCGGACAACGGCGCCGTACTTACCCTCCCTGCAGCCACAGAATCCAAGGCTCCGTATTGTTCGCGCGTGCTGGCGCAGTGAGCGTCCCATTCGCACCCTGACGTTCGAAGCCCCAGAAGAACAGAGTGTTGTTCGGGTGACCTGCGCGGTTGACGGGGATGTTGCCCGCAAAGCTGCGCGGCAGGCCAGCAGGGATTTCCGACGAGAGATTTTTCACTTCGAAGTCTGGTCCAACGAGGAGTTAGGTATGATCGCGTATGAGTAGTGAGGGGGGAGTCGCTCACAGTTTTGCCATTCAGGACTGAAGCCACCCTTGGGCTGTCCCGGCCAAACATGGGGAAATGAGTTTGGAGGAACCAATTGCCCTGAGGTCAAGGAGACCAGCGCGAGCGCACAGAGACTCTGGACAAACATCTTCGGCGTTCGACGAGGTCGACCGTAGCACTCACCGATGATTATATAGCTCATGCAATCGATACGTCGGATTTCACTGCCGTCAGTGATATGAGGCAATCCTTGAGACCCTGCCGTGCTCCTTTCACGGGTTCACTCCGACGAGCTTCTGCGGAGATAAGCAGTCCCGTACGGGTCTTCTCGCATGGACGTTTGGGGTCATGGGGACAAATACATAATTCATAGAAGAGACTAGACGAAACGACGTAGATGCTCAGCGCGGTATCGGCGTGCCGCACGGCATGCGTCGACGTGGAATGCCGTGGAATGCACCGACAACCAACACCGGCCCGCCCATAGGCACCGCTGTCATTCGCAGCTGACGGGAGGTGTGTACGTATACAACGACGTGTGGGCTGAGACATAGTGACAGAAACGTCGAGATGCAAACGAATCGCCAGGCGGTAATGAAGAACGTACAAGGACTTTGCTACCACTGTATCTGAGTAAAGTTTACGCTCCAACACCGAACTGTCTCCGCTGTATGTGCATCGTCAGTGTTTCAATCAAGCTTCGGCAAGTAGCAAACGCACCAGCTGCATGATCTGCTCACGCTCTGTTGGCGGCAACGTGTTGAGCTGATCGGCCGTCAAGCGCAGCACTTGCATCAACATATCCTGCGTACGAAAACAAATCAGTATCGTGATAAACTACACAAAAACGGAAACCTCACCCTTTGAGTTTGGTCGAACTCGGGGACAGCTGCTGTCTGTTGAGCGAGAGGCACCTGTGGAGGCGCATGCAATGCGGATGGGGGAGGCATTTGCATTGGGTGCTGGCCAGGCATCTGCGGGGGCCCCGGCTGCTGCTGGTACTGCTGGGGGATTGATGGAGGCGCAGCAGGAGGTGGGGGGCGGTAGTATGGCGGAGGTTGCATTTGCGGTGGCGGCTGCGCATACATGTTCGGGATAGGGGGTGTCGGATGGTGCACGGGCGTTTGAGACGGAGGTGGAATCGCTTGAGGGTACATCGGAGGAGGCTGCTGCATTGCCACCGGGGGTGGCATGTACGGTGCAGGTTGTTGCACTTGTGGCTGAGGGGGCGGAGGTGCAGGCACAGGCGTAGGCGGAGCAGCACCTGTGGCAGCCAGCATACGCTGTGATATACAACGCGTTATTCGCTGAAAAATGGACATGTTATAACCGATGCTTACATTGAGGATGGCAGGATCCACGATTTTGTGCAACAGAAGGGCTTGGAAGAGGGCGTACCCCAGTTGCGGGTGTGCAACAAGAAGTGCACGCGCCTGCTCTGGATGGGTGATTACAAACGCCTGGGCGTGGCATTACAACAGAGAATCGATGAGTGCATGCGCTGTACGCACCTTCATTTGCGCGAGCACCTCCAAGATCTGAGTTGGTTCAGTACTTGCCAGCACCTGGCTTATCGCATCTAGCGCATTCTGATTGGGTGTAAGGGGAACACCTTTGGGAAGGCTTGCTAGGAACGCGTTCGGGTCCGGCCCACGACCGTGGCGAGAATCATCTCTGTCATGACGGTCGTGACGGTCGCGCTCGTGGCCGTGGCGCTCACGCCACTGTGCACGCGTCTCGCCGCCGTCGATGATTTCGCCACGCACCGTGGTTTTGCCTTCAAGGAAGGGATCAGAGTCCGCGAGGTCGATCCTGAGTGGGCGGCCTCCTATTTCCTGGCCATTGAGGTTGCGCACAGCGGAAAGCGCGGTTTCGTGGTCTGAACGTAGGTTACAGGTTATGTGATGGGAGCGAGGCGTGAGAGCGGACAAACCTGCAAACTCGCAGAAACCGTAACCCTTAGGCTTGCCGGTCTCTCTATCAAACACTAGCCTGAAGGGAACGGAGAGTATGAGCGGCCGGAGTGTCATATGTGTGCGTTCCATGCGGTCAACTCACCTCAAGCCAACAACTTGACCGACACTTTTGAATACGTCGATGAGCGAGTCCTGTTCCATGGACGGATAAGCTTCCCGCAATGAAGAGTTTGAGCATCCTGGACTCACTTCGCCCATATTGTATGGCACATTTCCCACTATGGTGAAAGGTGGCTGTTGTTGGCAAGGCGAACTTCATTACCGCAGGGAGAAGTGGCGACGTACCAAAGACGACTTTACTCATGATGACGACACTGCACGGCGGGGCGTCAAGACTTACAAGAAGACGGTGGTGTTCCAAGGAGAGAGATCCGTTCGAACAATCTCAGACAGGCACGACGATGCACGAGTGTTTGACTGGTACCGAGTGCAATTTTGACGTGCAAACTTGTCGTCGTCGGAGTCTCGAATTGACTGACTCAGTGTCTCAAAGATGTGCAGCTTTCGGCAGTGTTTCGTGCAGCCTTCAGAAGAGCAGACGTATGCACGATATAATGTGGGTGGTTCAAGTCGGTAGGGAGGAGGAAAGGAAGGGAGAGAGGAGAACCCGAACACGCCGCGAGAGCAAACGCCAAACGGGCGCTTGTTTGTGCGCCTGTCCGCATTAGGCAATGTTTATGGATGGTAATATGTGCAGGCCTAACACCACTGTTATACCGGATAGTTCCCAAGTACTTAAAACGTTCTCGTCTTCAGAGACACAAATACTACTAGGAAATATGTTACGAAGATCGTTCTCTCCGAATCGGGCAACCACTCACGTAGAAACTTGAATTGTCGGAGATTGATGATAATGGACCGGAGCATCCGCGGTCGCTTCATACAATTTTCAGTGCTAGTTATTTCGCTCTATTGCTAGTGACATAAAAAAGATGCTATACTACCTCCCACAGTACGCTTCTTACACGGGCGGCACTTCGCTCATCCGCCGAAGACGCGGATACGTTGTTTGCGACCCGCCCCCATCGTGCCCGAGCTTCAGTCCTAGGTATCATCTCGTGTTCCGGATGTGAAATGGGCAGAACAGCACAAAATTCCTCCAAAGACGGAAATGCGCCGACAAGGAACGCGGCAAACGTCTCATCGGAGACCTCCGGGTCCAGCGCCGTTGTCCACAGCTCCAACGTTCGCACACCGCATGACGACGGTATGGCATTGAGCTCGAAACGAGAGCAAGAGTCTCCGGAGAGTGAGGCGCGTACCGCGAGCCTGAGGGTCGTCAGCTTCAAGCACCGCTTGGAGAATGCGAGCAGCCCATCCAGGTTCGGGATCCCGAGTATGTCCGAGTGCAACTCGTCTGAGACAGGCGCCACGCAATCAAACAAGAAAGGGCCGCGCAGCAGGGGGGTCAAGCGGAGAGACTCCAGGTGCGGCATGGTCTCCGCGAGGGTCTGTAGAAAGTCGTCATCGACCTGGAGCACGACGTCGATGCCGATCTCCAGCGTCCTAAGCGCAGTGAGACACAGGGCGGGCTCGAGGTTGAAGGAACAGTCCGCCAATCCCTTCAACCGTTGGGAGTACGAATCGTCAGGACCTCCGTCTGCGATATGAATCATCTGCTCCATCTCTGCATCGAGCGCCACGGACACGTGCTTCAAGCTGATCTTGGGTATCTGCGAGAGCGCGGCGAATAGCTCCTGCAACACCGCACCAGAGGAGCTGGCAGCGCCGTACAAATACTCCCAGTGGATATTGACGGCCTCCAACGATTCGGGGGCGATGTGTGCGAGGACTTGCGGCGCATCTGTGTGGGCAATGGACACAGAGAGCTCGCGTAGAGCTAGAAATGCACGAGAGCCCGTTTCTGTGCGAGCGGGGTACGCTATGTTGCTCCACCCGGCCTCCAGAGCGAGCCCCATGAGTGTCGAGAGGGACCCGAGATGGGCGAATGTGGGTTGATCTAGTAATGCTGCCCTCACCCACAGGGTACGGAGGTTACACATTCTCATCAGGGCACCCAGGACGTGATCACTGAGTGCGTGGATGCTTCTACCCACGCTGGTGACCATATTCTCTGTGGCGGAAGAAGGCAGGTTCCATTGCGACTGGGGGGGCAGCGTCACTAAGATCTGGGCTTATATAGGCATAACAACTGTGATACGCACTGTGTAAGCCATCAACGGTAGTTGCAACACCCGTAAGTTCCGGTGAAGGAGCAGCCGGGAGTGTAACTCGTGTGCCCAGAACGCTTGATACACAACATGTTCCAGCTTCGGGAACAGTATGTCGCTGTCTGCTGCGCCGAGGGAGAGATGCCGCTCGAGAGGCCGCAACACTGTCTCGGGGTCGAGACCCCGGGCGACGACGCCGGATGGAGGTGGAATCCCGACCGTTCGAATGCGTGCCACGTAAGGGTCCGATAACCTCCAAACATCAGAATGGGGCTCCTTTGTGAGAAACTGTGTGTTCGAAAGGTTGGCATCAATATAAATGACGTCCGAGAAGATCAAAATCGGCGAAGTCTAACCAATACGCTACTCGCCGCGTCGTATTTCAGCAGCTCGACCGGCATAAGATGTTTTACCAGGACAAAAAGGTCCGGTATTTCGCGCCACAGGACATCCAGCGCGGGCTCCTTAAATGCTTGACAAGTCCGGGCGAGGCCTGCGAGCGTGCGAAGTGTGCTTTCGTTGCGATGGACGATGCGGGTTGGAAACCGCATACGCGTGTCGTAAACGTGACCGTCCAGCTCAGAGAAGATCTGGGAGACGATCTCGGCGATCTGCAAACATTGGTGCATGTGGGGAACGGGCCGCAGCTTGCGCTTGTAGGGGTGGAGAGTACTAGTTGGCGGACTGAGTAGCGGGGTGCGCGGGAAGATGGATGGCGAAAGCTAGCGAGAACCTCGTGTCGTACAGTCCCAGTACGAGCAGGAATACAGTGCAAGTCCACTGGATGCGCTTGGACAACCACATACGCTTGAGCTCGAAGTCAGGCATGATCAGGCTGTCCTCGTTCCAGCGTAAGCGACCAAATAGGGCCAAATAGATAGCCGCTCAAAATGTTTGTTTGTTTTGGACGGAAACCACGATGACGCCTATAATCGATCCTTTACTGCTATCTCTGTCAACCCTAGCATCCTGTCAAAGTTAAAGTCTGGATGCCATTCATCCAGCTGGCCATGGTGTACATTGAATCATCCCGGCGGACTCGGGGGCCCGTCTGTGCCCGGTGGTCGGACTTACTGTCCATCCTAATGTTTGGTCTCATCGCAGCGATCGCACCGACAACGCCTACTAGGCATCCATTTAACTATCAGGGGCTACATCGCAAGCGGTAAGTCATACTCGTTCCCTCATCTTTCTTTTCTGATGTCATAAAGCAGATAGTGTGAGCTCGATCAAAAACCGTGGTCAGATTCAGAATAACACCAGTGCCTGCCATTCATCCGAAGACGCATCTGTACCTCCGATGTAGTCTCCCAGAGGCAGACCTTTCACACTCTTTTGGAGGCGGGGAGGACGAGTGTCCCAGTAAGCTTTGAAGCCATTTCACAGTTTCCCTCTACAAAGACCATCTAATTCACAAATTCTGCCGCGTTCAGACCATCACCCGAAAGAGGGCGAGATCTCGCTCGAGCGCGGGCCGCCCGCAGGAGGAGAGCCGATGTGGAGCATTCCGTGTGCGGTGCGGACCGCGTTCCTAAGGGGCGTGCTCCACAAGCCGAGCCCGCTTTGCACTGGACATGCTGTCCCGCTTCCCGCCTTTTTGTACAAGTCAGGACTTACTGAAGTTGAGACGAGCGGGATCTCCGTAGAAGGAGCGAGATGGGAACGGAACGACATCGCTGAGCCCACGTGTACCCAAGCCCCGAACTCGGACCAGACAGCGCAGCGGGCTACCCCAGACCCGTCGCCGATGGCAAAAGCTATATAATGAGCTGGCACTGCTCCGTTGACTTCATCGAAACCGAAGATGTATACCAAGAGCATCTACACACTCTCACTACTCTGTGCTGCCTCTGCGCGGCGAAGATCTCTTCCTAACTCATACCCTCACGCTTGGCCGGGGCGGCCGGAGGGCGATTTCAGCCCTGAATGGCAAAACTGTATGTGCCTTCCGCGCAATTTGTTTCGTCGAAGCTGACTCCTCGTTGGATCAGACTTTGAAGTGAAGGACCTTCCGCCCGTGATCCCAACCGGTCTACCGCGCAGCTTTGCGGGCAACATTCCCGTCGATCGCGCAGGTCACAAGAACGATACGCTGTTCTTTTGGGGCTTCGAACGTGAGGGCGGAAACGGAACACTCACTGCGCCGGCGGACGCAAACAACACGGACCCATGGATTCTATGGTTGCAAGGAGGGTAAGTGTATTTCTTTGAATGGAGCTCCTGAGTGCCGGTGCTCAGGGGATACATCATCACAGGCCTGGATCATCGGGCATGCTCGGGCTCTCGACGGAGGTGCGTTTTGTGTACACATCTTCACAGCACCCTCTATGCATGCTGACAATGACGCAGAATGGCCCAATCCACGTACTAAGCAATGGTTCGTGGGAGTTGAACCCGTATAGTTGGAACACACTTGCCGACACGATTTGGATGGACCAACCTGTCGGTGCGCACTTTTTGCCGTATCTTGTTATGTGCGTGAATCTTTTGCTAACGGCCATTACGCAGGCACGGGCTTTTCCACTTCAGATTCGAAGGGATATGGTGAGTCTTCGTGCGCTATCAACGCCGCTTGTTCGCTAATATAGTACAGCTGCGAACGAGGACCAAATCGCCGAGGATTTCGTACGTCCATCTCTTCTTTGACGCATGGTCAGGCGCTCAGGCGATCTATAGCTTCAGTTTCTCACGAACCTGGTGAAAGTGTTCCCCAGCCTCGCTACTCGCCCCCTCTACCTAATGGGCCAGAGCTATGCTGGACACTTCATCGTGAGTTTTTTCCACCCCGCTTGCGCTGGTCAAACTAGATCCTCATTTACTGTCAAGCCATACATCGTCAAGAATATGTTCGCACGTCCGTCCAACCCGGTGACGCTGAGCAGTATCGCCATCGGCAATGGTGTTCTGGGATCCGTAGCTGCAATCCGAAACCTCCCTGTCGTAGGTACACTTCCTCGTACCCAGCTTCGGGATACTCACACGTTTTAGGTCAACATTTTAGAGACGTATCCAGCCATCATCGGATACGACCAAGATGTCTTCAACTACTTCCGGGAACAGTAAGCCTGTTTATGATCTATAGCTGTGCTCGTCTCACCGCACCCACAGAAACCACCTTTGCGGATTCGACCTGAACTTGACATACCCCCAAGTCGGAACATTTCCCACTCTGAACCTCACTCGTGGCCAGCGGTCTACTGGGAAACCCCCGAATACTGGGGCGCTCACTCCTACCTCTTTGAAAGAGGCTTTTGCGACTGAACTTGCCGCACGCGAGCACACCTCTGGCAATAGTGCACCCGCTAGCGAGCGCCTGCAGGGGAGGACAGATTGGAAACGCGATTTGTCCGGGCGCGCAAATGGGACCCTCGACCCCTGGTACGGATGTGATCTCTTCGACGAGATGAGGGACTACGCCCTCAATTTCACATACCCGTGGAGTAAGCGATTCCGTATGTTTGCGCCAACTATGTCATGCTAATATTACCTACCCTCTAGCACAGGGAGCCTTCGACGTTTACGAAATTCCCGATGCAACAGCCCCAAGTCCTCTCTTGGACGCCGCACCGTTCCTGAACGACCAGCGCACTCGCGCGGCATTGCACGCGCCGATCTCCAAGAACTGGAGCAGCAGTTTCGACTACCCGTTCGGCTCGATGCCTCCCCACCGTGACAGCGACCCCAGCGTGGAGCCCATCGCGTTCATGTCGGAGCTCGCCGCGAACGCGAGCGCGCGCAACATCCCCCTCGTCTTCTACTCCGGGAACGACGACGCACGCGTACAGCACCGCGGGACGGAAGTCATCATCCAGAATTTCACATTTGGCGGCATCCAGGGCTTCACGCGCAAGCCGTCGACGCCGTGGTTCGACGACGACGGCAACGTCGCGGGCATCGTACACCAGGAGCGTAACCTCACTTACGTCCTATTCTCCGGCGCAGGCCACTTCGTGCCGCAGTGGAGGCCCGCCCAGGCCCTCGTCTTCCTGCGCGAGTTCGTGCTCGGGACAAACAAGAACGGCACCGTCGAGGGTTCGGCCGTCGTCGGTGGCGAGGACGCGACGCTGGCTGGGGACTACTTGCCTGGGGGCGCGGAGATCTTCTACGGGTCCAGCACGACTTCGGGGACGTTTATGTTCCCGAGCGCAACGATTGCGGCGTGGGACAGCTTCCTCGCGACTGCAACTGCTACCACGGTTGCGAGCGTGAGCGCGAGTGCGAAGCCATCTTCGGCCGGCAGCGCGTCCTCCTCTGTCTCAAGCATATCGACGTCAGGCTCATCGACTCCGACGAGTTCTTCACGACCGATCCGGGGGCAATGGAGAGCGCTATGAGATGAGCCCGTAGTGCGCAGATGGCAGGGGCTGTAGTGGTGGTGTTTCGTTCGTTGTAAGCTACTCAATTGTATATTAACTATTTCTCGATATCTCGATCTTCAAATCAGTGCGCAACCTTAAGCGATGTGCACTAAGATAGACTAAGATACGACAGGACGCCTTTTTGCGTGCGCCTCGCTCCTCTTGGCGCTGAACGACGCGGATGCTCGCGCCGGGATTTCCGGCCCATGAGTGTTTCGACTCAGAGACTTTGAGCTCGAACTTGAACCGGAACCATGACTACGATTATTCGCCACTCTGATTTCGGCGCCGGATATGTCTCGATTGGTACGCCGCCACCAGCCCACGTTGAAGCACCAGTTGCACCGAGCGTGATGCTGCGTGACACCCTGCCGGTGAATGTTAACCAAGTTGATATCTCACAGCCGTCCCAGTCAACGCCGTACGCACAACAATGATTCGTTCTGAAAATTTAATTTACTCACCCCTTCTCTCTTCAGAATGTTGCAGATTGACGAGGATGTATTTGCTCTCATCGCCGCAGCGCTGCTACGAGCAGGGCCCGCGGGTTTCCGGGCTCTATTGCATCTTTCTGTTTGTTGTCGGCGGCTTCGCTCCCTCTCGCTTCCTGCACTCTTCTCGCGGTGCTCCATCACGAACGCAAAGATAGTTGCGAACGCAGAAGTCCCTCCACCTGCTATACGGCCTCATGTGCGGTAAGTGGGATAAACGCCCCGCTCCTTAAGCTTGTTGCTGCAATGACGCTGACAGTGCCTGCTAGGTGTCTGACATATTACATGGCTTTTTACTCCAGAGAGTGAGTGATCCCTGAGCGTCCTTCGCGCTTCATATATCGGTTCATGAACAGCACTAATTGCGTGTAGGTTCTACGGATGCCGCCCATCGGGACCTGGGATGAAGTCGAACTTCGCGACGCCGCTACGGTACCTGCCATTCGTGCGGTCCGTAACTTTTACCGGTGCTCTGGGTGGCGTGCCTTGGAAAGCCTTCAGAATATGCCTCAATTTTCCCCAAGTCAAGTCCATCACAATCAAACCTACGTTTATAGATCTTCCGCCCTTCCCGACCGATGCAGCCTCGACATTCTCTCGTCTCGAGGAGCTGATCTATCCAACACCCCTGATCCCTACCTTACCCTCGAGGTTTCAACTGTTGACGACATATCGCGCTATGTGTACTTTGGAAACGGCCTGTTTGTCGACCCTAGTCCTTGGCATGAACTCCACGGCACGATCTCTCGTACTGCCCGCGACGACGGCGCCACTCAGGGAGATGGCGAAAGCCGATTGGCCCACCCTGAGGAGTCTCACTCTCCAAGGATCGTTCCCTGCCGATGCCAATTGTTTGTCCACAGAACATCTGCCCGTCATGTTTCGCCGCATGCCAGCCCTTGAACGCCTCGTCGTCACCGCCGCTTTCCTCCGTTCGACTACCACTCGATGTTGTGTGCTCGGCCACAACTCGGCGTGTCCGGTTGCAAGTCTGAACAACTTGCAAAGTCTCACAATCGCATATCCCGATCCCAACGACCGGGTCTTCTCGATACCACTCGCCAACCTCACCCACCTGTCGCTCCGTGATTGGCCTCGCCACTATGACATTGTAGCCCATAAATACTACAGTTGCACTTGGAGGTCGCCCATCCTTACCGCCACGGAAGCCCTATCCGCTCTGCAACGCCTTCAAGCCCCCAACCTCATCACGCTTGAGCTTGTCTACCTTGCGGACAAAGCGGACGACGACCTTCTCTCCTTCATCGCACACGCATTCCCAAAGCTACTACATCTTCAACTACATCGATACCGCCAGTCTTCAGACGAGGCCGTGGACCATGTACGTGCAAGCATCTCCGCAGCTCGTAGCCTGGGCCATTTTTGATATCCAATTTCTGCAGCGACACATCGCACAGACGCTTTCGGCGTCGAAAAGTGCTGTTTGGCTTCGCTTGAACCTGGACTTCCCAGGCGATCCGGGGGAGTACAACCCCGACGTTGGCAGTAGCGCGCTCGAGCAATGGCGCCGTCAACTAGCGACATTCGCATCGGAAATCCTGGACATGTTAGCACCGGACCCGACGCTCAGGGGTATCGCCCTTTTGTACCACGGAGAACCGCCGAGCATGTGGGTTTGGTATTACCGCACACGGCATGGCAAAATCCGGCGTGTCTACGATAGGTCACCCAAGAGACGGTAGATCTGCATTCCGCAGTCACAGTAAAGCCTTGCTGACCAGGCTGTTATAGCGACACATTCGCTCCGGAGCATCCCTTCGGAGAGCGGAAGTACAAGGGCGTCGGCCCACGAATACAGATATAATACTCACTATGAAGAGGTAGTACTAGGTACTGGATTTCCAACCTTCCATCGACGAGATGACGTCGCGTTTTTCTCTGGCCTATCGACATCGTCTCACAGACAGGGCATACTCTGGCCTGTTGGTGTTGGACCTTGGTGCTACTCACGATCGAGCCCATATGGGTTCCGTAGCTGAGCACTGCTGTGCAGGCTTCTCTGGGACGCTTGCGCTTCTACACGAGGCCCATTCACCCTCCCACCTCTTATCGCGAAGCATCAGTGTGAGGCCTGAAAGGGCAGACAGAACACGCCGGCCTGCTCGTCCGACCTCCGAGACACGATCCTCGAGTATTTCAGATTCCCCCGCAAACACAGTAGCAATACACCATAGCGCATGCTCATTTGAACCGAATACATTTGCGCATACCCACGTACGCCCTTCGTCCGCTCAATGAGCTTCCATCAGAAACCCTTTGGGCCTGACCTGCTGACCGAAAAGAAACAAAACGACGTGTCAGGACGGGAGGATCGCCGATTTACTTAGCAACGATAGAGAGCTCACAGCCTGAAGGCCGGACGGCTTGCTGAACAACAACCCACCGTCTGCACTTGCGCTCAAGGCGAAAGTAGCGGCGGCCTACTGCTCACAAGGACTTGCGACGACACATGTCGTCCGGGGTCGACGCATACACACTGAACAACTTTGAGCGGGAATTAAGGGTTCCATTAATGCAAGAATATGTTGTACTATGCAAGTCTAGGTTAGCCATGCGTGGCGGACACGAACAACGGCAGCACGGCGGACGACATACAATCTCCAGTCACATCCCGCCTAGACAGACGGGCACGTCAGGCGCACGCCCTCAAGACGACGCCGCCTGCCTCTCCCGCGCCTCCTCGACATACGTCCGCATCAGCCGTACGACCCTCTTCAAATTCATGCTATGCTTCGCCGAGATGGGCACCACGTCCAGCGGCCGCTCCCCGACCACCGCCCCAGCCGCATCCCGCACCGGCACCCGCATCTCCGCCGCCACGAACGCCTGCAGGCGCCGCAGCTTCTCCCGCGCCGCCTCGACCTCCTCCGGCAACGCGCCCGCGCTGCCGTCGCTCCCCGCGAGCAGGTCCGCCTTGTTCGCGACGACCATGCGCGCCTGCGCGCTCATCCCGGGCTTGTACTGCTCCAGCTCCGCCTGGAGCACGCGTAGCTCGTCCCACGGGTCTGGGGCGGACAGGTCGACGACGTATGCCAGCGCGTGCGAACGCTCCATCGAGCGCAGGAACGCGTGTCCGAGCCCGACGTTCGCCGACGCCCGCTCGATCAGCCCTGGGTTGTCCGCGACGGTGAAGCGGAACGCCTCGAGCGCGGCGAACGGGTCTTCGATCGCGCCCTCGACGGCGCGCAGCTGGTTGCGGGTGAGCGTGTCCGCGAATGCCCCGCTGTCTAGGAGCGCGCGTTCGTGCGCCTCTTCGACTTGCGTGTTGTCGTGCACGACACCTTCTGCGTCTCCGTCGAATGAGCCGTCTTCCGCGACACGTACAACCGCGACGATCGGATTTAACGTTGTAAACGCGTATCCAGCGACCTCTGTGCGAGCCCGGCCACCGGTGAGCGCGCGGAGGAGCGTAGACTTGCCAGCATTGGGCATGCCGACGAGTCCGATGTCGGCGAGGAGATTCAGTTCGAGCGAGAGCGAGACGCGTTCGCCCTCCGCGCCGCGGGTCGCCCACTTCGGAGAGCGATTTGTCGGAGCGAGGAAGGCGGGATTGCCGAGGCCACCGGCACCGCCGCGCGCGACGAGGTGTCCCATGGGTTCGACACGACGATGTCCGAGTGGTGCGTTGGGGTCCGCTGCTTCTGCAGCCTCCTCGGGTTTGTCGAGGTCAAGGAAAATCGGGTTCTCTGACCGTAGCCTGCGCATGTGTCTTCGCTCGCGCTCCTGGGCGAACAAGACGCGTTCGGCGTGCTTGAAGTCTTCACGCTGCGCATTGTCGTCTGCGTATTCGGGATAGTGTCTCCAGCGCTTCTCGCGCATCTTCGCTCGCCGTTCCTGTGGACTTAGGCCGTGTAGCGCCTCCGCCTCCGCTTCGTACTCGTTTTTGCTCCGCCGTGGGTCGTCTGCCGGAAGCTCCCGGACGATCGTCCCCAACGGCACTCTGATGATGAGTGGCGGGGCGTTTTTGCCGTTTTGCCAGGTGCCTTGGCCGGCGCCGCCGTGTTGGGCTCGGGGCCGCACGAGTACGGATGATAGCGTGGTGAGGTGAGGTGTTGGGAGAATGTAGACATCGCCTCCACGACCGCCGTTGCCTCCTGACGGAGGACCGTAGGGCTTAAAGAGTTCGCGATGGAAGGCTACGCAGCCATCTCCTCCGTTTCCTGTGACATGAATTAATTCATGAGATATTTACCGACTGCCTGAACGCCATGTACCTGCACGAACATGGATAACGGTATGATCCAAGAAAGTTTGGCCCTGGGCAGAGATAGCACGTAAGTTGGTTTGTTACGCCGAGACCAAGTATGGCTGCGAAAGGGTAGGGGATTAGCAACGCATGCAAGAAGGCGCGCTGATCCAGGAACTACTGGACAATTGCGAGCTGAATAGTCTCTTGACCCAGTCCGCGCCGTCCCGCCATCACATTAGTGTAGCGAATCCATAGTTATGCTTGCCAGATGTCAGGAATCAATTTGCAATTGTGCAGTGTTAAAGGTGCGCATGCTCGTGATCATCGTCGTAGAAAGGTAATAGAGTGTGATGCACGCGAGCGGGACTATAGGACTTCATCCGGGGACACGCGCACCAAAAAAGGTCGAATCGCGCTTCTTGAATGCGTTGCAACTAACACGGCAGACCAGATGCGGAAACCACTACGTGTTATAGCCTGAGAACCCTTGCTACAGGCTGACAGACAGTCAAATCTTTGGTCGTATGTAAGGCTCTCGCATGGGTATGCCTCGCCTTTTGTCTGCCGTGTGAAGCATAGTGGGGACATCCTAACATTTGGAGACTTACATTCTGCCTGCGTTTCCAGTCTGTCCTTCGCTTGCGCCTCAATTCATCTTCTTCTGCCTGCGTGATGCGCGCCGGCTTCTTGCTCTGTGTGGACGGCCCAGGTTCCGCGGCGGTGCTCAGGCAGCATCTTGCAGAGTATACAGGGGTTGCGAAGAGACGTGCAGGTCTGAGCAACGGAGAGCGGTGCATGAACGGTGTCGACCACAGTGACGGAGCAAATGAGGAAGCACTTGTGCGCCTCACACTCTGACGCGCTGGGGCACGAAACGGCCTGCCCTAAAGCGGACATGGAACGCGTCGCGTCGCGTCTCTCGATCGCCGTCCTCATCCTCCTCATCCTCCTCCTCCCACCACCACCACCACCACCTTCTTCTTCTGAGCCCCGAGGCGCGACATGTCCTCTCCTAGGGAGATCCCAACTTCTGACCTCGAAGATGTCGAAATGCAGGATGGGTCGCATGTAGAACCCTCAATGGCTAATGCACCCCCGCGTGCCCCACTCTTCCTCGAGGGCACTCCCTCAGCTGCGGGAACACCACGTCATAACAGTGTTGCCAGAAGAGCGATGGGTCTCAGCACACCGAGGAGACAGACCCCTCTCTTCGCACGTAAGTTTCCTTCGCGCGCATGGTGGATGCGCCGCGCTCAATTCGATGTGGGCCAAGGCTGAGTATATAACGTTGCAGCCGGAACATCCTCTCCCCTCCCGTTTCCCAGCTCCTCTCCCAACAAGAACGGGACGCCTTCTCGTGTGCGCAGGCTCAACTATGATATCCCCGGATCTCAAGACTCGGAACCTCTTGCATTCCCTTCGTGCGTACCAGGATCGACGTGTTGTGTTATGTGGCTCTGACAGACTACGTAGGAGTCCTGCGGCATCGGCGACGCCCAAGAACCGCCGTGGTGACATACACTCCTCCGTCAGCATCACGCCTAGTTCTGCTATTCCCCGGCCTCGACGTCAAAACAACCTTCCCCACGATGATCTACGCTCCGATGCGTCACACATGTCCATTCCCGCATCATCAGCCCCGAACTTGTCTGCTCCTGCTGTTCCGTCCGACGACGAACCGGATGAAATTCGCGCGATCTGGGGTACTACTGTCAACCTGGGCGAGACGATGAAGACATTCCGCGAGTTCCTGCGTGGATTCAAAATTAAGTATCGCATCGCGCATGACCGCGAACGTGGCTTGCGGACCCGTGTCCTCTCATCACCAGAGGAAGGCGAATTGCTTTTGTATGAAGGCTACCTCCGTCGCATGCGCCAGACGGGCGAGACGAACTTGAATCTGGACTTGGTCAACCTCGCGGCGTACCCTCCCAGCAAGAAGCTACAGAACCAGCTAGTCAAGTACCCCCAGGAAGTCATTCCCGCGATGGATCAGGTCCTCAAGGATCTCATGCTCGAGATCGCCGAGGAAGACCAGCAGGCCGGCGCGGAAGGCATGCGCGGAGATGAGGGAGAGGAAGAGATTGCAGAGATTATGGGCAAGGTCTACAAGATTCGACCTTTCGGCATCCCGTCCGTGAACATGCGCGACCTCAACCCCTCTGGTAGGTATTGCGCATGCACTCTCCGAGATATGTACTCATATGCTTCCAGATACGGACAAACTCGTCTGCATCAAGGGTCTCGTCATCCGCGCGACGCCTGTCATCCCCGACATGAAGGTCGCCTTCTTCCGCTGCCTCACCTGCAACCACACTGTGCAAGTCGAGATTGACCGTGGCAAGATCGACGAGCCGAGTCGGTGCCCGCGCGACGTGTGTGGCTCCCTAGGCACGATGTCGCTCGTGCACAACCGCTGCGAGTTCGCAGATCGGCAGGTCATCCGCCTGCAAGAAACCCCGGACGCCGTTCCCGACGGTCAGACGCCGCACACGGTCTCGCTGAGCGTGTACGACGAGCTCGTGGACGTCTCGAAGCCGGGCGACCGCCTCATTGTCACTGGCATCTTCCGCAGCGTACCGGTGCGCGTCAACCCGCGCCAGCGTATGCTGAAGAGTCTCTTCCGCACCTTCATCGACGTCGTGCACATCCGTCTGGGCTCGGGCGACAAGCTCGGGCTCGACCGAAGCACGCGCCCCGCTGGGGGGGACAGGATCCCTGGGGTGGGTGGCGTTGGGGGCGGGATAGATATGGATGACGACGAGGAGCACGGGACGGAGCGGCAGCGGCGGACGTCGAAGCGGGAGGAACTGGAGGCGCGTCTGCGGGAGATCAGCCGGCGGCCGGATGTCTACGAGTACCTGGCGCGCTCCCTCGCACCGTCGATCTACGCGATGGAGGACGTGAAGAAGGGGATCCTGCTCCAGCTGTTCGGTGGAACGAACAAGAGCATCGCGCGGGGCGGAGGCGGTGGTGGACCGAGGTACCGTGGCGACATCAACGTGCTGCTCGTCGGAGACCCCGGTACAAGTAAGTCGCAGATCTTGCAGGTGAGTCTTTGGTTTGCCTTGCGCCCGATGGTCGGTGGGCTGACTAGTTGTATAGTATGTGCATAAGATCGCCCCTCGCGGCGTGTACACCTCAGGCAAGGGATCGTCCGCGGTCGGTCTCACCGCCTATGTCACCCGGGATCCCGACTCCAAGCAACTTGTTCTCGAGAGGTGAGTGCCATTTTTAGTCAAGATTAAAAATGCGCCTAAGCTAAACGCTTCCTTACTTTCTAGTGGTGCTCTCGTTTTGAGTGATGGAGGTGTGTGCTGTATCGACGAGTTCGACAAGATGTCGGACGCGACCCGCAGCGTTCTCCACGAAGTCATGGTCCGTCCACCTTCTTATCGTACCCGCTCGTATACTCACGTCAGATTCCACAGGAACAACAAACGGTGTCCATTGCCAAGGCAGGCATCATTACGACCCTCAACGCGCGGACGTCCATTCTTGCCGCCGCGAACCCGATTGGGTCTAAATACAACCCAGAAGAGACCGTAACGCGGAACATTGACCTCCCACCGACGCTAATCTCCCGTTTCGACCTACTGTACCTTGTGCTCGATCACGTCGATGAGGCGCTCGACCGCAAGCTCGCCCAGCATCTCGTTGCCCTATACCTCGAGGACGCGCCTGAGACCGGCGGAGGTCAGGACATCCTTGTAGGTCTCCTTTCCTTGAGGTCGTACACTCGACGCTAATCGTCCATCCAGCCCCTCGAGGAGCTCTCTGCATACATCACCTACGCGCGCTCGCGCATGAACCCCACTATCACCGAGGCCGCCGGAGACGAGCTCGTGCGCTGCTACGTGACGCTCCGCAAAGCCGGCGAAGACCCGCGCTCGTCCGAGCGGCGCATCACCGCGACGACACGGCAGCTCGAGAGCATGATCCGGCTCTCCGAGGCGCACGCGCGCATGCGCTTCTCCCCACAGGTCGAGCTCGCGGACGTGCAGGAGGCGTTCCGCCTCATGCGCGAGGCGCTGAACACGAGCGCGCGCGACCCGACGACGGGCGAGATCGACATGGGCCTGCTCGACACGGGCATCGGCCGCCAGCAGCGCAAGCTGCGCGCGGACCTGCGCCGCGCGGTGCTGGGCATGCTCGATGGCGCGGGCGGGGGGACGCGCGGGGTAAGGTGGGCGGACGCGCTCGCGCAGCTGGAGGCGCAGAGCAGCGTGCGGGTGAGCACGGCGGACTTTGGGGAGGTGATCAGGGAGCTGGAGCAGGAGGGGCTGGTGAAGGTTGTGGGCGAGCGGGATCGGCGGATGATCAAGCGTGTGGAAGGCGCGTAGGTGGCGGATTGAACGATGCATCGCCTGCACTTGTTGTTTCGATGGTTTCCTTGCTTTCTTGGGATCGTGAGTGTTGGCATGTTCGATATGTATGTTATGAAATGTGTACCACTAGACCAACGTTAGACGCGTATTCCCCGCGTCCGAAAGTAGCCCCATTCTCTCTATGTCTGGTACAGAGTACTATATCACGAACAGTCGAGATGAGGCCTGGTTGTTGTACATATTTTGCAATTTTGCATTAGGACGGTTGCGCACCGGCGCTTGCCGAGGAGTTCGGTAGTAACATAGCGCGCGCGAGACGGATTGCTTTGTACTACTACGACGTTACGTCCTGGACAAAGGGAGTACATTTCCTCTCGGCCACTCGCTTGCTCCAGAACTGGTATGGAGACAATGCATGCGGGCCCGGGTCGTGATAGGCGGGTCAACGCGCCACTGACGATCCATTGTCTGCGGTTTTAGAGTGGTTTTAGCCACCACCAGCCTGAGTGGCGGCTATATAAGACCCATCAGCTTCGACCAACATCTCCTTCTTCTGCATCTCCTAGTGGCTCATCTACTTCATATGCACCAATGCCACCCAGAAAGAAAATCAAGACCGCCCACCCTTCGTCCGAAAACACATCGGGGAACGCGAATGCGTCCTCCGAGCCCGACATAATAGGTTCAACAGGCCGACGCGGACTGTGCGACCTTCCGACCGAGGTGCTGCACATGGTACGCACCTTTTGCTCTTGTCGCGTTCTGATTCTGACCTACTCGCTCCTGCGCAGATCGGAGGCCTTCTGCACCCTAAAGACTTGTTCAGCCTGTGCCACACCTGCAAAGACATCCGCGCCTGCTACTGGTCCAAAGGCGCGGAAAGGTGCGTGTGGAAAGTTGCGCTACAGAACACACCCCCGTTGCGCCCGGGGAAATATGGGGACGGTTCGCTCCCTCCGCGGCCTGCGTTTCTGAGCATACCCGCATTCATGCATTTGCTATTCACGACAAACTGTAATGTACGTGCACACGTCTCGCTTGCGCCACTGCACAGCTTAGATGTTTACCCCGGCCCCTAGATGTGCGGGCGCACGATGCACAAAGTTCTTGAAGAGTGTGGCGTCCGCATTTGCCAACGATGTCTACCAGACGCGTGAGTCTTCCCGATGGTCTTGGGCGCTCGAGTGGCTTACATAGGCCGTGTATACAGGGTGATTTGGTATAAAGACGCTGCCGAGCAAGTGGCGACCGTCGATCCCGCCCTCAGCGATGCTATCCTTGATTGGGAGACATACCCGGACTTCTTCACGGTCTTGAGTCTATCTAGGTAGGCACGATCATGCCGTGACTCCAAGAACGACCCGGCTGATCAGTTCGCGGACTGTCTTTCATCTGTTCTGCAGCCGTAGATACAACGACAGGTGGAACCTGCTTCTTCGGCGCGACGTGGACGCGGTCGTTAAACGGTACAAGAAACTTACGGCTCCCGTGTCTAAAGATGCGTTAGACCAGTTCACCGGCACTCTGGAGGACGAGTACAGCCAGCGTCAAGAGGTAGATTCATGCATGTGTCCCTCTATCGTCAGGTTCAATGCTCATCGCTGTACAGCAGTGTCGTAAACTTGAAGAATGGTTGAGTGGGAGGCGCACAGCGGAGCTCCGCTCTGTCAAGGATAGACGGTTAGAAAGGTGCGTATGCCGCCGTCATCGTCTTCCTTCTATTGACCGCGATGTCGTCAGCATCCTGGATCGCCTATGCAAGGCAGGTTGGGGCTGGGAACTAGGTTACATGGACCATCTGGAAATGGACAACTTCGCTAAGCTCCCTTCAGTGCGTCTGCCTAAGCCCTTGACCGACGCAGGTAAGTTGCGTTATTCACATCCGCTACAACGCCCTGACGCGCCCGCACCACGCCTCGCAGAATGGCCGAGGGTGATGAACGCGGTACAGGCCACGCTCGACAAGGTACGCGAGGACGTGTTTGCCACCGAACGCCAAATCGAGCTCCGCGTACGCCATAAAGACCTCCAATCGGCCATCCAAGGACACTGTGTGCAGTTCCCCCGGACCGCGCACATGATGCTCCACCCTAAGCCGATCGACTTCGCCTTCAGGCCCAAGTGCCGCACCATCCTCGAGCGCTCCATGATATACAGTTATGGCGGAGAAAACATCCCCTTCCGACGCATGACTCCCGGGCTCGTCAAGAGATGGAACGCGGACGTCAAGAAGAAGTTGACGCGCCACCTGTGCCAGTACCTCCCACCCGTCCCATCTGGCGTCGACCCTCTCAATCTGGCGATCGCTATCTTCACCTGTTCTCACTGCACGGGAGTCAGTAATGACACATTCCAGGTGAACGCCCGCGCCCGAATCATGCGATACCCCGAAGTACTCTGCCACCAGTGCCTACGCATCGAAGATGGCGATTTCCCGAACCCGGAGGATGATTTGTATACGCGTATCGTCACCCGGCCTAACTTCATCACCAACAAATACAAGCGCAACGAGGAGCGCGAACGCCTGACTTGGAGGTGTAAGCCCTTCAGCCTCGACCGCCTGATAGACGGGCCCGTGGCGGTTGCGCATATCGAACGGATGCGTAGGGTCGTCTCGGCGCTGGGCCTTGATGCGACACGAGCGACTACCGACGAGCTGAAGGCATGTGGAGGCTGGCTTCGTTGCGCGCTCTGTGAGCCTGGCGGCCCAGAGGCGCCGGTGAAGCATGTATACGACTGGGTCGCCGCGGTAAGCCTTTCACAACTGTTGCCGTATTGCCTCTCTGCTGACAACATTTCTTTCACCTGCGTGTTCAGTTCGATCATGAGCACGTGCACTTCGGTAGCCGTATCGACGGCGGTGGTGCAGATAGAGATCGCATGTGGCAACGCGTCGACCAGCCGGAGGTCCTGGCCACCGTCGTCGAGGAGCTCGAGCCCGTAGCCCGCAACGCCCTTCTCTCCGACCCCGGCCCCTACTGGTGCTGCTCTTTATGTGACTATGAGTCAAGCATAGAATGGGTCGATGACCACCTAGAAGAAGTGTAGGTGTCGACTCCCTGTTCTCAGGCAGCTCCGCCGTGCTTCTCGTAACTGACATTTTGGCAGGCACAATATGGAGGATGCTGCTCAGGCGATCCAGGATGGCACAATATTCAGACATCCTTGGATAGACCCTGACGAGGGGCGCTGTATCAAGCTCGTCTGAATAGGAGCAGGGCGTTGCGCCTTCCGAGGCCTGAGCTAATTAAGGGGGCTCGGCACACGATTCTTGTCATGTATTCTACTAGGACGGGGGCAGATTCTTACGGACCTAGCATAGGGATGCATCAAGCGGTTGCATGTCGTCAATTATACGGCACACGGATCGTTACTAGGTATACGATCGGGAGGATATTGCACAACAGTCAGCTTCACCAGGAGCGACATGGGAAAAATCTAGAGCCGTACATCATGATAGAGAACCAACAAGTGGAAAGACAGAGATACTACATAGAAACGGCCCAGGCGATTGGAACAGGGACGTATATAGATCCTGTGTCAATCATCGTACCCATTTCGGAGCGTTGGTGATTAGCCGAGTGCGTATAAAGTACGAAATGGTGCGACTTCACCGTTACAGGTTGTCCAACATCTGAAAGTTTCGTGGCATGACCTTCGTGAATGGCCTAGTAGGCCATCAACCTACCCCCCATCTTCGCGGGAAGCGCCGAGGGCAGTATGTCACTGAAGGCAAACTCAGCGTCGGATGGCGAACCGGCAGGAGGAGTGTGGCAACTCACCAGTTCCCGTCGGAAAAGTCGCGAACGGGCGCGCGAGGGTCCTTCCAGCGCCCGCGCAGAAACCAAACCCACGCGGCCTTCTGCCATACACGATCCAATAGAGCGACGCCTTCGAGCGGGGAGCACACGTCCATGGCGTCCAGGACATCCCACCCCAAGTCTGCCAGCTGCACGCGCCACGTCTCGTACCTGCTGTAATCGCGTTCTTCGTCCGAGACGGTGCCGAGGTGATCGACGTACTCTCCGGGGTCGTCTGTGAAGTCGAGGTGCATGCGCAGCCGGAGGAGCGACGGGGCCGCCGAAAGGGTGTGCGCGATGTGGCGCTGTGGAAATCGGGTGTAAGTTGGTACGAGCGCCCTCAGTCTGCGAAGATGAACTCGGAGGTACGTACGTGATCGACGACCTCATGCGTGGACCGGCGGTATCGATGGAGCTCTAGATGTTGCAGTTTCGCGAATGCCCGAGGGATGAAGGCGAGCAGCTCGTCGTCTGCTTCGTCCGCACGGTAGACGAGCTCTAAGGTCGTAAGACCAGGCGTGCGGAGACGCCGCAAGATGGACAGGGCTTGAGTGGCGGAAAGGATGGGAGATCGCCAAGGGCCGCGTTTTTGGTAGTGGCGGGGCCAGTCCTGGAGCGAAAGGTAAGTGAGGGCGGAAAACGGGACTGAGAAGACGGGGTCACGGTGATCGGGGTAAGCAACGACGAGGCTCCGCAAGCTGTGTTGCCAAGGACTCGAGGATAATCGAACACCTGTATTCATGACTATGTGCGCTGCCTGTTAGAGACGGCAACAAGGCTCCCGACGACTCGACGCCGCCATGTTCGGTGGGAGAAGATAGTAAAACTACGCGCGAGGTCTCTGCGTCCGTCACAACAGATCTAGTGTCGCACGGTATATTTCGGCACCCATCCGCAGGGCCACGGCGGTATAAATGTGTCACTGTGAGGAGCCGTATCAGCAAGGAGTTCGCAATCGAGAGGGAGAAACCTACATATTCTCAGGAGAGCGATCATAGGCACAGCAACGGGTAGCCTGTTGCGAGCGGAGGGCCGGGTACCATATCCACATCGCCGGTGGTTGTCCACGGTACAAAAGGGCGACGCCCTCAAGCAGCGGACATTGTTCAGACAACATGTCCACGACCGCCCAGCCGATATTCGATAGCTGAGCGTGCCACTGCTCGAGTACGCGATAGTCGACGTGGGTGTCATTCGCCTCCCCTGGTCGTATTGGAAGTCAAGATGTAAGCGCAGTGTGACGAGGGTCGGCATTTCCGAGACCGTGCGCGCGATACGTTGCTGGAAACGTCCTGGTAAGACACAAAGGTAACGAGCTGTTGAGACAGAAAAACGTACATAATCCACAGCTTCGCCTGACGACTGGCGATACCGATGGAGTTCGAGATGGCGCAACTTCGGGAAGGATCGAGTGATGAGTGTGAGCAGGTCGTCATCCGCTCCGTCTGCGGAATAAACAAGCTCTAGCGTTAAAAGGCTGGGGACCCGAAGCCGGCTCAGAATGGAAAGGGTTTCCATGGAGGAAAGGATGGGTGATCGCCAAGAATCATAGTAGTATTTATGGGATACAATGTCATAGTGGCGGGGCCAGTCACGGAGCGACAGATTGGTGAGGCCAGAGAATGGGGTCGAGAAGATGGCATCATTGGGATCGGGGTACGCGATGGTAAGGCTTCGCAGGCCTTCCAGTCCTACGACTGGAGGCGCCTTGCAACCGAGCACCGAACATCGGATGCTAGTAGTGGTAGGAAGGGCCGCGGTGATGTTGAGGCGTCGAAGATATGGCGTGCGGCGGAACAGGGATGGTAGGTACTCCGCGTTCCAGAGATCAGCATCGGTGCGGAACGACCCTCGAAGTGTAAGGCTCTGTAGGGCTGGCCAGTCGAGTTTTGCCATGCCGCCAAGCGGTGCCGTCTTCATGGGCAACACTAGCGATCGCGCCGCCGCCGAGTTCATCCCCAGGACCATGGACGACAGACAAGCCCTCTCCAACGTGCATATCTTTCCCAATGTCGTCTGCCGCTCCAGCATGTAGTGTAGCTGAGGTGTTAGGGGCGTGGCATAGGACAACTCTTCAAGGCCGGAGCATGCTGAGTTAGCGTCTGTCGGGAAGGGAGATACGAAGGTGAACGGGGATGACTCCGTGAACTCGATCGCCTTGACTTGAGGGAAACTGAGACAAGTCTTCAAGGCTTTCCAAGGAATGCCCATTCCTGCGCCGGTGAAAGAGACTGATCGGACCAAGGGTAAATATCGTAGGGCTTTCCCAAACTCAATTACGATCTTCGGTCGACGGCCGTCAATGTATCTGTGGAAGCGTACTAATCGTGAAATCAGGCGGGGCCACACAAGATACATTTGACTTACTGTGTGAAGTACTGCCCCCAATGATAAGTGAGATGCCTTGAACGATGTATCAGTGCCATCACGGTGACGATAGACGGGAGATCACTCGCGCCTACCGCACATGCGACCGTATAGCGAGAGGAGGGGCATCAAATTCGTTTCCCCTTTTCTTGGAGTTCATGATCGCGCATCTTGAGAAGAGAGCAGGGAGAGAGAGGTAGCGAAAGTGCCAACAACACAGAGAGAGGTGCTTTAGGGACTCAAAGCCACTGGCTCCAGAATGTAACAACTCCGCAACAAAATGCGCGAACACATCTTCATTGAGCTGCGACATTCTGTGAGGTTTCGGAGATCAGTCCAGCGCAAGTTCTCCTTGTGGGATTGGACGTACGGAGACGGCTTGGGGGACTGTATGCCCTCAGATCCAGAGCCAGGGCCGTGCTGCCAGAGCGTCAAGTTGTTGGCCGACGCGCCGTTCAGCGGGGGTTCTGGCGACGCTTCTTTAGGCGCAAAGCTCATCTTGTTTAGGCTATTCCAAGTAGAGAAGCCGGAGTAGTGAACCACTGATCATAATCGCGGTTCGGGTTTAGCGTGAGTGAAGAGGCTGGAGTCGTTTAGCATCCTCTTTGTGGCGCTTGTTGTTTGACACTCTTTGGCCGCATATGCTGGAGTGCTAATGAGTCTGCTCCGAGGTATCGGTTCTCACAACGACTCAGATGATCCGCTCCTCTTTTCCTAAATCCATCCGCCACCAACATCTGTACATCTACCATTTGTCGCCGTACGGTGTCTACATGGCCGTGGCGTCGGACATTACCTCAAAGGTTACGCGGCGGTGAAGGAAGTGAGGCCTGAGGGTTTACATTAACTGCCAAGAGTGGCCGCCCTGCATTAACGTCTATGATCATCTAGCACGCAACACCCCCGCGCCCACCATCGCACTCAGATCTGCACAGGGAAACGTCCGTTTGAGAAAGGGCACCACCCGACCTGACTCCTCCTCAGAAAACCACACACCAGACAGCCACAGCTCTCGCAACCCCGAGCCATGTTCTACACCTGCGCCACCACATCCGGCGTGCTCTACGTGTTGTCCATCCAGCCCAGAGAAGCTGTGCCCAACCGGGATCCGCAGAGTTGCTAGCGCAGGACAGCAGTGCGCGAAGGCCGCCAGAGATGCAAGGCAAGGCATCACTGCCGCTGCACCCACAAGATAAGGATTCCGGCAGAGTGCAACATCGAGCAAGGATAGCGCGGGCCACGCCTCCGCCATCTCGCGCACGTCCGCGTCTGTAATCGCAGCTGGCGTGGGGTCCTCGAAGGCGAGTGTACACTCGCGCAGGCCCCGGATAGCCAGAAGCGGCTGGACTGCCCGCGCGAAGAGGGGTGTGGTGTGCGGAAGACGATCTGTAGCGTGTCTGTAGTGCACCCGGATCCTCTGTAACGACGTCGTGAAGCGTGTACTGAGCACGCCTATGCAGCGCGCGCCCCCATCCTGGTCGTACCCGGGCACGAGGACCGACAACTTGGCGGAACGCAGCGCCCCGGGAGGAACAGAACGGAGGAGCTCCTCGATCAGCGACGGAGCGCCCGCGACGCGCATGTCTTCCAGCGCGCGCAGGGCAGGCTCGCCCGCGCCCGCGTCCGGGTGGTCATGCGCGGGCGAAGCAGCAGAAGCAGCGGGAGAACAGCTGAGGTCGACAGACAGGGAAGCCAGGGTCGGCATCGCGCCGCAGTACGACACGACGACGGCCACGGGGCACGCCACGGTGCCCAGGCGCAGGCTGCGCAGCCGGCGGAACGCCAGCAGCGGCTCGAGCGACGCCGGGAGCGCGATGCCCTCCAGCGAGAGCTCCTCCACCTGCGGGGACTGCGCGTCGAGCAGGCTCAAGAACCCGCTGCTGGGGTTCTGCTGCTGCTGCTGGGGGTCGAGTGGCGAAGGAAGCGGAGGGGGAGCGGGATCGGAGCCGCCGACCTGGACGTACACGGTCACTCGGCGGAGGGAGGGCGACAGGAAGTGGAGGTAGGGCGTGATGTCCCGCGCGCAATGGAGCCACGAGAGCTCCTCGAGGCGCGGGAGAAGGGGGGAGCCTGCGCGGGAGGCGCGGCGCACGAGCGCGGCGAAGGTGCGTTGGCTGAGCCGTTCTGAGGGGCCCTCACGACAGTGGTAGTGCAGCTTGCGGACGCGCCGCGCGTAGTGCGTGAAGCGCGACCAGCCGGCGTCGTCGATGGCATTGTGCGGGATCTGTGGTTTGCGTGCGCATAGATGAGTCGACGAAGCCCATATAATACATGGAAAGAGACTCACCGTGGTGGAAATATGGCTGGTGTTTTCGTCTGCGGAGGACTCGTCGAGCAGCTGGCAGAGGGGAGTGAGCCCAGTCATCCTGCTCCAGAGCATGTCCAGCGCAGGATCGCTGAGCGCGGTTGATACGCGTGCGCAGTTCGCGAGTGTCTTCGAGCTCCCGACGAGCGGGACGTGCGCGAGGATGTTGCGGACGATCTCGTCGATTAGCCACGCGCGTTGTACGGCGGAGGCCCTCGGTCCGTTGATGTCTTGCATGTTGGCTCAGCTCGTCCAGGGTGGGCTCCAAGCTGGACGCGCGCCCGTCAGTGAGGCCCCGCACTGCATATATACAGCGCGGCGACATCGCGCGCGGTCGATCGCGCGGCGGCGCAGGATTAAGTAACGGCCGAGCTTGAAGCTTGCAGACCCTGCCCAGCGCCCGAGCGCACGAAGACGGATGGGGCGCAGGTGCTCACGTACGTGTACGTACGGCCACGCACCTTGATTCGTCCGCGAGGCCAGCATGCGACGTCAGCCACCCGGCCGCTTCATTGAAGCTTCACAGTCAGCGTTGACACAAGCCCGAGGCATGCAGATTCTTGCGCCCCGCGTGCATCGCGTGTCAGATACACGCCCATTCGCGATGCGAGCATGAAAGACGTCGACATCGAATAGTCCGGAGCTTAGTGCCTTCGAGAATCGAGAAGGCCGTCGCAGTAGGTCGTGTGGCGGGGCCAAGGATTGCCGCGCGTTGCGTCAAGATATTATCGCTAGTGCCTGTTTTTTGACCGATAGGGTAGCCAAAGACGAGCGTGAGGATGAGTAAGTAGTGAGCCTGACTGCGCATGTAAACAGGGCTCGGATGCTCATATACATACGTTAGTCGTAGAGAGATCGTCTCGTTTCAGAGTCACAGTTGGTGTTTAGTCGCCCGATGAGCACAGAGCTAAGGAAGCCGAGTCTGCGTGCAGTACATAGGTGGGGCGGTGGCAAAGGAGGTTCGGCAAAGGTTCGGCGTCATTGACCGCGCGCTAGATCGTACCTGGCATACATATTGACCATAATTGTCATCGGACACTCGAACGACTGAATCGTTGCTCTCCGAGGACAAGGAGACGGCCACACCTCGCTGAGATTGTGCGCACCGGGAAGTACTTCTCAATCTCAGGGTCCAGGGAGAGGAAAAGCTGACAAAGCACGGGCAAAAAGACATAAAATTCACTACCCCAGATTGCATTAAGGGGGAATCGAACCCCCGGCGGGTCGATGGCAACGACCCAGGTTACCACTACCCCATTAATGCCTTCCCTGCCGCACTTCCAGTGTAGTCCTACCCTCTTCTCAGTTCATAGTGAGCAGAACGGAGTGTGTCGCTAGTAGCAGCAGTCCTGCAGTGGATACGCAAATTGTCCCTCGGCCCGAAATCTACACCAAGAAACAAACAGAGAGAGGGGGGTTCGCGCGCGGGCGGCCGAGGGGGGTACAGTGTCCGAGCTCACAAACACAAACACAAACACAAACATAACAGGTGGAAGCGTCTCCAAGCCTGGAGACGAATCGCGGAAGCTGACGGCACGGGTATCATGGCAGGAAAACGAACGCGACGACCGCACTGAGCGCGAATGCGAGCGAGATCGGCGCTGACGCGGCGCGCGCGCCGTTTGACGCCCCGACACTCGACGATGTTGCAGGCGCCGCGGAGGCAGATGTCGGCGTTGTGCTGGTCGCGCGCGAGGTCGTGAGGCCGGACGCAGTGGCGGAGGCGCTGACCGTGAGCGTCGTGGGCGCGGCGCTGCCCATCGTGAACGACGGCGACGCGCTCGCGCTCGCGGAGCCTGTGCTGGACACGGAGGCGCTGCTATCCGACGCGGCCGAGCTGGGTGACGAGGACGCGGATGCGGATGTCGAAGAGGCAGACGCAGATATGGACGCGGACGCGGATGCCGATGTGCTAGACGCTCCCGGAGAGCTAGTGGCAGATTGTGACGATGAAGTGGAAGCCGACGCGGAGCCGGACGACGCGGCGGGCGAGGACGTCGACGGGGCGGGAACTGTAGATGTGACGGAGACGGAGTTGGGTGGCGCGGATAGGACAGATGTAGGGACGGGGATGGCGGAGACGTCGCTCGCGACGGGCGACGCGAGCGAGCCTGTCATGGAGTTGAGTCTGTGCACGGTCAACAGTTGATCAGTTCTCGGTGAATGACAGATGAGATGAGGGTGTGTGGCGGGGTGCGGCAGAAAGCACCACGCATCACAGGGGGACTCACACGAAATTCGGGGAGAACTGCGTGTACTGTGCGGCGGGGTCTCCGACCTGATTGACGGAGGTGAAGTTGATGTAGCTGCAGGAACAGATGGTCAGGATGTTAATGGCTGCGCGATCCCAGCAGCAGCGGCAGCACTCACTATGACCCAGAATTAGGCCCCGCGTTCGAGTCCGGCTGCGCGGGCTTTAGCATCAAATTGACATACTCAAGGAGTTAGAGGACTCACCGTGAACTGCAGCGAGTGTACGCTCGAGATGTCCACGGGCACTATCTGCTGCACGAGGACGTTGTTCCCGTTGTAGAGCCCGACGTAGCAGGGGCCGACCTGGGAGAGGAGAGGCGCGGTGCCATCGTCCAGCCACTGGACGGTGCATGGCTTTCCACCGCTGCAGGTGGACCCGGCCGTGGGTTGTGTGACCTATCGTCGCGTGCCCTACCGATCAGCAGGTGCACTTTTGCGGTATATGCGCCGGCGGAGGAAGTACTCACATAAAGGGTTGCCTGCACCAACAAAGCAAAGAAGCTCTGCAAGAGCAAGACAGAGAAGAAGACGGCGTGCATGGCGAAGGCAGATAGAGATTGCAGATGGAGGAAAAGCGAGGAAGAGTCGAAGAGGTTGCGCGAGCCAGTCGGGACGAAACAGAAAGAGAGCGGGGTGCGGAAGGAGCGTGGGTGAGGGGCGGGAGGAGCGAGGCGGGGGTAGCGTTATGAGGGCGTGGGCAGCATAAGCATAGATCGTAGTGCGAGCGCAGGAGACCGCGCGCCCTCGCTGTTCTCCGCCCACGTCGTCATGCAGACGCGATCACGTGCGTGTTCGTCCGCGCGGCCTCCTCCCGCCGCTAGTACTCTCGACTCTCTTCTGTCGTGGGACTAGTACTACTGGCAGTCATCCACCTCAATTCCCTGGCGCTCCTCTGTTGGAACAGGCTGTCTCCACTGCCACGTGTCGTCAAATAAACATGCGCCAATTTGGTAGCCCTCGATGGCGACGGTCAATATGAATATCAGTCAACGATGAGACTGCGCCCCGTCCGCGTCAGATGTCCCGCAGGTTCGCGACAGTTTTTTGGAATAAAAGATACTGTATGCGCTGACAACACGCTCAGGACCAGAAATAGGTCAGGGTGCTTCCGAAGCTTACTACTGTGACGTGTGGGGTAAAACCGAGAGAGCAAAACTTACTATTTTGCCCCCTTGCGAGGCGTAAGCGTTTGCTCACCTCGCGCTACCAGTCTCTCGCGTGTTTCGCGACACATTGGGGCGCATTCACCCCCATAGCGCATCGCGCTGTGCCAACTTACATGCAGCGAGGTGTCATGCTGCCACGATGCGTTTACGCGCATCGCGATCGCGCGGTTGCGGTCGCGCGACGTGTGCGACCTCGCGCGACGTGTTACGCGCGTGGTCTACTAGCACCCCAAGACATGCGCCTATGTAACAAGGTGTTACACCGAAATCACATCGTTGCTGAAGTCCGATTGTGCTTTCGGTGTCTCAACTTGTGCGGCTGTCACGGTAGGTGCTCAACGACCACACGCTGCATCCGATGTGCGATCAGTATGTAACACGGTTCTCTCGTTATTTTACGAACACGATCAGGATAGGCCAGTCAGACAAAGGGGTGCCACTTTTAGCCAGACATCTTCATGCGATCAACGTGTAACGGGGCTTACACGGAGGGCTGCCCCCGGTGCAACCGTGGCTGGGGAGAGAGCGCTGGCTACGGCACTCGGGGGCAGAATGGCAAGTTTCGCTATCCTCATCTCACCCGCTTATGAAGGTAGTAAGATTTGGAAGGACTTCTGAATCTTATCCTTACTGGTTTGGTCGCTCCCCTACATACTGAGTGGCTCATGATTCTTGCGTACCTCGACAGCTTCAACTCTACGATCCGAATCGAAGCAGGAAATCCCAGAGGTTGAGGGGTTGTGCCCGGACAGGCTGTTCTATAGGCTGGAGTGCTGCACGGAGTGGGCTTCACCACGATCGTACATCGAGCACGAAACAAGAGCGACGTGCAAGCTGCAAGCCTGGCGGCGAGTCTGTAAGCTGTGACAGACTATGTGATCGACGCAGACTCCTTCGACGGGAGTTTTGTGTTCTGTTACTTACGGCTATCGCAGAGGATCTAGCGCAATCTTTATCTCGAGCTATACCGCCCAGTCGAGAGAGTGAGAAGGAGCAAGTTCTTGCAAAGTTCTTGTGGGAATCAGCCTTGCATACGCGACCAAGCACTGCCAAATAGCTATAGCGCGCCACGAGTGCGATCATGGTACCGAGGCGGAAATACATATCACCCTCAGTAGGCTTGACCACGAACCACCATGACCACAGCGTTTCACTCTCCAGGGTCAGGCTCCCAAAATCTGTGCAATCGTAGTACGTCTCCGAGTGACGGTGAGTCGGTCACCACTGACATCGGTCCGCAACTTGGACAACCTCAGTTCCATGCAAAATCATCGCCGTGCGTGGATCCACGGGCCTAGCACATCTGAGGCATAATTGTTAAACACTCTGACATACAGCATACTGCGTATCGATGAAGACGTGTTTACTCTCATCTTTGAGGAGTTACTGGCGCCGAAGGGCGAAAGGGGCATTTCTCTGAAACGCCTTTCTTTGTGCTGCAAACAGCTTCGCAGCCTCTGCCTCAGTACCCTCTTCTCGCAGTGCAGAATCACCAACAGGGGCGGAAACGGCGCTTCAGTACCACCCGTCGTCATACGACCCCACGTACGGTAAGCTCTATCACCTTTGCTTGCCAACGGTAATGTCTCTAATGGGTTCCACCAGGCATCTGACGTACAGCCTATACCGTGCACAGTAAGCTGCTTTCATACCTAGATTTGTCGAAGACCTCAACTAAAGACAATGGCTAGTTCCTGCGACGCATTGCTGTATCTGCCTCATGTGCGATCGATAACGTTTGCCTGCACCTCACACCGCGTCCAGTGGGGCGATTTGGAGCGATTTCTCAGCTTCCCTCAAGTCAAGTCCATCTCGTTTACAGCCTCAGTTGCGTTCACGGACGTGCCACCCTTTCCGGAAACAACCAGCTCAGGCGCATCTGCCCTCGAAGAGTTATCCTACCCGACCCCTTTGACACCGAATCCTTCCACGACGGCATCGGTTACGACGTGGGCCGGGGGGTTTGCGCTAGAGCAAGACTGTCTGTCGGCCCTTGTCCTCGGCATGCGTTTAACGGCACGGTCGCTGGTGCTGCCTATGAGGACGGCACCACTCGGAGCCATGGCGGAAGCCGACTGGCCGGCACTACAAGACCTGTACCTCGGCGGCTCATTCCCTGATACCACAAATCGCTCATACACAGCACACCTGCACTCCATGCTCCCCCGCATGCCGGACCTCCGACATCTCGTCGTTATGGCTGCCCTTCCACGCCGCACCGGAAGTCGATGCTGTCTACTCCCCAGCAACTCCTCTGGCGCGCTTCAGAACCTCCGCAGCCTCGTCGTCGCATACCCCCATCCGCGCGACCCGATCTTCGCGATCCCATTTCCCGACCTCACCCACCTCTCCCTCCGCGACTGGCCCCGGCACTACGACCGCAAGGCGCAGATAGACCTGGCCAGCTCGTGGCTGTCCCCCATCCTGTTCGCCGCTGAAGCGCTCTCCTTGCTGCAGCGCGTCCGTGCGCCCCGCCTCAAGACGCTCGAGCTCGTCTACTTCGCGGACGAGGCAGACACGGACCTCCTCACGCTCATAGCCCAGCGCTTCCCGAAGCTGCGGCATCTCATGCTGCATCGGTACCGTCGGTCCCCCGGCGAGGCCGTTGACCACGTACGTATCTCCGCCCACACGGCTGCCGATCCTCATTATTGACGCTCCTCCCTCCGCAGATCGCCATCGCACGCACACTCTCGCGCATCTCGACGCTCGTCACGCTGCAACTCCACCTGGACTTTGCGGGCGACCCCGGAAAATACAGCACCGCGGCGGTCCGCCGCGGCATGGATGACCCTACGAGCGACGTGGCCCAGTGGCCCGGCCGGCTCGCGCAGTACGGGTGGGACATCCTGGGCGCGATGGCGGAGACGTGTCCGCTGCTCGAGGGCGTCGCGCTGCTGCGGCGCGACGAGGAGCCGCCGAGCCTGTGGTGGTGGATGCTGCGCGGGCGGCGGGAGGCGTTCTGCGCGTGGATCGACGCGAACTGGTAGGCTGCGGCTGCGTCTCTGCTAATATGTGGGCTGTGTGGAGCTAATTTTGTGTGCAGTGATATACCTCCCTCGACGCTCCCCGAGGGCATGAGAGTCAGCATCATGTCATATTAGATCCTTTGGCACGACGACCCAGGCCATATTACTGAGACTTTTTGATTGGACGGTCGGAGTACCTGTCTCTGAACGAGGTCGCGTTCTTGCACAGTCTGTACGCGACCATCTACTAACCTTCAGAGGCTTGCCAGTCCGTCACCTTTTCGTTTCAATCTCCGGTTTTACGAGCAACATGTCCATTCATCCCGATGCTATCCGAGTCCGTGCAGCCTTGCACTCTTTGTCCGTTTTGAAACCGGCGCTCGTGTACCCTCTCCCAAGATTTGTATCTTGTGCATGTCTCTGCTCTGCTTGTGTGCGGGGGGTGACCGCCTGGCACCACTGCATGTCAATTGCTGTTACTGTGTAGTCTGTTTTCTACAACTGCTCTGTGTATGAGATATCATAGACTCTGGGGACTAATAACGACAAGAGAGCTGAGGGGAGGTCGTGCCGTTCTGTATGATACACGCAGCCGGCTAGCCGCCCACGCGCCGTAACGGATACAAATGACATTAAACTCGTACATGTTCCTAGGTCCGCACAATCATACCTAAGACCGTCCTTCCGTGCTATCTTACTACATGCTAGGGAACACTGTGCTAAGCTACCTTAATTAGCTTGCCTTACTTCTACTACTAGTATTCCGAGTCGGACTCCGACTCGTCGCTGGAGTAGCCTACGGTCTCCGCATCTTCCTCATCATCCGAGTCAGGCCCGCGCAAGATCTTGAAACAGCGCCCCTTATCGGGCTCTATCCAGGGATGTCTGAATATCGTGCCATCTTGGATTGCCTGGTCAGCATCCTCAATCTTGTGCCTGTTGAAACGTCAGCACCACTGGAAACCACGCTGGAGTACCCGGAGAAGAAAGGAACTTGACACGTACTCGTCCATGAGGTGCCTCTTGATGTATCTAATGCCTCCTTCATAATTCCGACATAAAGTGCAACACCAGCACGAGCGGCGATCGGAGAGAAGAGCCTTGCGGGCTGCGAGCTCAAGCTCTTGAATGGTTCCCAGGATCGCCGGCTGGTCGACGCGTTGCCACATGTGATCTACTTCTGTGCCATCAACTACGTCGATGCCCCAGTGCGCGCGTTCGTGGTCAAACTGAACATGCATGGGGGGAACGTCGTCAGCAGAAACGCGATACCACAACAGTCATAGGAAGCTTACTGCAGCGACCCAGTCGTATACACGCTTCACCGGCTCCTCTGGACCGCCAGGTTCACAAAGGGTGCAACGGAGCCAGCCCCCACATGCCTTCAGCTCGTCGGTTGTTGTCCGCACCGCATCAAGGCCCAGCCCCGAGACGACCCTACGCATCCGATCGACGTTCACGATAGCCATGGGTCCGTTTTGGAGACGGTCGGCGTCGAAGGGCATGCATCTCCGATGCAGGGGTTTCTGCTCCTCGTTGAGCTCGTATTTTTCGTTGATAAAGTTAGGCCGCGTGATAATGCGCGTGTACAAGTCGTCCTCCGCAATTGGCAGATTGCCGGCCTCAGGCCTGAGGCGGAGGCACGGGTGGCGGAGTACTTCGGGGTATCGCACCCCAGCTGCGCAGTGACCGCAGGTGAAAACGGCAACTGCCAGATTAAGCGGGTCGACGCCAGGGGGGATGCGTCGGAGGTGTCGACGCACGTAGCGCGTCAGCTTCTTTCTTACGTTTGTGTTCCATTTCTTTACGAGAGCGGGAGCCATGCGTTCGAAGGGGTCCGAGTGATCGGTGGGGTAGTCGAACTTCAACGGGTGCTCGAGGGCGGCGCGGCACTTAGGTGTGAAAGCGAAGTCGATCGGGATAGGATAATGCAACATATACGGGGTCCGCGGGAGCTGTACACAGTGTTCGCGAATGGCGTCTTCGAGGTCGCTATAGCGCATGCGGAGCCCTATTTGGATTTTGTGGGCATTGAGGTCTGCGTGCGCCTTGTCAAGCGTGGCCTGTACCGCGTTCATCACCCTCGGCCATTCTGCGAGGTGTGGTGCGGTCGCGTCAAGGCATTGTAGCGGATGTAAGTAATGCAACTTACCTGCGTCGGTCAAGGGCTTAGGCAGACGTAGTGAAGGGATCTTAACGAACTTATACATGTCCCAATAGTTCATGTGATTTAGCTCTTCGGCCCAACCTTCCTCGCACAGGCGCTCCAAGATGCTAGCAACGCTGAGTTCAATGCCGGGAAGACAGTGTAACTGCGGCCTACGCACTCGTGACGTCGTTTTTCTTTGATACCGTAAATATTGGCCTGCCGGGTCCTTGTTAACCATTCTTCAAGTTCACGGCTTTGCTGTACAGCAAAGAATGTTAACTCCGGCGATAGAACACGCAGAATAGTCTCACCACCTGCCGCTGGCTGCACTCGTGAGACAGAGCATCGGTGAACTTGTTTAATGCATCTTTCGACACGGGTCCGGGGGCCGCAAGCTTTTTATACCGTTTGACGACTGCATCCACATCGCGCCGAAGAAGCAGGTTCCACTTGTCATTATATCTGTGGCTAGAGAACGGGCAAAGAATGGTCGAATAATAAGCTGAATCGTTCTTGCAGTCACGGTCGGATCGTGCCTACCTGGATAGACTCAAGACCGTGAAGAAGTCCGGAAATGTATCCCAATCTAAGATGGCATTGCTGAGGGCGGAATTGACGATCTCTACTTGCTTGGCAGCTTTTCCATACCAAATCACACTGTATACGCAACCTAAGCGAATCACTCGGACACTTAAGACCATCGTGGAGACTCACGCCTTTGGTAAACATCCTTGGCAGATGCGGACACCACACCCTTCTAGAACCTTGTGCATGGTGCGCCCACACATCTACAGAGAGAGGTTGACTAGTGAGCAGTGCAGCGATGCGAACAGAATCTGTCTGGACGTACAATACAGTTTGTCGTGAATAGCAGGTGAACGAACGCGGGTATGCTCATAAATGCGGGCCGCACGGGGAGCTCCTCGCTCCCGTACACACCATGAAACCGAGGGGCCCTCTTCAGCGCAACCGCCCACACGCACTTTTCCGCGCTTTTGGACCAAAAACGCACGCGGATGCCTTTACAGGTGTGGCACAAGTTGAACAAGTCTTTAGGGTGCAGAAATGCTCCGATCTGCACAGGAGTGGTCAGGTCAAAGTCAGTACTGGGCGAGAATGGGCGACACGTACCATGTGCAGCACCTCATTCGGAAGATCGCACAACCCGCACCGCGGTGTTGAACCTACTGGTCCAGACTCGGAGGGCGCACCGACGTCACCCAATATGTTTCCGCTGGGGTGGCTGGTCTTGATCTTCTTTCTGGGCGGCATAAGTGCACCAAAGGAGATGAAGGGGGGAAACAAGAGACAGGAGATGCTGGAAAAACGCGCTGTGTCTTATTATATAGCTATGCAGCCGTTGCAGTGGCTAAACCTGCGGACAATGGTTGGCGCTTTAGCCAGTGCCGCGTACTTATCAGGACTCGCATATACATTGTCCTTCCTATCTGATCCGAGCGAGTGATATGTACAGAAAGAATCTCACACAGAGATGAGGATTGGCAGGCGTTGTCTTCAGGTTGCCGTAGCGGCGGTCGGGTACGAAGTCGTTACGCAAGAAGCCGTGCCTAGGATAGCTGCTTCAGACGGTGCGTGCAGGCACGCGTGGGGTAGCTTCTCCAGGGCGAATCGTGGCCGAGGTTTAGATAGCGTCGGGCTGGAACACGAACGAGCCTGTCCATGGAGTACTTAAGTTCAGAAGCTTCAGACTCGGGCGCTTCGGGCTTTCCAGCATTTTCAACCAAATAGCACCAAATAGCGAACAGTCTGCCAAACAACTCCGGCTTCACCGTGGCTACGGCGCAGCCTGCACCCGAAACTACGACTATGATGAGTACTTCATCACTGTGACTTCAGTATCAGGAATAGGTTAAACAAGATGTCCTTCGCACCTGAAAGAGTGTCGTCACCAAGTCCCTCACTGAGCGGTCACGGCCGTACCTCCCCCGACGACACGTTGACGCGCCAACACGACCGTGGCTCTCGATCTGAAGGCATTCAGGCCCGTGCCAAGCCATCGCTGTAAGTCCAATTCCATCGGATGAATTTGACTCGTATTTATAGGGTTAAATATAGAATGTTACAGATTGACGAGGATGTGTTCGCTCTCATCGCCACGATGTTGCTACAGTCGGGGCAGATCTACGGTTACCAGGCTTTATTACGTCTCTCTCTGAGTTGTCGGCGCCTTCGCATCCTCTCGCTTCCTGCCCTCTTCTCGCGGTGCTCTATCACCAATGCAGGGATAGTTAAGAATGGAGAGGTTCCTCCGCTTGCTATTCGGCCTCACGTGCGGTATGAAAAATAACCTACTTCTTGTCGTTGCGTAGACACTGATGATGCCTGCCAGGTATCTGACCTATTACCTGGCTTTCTACGCTGCACAGTAAGTCTCGAGCATCCTCCACACTATATCTATCAATTCATGGACAACACTTATCGTCCGTAGGTTTGACGCGAGCTACGCACCACAAGCTGGGTTGGATTTCGCGATGCCACTGCGGTACCTGCCGTTTGTGCGATCCGTAACCTTCACTGGTGCTTCATCGGGCGTCCCCTGGAAAGCTTTGAAAATATGTCTCAGTTTTCCCCAAGTCAGGTCCATCACATTCACAGGCTCTGCCACGTTTGTATGTATGCCACCCTTCCCGAAAGATGCAGCGGCGTCAACCTCTCGTCTCGAGGAGCTGGTCTATCCAACCCCCTTGATCCCCTCGGTGCCTTTCATGATCAATTCGACAACAACATTTCACGGGATGTGTACCCTGGCAACAGCCTGCCTGTCGACTCTGGTCCTTGGGATGAAGTCGACGGCACGATCCCTCGTGTTGCCCGCGACGACGGCGCCGCTCAGGGAGATGGCGAAGGTCGATTGGCCCGCCCTGGGGAGCCTGACTCTAAAAGGATCGTTTCCCGACGATGCCGATCATTTGGCCACCGAATCTCTGCCATCTATGTTGCGCCGTATGCCGGCCCTTGAACAACTTGTCATTACCGCTGCTCTTTTTCACTACACTACCACCCGATGTTGCGTGCTCGGCCGTAACTTGGCACCACTGGATGTAGGGCTGAACAGCCTGGAAAGGCTGACAATTGCATATCCGGACCCCAACGACATCGTCTTCTCTATCCCACTTCCCCGTCTCACCCGACTGGATCTCCGCGACTGGCCTCGCCACTACGACATAGTGGCTCACGAATACTACAGCCGTGCTTGGCGGTCGCCTATCCTTTCTGCCACGGAAGCCCTGTTCATTCTGCGACGCCTTCGGGCCCCCGGCCTTGCGGTGCTAGAACTGGTCTACTTTGCGGACGAAGCAGACGACGACCTTCTCGCCCTCATCGCCCATGCATTCCCAAAGCTGCAATACCTTCAACTGCATCGATACCGCCGGTCCTCAGAGGAGGTCGTGGACCACGTACGTGCCCGGGTCTCCGCGACTAGTACACTGCCTCCATATCTGATATTCCATTTACCCAGCAATACATCGCACGGATTCTTTCGGCGTTAAAGAGTGTCCTCGTGCTTCGCTTGAACTTGGACTTCCCTGGTGACCCCGGGGAGTATAAACCCAATGTTGGCAATGGCAGCGCACTCAAGCAATGGCGCCGTCAATTGTCGACGTTCGGATCGGAAATATTGGATACATTGGAGCCATGTCCGTTACTCAGATGCATCGCCCTTCTGTACCATGGGGAACCGCCGAGCATGTGGGTTTGGTTTTACCGTTCACCGCAGGGCGCTCGGCGCGCCTATGATAGAGCGCCCAACAGACGGTAGATAGCCATCCTTTGATCTCTCTGAATCCTTCTAAATCGACCTTTTGCAGCGACACATTTGCTCCGCAGTATCCCTTCGCAGAGAAAAGGGGCACAGGATTCATGCGCGTATCACGACTGTCATGAAGACACGGTATGGGCTATCGAATTTCGACCACCTGCTTCACATCAATGCCCTTCTCCATTGAGTAAAACTCTTTTTCGCTCAATCAACACTAGCACGCTTTCAACTCATCCTTCTGTTCCGTCTGCGGAGCGACCCTAGGCTGGATCATGGGTCCTGGTGCTGCGACAAACGAACGCGGTGTATTGATAGATTACGCAGCTTGACAACATCATAGGCTGCTATTCCAGTTTTCAGTACAGCCTGTCCGTATAGGCGAAGAAAAAGCATACGTTATTCCACCTCCAGTGGTGTACCTAATCCTCGTCGACCTCGTCATCCGCACTGCCATCGTCCTCGTCACCCAAAGGTCCGTCAATGTTGACCATGTACGCCAGCGGAAACAGCTGCTTCATGTACGCCGTACACTCTTTGCGCACATCGGACGGCCAGCTCCCACCATACCACTCGATATGGTTCACGGCGTTTTTGAACACGGGAACAGGCGTCTTCAACCTCTCCCGCAGTGACCCGTGGTGCGGGAGGGGGAAGATTAAGGTGCTCAGGCGCGCGCTCCTCTTCGCGAACGCCTCGAGCGCCGTCACGGGCAGCCCCAGGTCCGGATCGTCCTGGTCAACCAGGATGGAAAGCGCATCGAGCCGCGGCCATGCGCGCGCCATGTTGCGCACATCCTTTGGGGTGATTGCAAACGGCACCAAGAAGCGCGACGAGATCTTCAGCGTGCGGAGTCTGCGGAATGCGTATAGCGGGGAGAACCAGGCATGAAACGCGTAGGGAACCGTATCCGGGTCGCGGGGTGCGTAGTCTGCCGTCAGCTTGAGTTCGCGCACGGTGGCGGCAAAGCGCGAGGCGATGAGCGCTGTGCAGCGTTTCCAGATGGCCTCGTCGGCGTCGAAGGTAAGCTTGAGATGGGTGATGTTGGTGGAGTGTACGGCGTCGATAGCCGCGATGACCATTTGCGGAGAGCCGTTGAATTTAAGGCCCCTGAGCGTGACGGACGAGATTTCAGGGAACGGGCCTGGCGCGGGCTCTTCTGGTTCGTCGATAGAACGGCGTGCAAAATGAATATGGAGCGTTTGCAAGGAGGGGCTAGAGTTGCAGGCGTGTACGACTGATGCGAAATCTGTCACCTGGCGCAATTCGAGGACCAGCAGTTTGTCGAAGTGGCGCAAGTAGCTGACGGAGCAGCTGAACGCGCTTGTGCAAAGCTCGATGTAGTCGACCATGGGTGCATGGGAATGGATTATCTGCAGCGCAGCGCCGTATGCGTACTCGGCCGCCGCGGGGTCGTTCCGCAAGTGGTGATTGCTGAAACGCGCCTTGCCGCGGTCCAGAAAGTCCAAATGGACGCTACGCAGCGCGGGGGACAGAAAGATGACGAGGAGGAAAGATGTATCACAGGGCCGTCTCCATAGCAGGTGCTTCAGGCGAGGGAAGAGGGTCCGCCCGTTAAGCTTCTGGATGATGAACGCGGCAGAGAGGGCATCGACGCTGTCCTCCTGGTTGATATAAACGCGGATCCATCTTGCATAGTATTCGAGGCGCGCCCACTGGTCGTCCAGAATGGCGCCGCAAAGGGTCTGACAAGTACCGAACGATGAGCACGGCGTTTTTGCGAGTGCTCAATAATCTACTTACGAAGCTGGCAGTCTCAGGGTCGGCAGTTTCTTCTTCTCCGCCGGATGTGATTTTCTTGAAGGATGCGGGAAGCAGCCCAAGCAGTCTGCCGAGTCCTCTCTGCTCTGCCCAAAGCATTTCCAATGCTGGCTCCGAGAACGCGTGGGAGACTCTCGCGCATTGGACCAGTGTATCTTGATCATCGGTCGCCTGTTTCATGACCTCCCGCACGAGCTCTGCTATTGACCACAAGGGATGCGCCAGCGAACAAGCCATAGCTCCTAAGTCGTGTCTGTCCCCGAGTTTCATGGCTGTCAGCGCATGCTAGAATAGAGTCCAAGATGTGGTATACTTGCCGGATATGTTTGAGTAGAAATCAGAGATCATGAAGGTGCAAATCAAAGGTCGCCCAACTTTCCGCGCCACCTACAGAGACATCTTTTCAGCGCCCGGTTCAACCCTGTCCGAGTCTTGGGCCGACTCCTCAAACGTTCATACACATACCTTCCACATTCCTCAGGATTTGCAATCTGCTAGACTCTTCGTGGTAGCTGAGTAGACCTTGGGCGTAGATACTTAATCTGACCGTTCGCCGTCAAAAACGGCGAGAGAGCAGCACGCGTTTTGCCGTGCACTCATAATTCCAGCATATGCGACCAAGCAACGCCAAATAGCGACAGTGGCGCGCAAGCGCGCCAAACGATTCCGCGGTCAAATCTACCACCACCGCCAAGCAGCTCCAGCCCTGCGGTCTGCGTACGTCTTTGGACCCTCAGCCGAACATACGGACGACGGCCATGCCATGTATTAACGAAAATGCGTCAGACATCTACAGTAAACCATGGCTTTCGCCCACCCTTTGTGGTCAATAGCCGAGGTCGTCCGGGAGGTCATGAAACAGTCCGCCGACGAAGAAAGCAGCCTCGCACAATGTGCAAGAGTCTCTCATGCGTTCTCTGAACCAGCACTGGAGGTGCTATGGGAGGAGCAGGAAGGACTTGGCAAACTGCTCGGTTTGCTCCCCGCGTCATTCAAGAAAGCCGACAGCAACCTTGACGCTGAGGATCAATTCGGCAATAATATCGAATCCGTAAGCTTCGTGAGTACATCCATTACATATTTCGCGTCATTGGGGTCCAGACAGGAAGGTAGAAATAGAAAGGCTCTTACAGCGGCATTCATATCGACAGACCGTTGCAAATTTCTTGCGCTTAGGGAGCGTGGAGCGCCGGGACGCCCTATACCAAACGCGTCTTCGCTCCTGCGCTGGCGCCGGGCCACTCGCAAGAGTCTTACTGCGAGTCGGTGCAGGTATGGTCTGCCGAACGCCCTAGACTCCTCTACGTGGCAAGGCTATGTGCAGACGACCTGTTTGAATGGCACGTCATCCCTAGTGAGGGCGATGGGCCGGTGTGGAGGTTGTCGTACGCTCGATCCTGCGAAACTGGTGATGGTAGAACACTGGGGAGACGGTGCGACGTGATACGCGGTGGGTGAACGTGAACCTTCCGTATATGGATGTATCGCTCCACAATACTGAGGAGAGTAAACGGCGGCGGTCTATCGATATGAATGCCGCTGTAAAGAACAGAGCTCTGCTATTTTATCTGGTGCAACGCTGTTGATATTAGATGCTAATTGTCTATTCAGGTTCTGTACGATGCCATTAAAGAGGAACAGTGGGCACGTCTAGAGTACTATGCAGGGCTGGTCCGCTCTTTCTCGGGAATGGGGGACATTTTCGACGGGCTCGCCGCGGCGGTTCTCATCCAGAAGCTCAACGGCCGCGCTCTCTTCCCCCGCCTAAAGCACCTAGTGTGGAAACGGCCCTTCGATGGCGCGGCATCGACACTCCTCGTTCTTTGCCTGTCCCCCATGCTGCGTAGTGTCTACCTTGATCTTCTGGAGGGCGGCATGGGGCGCTTCCGCCATTCTTCGCGAACGGGACCTACGGCGGCCGAGTACGCCTACGGCACAGCGCTGCAGTTGATACGCGCTCATGCGCCGAAGGTTAACGACATCCAGCTGTGGACGAGCGGCTTCTCGTGCTCCGTCGCTCGCCTGCGCGAGTTCGACAACCTGAGTGTCCTGACGTTACGCCAAGTCGTCGACGTTGCGCTGGTCTTCGACGTCTGCAGCTCTCTTCCCCTGCTGCGGAAGCTCGACATGTATGTGGCGCGCCCTGATGGTCCTGGGCCGGACGCCGTTCCGCCACCCATTCCCGAGTTCACTCACTCTGGCCTCACCTCTCTCGAGCTCAACGCCCCACCGCTGGTGGCCCTCGCTGCCCTGGAAGCGATCCATGCGCCAAGCCTCCGTTCCCTCGGGCTGCTCTTCGAGGCCTACGAAGACACCTGGAGGCGCTGCACGGAGCTCATCGCGTCCCGCTTCGCGGACTCTCTGCGCCGCCTGGACCTGGAGGTCGAGGACTCGTACCAGGATCCGGATATCCCCACCTCGCTCCACGACTGGTTCTCCCCGCTCTACGCCCTGCGCGACCTCCGCGTGGTCGGGATCTCGTCGCACTTCGAGACCCGGTTCGCGATCACCGCCAACGACGTGCAGGCGATGGCGACGGCGTGGCCACAGCTCCGGGAGCTCCGTCTGCCCACGGTCCAGGACGAGCCGCTGCAGGAGCTGCCCATCACTCTGCTTGAGGCGATCGTCACGAGGTGTCTGCGATTGAAGATCCTCACTTTCCCCCTCCCCCATCATGCGCCGCTGGAAGCGGGCGGGGAAATCCCTGTTCCTGTAGAGAAGGCTAGGGTGGAGGAAGTACGATTGTTTGGCGGGAGCTGGCCGCCTAACATGCATGAGAGGTGCATGACGTATCTGGAGAGGCTCTTTCCGCAGGCGCGCACGATTCTTTTCGATGAAGATTTCGAGGACGACGATGTCTAGCCATAGCATTGGAGGTACGCACATTTCTCCGGGGAAACGCGCCCGTAAAGCAATCTGCAGCTGACATGTACTGAAACAGCGGAGCCTTCAGACTCGGGCAGACAAAATTAAGTACCAGTATAACGACTTGTACAATCTATACTCATTTCTCCTTACAACCTTACTGTTTGCTATGCGTAAGCTTGATCCACTGTACGTGTGCATCGAGACAACTGACAGTACACCTCCCAGAGATCACGCCAAACCCTCCATTCGTTGACACGAAGACCCCTTCATGCAAAAGCTGTCCGTGTAGTGTCACGTTTCACCTACTTTATCTCGAATATGTATGCATGCCTTGATCTTGTCCAAATGAGTTGTCGTTGACGTGGGGGCGCACTGGGAGGTCCTACCGCCGGTAAATTCGAGGTCGTCCTGGTCCGACTGCAGGTTCCATCCCAGGTCGCCTCCACCGATGCTCAGTACTCGGCGTCTTCACGATGAAGGCTTCCTCAGAGACCTGTCTGGCGAGCGTATAGCCCCGAGTTTTGTGCAACGGTGAGGGATTGCAGATGGCAGTACTTGTGCAATCTGACAACACCGTGTCGCTATCCAGCGGAGACCGGTGAAAATCAAACACCCATCCTCAGTGTTCAGGCGATGTCTCGAGCGATTACGAACGTAGAGAGGTTGTCACGAGCAGACAAGCGTATTTGCGCTGTCGTGATTCGTGATCAACTCGGCAGTCCATTCCAATGATACATTACAGTTCCCTATACCGATGGTGAGTGAGTACGAAACCACGCGTATACTTTAAGGACGTACAGTGCTATTATCCTTCCTTACAATCTTGCGGTTCACCAGCGCGATCAGACACTTATTCACGCGTGCCTGGTTCAGATCTGGAGGTTTAATGAACGCCACGACTGCACATCCCGTCAGATCACGTTCAGTATACGCAGGTAGTTGCAAAAGAACGTACTGCTGAACCCCTCGTCAGGGTTGTCCCAGAACTTCTCGACGACGGTCTCCATATGGCGGCGCAGATTCGGGTCGTTCCCCCGCCACTCGAGCGGGAGCGCAGACAGCAGCCGCTCCATCTCGAGGCCGCGTTCGCGCTTCTCCTTCGCGGTCAGCTTCGGCTTGGCCGTTTTCTTCTTCAGCACTCCCACGGGCTTCGCGCCCTTGTTCGCGGAGGCGGAGGTGGTCCCGGTGATGTTCGTCTCGGTTGGCCCGTCGGCCGTGGGCAGCTCAGATCTGTCGATAGTGGGCTCTGGCGGCGTTGGTGGTCGACGGGCTGCCTCTTCAGCTGCCCTCATGGCTGAGAGCGCCGCGCGCGCGTCCTCCTCTAACATCGCAGTTCGCGTCAGCCGGATGCGCAGAAACCAGAGATCTACTCACCTGCGCGCCGCGCAGCTAGAATGAACGATCCCTGCGACGGTGCCTACGCGTCCTTTGCTCATGAGCATCTCTCCGCGCGCGTGCATGTGCGGGACGCGCGGTGCTCACCTGCGACCAGTCCGTCGTAAGAGCGTTCATGTTCATCGCGTACAGCCAGCTCGCGAAGCTCTCGTTGAACGTGCCGAGCGCGTCGCCGAGGTTCCGTAGACCTTCTGCATTGGTCTGCAGCGCTTCGGCCTCATCGATGAGCTCTGCGAGCGCGGGCTCGAGGAAGCCGAGGCCGTGCGGCGCGTCGGGGTACGCGGTTGAGCGCGAGAGGCGGAAGAGCGAGCCTTGAGAGAGGCGGCGGAGCGGTGTTTGTGGAGGATTCGGAGGCATTCCAATTTCGTCACGTTAGATGATACAATCTTGTCATATACAAGCTCTAGAACAGCACGTCGCGAGCACAGAGAGGTGGAGGAAGATGGAGGTTTGAACGAAGACGCGACTTCGGGTAGGCGCGCATTGTGGCTGCGAGACAAGTTCACATGTGGCTGAGCCCGCCTTCCAGCGTCGTAGGCAGTGATGAGAAGAAACAAGTCGAAACGACGTGCTCGAACGGTCTATAGCCCATTAATAGGATGTATAAACCCCACAGCATTACAGGTTGCTCTATATACGATAAATAAATATCCAAGCTTTACATCTTCCAGCCGTTTACCGGCGCTTCCCCACAACCTTGACGAACGCAGCCTTCACGACGCCCGCAGCCTTCTCGCAGTCCTTGCGCGAGAGCGCGGAAGTAATCGCGAGGCGGATGCTCGGGCGCACCTCGTTGAGCTCCTGCGCGCGGATGCACTTCGCGCGGGTGACCATAACCCCCTGCGCGAGAGCCTCATCGACGATGTCCTGCAGCAGCTTCTCCTCGAGCTCGACGTTGAACTGCGGCGGATCGCGCGGCTTCGCCGAGAGGGGGTTCGACGGCTTGCCGGGCGATGCGGACGTCGGCGTGGGCAGTTGCAGGGTTTGCCACCGGACCTGGAGATGGATCACGGCGCTGGCGGGGTGCGAGGGGATGGTGATGCAGTCGACGCGGTCCAGGATGGCGCGGACCGCGCGCACATTCTCGTGCAGGGTGGTCAGGATGGACGGCGTGTTGCGGAGGATGTTGATGCCCTCGGACGCGGCGACAGTGAGGGCGGCAGGCATGGAAGCAGAGAAGACAAACGAAGTGCCGTTGATACGCTGCAGGCAAGCGGTAAGCAGAATGCGCGTGGCGGACACATACAGCAGCATACCTGGTGGTTTACGACGATGTGAGAGCCAGCACAGAAACCGCCGCACGAAGAGAGGCCATTCGCAACAGAACCGACGAGCATGTCCACCTCAGAAGCCTGAAAACCTGTAAGCGTAGATCGAGCATAGCGAGGACACATGTGCATACCGGAACGTTGTACAGCTCCGTCAAACCGCGACCAGTCCGACCAACGCTACCGAACGAGATGCTCTCATCCAAAATAAGACGGTACTTGAACTTCTTCTTAAGCTCGACCTAGGGTATGGTTAGCTTTGGCTACTTGAACAGTCACACTCTTCGCGTACCAGCTTCGGCAGATCTGACATTTCACCATCGTGGTCGAAGATACCTTCCGTGACGATGAACCGACGCGTAAGAGGCCCCTTACGCTTGCGACGCTCCTTCTCCACGCTCTCGAGCACATGCTCGAGGCTCTGCATGTCATTGTGGTCATACCAGCGCACTGTGCAACGCGAGATCTGGAGGCCCTTCTGGATGGCGAAGTTGACGCCACGGTCCGCAACGATGATGTCGCCACGCTTGCAGAACGCCGGAATGACAGAGCTGATGGTCGAGAACGCCTGCGAGTAGAGGATAGACGCCTCGGTTCCGAGGAAGTCGGCAATGTCCTGTTCCAGTTGGATGTGGACGTCTGCGGAGGAATTTGCATTAGCATTTGCATTGTACAGGATCGGCGCCCTTCCCAAACGGCGCGCGCGACAGATGGAGCGCCGTAGCTGATCGCAGCGGAAACAGGTACGCTAGAGCTATGCTGCTATACAGGCGAAACCCGAAGTATCTCGGACGCAGCGCAACGACCAGCGAAGCGACAAGCGCGAGATGGTCGCTGTGGAGGAGGGGACGCTCACCTTGCGTGCCGTAGAAACCAGGAGGACCACAGCTGCCGAGTCCGTACTTCTTCAGAGTGTCGATAGCAGAGGCCTTGATAGCGTCGTTTCCAGCGAGTCCAGTGAAGTTGTAGCTAGCCAAGTTGATGACCGTCTTTCCGGAGGAGAGCTTAGGCTTGGGGCCAGTAGGGCCGACGATGACCGGGACGGACGCGAGGTCAGCCTGCTCCTCCGGGGTGAGGGGCTGAGCGAGGAGTTCGGGGGTCCATTCGTCCACAAGGTCGTCAATTTCCTAGGGAGGACGCGACGGGGTCAGCGCGACGACTCGGGGAGGGACGGGAGATGCTCACCTTCTCGTCAAACTTGATGAAGTGCTTGCCCGACTGGTCGCCACGTGTGCGCGACTGCAGCAGGGTCCGGATGGCAAAGACAATGAGGATGACCTCGAGCAGCGTGCGGCCAGGGTCGTTCTGGTGGGATGACCTGACGTAGCGGGCGACGACGGACGAGCCGGGTATCTTGTAGAAGTTGGTCTCGACGGTCGCGTAGGACCTCTCGAGGAAGCCAAAGAGCAGGTCGAGGCTCTGTGTCGAGCTCATCGTGTCGAAGTCGTCAGTCGTCAGTAAGTGGTCGTGCAGAAGAGATGATGGTGGTCGGGAGAGAAGGCGGGGTGAGGAAGGGCGCCTCCTCGACGTTCAGAATATATCGCATTCCGCAAGAGACGCGCCCGGAGCGCCCACTGCGTCCTGCTATCAACTCTCACCCTTCTCCTCGACGCTCACGACGACGGCGAGCTGAGCCTCGTGCTCGCCGAAGCCAACGATGGCTTCTCCTTCCCACAGAAACTCTGTGTCCGTCTCCACCAACCACCTGGCTGCGCCCGGCAAGCAACAGCGACGCATGTCCCTCCCTCCGCCACCGTCGCCTTTGGATTTGGTGAGTCTGTTCTGCCTACATGCGCGCGTTCGACGCGTTTATGGTCTTCATCTCCAGCCGGAGCCTGTATACGGACACAAGCGTCCCCCGTCACCTCTCAGAAACGGCTTCGCCATCGATCCGGCCACGGGCGAGATCAGCGACACCTCCTCGACCCACCCCTCCGAGAACTCAAGCAACAGCCACTGGGACCGACCCGAATCCCCGTCTCCCTCGGTTGGCCAGTTTGCGGCCAACTTTGCGCAGCGTGTTGGATCTCTGATGAGCAACATGAGCTCCCGATCGCCCGGCCTTCCAACCGACGAAGAGCTCGAGGCGGAGGCCGAACGAGAACGCGAGATGAGCAGACGCGAGGCCGAACGCATCATGGCCAGGGAAGCAGAGGAACGACGCACGGTCGAAGAACGTGTCATGGCCATGCTGCAAGCTAACCCGGATGCGCAGGCTTCGCTCCCCCCTCCGCCCGCACGTTCGCAGACGATGCCTGGGACTCCTCCTTCCCCCTCTGCATCTCAGAAGGAAGCGAGCTGGTGGTCCCTCGCGAAGCAGAAGCTCACACCGACCAAGGAGCCGCTTACGCCCGCACAGCAAATCATACAAGACACCAAGGCGCGCGACAAGGAAATGGAGAAAGAGAAGAAGAAGACCGGGAAGTCAGAGAAGCGACAGAGGAGCAAGGAGTGGCCCGCCTCGCCGGACGGCAAGTTTGAAGATCCCGCATTTATCAAGCTTGGCCTTGCCGCGTCCCCAGCGCGACCTGTCTCTGCTACTCCTCCGTCTCCTTCCCCGCATCCAGCAGGAGTCGGGAGCAGCATCCCACCCAGTCTTGCGGCGTCCCCCCTCCGAGGAGCCGATTCCATGATGGAGGGTGCCTCTCCTGGACGAGCGCAGCAGCCGCTGTACGCGCAATTCAACGGCCAAGGCGCGCTTGATGTTCCGGGTACCCTGCTCACCATAACCAGGCGTTTCGAGAAGCTGGAGAAGTGGACTGTCAGCCATGTTCGTGCCCTCGAAGAACGTATGGACGACGTCGAACGCTGGCTCGTCGAGAAAGAAAGGGAGAAAGACGACTCGCATCCACCTAATGGCAATAGCAGCGCCTCCGATGCCGCAGTAAACGAGCTCCGGGAGGAGATGGCTGAACTGCAAGGGCGTATTGGTGAACTTGGTCGCGAGATGGCTAAGATGGCCACTGCGCCAGGGAACCTTTCCTCAGGCCCATCTCGCAGCGCTGCAGGAATCGGAAGGGCTCCATCGACTAGCTCCTCTGTCGCCGTACAGTCGATCTCTCGGGCGGTCACCAGTCCCCCACGCTCTACACCCCCACGGGCTCATGGCACTACCAGCCCACCTGTAACTACCCCTGTGCCTTCAAGACGAATCTCTCGTACACGATTACCATACCCGACGGGAGACTATGCCTCACCTCCTGACTCCTCCGCTCTAGGGCAAGGCCCCTTCTCTCCTACAAACTCGCCTCCTGCATCCCTGACGCCTGCATCAAGAACACGCCACATGTCCATCGCAGGTCTCCCAGACCCGGAAGGGGACGCTTTCTCCAATAACGCGTCTCCCATTGGCCTCCCCTCCACCAAGTCGCCAGACGAGGCCACCAGCCCCGAACCGCTGCAGGCGCCAAACCTGCCTGTATGGCGGCCATCGAGCGCAAGCCCGACCCCTCGCAAGCGCTACACAGCCGCGCTCGGCGAGCCCATTATGAAGCCCAAAGATCGCGAACGCAGCCCGCCACCGGAGAGACCGCGCCCGACACACTCACGCTCGCAATCGCAGTCGCGCGATCTCGGCACCGCGTTCTTCTCGAGCTCCCCCGGCTCGATATCCTCCCCCCTCTCCGACGCGGACGACTCAGACGACACATCTGGGGGCCCCGGGGAGGAGACGATCGGCAAGACCGCCGGGCGGCACTTCAGCGGGCTCGCGCCACCTCCCACAGATCGGCTCTCCTCGTCGCCTTCGCCCTCGCCGAACGGCGGCCGGCGCGCACGCCCGCAGTCGATGTACGCTCCGATGGGCTCGCAGGCGATCTCTGCGCCGACGCCCATCACCCCGCTCAACGTGCGCGTGCGCTCGCGCTCGACAGACCGTTTCGGTTTGGGCCTCGGGATCTCGGACGCAGGCACCGGCGCGCCGATCCCGCCACAGACGCCGACGTCAGGCAAGTTCGTCGACCCGCTCGTCGTGCGGAGGCAGACGAAGGAGGCGCTGCTGAAGGACGGGCCTGTCCCGCCTGCGGCGCTCGTGGGGAAGAAGAAGGTGCCGGTCGGCCAGCTCGTCGCCTTCTTTGACCAGGAGAAGGCGTGAGTGCTGTTTCTGTTTGTGTTTGGGGTGCGTCGGACGCGCGTTGTGCTTTGGACGAGCCATGATACCATGCATTGGGGGTGTATTGAGCGAAAGACGATGATGATGACACATTACTCACACGTGCCGCTGCCGTTCCCGCTTCTCGTGTACTGCGCTATGTTTCGCGCTATGTTTCCGATGCTTCGATCTCTTACCATGTAATCGCCGTTGCTTCCTTTCTTAGTTACTGCATAGTGCTGCTGCTTGTCTCGATATCTACTCATGAACTGTTATGACCTGTCATGACCTATGTCAAGTGCTTTTGGTCTTCCGTTCGCAAGCGTTCGTGCGTGCCATCGATGTGGCGAGGTACTGAAAGAGAAGCCATTTGGTCTATTCTATGGCTACGTATAAGTCTCCATTGCGCTAAGGACTCCGTTATGATAGAGCTCTCAGAGCAGCCGTGATGCTAAAACCACCCTTCATCATGCTCGTAACTCACACCACTGGCCAGAGGGATAATAACATTGTAAAGCATAGTACCTAAGACATAATAACATGTAGCATATTCCAAAGCAACGACTATCACAGTATTCGGATCCGGGATCCCAAAGTATACACTAACCTGCTATCGCTACAACTGAGGACTGACCACTACGATTCGGGTATACTGCTAGTTCTGAGAGGAGATGGGAGCATACGATAGGCCTGGATGCGCACTAAAAGAAGCCGTCTCAGCAAAGGTATACACGAAAGATGAAGGCGAACGACTTACGCTTCGCGCGTACCTGGCTTCTTCAATCCGAAGTCATTTCCGCGTCAACATTCTTCTCCACGAGGTCCATCGCGGCCAGAACCGCCGCCCAAGCGTAGTCGATCGCATCCCACATACGGGGCTCCACGACCCCCAGGCAGATCATGTTGCGATACGCCCCGTGCACGTTCTTCGCCATCTGGCACAACTTCAACAGCGTGCACTTCTGCGCGAGCGCCTGCGCAAACGCCGGGAGCGTCACCTCCGGCGGCGGGTCCGTGAGCTGGTCCGGGGGCAGCGCGAAGCCCTCGCAGGGCACGAGCGCGTTGATGAGCCCGCTCTTGCGGTACGAGTACACGAACTGCATGAGCGCATAGAACGACGGCGGGTGCGGGACCGCGACGGGCACGATCGGGAGGCGCAGCACGGACGCGCGGTGCGTGCGCGTGCCCGGGCGCGGGTCGTTGTACACCTTCGCCTTCGCGGGGGGCTGCGCCATCGTCGGCAGGCGCGCGCAGTACGCGGACCAGATCGCGCCGTGCGTGGGGTACAGGTCGACCGTGCGCCGGAACGCGGGGTGCTTGCGCCGGCGCGCGGCGGGGTCGCTCGTGCCTGGGGGCGCGAGCGCGTACACCCCAAAGATGTGTGTCGCGCTCGCGACGATGCCGCCGTCGCTCATGGCGAGGTTGTAGCCCTCGGGAAGCGCGGTCTTGGGTGGATCGATGAAGATCTTGCGGTACATCTTCAGGCAGCTAGGGGGTCGCGCGCGCGTCATGAGACGCGGGGCGCGCGAAGGGGGGCTAGCCACACGTACCTGTACCCGACATGCGACCATCCACTCCGCACGTACTTGGGGAGCAGCCCCTCGTACCCCGGCTGCGCGGCCACCATCTTCTCGGGCGAGACATCGGTGAAGTACGGACGCTCGAGCTTCGCGGGGAGGTTCCGCCAGTAGGCCGGGTCCACAAGTGGCTCATCCGGAACTTGCGGGTACGCGGTGGGCCGCAGGGGGGCGATGGTAGTAACGTGGGTGTGAACGGGGGTGTCGCTCGGCGCGTCTGGGGCGCGTGGTGGCCAAATGCGCTTCGTGGAGGGGACGATGGAGATCGGTTTGCGGGCGCGGGCCTTAGCCGTCACCACGAGGCGGCGCGCGAACCGCGCGGGAGCATCACGTTTGTCCGGAGACTTCCAGAGTCGCCGGGCAAAGGAGAGAGGTTTGAATACGCCCATGTTTGGGGAGCAGAGGGTCGGGGGAAGGGTGTGTGGGTTGCTGGGGGGAGCAGGAAGATGGGCGGAGGCAAGAGGGGGGACGCTGGCATTTTATGGGAGGGCTCGGTCGGGGTTTGCGAGGATTGTCCTACGGATTGGGGGGTAGGATAAAGGAATACTAAGCGCAGAATCGCGCCCTGCGCGGATTGCAACCTGCCATCATTGGCAAGTGTTGCGTACCAGCCAAATCTCGGTCCACCGCTGCAAATAGCGCCAAACAGCCGCCAACCCGCGCGCCCCGCCGCCGATTGCCTGTTTCGATCGGGCGGCCCGAAACAATGCATGCTTTATACGGCCTCGCGTCAAAGGCCCCGTCGTCACGCGGCTACGGCCCGTTTGAACGCGAGAGAACAAGGTTGCCAAGGTCCTGCCGAGTAGCCATGGTCAGGTCCTATTGATGCGCGTCGTAGACGAGCTCAAGGTAAGCACTCACCCTTCCGTCCTTTGCTCTGCTATCGCTGTTGACCTAACCGACCAGTTGAAGGGTGGTTACAAGCAGAATGAAGCATCCGCCCATGGATTGAATCGCCGATGGGCACGTCAGGTGTGAGAGGATGTCCTAGACGGCTCGGCGTCCGCCGCCATGCGAATTTGCTCCCCGCCCGCAACAGTCCGAGCGCCCGGTCCCACCTCCCTGCAGGCGGAGAGTCCAGAACATGACATCGGTGGCGTTTGGGGGCGCCTGTCCGTGTGCGTCCACTTGGGGTAGATGCGTGGATGGTCGTAACGAGCCAGCGTGTGGACGCGCTGTAGACGGTCGGCTACGACGAAGGGGCGTGGTCTATTGAGGCGAGTTAGCGTGCAAGGTGCAACATGTGATAGTGGAAGAACTTACCGAGTAGAGCGTCCTTCGTCGCATATGGGGCTAGCAAAATCTTCGCTCTGGTTGCGCCGTATCGGGATTGGGCGTGCAACTAGTCAAGCATGCGAGCCAAGTGAGCAAGAGGAACGTCGTCGTGCCAATGTGGCGGGCTCAGCGTCGGCTAAATAGTCTTCAGCGCCGACAGATAGTATAAAACTACGTGGTCCGCCGTAGCCATAGCAGAGGTATCGGGTGCGGCGAGCGAGACCTACATGTCGTCCGTAGAGTGCCCACTGAGCCTGATGGCCGAGGTGGAAGTCCTGACAGGCGAGGGTGACAGTTGCTAGAGGAAGGTCCCAGTAGACGTAGTCCACCAACCAGCTGAGAAATGGCAAGCGAAGGCAGTAGCGCGAAGTGAGCGAGCGACGAGATGCGCCACTGTGAACAACGTGCACAGTGAGCCACACGCGAGTTCCTAGAGCCAAATCCGGCGTTGAGGTGGCAGTGAACGCATAGGTGCGCTGGCTGTGCCTATACATCTCGTTATATGCGGCATATATCGCGAAGGAGAGCTACAGACCGGGGGCCCAGAGGAAGAGAGCACAGAGCAGAGAGAGAGGAAGCAAGGAGACACAGAGGGGGGATGTTGGAAAGGGAACCGGACCTCCGTGGGAGGGGCCCCATATATGAATGGGCGCGAGGGGGCGCTTAGGCTCGCCTAGCCTGTGTTGTAGGGCCAGTGCGCAGGAACGAAGCGGACCTCGAGGCTCGGAGTCTATGCCGCTGTGGCCCCATCAGCAATTCGAAGTCGACGGGCATCAAGGCTGCTTCTGAGGGCTGTCCTGTAGTGGGTGTTCCCCTTGTGAGTTCATGTGCCTAGAGAACGAGGGTGGGATTGGGGTTAGGTACTCTTCGCCCCAGTCCTCGGGTAGAGCATATAGCGTGCTGCAAACAATAAAGGGCCTCGCTAAGAGAGGTTGACAGATCTTGTCAGACATACAATAACCAGCGCAGCCGCTAATCATTGTGATATGAATTGAGTTGGCTTTTGCATAGAAAGACTGTGCATTCTGTAAGCAAATTTGTGTTACGGCAGTAAACACAACTAAGATGTGCTCACTATATGCGTTCCGACATGAGCGCCTTGGCCTCCTGTCAAACGACGGAGGGTTCAAGCGCGTCTCTGGAATTCCTCTTGCACAGAAAAGTACCTCACTTGTATCCGATGCTAAGATTACTCCCAACACCCTACAGCGAGCCAAGGGGTGATCAACATGATAGGAACGACACGAGAGAGATAAAACTCAAACTCGGTGGCGTGCGGAGGTGCATAGCACCTTTAATTCTTGACAAGCGACTCTGAAAAATCCATACACTCATCCTCACAATGCATTTAGTCGATTTAAAGGGTATCAGAGATTTTAGTGGTCATGGTAAGAGGATACGTTGGCAAGAGTCTTCGAAAGAGTCGTCGGCTCCCTGCTCGCCCGCTCAGCGCGTCTATCTTATCTATACGCAACAGGATCTAATCTTGAGCGACATCCCGCTCGAGGTGGACGTCCGACCAACTCAGTTAACGCTTCAGGCTGAGGAGACTTTCGGAAGACCACTGCAGCATTTTCTCAGTGATAATATGTTTGATTTGTGTGTATAAAGTGTAGCATGATGACCTGATTGGGTCGGGGAAACGCAGTCCGTAATAAGCGGGCAGGACGCCGGCTACTCACCGCGCCGGTCGCTCAAGTGATCGACGCCACACCCGGGAACCTGGGGTAATAAGTATGGTGATGGGGACGCCTTCCCCGTCCGACTCTCCTTTGTGCTGCCCTTCACCTCTAGCGTGCTCACGAAGACCCCTCCGCACCATGTCCGACTCCCAGCTCAGTGCGTCACACGAATCGCGATGACCGCAGCATGCACAGGTACTCATACGTCTGCGAACAGACTTCACCGTCCCCGCGCTGTTCGATGTAAAGGGCAAAGTCGGTGAGCAGTAGTAGTTCCGCGACCCCTATGAGAGTTGGTCGGATTTCTGACGCATCTCTTGCAGCGGTGGTCACCGGCGGTGGATCGGGAATAGGCACCATGATTGCCGCGGCATACGTGCAGAACGGAGCGAAGGTGTACATCGCGTCCCGGAAGGAGCAGCAGCTCAAGGAGGTGAATGCTCCGCCCGGCCGCTCGTGATCGTTCCTTCAAACGCTAACGACGTGCGAAACTCCATGTGCTCTAGGTCTCTGAATCCCTGACGAAGAAGGGACCCGGAAGCTGCCATTACATTGTTGCGGACATCAGCGTGAGTGCTTCCCCCGACTCCCCGGAGCTGTTTCAGCGCATCAGTAGGCTCACACAGGACTGGGCAGAGCAAAGCGGGCTGCGAGGCGCTTGCGAACGCGATCAAGGAGCGCGAGTCGAAGGTGCACATACTGGTGAACAACTCTGGCGCGTCGTGGGGTGCTCCGTTCGAAGAGTGAGCTTTTGCCATATGTTGCCGCGCCGAGGTTTACGCTCGCTGACCGAGAATACGCTAGCTTCCCGGAGCAGGGCTGGGACAAGGTCATTGCGCTCAATGTTAAGAGCATCTTCTACAGTGCGTCCGACATGTACTCTTCGTTCCCTCCGCTCACCTAGTCCTCGTGTCTAGTGACCGCTGCGTACGTGTCGTGCCCCCTTTTGTATACCCAGAACTGAACGCCGACATTTCGTAGCCTCACCCCTCTCCTGGCAAAGGACGCGACCGGCTTCGACCCTGGACGCGTCATCAACATCTCGTCCGTCGCCGGCTTCCTCACCACCGCGCACGGCTCCCGGCTCGCGAGCGGGAACAACGGTCTCTGGAGCTGTGGGTCTCCTGCTAATATTCATGACTCTATGGATGGGACCTGACTGACTGGCTGCTACCAGACGGAACCAGTAAGGCAGCGGTCAACCACCTCACCATCCTCCTCGCGACCACGCTCGCGCCGAAGTTCATCACGTAGGCGGCTTCCTGTTCAATCGACATTTCCAAAACTGACAATCGTTCAGCGTGAACGCTATCCTGCCAGGGTGAGTTGGTCCGCCGTCTTGAAATAGGTTCGATGAGCTGACGCCATACCATCAGTGTCTTCCCGTCAAAGATGACGGCGTATGCGCTCAAGCAGCTGGGAGAGGAGGGGCTCTCCCAGGGGAACCCTTTCGGTCAGCAGTCTACCCCACACATTACGAGTTACAACATCTGACGAAACCCTCATCAGGTCGTATTGGCCACCCGAAGGACATGGCGGGTGTCGGTACGTCCACGTTACTCTGCGGATCCGTGCAACCTCTGATGAAATATATGAACGCAGCATTGTTCCTTGCCAGCCCCGCCGGCGCATACGTCTCAGGCTCGCATATCGTCCTCGACGGCGCCACGGCGCAATCGCGCATAGCGACCTCCCTCTGATTTTCGCGCTTGCGTAGACTGTTCCATATGTATCCTTACACTAACGCTCATCCGCGCAAAGCCGCCGCCGCTTGCCGTCGCTCGAACTGCCCCGGTGGAATACACACTGTTTTCCCTGAGATACTTGTACACATACACATGTGCCCCGGCGTCTCGCCGGGCGCGCGGCGCACGCCAACCCCACCATGCGTGCCACTGCTAGCGCAGATCCTACTTAGTTCTTCCTCTTCTTCGCCTTCTCGCGCTCCGCGCGCGCCTTCTCCTTCTCGGCCTTCTCCTTCTCCTTTATTGCCTCCTCCTTCGCGATCTCGTGCGCGCGGTCGTTCAGCCCGAGGCGGTTCCGCGCGATCTCGAACACGTAGAACTGCCCGCCGCGCACGGTGAGCTTGGGCCGCACGCGCAGAGGGAGAGAGAGCAGGGGGGCCGGACGGGCGACATACCTGTATTCGCGTAACTGCAGCAGCACGTCTCGGTCTCAGCGGGGGACGGCAGAGGGCGAAGGGGGCGAGCAGGGAGGGGGCTCACCGAAGATCGTGTTCGTCTCGCTGTACTCCTGGCGCGCGTCCGTGCGGATGAGCGACCCGAAGTTGTAGTCCTTGATCTTCTTCTCGTACCTGCCCGCGCGTGTCACCCCGGCCCATCACACAATAGGGGAGAGGAGGGGAGACTCACGACTGGATGAAGTCGCGCCAGCGGGTCTTGCCCGACTCGCTCTTCATCCACTCCTCGTCGATCACGCTCAGCTTCGCGTGGTCGTTCTCGAGGAGCTCGGGGAACGCCGTCGTCGCATGCTCGAAGATCTCGTCGTCGATTCTACGGGGCGTTAGTACGCGGACGGACGGGCGGGCGGGGGAGGGAGGGGCGTTTCCTTACTTGGTGAGCTTCAGGTCGCGCGGGTTCACCTTTTCGAGCAGGTTCCAGTACGTCTGCAAGCGAGAGAATCCAGGCAGGCGTGGTCAGAACATGTGCTCTGCGCCGCCGTGCGACCGAAATGAACGGCTCACCTGCGCGTGTTCGACCGCCTTCACCGCGAATCTCCATGCGCCAGAAAATCAACAGCCATCCGCAGACACCGAGCCACGCCCCGCCCACTCACTGTTTTTCGATCTGCAGCGCGGGCGGTCACTGAGTGTTGAGTCCGCGGCCTGGGGTGAGCAAGACAGCGTGCGATGGGGGCGCACCTCGACGAGATTCTGCGCGTTGTTCGCGTCGAACTGGGTCGCCATCTCTGTTGTGTGTGCGGCGTGGGGGTGGCGGGAGAAACAAGAAAGAGCGAGCGGGGAGAGCGAGCAAGGGTGAGCTGGCAAGGGACGGAGCGAAATGCAGAGAGATTCAGAGAAGAGAACGGGTGTGCGAGTGTGTTCGAACTTCGCGCCGGGCTCTGCTGCCCAGCCGGCGCGCGCGTCAAGGGAACCTGATGGTCAGATGATCGCCCCATGGTCAGGTACAGCATGGTACAGCGACCGTCTGGGGCGGCGCAACGTCGGGGACCGGGATGTCTATGGATACAGTACGTAGAGAGGTACAGGTTATTATATACAAGTAGAGTCTGTGTGGCCGTCCACGGGCTTTCAAACGACTCCCGCGAACATATCTCGAAAGGTGGAGGCGTAGTTGGTATAGGCATGATGATAGAGTAGAGTAGAGCTCCGGGGATGGACTCAACCGTCCGGGTAGTGGTCAGACGAGAGCGCAATGTAGTTGTCCGCGAAGGATTTTGGATGTCGTAGAATAGGTCCGGAAAGTCCGCTGACCGGTCATCCTGCCGCCTTGCTGCTCCCGACCTCCACCCCGAACCGTTTGAGCTTTTCGTAGTACTTTTGCACACGGCTCGCGACTTGTCTGGCAGTACGCCGCCCGTTCATGGCCTTCGATATTTTGGACCACCTGCCACGCCGCCGATCAGCCGCCGTCACGCACAGAGGCAGCAGGTCGACGCACCTGTTCTTTTCGCCCTCCGGTATCTCCTCGAGCAGTCGTTCAAGCAGATGCTGCTCGGAGACAGACCACGCCTGCTTGTACGTATCGGACTTCGCTTTGCCGTTCTTGTCGCGAGGCGGGCTTGCTGCGGGCTCCGGCGAGTCCTCACGCGTCTCTGGCTTCGGCTTGGGATGCGCCTTGGCCTTGCTCGTGTTCTTCGTACGCGCTGAACTGGCTTTGGCTTTTGCATCCGTTTGAGCTTTTCGGGGTGCTCTCCGTTCTTTATTGGTATCTGCGCTCATGGCGGGCAGCGGTACCGACGCCGGAAAGGGCGATGAGGACGTAGGCGGCGCGTCGACTTCCATGGGCACCGCTTCCGATATCGAACCACGAGCCTTCCGTACACCCGCCCCGCTCTCGTCCAGAGAAATGTCGACCTCGGCGCTCTCGTCCTCCTGGTCCTGCCGTATGAACACGCCCTGGGTTGCCGTCGGCCTGCGCAGCCCGAGACCCGCATACACCGAGGCGTCGACATCGCCCTCGATGCGGCGTTTCTTGAGCTCGCGAATCTTCTCGCGCTCACGCGCACGGCGGAGCTCTTCGGGGTCGGGCTCGTCGTCGGACAGCAGCGCGAGGTCTGCGGGGAGGCGGAAGGACGCGAGGACGGGGTCGAGGACAGATGCGCGCGCTTCCGCGACGAGCTTGCGGAGGTCTGAGGGTGGTGCGAGGGGTGCTTTGGGTGGCGTATTGCGCGAGCTGTACGCCTCGCGGGCGACTGCAGCCATCGCCTTGAACGGTCCGGCGTCTTTGAGGCGGGGTTGAGTATATGCGTTGAAAACAGGTTTCAGTGGACGTACCTGCCCCACTGAACAGGGACCAGTCGATGTCGGATGGGATAGGCGGTATTGCATCGACCTGCTCACTCAGTTTGAACGAGGGGTCCCGGAGCTGTCTCGCCGCCACTGGTCAACACATCGGAATTATCACTGCAGCGCGCACACGCACCTTGTCGCTCAGCTCATCTAAGGAGCGCGGGGGGTTCACCTCTACATCTTTCCGCAAGTCCGCAAGTCTGGCTATGTCGGCGTGCGTGCGCTCGAGGAGGGCCTTCTGTGATCGTATAAAGTTTTCCAGCGCGTCCAAGCTGCGAATATGAAAGGCGTCAGCCTGATCATGTTTCACGTCCGTGGGTGTGTGTTATCTGCTGAAACCTCAGCTTGTGAAGCGTTGCGGGCATTTCCATCCACACAGACAACCCACAAGTCAGGCGCATTCGCAGAGGCTCACTAGCACGACGGGCGCAGGAATATTTTCGTGAAAGCTGTCCTGTACATACGTTTGGGCGCGTTTCTGGTCCATGGTATCTTCGACATAGACGGCGAGGAGTCGAGGAGACTTTTCGTGGGCGGGAGAGAATGGGGGGAAGAGCAACTTGCCGGCGCTTGTTTGCTACTTGCAGCCGTACTTAATCACGGCGCTTGCCACCACAGACAGCCACTCTCTTTCTTTGCGACCACTTCGACCTAACTTCGACCCGACCACTCATCCTAAGCTCATATGGATCCCACCGCCGCGCAGCCTCACCCTTTGTGGTCAGTGACCGAAATGGTGTGTGAGGTCATGGGCCGCCTCCATGATCGACACACTCTCACCCAATGCGCGCGAGTTTCTCGAGGGCTCTCCGACCCTGCACTGCAAGTGCTGTGGAAGGAAATTAAGGGGCTTCAGGGGCTATTCTCCCTTCTGCCAACATCCTTTCAAAAGGTCCTTTTTACCCGTGAGCGCGATCCTTTTGACTACGAAGTGGACACGCGCCCCACCTTCGTAAGTGTCTTACCAGAGGGATTACTAGTTCGTTTTCATGCTTGATGCTCAGGTTCTATGCGAAAGCTTTCGGGCTGCCGAATGGGCACGTTTGCAGCGCTATGCAAGTCTTGTGCGCATCTTTCATCAGGGCGTGGAAAAGGTCGACGGCCTCGCCACCATGGCCCTTTTAGAGAAACTACAAGGACGTGCACTTCTCCCGTGCCTTCAACAACTGACATGGGTCTGGCCTATTGATCAATCCTCCCTCCTCGCTGTGTTCTTGTCACCCAGCTTGCGGACTATCCGCCTACACCTCGTGGGTTGCAACGTCCTGGAACTCCGCTACCGCGACAGCCTCGAGAATCCCCAAGCAGGCGAGTACGCAACCGGCACGGCGTTACAGATCCTTCACGCTCGCTCCCCCAACGTGGATTGCCTTACCCTCCATACGAAGGGCTTTCCTTGCTCCATCAACCCTCTTCGCCTTTTCTCAAACCTACGATCCCTCGCTCTGAAAGAACTTCTCAATCTCAATCTGGCATTCATCCTGGACGCTTGCAGCTCCCTTCCGCTCCTGCAAAAGCTCGAATTGCATAGTGCACAGTACGTGGGCCAGCCTCGCCCTGTATTGCCTGCCACATCGCTTCCGCAGCTCGGGCAATTACACCTTTGTGGCTGTCCATATGCAAGTTCTGCGCTCTCGTGGGCTTTGCATGCGCCCGTCCTCAAATCAATTGGGCTCGAGTATAGGTGGAGGGATCATGTAGCTTGGACACGCTGCGTGGACGCTGTCGCATCCCGTCTAGGCACCTTTTTAACCTCACTCCAAGTCGAGGTCTATGATAATACCGATTCGGAGCGCTGCTTCAAGTTTCACGACTGGTTCTCTGCTCTCTACGCTATAACGGATCTGCGCGACGTGTCGGTGCACAAGGCGCTCTATAGTCACACGCTGTTCACGATTTTCGCAAACGACATGGAGAATGTGGCGTCGAAATGGCCGAATCTACGCGTCCTCGAATTGCAGGGGACGTTCCACCAGCTATCCCCTGAATTCCCCATAACCGCGCTGGCGACGCTGACGCAGAATTGTCCCTGACTCACCCTCCTTCGCCTCCCGAAGCCGCATCATTGGCCCCTCCTACTGGAACCGGGAACCCCACCCGTGCCTGACCGCAAGAGTTCTGCGCACATCTACATAGACGACGAAGTGATGTGGCCGGCCGAGGTGCGAGAGAAGTGCTTGTCGTACTTGCAGGAACTTGTCGTGCACCCGAGCTTGATTCATTTGGGGAAAGAGACAGGAGAGTCCGAACCATGCGACGATGGCGAAGGACGTACTGATAATTTGTGATGTGTACAGTAATGGCAGCCTCGCGGGCCCCCACTTCTAGTCGTCGTTTTACTAGCTGTTCAATGTCTGGATTCGCTTTAGTCTATGTATTGTGTTTTGTCCGTTGTCACCCGTGTAAGTACGAATATATTTAACCACTGTCATTCCATTACGGGTCCACATATCAGTAGTCCTTAGTGCATACAAGTTACCAGGTCTACAGGGCACAGTCAGATGAGTAGGCATCAGAACTCGGCTTCAGACACACCTATCCCCATTCATCAGGCTCGGACCAGTCATCCTCGAAATCCGTATCGAACAGGATCAAACACGCCTCCGGAAACAGTCTCTTCACGTACGACATGCACCGCTCGTGCGCTTCGGGGGGCCATTCGCCGCCGAGCAGACGGATCTCCTTCAGGGAGCTCTGACTCGCGGGAACCCGCGCCTCGTCGCGGCCCTCCTCGAGCAGCGCAGCGTGGTGAGGGAGGGGGACGATGAGGAGCTCCAAATGCGGACACGTCGCCGCCAGCGTCTCGAGCGCCGTGATGGGCAAGCCGGGGTCCGGAGGCGCGAACTTTAATACGAACCCCGAGGGCAGCACGAGCGTGCAGAGTTGCGGCCACGCCGTCGCGAGCTCCGTCAGATCCTGGGGGCGGACCGCAAACGGGCTGTTGAAGTGAGAGAGGATCTCCACCATGCGCAGGTCGCGGAGCGCGAACAGTGGGGCAAAGAAATCGGGGAGCAAGTAGGGCACGTCCGGGCGGACGTCGCGCAAGGCGCCCTCTACCGAGATCTCGAGATTGTGCAGCGTGGCCCCGAAGCGCGACACGACGCTCGCTGAACAACGCTTCCAGGCGTCTGCGTTGGCGACAAAGGAGAGCGAGAGAGAACGAAGGTTGGGGGCGTTCAGTGCGTCAACAGCGGAAACTACCATCAACGGCGGGCCGCTGAGCTCGAGGAGAGTGAGGGGGGAGAGCGTTGCCACGGGAGACGAAGGCAGATCGTCGAGTTCAGGGTCGGGGAAGTGACGCAGGGCCATGTGAATGTCGAGGTGCCAGAGCGACGGAAGAGTGTTGCAAACGTCGAAGACGGGGGTAAGGTAGACGACGTTGTGTAGGGCGAGGACACGCAAGTTGCGGAATTCACGCAAGCGGTCAACGGTGCAGAAATATCCACCCGCCACCAGCAGGATTTCTTCGGCCTTGGGAGCGCAAGAGTGTATCGTCCGTAGCACCGAGCTGTAGGCGTATTCAGCCGCGGAAGGATAGGTTGTCAAGGTGCAACGTTCCACAGGGCGAGTCTCCATGATGTTGAGGTGGACTGTGCGCAGCATGGGTGATAGAAACATAACGAGGAGGGCGGATGCCGCGGCATCGAAGGGTCGGTGCCAAATCAAACACTTCAGACGAGGGAAGAGGGCGCGCCCGTTGAGCTTTTGGATGAGTGCGGCAGCAACGAGTCCGTCAATTGAGTCTTGCTGGCTCATAAAGACCCGGACAAGATTTGCGTAGTACTGCAGGCGCACCCATTCTTCATCCTTGATATCGGCACAAAGAAACTGCAGAGAAGTTAGCATGTTGTATATTGTCAAATGAGAGGGTTGGGGCCTAGAGGGCACCGACCTCGCACCCCGTTCTTCACGGTTCAGAGGGTGTCGTTCGGACGACTCACAAAGCTATTGGCCAAGCGATTAGAGGAGATGACGCGCCGGTCTCCAAAAGTGCCAATGTCCACCATCTTGATGGACGAGGACAGTATACGAAAGAATAATTCAAGGCCCTCCTGCTTTTCCCACAGTACTTCAAGCGCAGGCTCAGAGAAGGCACGAGAGACTCTTGCGCATTGTGCGAGGGTATCTTGCTCGTCGGCGGACTGTCTCATAACCTCCCGGACGACCTCGGGTAATGCCCATAAGGGGTGGGCGAGAGCCATGGTTTATTGCGGATGTTTGTTGGAGTTCCGTTGACACATACCACGTTCGGATGTCTGAGGCGAAGGAGGATCGAGCGGGCAGGGCGGAGAGAGAGGGGGCACAGACGAGAGGCGTTTGGCCAGATGCAAACGCGTAAGTGAGTTGGAGAGATAGCTAGAGCGGGTGTTAAGTACCTACATGAGTGGCGCGTCGCGCGGGTGATACAATAGCGCTTTTACAAAAGACACCTGAACGAGAACAAGACGACTTACGCCCACTCCGAGACAGAAACAATAGGGGCAAGATGACAAGATGAGTGCCCGAGACATAGATTCCAGCACTGGGGGATGAATCAGAGAGAGGCAAGCGGCGGAGGGGCTCACAGGGATTGCACAGGAGGAGGGTTGGGTTCCAATAAATATCAGCGCGCGTATAAGTACGGTGGCGCTTAATATTTGGCTTTATTTGGCCACATATGCTGGAATACCAGGCGTTGATTCCTGCAAGTTCAACAGACCTAGCTTTTTTCCCCTCTACATCTCGCAAATCATCACTCTACAGTCATCAACATGAGATTCATTCTGAGTTGTGGTATGCAATGATTCTACATTGCTTACTATGCCGGCCACGATACTTCTGCGAGCGCTGGGATGATGTACATGTCCTCACCTTGGTAAGAATTGCCTAGAGGGCAGACTTAGGGCGGATGGCCTCAGGCAGGGGCCATTGATCAACATGAGCAACCGCCGGGAAGCCCCACGGGCTGTAAGTCGTTCCATCGCCCTATTATATCCGTCCATAAATCACCACTAGAATGCATGAGCGGGAAAATTAAACTCACGACAAAGGCCGTCGGGAAACCGAGCTCGAAGGGCACCGCGCCCTCGATCCGCTTGATGTGCTCCGGGGTTAGCGCGATGTCGAGCGCCTCGATGTTTGCGTGGAGGTGCTCGACTTTGCGGCCGCCGATTATGGGGAAGACGTACGGGGTCTTCTGCATGACGTACGCGATCGCCACTGTGTGGGCGCGGGGGACGTCAGGTTTCCGTCCGCCTCAAAGGTGTGAGTTGAGACCGCCGCCACATACCAGCTTGGATGTTGGACGCGCCGACCTCGCTCGCCACGGTCTCGAGGACCGCAGAGACCTTCTTCTGCGTCTCATCACGTTCCCACTTCAGGCCGGTTACAAACGTCGCGCGACCTAAACAAATGCACACATGAGCCATGCAAGCAACATGTGGTGGACGTCGGTCGAGCACACCTTTTTCGCCCGTCTCGCGCCGACGCGCTTCCTCCGCATCCGTGCGGATCTTGCCGCCCGCAAGCACATTCCAGGGCGCGAGGGCCATGCCCTGCGCGCGGACCATGGGGATGATCTCGCGTTCGAAGTCGCGCTGGAGAACGCTCCAAGCCCCCTGGTAGATGACGAACGGCGTCTTACCGGTGAGCCGGGCGTATGTGTTAGCTTGGGAGACGACCCAAGCCGGTGCATCGGAGATTCCCTACAGACCGGGATTCAGGTGATGCTAATATAGATGAGCTGAATATGGCTTACGAGGTACAGCACTTTGCTAGCGACGACCAGGTTGTGCAGGCCGTTTACAACCTCTTCGATGCTGGTCTTGTAGTCCCACTGTGAGAATTATGGTTAGCACTGCTATGCGGCGGGTGAGGCGGGGATGGCCATAAATACGCACCCAGTGAACGTAGAGGATGTCAATGTACGAGGTACGAAGGTTCTTCAAGGATGCTTCGACGGACAGGTGCATAGACTTGACACTGTTCCCCACATACGAGGTCTTTTGCTTGATGTCCGGGTTAGCGAGCACGAACGGCGACGTATACTGTGCGCATTGCAGATGTCAGCCCCGAACGACCCGATATGTCCATGCCCTATACCTTTGTGGCGACGACCATCTGGTCGCGGATACCGCGCTGCTCCATCCACTCTCCGATGAACTGCTCAGACGTCCCGTTCTGGTAGTTGTTAGCCGTGTCGATAAAGTTACCGCCGGCCTCGTAGAACGCATCGAGCAGCTTCAGCGAGCTCTCCTTGTTCATCTCTCCGAAACCAAACTGGTCCCACTTGTCTCCGATGCTCATGCCTCCAAGGCACAGCGGAGACACATGGACACCAGCAAGAGGGGAGAGCTGGCGGGGGCGGCCGAGCTTGGTCTTGGGCTGAGGGGGAGGCTGCATCTTGGATGATATTGCGTGAAGAAGTTGTGAGGCTGTTGAGAGAGCTGGATGCTGCCAAAAGTCAGCGTAGACATCGACGTATATATATACCTAGAGTGTGTGGGTGCAAAGCGCTTAGCTGGTACTCACGCCCACAACAGAATGCCGTGTCCGCGGCCGAGGCAGATACGCACGCTACGTTTGTCTGCGGCATGTTCTGCGCCGGCAGAGGCCGGCAGTTCAGGTGGTATCTTCACGCGATGCTATCCCCCGCTATCTCCTGTGTATCTCCTACGTAGAGCATTTCGGCCTTTAGCTTCGAAGACAGGTGATATGGATGTGTGAGAAAGGAAACCACGCAATTCATATTGCAGATCCCATCCTGGGGCCTGGGGACACGGGAGCTTGTCCGAAGCATTCCGATATTGATGGATGGCGTGTTGGAATGGATCGAGGCCGCTATGAGGATCCCCCGCGATGTCTGAGCTCTGCTTGACAGACTCTGCAAGCTTCCAGTGCATTATGCAATTGCATACGGTCTAAGTGTCTTGCTGCTTGGTAAGGGAGAAGGCAGACTGTGATCGGCTTTGTCACTGGCATCGTATGTGGGCCTACAGCTCTAACGACCCTAGACGCGTATTCAGCCCAGCACACTTCCCAATGCGCCCTTATTGAGGATCACTTACATGCTAAGACTGCGGTGCCGAGCGTGTCACTAAGTATGCTGTGCGAATGTTCGTATAGACATGGACACGCGTCCTTGTGCCGACAATAAGCGCCTGGTCGGCTCAAGATCGAACCCCGGTCCCATGTGGGTACTGGCCTCGAGATGTTCAGCTGCCTACGGGCTGCGACGCCGGGATTGCGGACTTGAACATGCTGTCGGTCGCTCCAAGGTGGCTAGTGGCGACCGGTACACACCGGGTACTAGTCGGACTCGCTGACCCTACGAACAGCACACTGCTCCGAGTCGGGCCGTTGACACTCAGCTACTATGACATAGACAGTAGCGGCTTTACGAATTGGGTTAGTTATAACCCACGACAATGGAGGGGCACGTCTGACCGTTTACTAGGTTGACGCTCCGCTAAGTGCATTGAGAAGTCAATATTCAATATTGGGAGATGTAGGACACTACTAGTGATGATACGATGCATGACATCAGTGGTCGACCATGGTCGACAAGATACTCCGCAGGACCGCAGGAATGCCCGCTGTGTCCGCCACCCGGTACCCGCGTCCAGGCAAGTTCTTCGGGATCCTGCGAGACAGCGTGGTTGCGACATCAGCACGGCGACGGTATTGCACAACGCGGAAGACACCCACCAGGTCGCCTCGGCACCCTCGCCGATGCAGATCAGCGCGGTATGCACCTTGGGGTTGCGGTTCATGGCCCGCTGGATCTCCTCGCCGGTGATCCCGTAGCGGGCGAAGTTCGCGTCCGTGATTGCGATGACAAACCAGTCATCTGTAGGGTGGTCAGTGTCCTGGTACTGTGAGGCAGATGTGAGGGACGGACCTGCGTCGAACTGCGCGATGTCTACCACTGCCTTGTCAATGGCCTCCACTGTGAAAGCGTCAAACACATGTTGCGAGAGTACCAACGAGCTCGCACGTACGCGTGTAGTCACCAGCGAAGGTGTATTGAGTGATCGTCTCCATCTTGTCGACCACTTTCCAGCGATCTCTGATCTCCAGCTCTTGGCCCGCTTCGACAAGAGGTATCGAAGCCGAGTCTCCGGACTATGCAGGCTATTTAGTAGCAATAAGAGCCGAACGTGTCGCAGCGACTTACATGGCCATATATCTAAAGAGCAGTGTAAGGCCACGGTCGCTGAAACAGGCGCGGTTATTGACTCACATCCCAGACGTATTTCTCCTTCCGTGAGAGCCTGTCGAACGTCTCCATGATCATTACCGCTAGAAAGTAATATTAGACCCCAGACCGTATGCGGGCGTGAAGATGCACACCTGTCTCCATGCTCCGTTTCAGACGGCCGTCATATTGGAAGCGGTACCTAAAGACCGCGGTAAGCTTCGACCTCTCGGCTGCCACACCTACGTCACCCACATGGACGCGCTGACATCGAAGAGGAACCGAATCCGTTTGGGCCTGTAGCACGCATGAGTGAACTAGTGCGGGGGGATCAGAAAGACCACACACTTGAGCTGGGGCCTGCCCATCTCGGGCTTCGCCATGCCTCGCCGCTTGTATACGGTGGCCTCGCCAGTAAGTCCCTCGGTGAGCCGACCGTCGTCGAGCTCTCCGTCAGTCTGCCGTTTCACCCAGATCCGCTCTTCCTCTCGGGCAGCGAGATCTGCACAGAGCAGCCTTTAGTATCCCAAACCTTAGGCGGGGCCATCGAAGCAAAACCTACTTTCAAGCAGATCGTGCAACGACGCGATGTGACCTTCGACTGCGGTGAAAAGGGCACCATACCCCTTGGCCTCGCCCGCACTCATGTTCAGCTCCTCAAGCCGCCGCGCCAGCTCCAAGCGCGCCATTTCTCGTGCACGTTCTTTGACGTGGTCAGGGACGTCGTTCTTAAGCGCATCAGAGACCTGCACATTTCTAACATTCAGCTGCCTTCCATACCGAATGGCGGTGCACTGTACCTGGTTGATGTCGTGGCCTTTGAAGAGGCGCATGTAGCCACCTCTACCACCCATTCCGGCAGTATCTCGACCGCCAGTCTAAAAGCAAATGCTCAGCACAGAATAACAAGGGGTAGAGTGTACGAGATGCACGCACCCCACCCGACCAAGTGTTCCCGCCAGTATGAGGGTTATTCTCCGGATCGTCCTTACCGAGCTTGGGCTCGGACAAGCTCGTGTCGCCCTTCGGCTCGAACTTGATATCGAGCACCTTCTTCTGCGCAGCTTCCCGCGCAGCGCCGATACCCAAGTTCTTCACGACGAGCCTGAATGCCCATACCGACTATCAGAGGGGAAGCGAATGTGTGTAGGAGCCAACACGTACCCATGATGGTCGAGAATAGCGCCCAGCTTCGCGATCGTCTCTGGCTTGTACACGTCGAAGTCGAACACGTTCCGCAACGCTGCCTCCAGGGAATCTCCCGGGTACGCCTGCATATGCCGCACCAAGTTGAGCAGCTCTGGAAGAGATATGTCAGTACATGGCGCGTCGTAAACACGCACAAAATACACACCTCGGAGTGAATACGGGTACGTCACGGTCCCGCTCTCGTACGCTTTGCGGAGATCGTGGAAGGCCGCAACGAGGCGGAGGATGAGGTCCTCACTGAGCTGGGGCGCGAGCTGAGACAGCAGCTTGCGCTCGCTCGCCATGTCGGGGTTCGTGACCGCATGGCAGCAGAAGTTGTCGCCAAGCACCTGAAGGAAGTGATTCCCGAGGAATGCTAGAGAAATCCGTTAGACAACGTCACTGCAGGACCGAAACCGGACGCACGATATCCAGGGCGATTTGCTAGGAGAATGAGGCGGAAGTTGGGATGCACGACGATGTCGCCCTCGCGCTCTTTCGTCTCGCGCACACGTCGACCGTCCGCGAGCGTGAGCTGCCCATGCCCAGCAAGACTACGGAATATGGCGACGACGTGCTCCGCGGCCTTGTCGGCTTCGTCTATGATGATGACCCGCCCGAGGGTGATCGCGCGCAGGAGGGGTGAGTCGGTGTACTTGATGATGCCGTTCTCTAGGACTGTCTGGAACATTAGCTGATTTACTGTTGTATCTCTATGGAGCTGGATGTATTCCCGGGGCCGTCCGAGGAGCTGTGGGTGGTTCGTGAATATTGAGTTATGAGATGCAAAGATAATCGACCGAGTGCCTGACCTGACATAACCTGACAATCAAACCTGTCAGAACCGAATGCGTGCATAGAACAGAAGGGAAGGCACGTACCGATCGACAACCTTGTTCTTGCCAACACCCTGCGACGACAATTCAGTAACACGCAACTATTCGACGCCAGACGTGCCTACCTGGTTCCCCAACAATACAAGATGCTCGCCGAGAACCTCGAAGTCTATCGCCAGGTCGCGCATTAAGCCTGTCTGCAGGCTGTTGTCGTAGAAGCTGTCCATGTGCGGGACGTGCGACGCGCCCGTCGGGTCTTGAGCGGCGTCGAAACGCGGGATGATCGTTTGGGGTACGTTGTTCGTTTGTGCCCCCGTCGGCGGAGGGAACAACAGTCCGCTACCTCGCACCTCAGGGGGAGGGTTGAACTGTACATAAACAGTCAACTCAAAGCAACCTTGAACTTGAAGGTGAAGCTTACGGGAGGGGTGCGCTTCTGAATGCCGCACTCTTCGAAGATGTTCTGCACGTTGATCAACTCCGTCGGCGGAAGGAACTCCGCCAATAACGCGCGGCTCAACAGAGTGTACAAATCGTCATCGGCGGGGAACTGCGCAACGCGGCGAGCGATGCGAATGAGCGAACGCGTGCCGAGCTTGCGGTTCTTCTGCACCGCGTCGGACGTCATGCCCGACCGGTACTTATCCGCGAACATCAGCAGCTTATCCACGATGGGCGCAGGACATCCGGTCTGCAGGAGGATGTGTGATTCCTCGACCTGCGACATTGGCTGAGCAGCGACCGCGAAGAACATGTTTGCGTGCTCGTCGGAGAGCCAGTCCTTGAGCGGCAGCGACTTCGACGCCGTGCTGATCACGCGGAAGGATCGGTGAGCTACGGAGAGATCGGAGGAAGGCTCCTGTTGTATAACTAAATGTAAACATTTAACATTGCGATAGACAATGGTTTGGCTTACCTCGCCTTCGAGGAGTCGCCTAACAATCCGTTTCTTCTCCCACAGCTCGACCTCGCGATCTTGGGTGAGGCGAGCCAGAGACCCCGCCGTGGAGCCAATAACGTCCATGCCCGAAAGATGCACCAACCGCCCTTGCCATGCGCCCTCAATGAGAGGACTGGAATATTTATGCGGTAAGCATCACACCTGACTAGATCGCAAGCTTCGCACCTTGGCTCCCATGTAGTCGCGCCGCCCTCTTCGACCTTCCTGCGCATGATCAACTCCCTACCACCGAGCTCCTTGTACATATGCACGTCCTCTAACTCGTACCCTAGCAGAGCGGAGAACGTGCGCACGAGCAGCGACGTCGAGCAAGAGGCGGTTGATGGGAGCGCCGACGGAACGTACGAGACATCCCAGCCCAGAGCGTGCGCCTGCAACAGAGACGTAAGCAGGCCCATGAACCGCGCGCTTGGAACGAAGCCCAGCATCTCCGGATTGGAGAATGGGAAATGCATGTACGGGTGGGGACCAGCGGAAACGACATGCGCCACGCTTGAGCCGGAGGGCGCATCGAAGTGAAGTCGGGCGGACTGGTCATCCACGCGTTCGATGCGGACGAGTCGATACCCCAGGAGTCCTACGTCGTCTTCGTTCCCAGACAAGTTCGGGCTACCCAGAGGCCCGAGTCCACAGTCCTCGAACTGGTGAGATAGCATCGCCCACGCGATGAATGGACTATGTACGAGCGCTGGATGCAGGGAGAGCACGAGCCGGGCCAGTTGTTCTGAGGAGAGGCTCTCTTGAGGCGGGAACGCCGAGAGGAGCGCTCGCGCTTTCGAAAGAGAGGTCTGCGGAAACGCCGGAAGGGAGGACTTCGCGACGGCATCCAGAGTGTTGCGGGACTCGCTGGCAATCTGTGTGGACAGGATGATATCGCGCAACTTCTGGTATATATCCCCTGCTGGAATGGGAGCGTTGTCAGTGGGGAGGGCCAGAAGTGAGCCCACAGGATCCACGAAGCGCGCCTGGAAACGACTGCGGAAAGGTGGGTCGAGCGGATATCCTGGATACGGCGGGACCGGCGCTGCGATAGCTATGACCCTGAAATTCTTGTGCGCAGGAATGAAGGCTGAGCCACCTGCTTCGTCGTGGTCGAGGAGGGCATATCGATGCGGGTGTACAATATGTGTCCCGTCATCCAGGTTCCTGCGGCATGATGTCAGGTCTGAATGAGATTGTGTCAGTAATGGAGTGCTCACATTTCTCGGTTCTCGAGCAGGTTGTTGAGCACCTGAAGGCGTGATTCTATGAACAGCGGCAGGCCATCACCGTCTCACTACGCACGTACCGGCATAATGCCACGCTCGGCCTTCTCTACGCCCTCGAGAATGAGAACGCGTCCGTATTTGACGGCTCGGACGGCAGCGCTGTCGACGTATACGAGATTGCCGCCGGCGCGTATTTCGCGCCCTTGCTTGAGCTCCGTCTCACCCACATCACGGTGAAGGGCGACAAATTCGTATTCGGAGTTAATTAGCCTATGAGGAATAGGTGAGCACGCATAACGTAGGGCTTCACCATGATAACTTCATGGATTCTCCGGGACGTCTCTCATTTCAATACCGTGATATACTGGCACTTACCTGCAGAAAGTCAAGGCCAGCCGCCGGGCGTATGGACCGGGCTGTGAGAGGAGGAAGATGTCTTGGCCCAGCAGGTACTTCTGCAGCATAAAATGCAGGTTGTCCAAGTTGAACGCGTCGCTGGTGTCCAGTAGCGCATCCTCCGTGTGTGGCAGGCGACTCGGCTCCGCCGCGGGGTAGATGTCGTGTGAGATTTTCCCTAGTCGGAGGACGCCAATCGGTTGTTCAGAAGGCGTAAGTCCACTGAGAATATGCTTGAGCCGTCGGTTAGCCATAGTTATGTGGGCTACACCCGTGTATGATCTTCCCGAGCGAGTAGTCTGCTGAGTGACGAGCCTGAGGGGTGGTGTCTCAACCGAACGTGTCGCACTTCGAAGGTGCTGTGAAACCCTTAGCCGCCGAGTGAGAGCAAACAGGATGGGCGACGAGGTCGTAGGAGGCAAGGAATGTCTATATTCATATGTCCGAGAGCGAGAGGATGGGCGAGAGACCGGGAGCGCGAGCTTTAGTCGCCGAGCCTGTTCGGTTAAATTAGATGCCGGAACCGGGCGCTAGTGGAATGCGGGGTAAGATTCGGGCGTCTAGTGCATGCTGCCTCTTCCGCGTTCTGTTACTCGCTATTTTTCTTAGACTAGTAGTGTTACCGCCATTGATTATTCCCTGAGGTCTCGGAGAAAGCGCACGCAGTACAATCAGAATATCAGTGCGGTGTTAGTAGCCCACGAAAATATTGATCGCCATAAATCAAGCAGCGAGCATAGTACACCTCAAACATCCCAGCCACTACCGCCTACTCCGTAGCATCTGCAGAGCAAGTTCCTCCTCTTCCTCCAAGGTAGACGCTGCCGTCCGTGTCGGTGCGGTCGTCTTGGTTTTCTTCGTTGGCGGGCGCTCGAACTCGCTCTCCTCATCCGAGCCGGATGACAAGTCGAACTCGGGTGACACATAGCCATCGTCGTCGGATGGCGCTGCAACAGTCGGGCCCATGGCCACGTCGCCCTCGTCGGAGTCGTAGTCGTCTCCCTGAGGTGAAGCGTCAGTGTCGCATTCTGCATGCATCCTAGGAAGAATCGTACCTCGCGCTCGCGCTCCTTGCGCTTCCGCTTCTTCTCCCGCTTCTTCTCCTTCGCCTCCGCCTTGTCCGCCACGTCCGCCTCCTGCAGCTTCCCGCGCTCGCTCGCCGCGAACACGCGCCCGGCTTCGCGCGCGTCGTCTGCGTCCTTGAACACATCCGCCACGCTCTGCAGCTCGTACAGCTCGTGTGGGACACCCTCGTCGTCGAACACGAGTTTGTGGCCCCGCGGCCCGGACTTCGCCGCGGCCTTCTTCGACGCGGCGAGCCGCGCCTTGCGCTTCGACGTGAATTCATCAAGCTCCATGGCCGCGTCGCCCTCGAGCTCGTGGTCTGCGCGTTTGAGCGTGATAAAGTCGTCGTCGGAGTCTTCGGCGTCGTGGTCGACGAGTTTGCTGTAGTGCTCGGAGAGGATGTTCTGGTTCTTGCGCTCGAACATCCGATCGTATTTTGTGCGTACGCGGACAGTCTGCCGGGTGATTGTGTAAGCTTAGGATCTCTACCATAGCTTGCAGACTCACCTTTTCTTCGGAAGTGCCGGCTTCCGCCGGGGCATCCTCGTCCTCTTCGTCCGACTCCCCTTCCGAAGACTCGTACGCTTCGAAGCTGGCCTCCTCCGGCTCTGGACGTGCTGGTGGCAGGGTTTCCGCCACCTCTCGCGAAGCGTTTTTCTTTTTCTTCGCTAGCTCCTTGCTGAGGAACTTGATCTTGGGCACACCAGGCAGACCGAGCGACTCCGCAAACTGTTTAACGGGCAACTCGTCGACCTTGAAGATGGATTTGTCTTTGTGCAGGTACACAGAGCGGAGGTATGAAACGAAGGCCTGCGTAGATGTTATCAGCATCCAATCTTGAGGAGGTATAGGTCAAACGTCGCGTACACGTTGCCCAAGGTACTTGATCTCCGGCTCCTGGAACGCGAGTTTCTGCAGTTGGTTCGCAATACTCTGTGTCTTGCTGCCCTTGATCTTGATCTTCTGAATCTCGATGTTCTTCTTCTTCAACGCCGCGACCATGCCCTCCTCTTCGCTCGGTAGCATCAGCAACAGGCCCTTGCCCGCACTCTCGTACCGTGCCGTTCGCCCGACACGGTGGATATACGTGTCCGCGTCCTCGGGCGCGTCGAGCTGCACGACCCAGTCGACGGAGGGGAAGTCGAGCCCACGCGCAGCGATGTCCGTCGCGAAGAGCACGGCGTGTTTCATCGACGTGAAGCGCTTGAACATCTCGAGACGCGCCATCTGCTTCTGCTTCCCGTGCAAGTGCAGGAGCGGGATACCGGGGTGCATCTTGCAGAACGTCTCGAACGCGAAGCGCACCTGCTTGCAGCTCGACATGAACACGAGCGTTTTGGTTTGTAGGTGGCTCTTGATGAAACTCCAGAGCACGTCCAGCTTCTTGTCGAGTTCGCAAAGTACGTAATGCTGCTCGAGCGCTTTTGGCGTCGCGCCCTCGGTATTCGTCTGGTCGATGCCGACGCTCACCGGATCTTTAAGACTCAATCGTGCAAGGTCGGCGACGGACTGAGTCTGGGTGGCAGAGAAGAGGAGGGTCTGGCGAGATTTAGGGAGATGCGATAGTAGGGCGGTGAGTGTGCGCTGGAAGCCCATGTCCAATATCCGGTCGGCTTCGTCTAGCACTGCGCTGGGGCGTAAGCAGGGCCAATGGCACATCATGCGAATGCACACATACCTAGCACTTGTAGGTTGTCGCACTCAAATCCAATAGTTTGGTCCATGTGTTGCAGTAAACGTCCAGGGGTCGCAACAAGGATGTTCATACGGGCTAGCCGCTCGCTTTCGTCCTTCAAATTCTTGCCGCCAATGACAAGGCCAGCTGAGAAGCTATGGTAACCTCCTATACTGCGAAGCACGTCGAATATTTGCACAGCCTGGAGAGACACAATAAGCACTGAAAAGAGTCATATAGACTACAATAGGCACGTACCAACTCCCGCGTCGGTGAAATAATCAATGCCCCAAGCCCGTCTTGCGGCCCCCATTTCCGACGGTAAAGAATCTCCAACGCCGGAATAAGGAAAGCGAGTGTCTTTCCGCTCCCAGTTCGCGCAGCACCTAGCACGTCCTTGCCCTTCAGTGAGACAGGAATACTCTTGGCTTGGATGTCCGTCATTTTGACAAAATGCGCGCGCTTCAGTCCTGAGGAAGACTTCATAAGTTGAGCCGCGCAGTGGACACAAAGCAGATGCACATACCACGATTAGTGAGTTCAGATATTGGGAGTTCTGAGAAGGCCTCAAGGCCCGCAGGTGGCTCCTAAACAGATGCGGCCTGTGTTAGTGAGCATACACAAGTGGTTTTATGCGATCGAGAACTCACGAAATGTAACGCCGCCTGCTCAAGCGCTGCGATGGTCTTCGCCTCGCTCATCTTTTTCACTTTCTTCGCCTTTACTTTCGGTTCCACATTCTTGCCACCTTTCCTCCTTGGAGGGTTGGATGGCCCTGCTTGAGCCATGATGCTTCCGAGTGAACCTTCGCAGTCGAAGATTTGCCAAAAGCTGCCGTCTCAGCAAGTTTGTTTACACTGCTCTGTAGTAGAGTGGGTTAGACACCCTAAGACGTGTTTGTGCGAGGGGAGCAAGACCAGCGCAGTACGAGTAGAGGAGGAAGCAGATGGAAGGAGTAACAGAGAAATTCAGCTCAGCGCCGAAAACATGCGCATGTTTAGGCGCCCATGCACTATCCCGCCCTCCGGCTTGTCCGCTCCCGACGACGATGAACCTGGACCTGCATTCACACAAAACCCAGCTTGTGGTTACTGCTCTCGCGGCCTCTGCTGTTACTGCTGGCCTGTTCTCTGCGTATCAGCAACATGCCAAGCGACAGAAAAGACGAACTCTAGACCAAGACATCCTGCGGTCTCTGGCCAGTGCCACCGCGGGGAAGGGGTCTCGGAACAATGACCACGACAACGTTCACGAAGTGAAGATTGGCGACTCAAGTAACGTGCAGCGCGTTCCCATAGAATACGACGAGGAGCTCGTGCGCGAGCAACTTGCGCGAAACTACGCGTTCTTCGAAGAGGATGGCATGGCAAAGATCAGAAACGGCTCAGTCGTCGTTGTCGGATGCGGAGGCGTAGGCAGTTGGGCTGCTATCATGCTGGCGAGATCGTAAGCCGCCAACTTTGCTCCAACGTGTGACACGGCTCAACAGCGCCTCGTTATGACAGAGGTGTCTCAAAGATCCGTCTGGTAGACTTTGACCAGGTCACTCTGTCCTCGCTCAACAGACATGCAACTGCTACCCTGTCGGATGTGGGCACACCAAAAGTCAAGTGCATAGAGCGCGTGATCAAGCAAATCTCGCGTATCGTAGAAGTTGAACCTCGCATTGAGCTCTGGCGGAAGGAGTCCGGCGGAGACCTCCTCGAGGGTGCCGACTGGGTGATTGGTAGGTAGACCCCGGACCTTGTTTCTACGCCCGCGCTCAAACTGCGTCTGCCAGATGCCATTGACAACATCACCACCAAAGTCGACTTGCTGAAGTACTGTCATGAGCATAACATCAAGGTCAGTTCGCTGCGGGTGGTATAGCATGCGCTGATGCGACATGCTCGACTATGTTCCAGATATTCTCGTCCATGGGCTCCGGCGCGAAATGCGATCCTACAAGGGTGCAGATTAGCGACATCTCGTATACCATGTACGACCCGCTAGCCCGCGCGGTCCGTCGTCGGCTGCGCCTCGAGGGCGTTTCTTCCGGCATCCCTGTAGTTTACTCGACTGAGGTGCCGGGCGACGTGAAGTTGCTCCCCCTGCCTGAGGAAGAGTTCAAGAAAGGCAATGTCAAAGAGCTCGGCGTGTTCGACGACTTCCGCGTTCGTATCCTGCCTGTGCTAGGTGAGGTGCATTCCACACGCACACACCTACATCTCCCTGACGTCCGTGCTCTAGGACCATTACCCGCCATCTTCGGTCTCAACATCGCCACATTTATCCTTTGTGAGCTCGCTGGTAAACCCATCCAGAATCCACTGCCCGTCAAGTCTCGCAAGAAGTTCAACGAGCGCCTCTCACGGGACCTGCAGAAGCGAGAGGAAAAGTTCCTCGGACACCAAATCAAGTGAATTCTATCTCTTCGCAACAGACGCAGATTTACATACTGACGACATTTTTAGCAAACTACCGTTGGATGATGACGACCTCGGGCTTGTGTTTGATGACTTCTACCGCGGCCGTTCTGCGCGCCCGCCACACCCGGTTCCAGAGCGTCCGGCGCTCGTTCGGTGGGACCCCGCAGAGCCATTATCCTTGATGAACTGCGTGGCGTTCGAGTTTGCGGATGCGGAGAAGCATTTGCAAGAGTGTCTACTAGAGAAGAAGCGGCCGGAAGAGGTGTGGGGCGCTGAGGTAGCGGAGGTGGTCGCGAGGAGGCGTGAGGAGGCACGGAGGGTCGTGCAATGGGTGATGTAATGGCATGACTCGTTACTCGTACATGTTCCGCTGCACCGCTACGCTACCTGATCCTAACAGTGACACCACTCATCAAACATGGACATCGCGAGCGCATACATGCTCACAACAGTTCGGCTTAGCTGTGCAAGATTACCGCGCACACATCACCAGGAGCGGGAAGTACGTGCGCCCCACAAACCCGGGTGTGGCATTTTCATCATGATCATTCACATGTCGCATATACCAGCATTTCGGATCTGTTTCGTCGACGGCTGTCGTCAGCTCTGCGGTCTATAATACGATCTGCTCTGCAAGTGTAGCCGCCCCCGTCTTGATGATTACAAACCCCTATAGTTACAACCTGACACGTCCGCCGTAGGCAAATCCAAGAGACACTGCAGCATCTGCCTACATCCCCTGATACCGATATCCCACATCCCTAGCGCTAGCACGTTGGATGTATCAGCATCTGCATATGTTTCACGGGCAGAAGGTGACAGTGTAGTCCGGCTGGAGGTTACCGCCACACGTCCAGAGCGGGGTCCCGCTCGACTCGTCGTACTCGTATATCATCGAGTTCGGACAATTTCCCTCTGCGATGTGTACATTCAGCCTCAACGCGGCTAGCAGAACGATAGTGCAACAACTTACTGAAGTAGGAGTAGAAGGCGACGCCGGAGGGCGGGCACGTCGCTGCGGTGCTGTGCGTACCCGTGCAGCAGTTCGGGTTGTTTGCTATAGAAAAGTATTGAGTGAAACCATGGCGAATGCAGCAAAAATGACTAGAGGTGGAAAGGTGCTTACTAGGGTCGCCGAGGCCGGCAGAGCAGGCCGAATTGCACCCGACGGGGGAGCCGGTCGAGTTTAAGGGACCCTTGAGCTCTGCTGGGCCTGGAAATAGAGAATCCGGTCTGACATGATGCGCAAGAGTGGGGGGGGCCATGTCCGTCGTACTTACAGTTAGGCCCCAGGTCGATGGGGCAATCGGACACACGACATCCCTTGTTGTTGTCAATCCTCACAGGCAAGTTATAGCCCTCGACGAGCGAGACTACAGCCGATGTGGTCAGGCGCGTGTCGGTCGATGGTAGGCGCATCGGCACTCACCGTCATAAAAGTCTACGCCATTCGTATTCGGGGAAAGGGTAAACTCAGCGACGGTCACAGGAGTCTCGCCCTAAGTACGCGGCACAGAGTGATTTAGATGAGAAGGCGGCGATCCATGAGTGTTTAAAGACAATTAGCGTACCGTGCCGTTGTGCGGATCGCACAGCAGGCCACCGCTGCAACCGCCGTCGAGGCAAGAGCCTGGACCGGGGTTCACACTGAAGTTGCAATCACGCCGACCCTGCGAAACCGTTGGTAAATGTCCGTCGCACCGTGTGATGTCAAATTCGCCCAAGTGCATGTGGTGACGCTTACCCAGATGCGGCCAGCAGCCCAATTGTTCGGGACGTTGAAGCTGACACTTTGATGGGCACCCTGTTCCCAGCTGCGAAAGTAAAGTCATACGAAGGGAAGCATAACAGTATATGTGCATGTATTGGAACGTACCCAGTGGGCTGGTCAGGTACCGCGGTGCCAACGCTGAGGTTCGTGAAAATCTGCGTCGTGATTGTGGTGAGCACTTTGCCACGCGTGGAAGCATGCAACACGTACTGCGGGCCTAATTGACTACGGTAAATAGGCTTTGTGAAGTTATCCGCGGCGCTGAGGACGTACCAAATGGTGAAAGGGCAATTGTTTGTCACCGTGAAGGTGCGTGCGGCAACCCTGGCGACCGATGCAAGTATGGCGATGACGGACACGCCTTTCATGTCGTCTGTGTCAGAAGCGGGTGTGGCAGAATGCGTACCGAAGCCGACTTAGGGCCCACGGTTCGAGCTGCGGCCTTTTATGCAAAACGACTTGCACATTTACAGCAGAACATGGGACCCCTGCAGATCACAAACGTGATGTTCTCAACTCATCTGACAAGCAAGATCATACGCACATGACTGTTAGCCTTTCTCTCATGAACTTACATACTGAGATGGATAGGGAATTGGACATGCATCGAAATTCGAGCAGGATGAGAGTGCGCGGATGCTGGGATGTCGTTAGAAGTGCCTCCGCCGCATGCATTCCTTTGACACGAGACCAGTCCCGAGAACATATCGTGAGATCTATCAAGCTTCTCTGTGAATGAAAATTGGACCTGCCATATGACACGCAACACGCGATATAAATTTCGAGAGCTATAGTTTTGAAGGTCCAGTGACTCACCTGAGAGCACCACTCCTCTATGTCCGACGCTGATCAAGCGGCCTACAAAAGAAAATCAAGTTTGCTATTGATGTTAGACGCATAAATGCACACGGGCTTATCTGTGTGCATCATGCGTTTGTAACTATGAGAACGTGCGTTCGCGGGAGCGCGAGAAATGTTGTAAGCAGGCGGGCTCATCGACAGAAGTGCAGGTAGATTGGATACTTCAGCGTCCAACTTGGGTCATAAGGTTCCCCGTAGTATCAATGGTCGCTCACATTGTAGCGTACGCGAGGTCATTCGTCGACATTCGAGTAACCTGATGTGGCAGCGTTCCACGTCATCCCGCTGTTTGATCTCAGTATGAGATTCATCGTGGCAGTACATACAATGAAAAGCGTGTGCTCACCAAGATGGAACACTGACCGCGGGCGAAGCACATCTAACTAGGGAGGACAATCTTTTGTATCAAAAGCTTACCGCTTAGGCCCTGTTCGGATACCCGGGTTCTGAGCTGAACCCAGATTCTGCGCGCGGATTCTCGCGCGGGATTTTCTCGTCGTGACTGGCCGTTATGATTGTGATGATGGGTGACATTGGACGGGCCGAGCTGCCCCGCTCTTGGTAGACGCCCTTCGGGGAATTGCGCGTTCGCCTAAACGGGTGTTGCGACTACTTATTGCTTCAAACTACCAGTATCGGGCTTGGTCGGGTTTATACGCTGGAGAGCTAGCACTGGGATTTGAGCTACATTTATACATTTAGAGCTGTACCTGTGTCTCAGGAAGTCTCAAAACCAAAAAGATCAGCAAAATCGAGTGAGTTGTGCTTGTTCTGTGCCCGTTGGTGTCCTCTGAGAGATATCAGAGAAACGAGCTGCTAAGGGTTATCTGGTCGCTTTTCGCGTTTTACAGATCGATTATAATAAGCGCCGTTACTTCCTAGAATGGTAGAGGTGACTTTAGGCGCTCTGTCACCCCTGCAGGCGCCCGTCGGAGAATCCGCGCGCAGAATCTGGGTTCAGCTCAGAACCCGGGTATCCGAACAGGGCCTTACTGTCGGAGCCGTATCGTATGCGTCGTTACGGTGCTGCCCATAATCTCATGAGGTCCCGATGACGACCTTACGTTGTCATACCGAGCGTGCTGCGCAATGAAAGCATATGAGGTCGGCAGCCAAGTCACTGTCAACTGAAGTCAGATTTTCTTCAATGCCGGACTGGCTTATCGTACTGTTGTTGCCTCCTGAGATGTTGTTTGCATTAGTGGTATGGTGTCGTCAAAGTCAACATCTGCGGGAGTTTTGACCAGATTATGCTCATCGTGTGCCGCAGCCGATTGAAACGAGTCTGGACCGCGGCCGTCGATGGTTGTACGTGTGACCGGTACAATTCCCAAAAGGGGGTGGTTCCTGGGAGTTCCTGATCTAGACCGTGACTACGTGTCACAGTATGATCCGCTCGCGCGCGCGTCAAAAGTGCGATGATCATTTTGTTCCAGACCATATCTCCCTGTGCTTTCCTCTGTTCAATGACAGTTATCTAGCTCACGGAGACTGCATCCATGACTTTACTTGAAGGCTAGGAGCTGGCCTAGGCACATTTGGTACGCTTCGGGATCGGGATTGCACGCTTCTCAGCGGGCAAAAAGGGCAAGCGCTACAGATTACCACGACAACGGGGTGCCCGGCGTCGCCATCGAACACAGCGTTGCCGTCGTCGTGCTACCATTTGTTCCCCATCAGTGCGTGGAATGCGTGGAAAGTGCCCGGTCAATAATCTTTAATGGACCGGTAAACCGAACCCCGCGTTATCACTCCTTCTGGGTGTTCCCGCGCAACGGTCAACGGCGTCCATCCCTCTTCTCCCTTTCTCCCTCGGTGCAGGCGTCGCCCTTTCTCCCCGCAGCAAGTCTGCATTCCGTTCCTTTCTTTCACGGCGTCGTCTCCTCTATCTGCTGGCTCGGTTGATCTTGAAATGCTTCTTGCGTACCCCTGAGCTCTCTAACACACATCCGGTTAAATGGGCGAAATCTGTCTCTCTGTTGCTCCTATCCTACGCTGCCAATCTCTCACCAGGCTCGAAGCTGGCATTCTCCTGCTCCCCCCAGGCCTCGAAATCGTCTTTGCTTGCGTGTTATTATGGATCAAGCGCGGCTCCGCTGATAAGTGAGTGTTTTCCTGTGTCGTTCTGTTCGTTCGCGCTCGGTCGCGGAATCGAGGAGAGAGGTTCAAGCAAGTGGGGAAGTGGGTTAGTTGGGTGTGATTAGGAAGCAGTGCGGTGAGGTCCATACGCGCTACTCCGTTACCGGCATGCGTATCGCAGCCAATGCTTGACCAGCCCCGGGCGTTGACTGTGAAGCGGTATGTCTCGATATCCCAGCCTGGCCTGCAAGTGATCTATATGAGCGATACACGCACTGTCTCACTGGTGTCCAAGTGCGTCGCAAACATTGAGGTCCCAGTATGGAAGTAATCGCGAACAGGATATGCCAGAAGAACTTCGTGCGTACTCGACGGAGGCTACACAAGCCTAAGCGAGCTGAAGCCTCAGTATATCAGTCTCGATTACCTTCAGCCAGGGCTAGAGTCAATAAACTCAGGCCCGTCTCATGGAACATTCCTCTTGGAGCCGTCAGGGGCGTACCTGTAAGCGGCAATTGTTTTGAGCGATGTCTCGAGGAAGTCCTGATGGCATACTAGGCCCGCCGAAATAAGAATTATTCCGGAGTTGTAGGGCCTGGATTAGTTTCCTCAGTTTCTGAAGGTTCTCGAATCTATCGGGGGTTGGATACACGAGAGTGCACGATGCCATTCACATTATTCACGCACCACGACGCTGCTTATTCGTTGATACTAACCGTCCATTTTACAGGAAGCATGTATTTCTCGCCCTGGAGATGTACATATACTTCTTTCTATCGCTGCTCGACCTCTTCACGCACACCCTCCCCACCCTCGGATCGTCTCTGGACGCTTTCCGGACCCTCGACATCTTCATCGGTAAGCCTGCGAATATTTGTATCACGGCTTCGGTCTCACACAATCGCAGGCGTAACCTCACTCTTCCCTCTCTTCCTGTACACCTTGTCTCTGTACCTGCTCACAAGTACCGAGCTCGTGCCGTCTCTCCCCGTCAGATTCCAGTCTATCGCCAAATATGTCCTCCTGGCATTCATTCCTTGCATCCTCGTTTTAAACGAAGTCGGGTCATTCATCGGCATCAGCTATCGTGAGTGGTGCACTCCCCGGTCTCCTTAATTCCCAACATAACCATGTCTACAGGCAGCTTTGGTGGCCAGGGCGGAGCGCCCGTCACTCTCGGTGTGGGATTCACCAACACCACCGCGCAGACAATCCTAAGCAGCATGACGCTCGTCCTGCTTACTGCCTTCCAAGCGCTGAACTTCTGCGTCGCGTTTTTCCGACTCGTCAAGGCGCTCTCCCACCAGCGGACGCTTGACAGCACCGACAAGGAGAAGAAGGAGCTGGAGGCGCATCTCTTCCGCGGGCTTGGCTGGATAGTCGCGGGAATGAAGCTTGGTGCGATTGAGACCGTCATCGGTTTCGCGAACATCGGTGGCGCGAACGACGGTTTCGGCGTCGCCTTCACTCGGAGACTCCTGAGGTTTCTTGCGCATGCGTGCTTGGTTATTGGCATTGTCAAGGGGTCAGTGCGCTCATCATTCAACAATTTTCGATTGCTCATCCCCGGGTAGTGTCGACACGGTTGAGGACTTCCAACTGTACAGTCCCGGCCAGGCGCAGAAGAAGCGCAAGTCTGTCCTCCGCGCGATGATCCAGAACCCTCGCTTCAGCACATTCCGTCACGTCGGTGGTCACGACTTCGACGCGGAGAACGCGATCGCTCCGAAGCGCGACTCCGTTATCAAGCTCGGCGACCCGTCATGGATGCGTCGCGACTTCAAGCGTCCGGGCATGGACGACATCCAAGAGGAGGAGCGCGTGACGCCCGGTGTGCTCTCTGCACGCAAGTCGTCGAGCCTCACGTTTAAGCTCACCGGCCGGACGTTCTCAATCCGCACGAGCAGCCGCAAGAGCAAAGGCTCGAGCGTGCGCGACTCCACGTCCTCCTTCGGGTCGTCCAAACGCCACTCGTGGCCGCCCGTAGCGGACGCGATCGCCGAGGAGGACTACGCGTACGAGGCGGAGGACGTCGTTGCGGAGCAGTTTGAGCGCGTCCCGCGCCCCGCCCCGGCATTCCCTCGCAACGTCCGTGAGCGCGTCACGGTGTACATGCGTCCGGATCGTCTGCCTGTGCTGCAGCTGCGCCGTCTCTCGAACCTCGAATTCCTCGACCTCGTCACCGACCCCTTCCGCGACCCGCACGGGCGGGCGCGCTCGCTCCCGGGTAACTTCGACGACATCGACCCGCATGCTCAGCCACTCAGCCACGTCTCCGCCTCGTTCACCCGCCTTCCTGCGTATGCTGGAGCGCCTGTCCCTGCGGTCCCGCCTATGCCGGTCCGCGCGGCGTCAGTGCGCGAGTCCGTTGCCAGTCGCCACACTCGTTCGATGAGCGCGACCACGAACGACAGACCCGCGAGCGTGATCAGCCAGGCGACCGCACGGCCTCCTAGCGTTGTCGCTACGCCGAACCCTCGCGACAGTGGCGCCAGCTTCCAACGCTCAGCCCGTGACAGCGGCATCAGCTTCCAGCCGTCCGTACACGATAGTGTAGCCAGCCCCGCCCCCCGCCGCTTCAGCATCGACAGCTACAACCCCCGCCATACCATGACGAGCTACAACCCACGCGACTCCAGGCTGAGCTACGTTCCGCGCGATGCGACAAGCCCGTACGGGTCCATTATGTCCTTCAAACCGCGCGAGGCCACTAGCCCATACGGATCTATCATGTCCTACAAGCCACGCGACACGATGATGGGCTACAACCCCCGCGACAGCACGCTCACCTACAGCCGACCGCCGAGCACGATGAGCTTCAACGCGATCGGCACCCCCAACACCGCCGCGTCCTTCGAGCTCCCGGCCTCCGCGGCGTCCCCGCACTTCGGGAACCTCGACCGCCGCGACCGCGGGATGTCGTCGAGCACGACCGCGTCGGACGTGCACGCTCTCGCGTCGCAGTTCCCTGTCATCCCTCCGCGGTCTATCGGGGCACCGCGCCCGCGCAGTATGCTCTCGCACGAGGTCTCGCGTACCGAGTTTGTCGTGGAGGAGGACGTGCCGATGCCCGCGAACGCTGCGTCTGTCGCGCGCACCCCGTCTGCGCGGCGCACGCCTTCCTCGGTCCCGGAGGAGGTAGAGGCGCCGTCGGAACCCAGCACGCCCCGGCCTCAATACCAAGACCTGCTGGAGAAGTCGCAGGTCGAGCATGTCCTCAGCGAGCAGGACCCGACGAAGTCCCTCCCGACGCCTCTCTCGGCACCACTCTCGTCGGCACAGTGGCCGAAGAAACGCGCGCGCACGCTCTCTGGCAAGCGCCGCGCACCACCTCCACCCCTGGAGCTTGCGGCTGCGAGTGTTGCGGACGTGCAGGCGACGCAGGCGGAGGAGTACTCGCTCTCGGCGTCGATGGCGCAGGGCGGTCAGCTCATGCGCGTGAAAAGCGTCGGGAGCGCACCGGAGCGGTCGGTGTCGGCCTCGCGACGCACTGCGTTTGCGCGGGACAGTGTCCAGGCCGAGCTTGGGCACATCATGGCCAAGGGCCGGAGTATCGCAGGCCCCGTGGACGGTCCGAAACGGGCGATGGCGCGGGCGCAGGCGGCGGAGCGTTCGGTGGAAGAGGAGGCGGTCAACATGGTGTAGCTGAGCGTGTTCGACGAGTGAACGGATTCTTGGAGTCTTAATGTACGTCGGGGTTGCCGGCTGTGCGCTCGTATGACACTGGCATTGACGTTGTTGCTGTCCTGGCCTGGACGTGGATCATTCCTGGTACATGGTAGTGTAGTGTATGGTGTATCAACAGTCCCATGTATCAACCGCTTCGTCGGCTGTCTTGTCTCTGAGGTTGAAGTAGTGGTGAGTGTTCCCCGTCATGATCGCGTCAGTTACTGAGTAGTGCTGTACCTTCGTCGGGAACGAGTTATTTATTGTTATCATATTCATGTTGTTGCACGTACCGTCGACACCCTGCGACGTTGGCTCCCGCGACGACGTCAGCGTATTCGGGCCGACGAGTAAGCAGTCTTAGACGGGGACGTCCGCACTCAAGGAAGCTCAGCTATAAATGACGCACACCTTAAGATATTAGTTCAACACGCTCCGAGATGCCCATGTATGAAAGGTCGAGACGTGCCGACGGAGTGGTGCCAAATTGCGCGGAGTGTCGTGATGCACACTATGTAGCTCCGAGTTTTCTTGCGTTGTACATACCCGTACCCGGTCCCTGTGCACCACAAAGCGTTCAAGATGTGTTTGAGTACAGTGATAAACAGCAGAACACTGCCAAAAGTTCAGGCGCACCGTGATAGCATGAGTAGCCAAGCTTGGTAGATGCACTGTAGTGACGATCAGCAACTGGCACGCACTGTCTTTCAGAGAGGCAGCACAACGAGAGTCTCTCCGGTTGAAACAACTCACCTTTGGGGCTGTACAACAGTCAAGTCGTACCAGATGTCGCATGTTCCCACTAGGTTCTTCTCCGCCTTCCCATGGCTATGGCAGACATCGCCGACGTATCCAAGTCAAGCACCTTGACAGGCCGGTGTTGGCGGGGAGTCTTCCTACGCTCCAACGGACCTCGTGTCTTCTCCGAGTAGCCGGTCTACAACAGCAGCGCAGGCAATGCCTGACTGGAGCGGTGCACGCCATCAGGCAGCTCTCACGAGCTTGGTGATTATGGCAGAAATTCCATCACGTCCACGCCAATCCATGCACACACTGACACGGAAGTTGCTGAATGAATACTCCCGCTGCTTCGTGCTTGCCACAAGCAAGCTCGCGCACGAATCGCTGCTAACCACGAAGGGCTGCGCCGGCGTTCGTTCTGCGAACGGCCTAATGGCGAGGTCGTGGACCGGGTGCTATCCCGAGCTATAAGAGAGTCAGCGCGATTGTTGGAAGCTGCAGCCACTCGACCCACCTTTCCTCTCTTACCAGCCCGGCGCTGTCCTTCGACCCTTCGTCTTCGCACTTCAAACTTTCCAGTTCCAGTTCTCCTTCGTATCCATCAACATGCGCTTCTTCGCAATTGCACTCGCTTTCTTCGCCGGGTCCATGGTCCACGCTGGTATGTCGGCCCCTCGTGCGTCGGATCCTACAGCGGACTAACTGCAAGTGCAGCGCCCGCCAGCGAGATCGTCACCCGTCAGGTCGGCGACCTGCAGTGCAACCTCGACCGTCTGAGCATCGTCGCCGCGCTCGCCGCCACCCAAGGCACGCTGAAGACGCTGTCCCAGCAGGTGGCCTCGTGAGTCCTCTACGACAAGTGTTGCAGCTCATTCGCTGACAACACCTCGATAGTGACACCACGGCCACTGCGGGCGTCCAGTCGGCCGAGAGCGCCATCACCGGGGCTCAGGGTGCCATCGGGGTCATCGCCAAGGCTCTGGTGACCGGCCAGACTGCCCCCGCCTCGGCCCGCCAGGAGGTTCAGGGCAACCTGACCGCTGCCCACGACGCGCTGACGAGCCTTTCTACGTGAGTGTCGAGTCCATCTTCTAGCGACAGCCAGATGTTGAAGAGATTTGTGTGACAAACACAGGAACGGTGAATCCGGGGCGACCCTCAAGGTGGCTTTGGCCGAGCTCGCCCTTGCTCAGGCTTCCGGCAACGGCGTTGTGAGCAACTGCAAGTAGGAAACACGATCAGCGTGTTGGATATTGCGGTGACAGCATGATATAACCGAAACTGGAGCGTTGTATATATTGTGATGTTTGATTGTATGATTTATATTTGTGCGCACTTGCGGGTTGACGAACAATATGTCCTCTTTCCACAAGACGGTATCGCTGGAGACCACCGTTCTGAACGTGAACCTGCCGGCCATCGACTGTCAGAGAGATCGTACCGTGCGGTATCATACTTGCCGGTTTCTTGGGCTACGACCCCCGCAAGCTGCATCCTTGTGAGAACACTCGATTATATTACTTTTACTTCCACGAGCTCAGCTGAGGGCGTGAAGTTGTTCTGCGTGATTTTATGAGCTCTGAAGCGCAGCGTGGGACGGCGTATGTAAACGTACATCTTTCTTGTCTGCTAGCCCTCCGTGTACCTTTGAAAATTCTACACTGCTGCATCCCAGTTGCTTGAACATACGTCTGAAATTTCGAAGGGATTGGCGAAAGCATGGGGTGTAGCGCGGCGAGATTGCCCGTTCGCGCATCCCGGCCGTTAATCCCACCCAGTACAGCCGCACCTCTCTAAGGCCAGGTCGTGTGGGTAGAGCGCAAATACAGCGGCATACATATTGATAGACGCACCACCGTCTCGCAGCGTCTCGCTCGCGTTCCGCCACCACCGGTAACCGTATCGCAGGTTCGGGCGTAATAGCCACCTCCAGATGGGCCCATTGCCTTCAGTCGGGTTTGATTACTACTAGAACTCATCTTCTGCACATAGCCTGCTGTTTGGATGAGTTCTCAAACGTTTGGGAGACTCCTTACCTGCTCTGAGCCGTGGTGAGGCTCCTGCAAAGGGGCAGGCGCCAGCGCCGGTGCTCCAAGCTCCATGAGCGCAATAAATTTGCGTCGGTCTATCCATTTGAATGCCGCTGTAAATATACAAAATTGTGTGCGTCGGACGGTCGGAGCTGGGAGGAGGATGAGGGTATACATTTGGCGCCAAAGTCTCCCAGTACGTTTGCATGATCGGCAGTTGCCGATTGAGCGCTAAATCCGCTATATGCGCGCGACGTCTCGCGCTGCGCCGGTGGGGGACTGCGCGACTCCTCTCTTGCTATCATCATGGCTGCGTACTTCTTCGCGTCTCCAGTGGATGTGGATGTCAAGCTCGAAGGTGAGGAGGAGAGGAAGATAGTAGAGACGAAGGGCGAAAAGGATAAGGCCATATCCTGCCCTGTATACTACGATGGGGAGTCTGTCACCGGCCAGGTATGTTCCATCCTCTAGCTTTATTTTACGAAAGAACCAATTGACCAGGGCTGTATATGGCATGTGTAGATAACCGTGCGTGTTCGGGATGGAAAGAAACTAGCGCACGAAGGTATCAAGGTCGAGTTCATCGGCAGTATCGGTGCGTGCGCGCGTCGCAACCCCAGACTGCCCTTCTGAGAAAGGGCCGCTTTCAGAGCTCTTCTACGACCGAGGCCACCACCATGAATTCCTGTCGCTATCACAAGAACTTGCTGCACCGGGAGAGATGCGACAGGCTCAAACGTTTGACTTCCAGTTCAAGAACGTGGAGAAGCAGTACGAGAGTTACCAGGGCATCAACGTCAAGCTCAGGTGCGTCATACTCCATTCAGAACACGTTCACAGTGCTAACAGCCGTGAATCCAGGTACTTCATCAAGGTGACTATCTCGCGAAGAATAGCCGATGTTACGAAGGACAAGGACATTTGGGTGCACTCGTACCGCATGCCTCCAGACAGCAACAACTCGATCAAGATGGAGGTCGGTATCGAAGACTGCTTGCACATCGAGTTCGAGTATAACAAGTCCAAGTATGCGACCCGCATCACCGGTTCATGCGCTTCTTGCTAAACGCCATGTTGCAGATACCACTTGAAAGACGTCATAGTCGGCAAGATCTACTTCTTGCTCGTGCGCATCAAGATCAAGCATATGGAGCTGTCCATTATTCGTCGCGAAACGACGGGTGCACCCCCGAACCAGTATAACGAGTCAGAGACGATCACCAAGTTCGAAATCATGGACGGCGCGCCCGTACGAGGTACGTCGTTAATACTGTCCGTATCATGTGTGACGACTAACAGACCGTATGCTATTCCAGGGGAGACTATCCCAATACGGTTGTTCTTGGGCGGCTTCGACCTCACACCAACCTTCCGGGACGTGAACAAGAAGTTCAGCACGCGGTACTACCTCAACCTCGTCCTCATCGATGAGGAGAACCGACGGTATTTCAAGCAGCAGGTGAGTATTCCGTTCAATTTTGCGGCATCGCAGATCTCAACAGAAATTGCAGGAAATCACGATCTTCCGGATACCAGAAGTGAGTTCTTTCGGTTCATCGTGCATTCTCAGTAGCTGACCGGTGCCCCTTGCAGAACTAACGCGGACTTTGTACTACTATACCTGTTGTTTATTTCCTGGATCTATCTTATTATCGCGCTCTCACTCTGCGTGGCCACCTTGCTTACTCATGGTATTTGGAACGGGCAGTGCATCACTGTGGCCTCTACAGCTCCCCGCGGGCTCGGGTGCCGCAGGCTCGGTATACTTTCTTTATTCGCCCGCCGCCTCGTGGCGGCCTCGCGGCGGCATTGTTTGGACCAGTATAGACGCCGGCGCTGGGCTTCGATAGGGCAATAGCCCCATCCTCTTCCACCCCTCTGGTGTGTGCCCGCGGCCCCTCCGCCCATTAGTATGTCGAAATCACCCTCATTCGCACCGTATAGCTCATGCGCACCAGGCTATTGCACTCCGAGCAGCGACATAGAGCACAGGACGGTGGAAAACTCCCATCAATGCATCGGGCGGCGGCATGTGGGTGAGGACCAAGCGGCGGCGCAGCCGCTTTTGGCGGACTTCGTTCTACATACTTCCTAATGAGGATAGGTTGTTTGCAACAAAGGCCGGTAAACGTATATTTGGCGCGCTCGATAGGCCCGCTCCTCCTCATCCCTCTCCCCTCCCCGCGTCGCTTCTCCCGTAGTCTCCCCAGACCGACTCGACACGCCACTCCTCTCATACACACACCTCATCTCAGTGCACTCGTGTATAAGCAATGGACCCGTGCTTTGCCTACACCTTTGCCGCGCCCTCGCCGTTCGCGCCGTACCAGGGTCTACCAAAGTAAATGCATCCAAACCTGTAGACGTCCCTGCCCTGGCAGCTGAACTCGCATTCTGTCCAGCGTCGACGAGCTCAATGCGCCTCCGCCCGAGAATGACGACTTCCCGGTACGCCAGTGGACCGGCATGGCGGGCTGGGACACCGGCAGCGATGGGTTCAACTCCTTGAACGACTTCGCGCTCAGCGCGCCCGACACACCCGACGCACCATACCCTTCACCCTTCTACCCGCACCTCTCGTCTTGCACGTCGACAGAGGCGTTCGACGCCGCGTTCGGCGGCCTCTACGCGCCGAGCACCCAGGGCCACTCAATGCCCGACGCGTCAAACGCGTCGCATAACGCGCCCAACGACGCGTTATTCCCATCCCAGGCGGCGAGGGATGCGTTCTTCTACAACCTCGGCGCGTCAAACGCGTCCACATCGCGATTGCCTTTCGCGTCGGGCACGGGCAGGGGCTGGGCGGGTCCTGACCACGTGACCTCTTTCGGCCAGGACAGTGCGGGCCCCTTCAAGTTCCCGTACCCATTCGTGAACCCCGCAGACACTTGCGACGTGGATCCACCCGTGCCGTCTCTGCTCTGGGATGACAGGGGGCTGGAGCAATTTGCGGACGTTCCTGGGCGGACCCAGGAGGCAGCAGTTCCCATGCCGTCTGCCCTCCCGGCCCAGGCAGCACCGGTAGCTGATCAGCTGGCCTCCGAGTATGTTGGAGGAGCAGTGCAAGCTGAGCAACTCGATTTTGGCCCATGGGATGCGCTGTTCGCAAGTATCGGGCAGCCTATGCACGAGGACGAAACGGTGTCGGTCGTGGACCAGACGGTCTTCCAGTACGTCCACGCTCGCCTCATAACCTGTCTGCCGCTCCTAAATGACGCCGTCTCTTCTGCGCGCAGGCCTGAAGCCACAATCAAGTCGAGTGTCCCGCGTTCATGCAAGCGTCAGCGGGCTCCCGACGCCGAGATGTACCCCGCACGACCCAAGAAGTCCAAGTGCGCGCACTCCCCATCTCCCGCGCCCTCCCGCACATCCCGCTCGCCCACACCTACGTTCCCGGAACCGATCCTCGTCGTTCCCACCGCGCTGGACTGCACGATGTCCGGTTGCGACCACATCCTGACCCAGGAGGACAGCGCGTGGCGGAGCCACTTCAAAGTCGCGCACCACAAGCAGGTGTGCACCGACAGCGCGTGCCACAACGCCAAAGAGTGCAAGAGTGCAGTGTGCCCGCAGTGCCCGATAGGCCGGAAGGGCCCGAAGACGATGTCGACGGATAGCCTTGGGCGGCACATGCTGAACAAGCACATCGGCGTGTGCTATCGCTGCCCCCGATGCGGTTACCAGAAGATGCCGTGGCGGAAGTCGTCGTGCGAGCGGCACATCGAGACGTGCGGCACGGGGAAGAAAGAACGTAGTGGCGGCAAGAAACGGGCCCGGAGATGATCCCCGGGGACGAGGGCTGGCGGAAGGCGAAAAGGCTATCGAAGGCCACGAAGACACAAAAGTAAACGCCGGAAGGAACAATGTACCACTAAATTATCGTACTGTACCGTTCACGGCCCGCCACTCTTCGTTCTTCACGGCGGGTCTGCGCTCTCTTGGGATATGAGGCTGATTTGTTGTACTAATTAATTGCTGTAATCGTTGTGCCGAATAATGCACTGCGAATGGGATTGATTCAAATGCAATGGCCCCGGCTTACCCATCCAATGATATTTGCTCATGTATCTGCCCGTGTCCTAGCGAGTTGAGAGCCATATTTTGAAGGCGAGTGACGATTTTATAGTGCATGTGCCGACGTTGTCTGTGTTTAAGGGTGTGGCCTAGTATGACCATGCGGCTGCGGCCCGTGATAGTTTGCATGATTGAACCTTGAGAGCACCAACTAGTACCCTGGACCCCTTAATGCGGGGGCGCCGGAGTGCACCCACTTGACATCTGGCGGCTTCGACGACAGGGTAAGTAAACTGAAGCTTCGGGTTAGCTTCTCTGCTACGTTACACACCTATGCTTACTCACAGACGCGTCTGGCAACTACGACCACCTCCACCCTTCTCACTACTTTCGTGAATACATCTACGGCAGGGTATGTGAGCATGAGCAACATGAGCCATCGCGGAGATATAGTGCATAATGTTGTTCCTGTTGGAAATCCTCTCCATCTTGACTCGCCGCGATTGTACTACCCTCGTGGATGAACGCCGTCACTAAATGGTCCTTCCTAGATCGGGTATAACATCCAGGGCAGTACGGGCCGCCCGTCCTTAGTGTCTGCTGTGCCAGTGAACAGCACGATCAACGGGACCCCGGCGTTCGTACTGTCGTAAATCGCCGTACCATTATACCTTCGGCTCGCGAAAATTGGCTTTACATTATCACTCCGTTTCTCGCTGCTGAGCCGGAAGCTCGAGTAAGTAAGTAGCCGATCGCGATGAGTTCGTCCCGGACAAAGTCGCGAAATTGAATGTAGGTTGTGCCGCTACAGGAAGTTCAGAGCTGGCACACGCCGCGTCGTATTGCAGGATACACAGGTGACGACTTGTTCTCTCGTTCATGCAGAGACCAATTTACGCCTTTCCTGAAGAGCTTGGTCGTGGTCGCGCGAGAGAGCGGACACTTCCGAAGAAGTCCGATGCGCCGGGCCGATGCGTCGGGCCGTAGTAGCTGATTGGGGTGAGGCGAAGTTTCATTTCCGGGCTCTCGACTTCAGTCCAGCGTGCCCTCGTATCCCGCCTTGCTTCTCCCAGATATCTGCTGCTGCTGCCTGATTATGTGGAATAGATATCTAGGGTCACTCCGCCTCGGTCAACTTATCTCATCTTCATGATCAGACGCTACCGCCATCAGCCTTGTCGTCTGACATCACATTGAGATCTGACCCTTCGTACGTTCGCCCCAGAGCCATGAGCGAATATCTATGTGCTTACTATGTTCTAGTTTGGCACACCAAGAGACTCATGGGTGCTCGGGATATCATCTTGCCCGCCTTCCCTCCCTGAGAAACATGAAGCCAACACGAGATGTCCAGTGGCGTTAGATATCTCGGGTCGTAAAAGGGTGCGACTCGCTCTCTTTCGATTGATACTCGTGCATATCGCGTCGCTTCATGAACGCGGGCGGGACACAGGTGCGAGCTACTGTGCTGTGGGGGTGACCGCAAGGCTTAGCGGCGGCACACAGTGCTATTTTCCTCGCGAGAGGACATATACAACGCACCTCCCCGAAACCACACCTCTCCGCTACCCCAGCTCATCCGTGCACAGTCATGCACCCCGAGGTGCGCTACCCTGCATATCCACAGACTACACGACCTGACCGCTTCCCCTTCCATCTTTCATCATAGCAATATACCCACAGCTACTCGGTACCCGTTCTCCCGTCAGGACCCACTGCCACGAGACTGGGGGGAACACTCAAGTACTGGTCGGATAATTCTGTCTATTATACGGACCCTAGAAAGGACGGGTTTGTAGGCCTTGCGAACGACGACGTAACGCAGGTTTAATCTACCCATGTCGCTCTTTGCTCACTATTCTTTCGCCGCAGTACGCAGAAGATGTATATGCGATGGGAGGCATGTCATGCAACCGGCCTTACCTCATCGGAGGGCCGCAGGAAGTGAGTGGGTCATTCAGCGATTCATGGTAGTCATCGTCCTAACCGTACTAGGCGGATGATACCCCCGTCCCATTGATGCAAGACTCAGTATACGATCGTGTGGGGTCTCACAACCTTGGTATCGCGACACCACCGGCGTCGATCATGCCCCACGAGCACAACACGACATATGGCGTGCATGCCTATGCGCGCACCGATCATCTACCCGCCCTGTACAGCAAGGGCTCCCAAATTTCTAGCCATCAAGGGGAGTCACAAAGCGAACCTTCCGCGCAGTGTTCGAACGCCATTCTTCTACCACAACCATCCCGCGCGACCGATCATCAGCAGTGGGTCATTCCCCAGGAGGTGTACGCTGGGACAAAGGGGTATTCGGCTCCAGCGCCTCTGCGATCCATGCACGTCGATGTTGCGGTGTTGCAGGCTCTCGATCCAGAGCGGCTCGCGTTGTGCTTGGTAGACCCTCTGAGTCCCGGATTCCCGGGCGAAGCCGGAGCGCCAGATAGGAAACGCCAGAAACTGACCGTTCGCTACAAGGTGAGCGCTATCTGGTCCTGGAATACGCATGCGGGACTTACATAGCGACAGTTCATCGATTGCAACCGAGGGGTCGTATGGCAGAACCCATACCCGAGGCAGATAAACGAGTACGCTTCTACTAAACGCCAGTCCTGCGACCCATTCGTCAAGGCAGCGCAGCGCCTCCATGGAGCGATTGAGACGTCACGCGAGGACTTCAAGTCGAAACCCCTCATGCGTATCGCGCTGGTTGAAATCGTTGCGCGGGAGCTGCAGGACTTCATGGTGTGTGGTCTCTTCATACTTTCATACGCGGCCGTTCAGCTCATTTTTTCTTCTCGCCGCTGGCTCTCAGGTGAAGCTAGAGGCCGGAGACTCTCCATTGACCTTTCGCGGCATCCCAGTCGACTTCAATCACTTGCGGATCGTCAGGATCGACAGACCGACAACGGCCACCGTCCAGCCCGTACTCGAGATTATTTCTGGATATCGCTATCTGTACTCTCGCATCGCGGGAGTCCTCTAAAACTGTTCTGCTTCTCGGCGTTGTAGGTTCGTCTTGCTGCAGGATCTGCTGGCCAGTCTATGTATATTCTATTCTACGTCGTATTTCTTGACAGATCTGTATCATGTGTAATTCTTACACTGGCATTTTCGAGCATATGCGTACGCCTGGTCCGACTACTATATGTATGGATCTCTACGAGCGATTCTCCGGACTTTCCACCATCGTCTTGAGCGCATTGCGCAACGCGCGCGATAATCGATCGGCACCTATAGCGCCGTGGGCACGGGCTCGGCACGAAAGTCGCTCATGCTCGTACCCATGATCACCTTTGGGCGTCGCGCTTCCAGCTGCCACCGTGACCACGCCTCACTCGTGCGCGACCCCAGTTCCGAGGACTCAGGAGACCGTCGGGAGATCTGGGCGCGGTTCTCCGAGCAGTTCAGCGCCGGAGCGCGCGTTTGCCGCAATTATTTCGATAGATATTCATGCACGCCGCTGTGTAAAGCGCGCAGTGGCTTCCGCGTGTATTTCAGATACTGGGTGATAAGGCATATCATTTGTGTCTCGAATAAATGGCGTGAAGGACACGGTATCAAGGAGATGGTGTAGTATGTGGGCGCAGTAGAATGGCTAGAGCGGCACAGCCCCACCACGGCCAAGGCAGCTGGAGACTCGCGGAGCGGCATTTGACTTATAGTGCACGAGAATGATGCCGGGCCCGGCGCAGTGATAGTGTTTGGGACTCCGCTAAAGTCCGTGGCTGCGAAAGCGCCTATCGTTTATCTCAGTCGCGTGGGCTGAGCTTGAACGTATGAACCCCCCCCCCTCCCCAATTTTTGCGGAAGACCACGCACTCTGGTCGTCGCAATGCCTATATCTTCTAGTCTCTACGCTATGTCAAGAATATCTCGGGAAAGACCAGACTACTGATCGAAACTGCGAACAGTCCGAGTCCGAGTCTGAGTCCGATCTCGGGTGCAAGAACCTGAACCAGTCTAGCAACTCTCCTTGTTTCGTTCGGGTGCGCGCGGTGGAGGCCGCCAGATAGCTTGAGGACGAGGCTTGTTTCGTACGAAAAGCATATCGGTATGTGCACAGATCATGCTCGTTCCTGTCCTAAAACGCTAGGCGATTTTTTTCTCGCAGTCTGCTAATACTTCGCGATTGCGGATGCGCGCAGACTCGGATGCATATCCGCTCTCGAACCCGGCTCTTCCGCCACCTTAACACAGTCATTGAAAATACCTACTCGCATACGCGAAGATGCATCAATTGCATGTGCTGAAATAGTGAAATACGGAGCAGGAAGGGCCGGAAACAAGGCTGGAGTAGCTGCTGCAATTCGGCCATCTGCTGCGTCGGGAGGGTCCGGTTCGGTCGGTCGGGTGACCTGTGAGCGTCTTCCTCTTGGACTACAGGATACTGCGGGGCTTATACTTCAGCATCCCACGCGGGACAGCTCTAACGAATGAGCGCTGAGCCGCGGTGTCTGAGTCGGGCAAGGCAGCGACTCGGAGGCGCTGGGCTCGACGCACGTACTCGCGATATACTTCCGCTACGTTGTTCGCGCGCGCGAATGCCTACATCATATCCTAAGAAGGTGGTATCTGCAGGTGAATGACCTCACTGAACTTCTTATCTAGGACACTCGAAGAGAAGTGTCAATCGGATAGGCGACCCGGGCATACCGCGCCCGACCGCTCCGTTGCGGTTTGTGCGGCTGATTCTAAAGTTCACGGAAGTGCGTGCCCCTCATCTCCGGCTTCACGTCAGTAAATTGTATCTGGATACATGGTATGGATATTAATCACCCCTCCGCATCCGTTCAAGTTATCCCATCTGTCTCCACCACCGAACACTACCTATACTGCCGCAAACCTGGTCCTCGAACAACAGACGAAGCCCGTACACGACCCTCCGGCATGAATAAAAAATACTCTCGCGCACTCTGACTCCTCGTACACAACAGCTGGACCCAGGAGCTGATGTTTTTTTAGTTACCGCCAGCTAGATTGGTGCATCACCAAACACATGCAAGTGTTGGAATTCCCCTTGCCCACTGCTCTCGTCGCTCGACAAGAAGCACATCCGGGACATTCCAGTGGCATTGGATAAGTTGTGTCAGTTGGGCGCGGCGACTCGCTCCCATCCAATTAATAGTTGAGCATCTTATCTTTGCACACGCAGTCACTGAAGTATCCAGATACATGTAGATCACCGAAAGAACTGGCTGCGCTGTGGGGGCGAGCTCAAGGCCTGGAGGTAGTACAGAACATATACTGCGCTCACCTTCACGGAACTACGCCTCTCCACTGCCCCAGCACATCCGTACACGACCATGTATCCCCAGGTGCTCCACCATGCATATTCACATCAGGCTATGCAATCTGACCTCTTATCCCCTTCGTCTTTTATCATAGCCACCTGTCCACAGCTACTCGGCACTGGAATCAGACGGAGGACCGCAGGACTGGAACAGTGTATACCTCGATCCTGCGGGCTCCGAGGGGCGCGGCCTAGGGTTTTCAGGTCTCGCGGACGACAACGTAAGGCAGCGGCAATTCACACATGTAGCTCTATGCTCACTACTCCCTCTATAGTACGCATATGATATTCATGCGACAGGATGTATGTCATACAGCCAGCATGACTTCCCCGAGGGACAGCAGGAAGTGAGTAGTCTAGTAAGCGATTCATGGTAGTGCTCGTCCTAACCGTATCTTCAGACGGACGGTAGCCAACAAATTCATCTTTCGCGAATCCTCCAAGACGGGTCTAGTTTATGCGACGCGACTTACAATTATTCAGAGGTAATATCTCATATCTGTCGAGCGGGGGCATGAATTGTGAATACTAGTACTCCAGGCTCAAGATGACGACTTCCGCCCATTTCCAGATGAAGACTTATTCGAGACACTCGTTTCCGCTCCCCTCGCGATACCCTACGGGGAACACGCTCCTCCTTGTGCGATGCCGGTACTCCAGCCCGTCAACGTCGCCTACGACCGACTAGAAGATACGCCCTTTTCAGGGGAGCAAGACTCGGAGTCATTCTACAATCCTGCGGCGTCTCACAACCTCGACGTCGCACACGGTCTACCTGCGCAGTCCCCTCAGGAACGCGATGCAACCTACTACGTACACGAAGATCTGCGGCACGTTGACAGTCTACCCGCTGCACCCAGTGAAGGATCGCACGCCGTCAACGATCAACCGGCCGGACGTGAAGGCCCTCCCCGAGTGCGGGACCTTTTCCCAATCCATGTGCAGCCACCATGGTTCGTTCCCTGCTTTGAGGACTCGTGGTTCATTCCCCAGCTTGTGTACGCAGGGAAAAAGGCTCGTTCAGACCAGACACTACTACCTTCGCAGTTCATGGACGTAAACGTCGCTGTATCGGATGCTGCCGATCCAGAGCGCCTCGCTCGTGCCTTGGAAGACCCTTTGGGCCCCGGCTTCCCCGAGGATGCTGGAACACTCGGTAGGATAGGTCAAAAATTCACCGTCCGCTACGTGGTGAGCACGCTTCAAATTCTAGTACATACAAGCAAAGAGGCTTACACGACGCCAGTGCATCGATCACCGCCGACAGCTAGCGTGGCAACTGACTAACCCGAAGCAGATAAACGAATACGTTTGTACTACTCGTCAACCCCCCAACCCATTCCTCCAGGCAGCGCGAATCGTTCACGGGGACAGTGAGACGGAGTCGCGCGAGGACCCCAGGTCGAAACCCCTCGTGCGTATCGCTCTGGTTGTCTTCGCCGTGCAGGAGCTGCAAGAGTACCTGGTAGGTGGCCCCTTCATTGATAATGGTCGATTGGCTCTCTTCTAATTGTGAACTCTCAGGCGAAGCTGGAGGCCGAGGACGTCCCATTAACTTTCCGTGATGTCAAAGTCGACTTCTGCCACCTACGTATCATCGCGCTTTTCAGACCCCAGCCCGCCGCCGTCCAACCTACACTCGACATTCTTCCTGAATTTCGCCATATCTACTCCAAGACAGCCTATCATTCCTAGATTCGTTCTGCTTTCCATCCCCTCGGATATTGGCTTTCTTCCGTATAGCATGCGTTGTCGCCTCGCAGTGGGTGAATACCCAGTAGTCGTGTCTCCGTGATCTCAGCTTGTACAATACTTCCCGCCCGTACGTGTATAAGTAGGCCACCATTTGGCACATGTAGTTTGTAGCCTTGATGTACTCGCTCGATACCATTCATAGCATTATCCAAATGTACGTGTGTGGTATTCGTAATGTTCTGGCATCATCTCCTATGCGGCATAGTCTCCATCGCTCCATCGAAGGGGTCGTCGTTGAGCTCCATCTCCGATGTGAACCTTCACCGCCTTCAAGGCGTGCGTCTCGCGGGACTCGCGGACGACGAACAACATAAAAATAATACACAATTAGAGAAGCTCGCAGCTACATCATTACCAATTTCCGAATGCGTCGCCCCCCCTGGGACCCGGCGGTGGTCAGACGTCGTTTACCGACATACGACTAGGAGTCGAACGCAGAATTGCTTGTACTACTACACATACACAACACTCCCCGCACTGAACTAGCCCCTATGGAGCGTGGAGTGTGGGGCGCGCGAATATTTTATATCGCGGGCCTCGCGCGCTCTACAGGCGCAGCGCGAGGTTCGGCACAATCGACGCGACTGGCAACATACTAATGAGACTGAGAGGCAGAATACGGATGTTTCCCGACAGTATTGAGGGGTACTGGGGCTGGCAGGACGGGCCGGCGGTGGTGTTTGTGGCCTAGGAGGGACTCGGAAGACCAAACGGTCATCGGGTCGACTGGCAGGTGTTGGTCCTCCAACTTAAGCATTGCGTTTGCACTGGATGTCGACATCATCTATAACTTAAAACTTGTGCTTGCTTCCTTATGGACGAGTTCTCGGTAAATGAACCACTGCCGTTCATTTGTGCAGCAGGTTCCGCAGGTTCCGCTTTCCCGTATTGACGGTGATCAGCTGTTTCTTTGTAAGGCACCTGTACAAAATTGAGCTTACAGCCTGATTACCATCGACTCGAATCCGGCGCATATAGTCGACCTCACCTTGTTCATCAGGTAAGCCAGCAGGCACATCGCACTATCGCAGTCGACGTCGGCCTAGGTGCGGCTGTAACGCGGGGCGGGGGCATAGCCAGCCTCTCCTAAGCGTGAGCGCGAGCGTAAAGAGTGTCGCGGCAAGGCCGAGATCGTGAAGCGCACAAGCTAGCGCATCAGAGATGTTTTGCTCAGGGACCTGGGACGGAATCTGGTCCCAGGTTTGCTCACGCGACCTAAACGAAGAGAAATTTGAGTGCATCAGAAACGGGTTTTCAGCGGCATTATCAATTGTGTGCGAGTTTACCACGGCGAGGGGACTACAGGTAGAGGTTCTTCCAATCGCTTTGTGGGCATTCAATCCCAAGCATTGCGGGCGCTGTGGACGACCATGATGTTCTAGCGCGACGTCCGCGGGATCAACTGCTCGGGGTGGCACCGGCGCGGCATGTATGCATGTCGGGCCTCCGATTCCCACTTCCATCGTTGTAGGCATATGTAGCCTTAAATGGTTTGAAGGAGTGCGCTCCGCCCTAGTTTACGCAGTGAGGTAAAACAGAGGGCCAAGAACGTCGCCAAGGTGTTATAGCGAAGCCCTTCCGGTTGCCGTGAGAGCATCCGTCCCAGAACACAGCGATATCCGCAGTGAGAGCCGGAAGTGGTGAAATGCACTGAGGAGTCCCGTCGCAAGGACTACGAGCGCGTTGCCCCTGGGAGCCCACCCCCTGTTACCGATAGCAGCCGGCGTGCTGTCGCTCTGTACCATCATCCCGGTTTGGTGAAGCACTTGTCGTGTTGTCGGCGAGTCGACTTTTGTAAATATGACGTCCTGGATAGGTTCAAGTCACATACCATTCGGCCCGTCAAGTGATATTAGTCGTCAACGCGTGAAGCGGTACCGGGAAGAGGCTGCGCCGAACGAAGGTACAGTGCACATTGACCTTACGAGGCACGTCCCTGGTTTATCATGCAAAGAAGATTAGACTTGCAGATTGGCTGGGTAAGATGAAAGTAACGATCACCTACCACACAATGGTAATTCGCAGCGACTCTGGAGCATATCAGACCATGTGCTGCCCGCCAGGTGAGGCAGCCGCTATATCGAATGGGTCTTAGAACGAGAATAACGAGTTTACACATTCGCGACGCAGACGACGTACTGCGTATGTTTTCGGCAATCGCGCGCCCTAGTGTCTTCGTCGTCGTTACCGTTCCCTTCCGTGCGTGCTCTACTATGCGGCTCCGAGTTCTCCTACTCTTGACGCGCCTTTGATGCACTCTCGCAGTACGCTTCTCCCGCTGGGGATCTCTTAGATAGACAAGCTCAGGAATACCAATGTGCATGTGCAGGCGGAAGCTCACAAAGGCTGTGGTCGACACGTCCTCCGGAATGGCGACGCGATAGGTGGTGAGTCCGCGTTCGCTGAGACATCGAAGCAGTAGATCCCGGGACGACACAGTAGTTCGCATGTATTGCCACAATTACTGTGCAGCTTTGAAAAGAACGTAAGCGTGTACACGAATAGGGGAATCGGATGCACACCTATGTAGTCAGTACGTCCCAGTTCGTCAGCAGTGGGGCGTGTAAAACGCATTCCCTCCGATTATGCCTGTAACGTAGGCCATGGAGCTCTCCTTCAAAGCGATCGCGCTCATAGAAGAGCCCTGTTGTAGCACAGCTATCAGGGTGACACTGTCTATAGAGTTGAGTGGATCAACGCGGCTCAAACTTCGAGTCGCTGACGTACCTCATGAACATGACCGGGGTACCGGCGGACCGTGTGCCTTGCTACTCGGTCTCTCAAGGATATGAGCAAACCTGAAGGGTCGGTCAGCCGGTATGAACGCGCCACTGCATGCGTATAGGCTCCAAGTTTTATGGGCGGCCATGAACTGCTACGCAGCCGCAGTGCATGCAGAAGTTCATACAAAAGGAGCGGCTGTGAACCGATGCATCAACTTCTACCGTTGCACCGACCAGGGCATCCCCATCAAGCATCCTTATAGGATGTGTTTCTTCAGATGAGTTCCTTCGTAGGAGTTCCAGGACAGCGGTTTATGCTCTTGCCTGAGGATGCGAGTGGGTAGTAGTATCGCTTGAGTCTGTTCCAAGTGGCAAAGTTGTGCCGAGCGCTCGCGCCAATCACTGAGGCTGTGTCGGGGTCCTAGCTGTACCTTCTGCAGACCCTGAACACTCCATGGCGTGCCTACTTTCAAATCCCGCGCCGGTCTTTTCCCTCGTGTACGGTGCACGCATGGTGTAGCTCCTCTCATTAATATTTATACCACCACCATAACCACGAGCATTATCCACGACTCCAGGGAACACCACACGCGCTTCTACATGACCTGAGGAATCACGTTGAAGATGATGTCAAGAGTCAGACGCGAGGAGATACTAGGCACGTCGAGTCATCGAGGGGAACATCCAAGTTCTTGAGTTCGCATTTGCCTAGCGCGAGGCAGCGTCTGACCAGGTCGTGGAAGTCTCAGAATTCTGCTTCCCAGGATAGGCCACCTGCGCAGTCTTGGAGACATGCAAGATCTGTGGCGGGGGATGCACCCTCGGAGGAGCGGAACGGATGCCTTCGAGCACGGGATTTCATTTCGGTGGCCTTCTCGCCCTCACATCGGCCTTCTCGAGCTTTCCGCACTCTCACGTTGCCCAATTGCGGTGTGGCGCGAGGCACTCGAGCCTCGAGCCGGTGAGCGTCCGGGCGGAAACCAGGCCTCATTGCAGGCGCGTGTCGATCCGCGCGTTCCGCAACATTGCAAAGGCATGTTCTCCGGGCACCGTGCAGTTCCCCTTCCCTCTTATAAGACACCTATCGCACAGATGGCGGGCGATCCGTTCCACCATCTGCGATACCATCCCCTCGTCCTTTTCCCTTCTCCCTCTTTGACTTTCCCGCCATGGGTGTCGGCGACTTCGAGAGCCCCCGCAGCCCCGCCGAGATGTCCGCGCAGGAGCGCCACGCCTTGCCTCAATACGGCTTCGGAGCGGAGGTCAGCTTCGAGCAGCTTATCGAGAGCAACCCATTCCTCTTCCGCGTCCACACCCCGAAGGAACCTTCACCTTTCTACGACAACACCGAGCCATACTTTGTGGGTCCGACGTTCGCTGACAACGTCTCCGGGTCCGCTTTCCGGGCGTCTGCTGTCTCGCCCTACCGAGCGCCGTCAACTTATACGTATGCCGACGTAGCACGGCATATGGACTGGACCACGAGGGCCGCCTCTCCATTCGTTTCGACATCATTCAGCTTTGCCTGGGCTATCTGGGAAGCCACCCGCCGTTACCACCACGGTATGAAGCACTCAGTCGAGATCGCTGTGATCGATGCAAAGGCATTGGTCGGCCGTGCAGTAACCGCCGTCGAGCTATTGAGAGAGGGTGCACCTAAAGAGTACGTGCGCTCTTCTCAACTGATACCATCTCACCTACAACGAAAATCCCCACAGCCGCCACGCGGACCACTGGAAGTGGTACCGATACGGCCTCGAGGCGCAGGACGTCCTCGTGTACGGCTATATTCCGGGCACCGCGGTGCTCGCCTCCGTTCCACTCATACACGTCCTCCCCAAGCTCCCTTCGTATATGCTCAACCCGGAGCCTTCATTACTCAAGGACACCCCGGTCTCCCGCGTCGCGTGGGCATACGACCGCAAGAAACACACCTACAAGGCCTTCTGCCAGGATATGTCCGACCGCTTCCTACGCCTCCCCGCGGACCGCCGCACGCGCGACACTTCCGTAGGGGCCGTTCGCCTCGCGATCGCGCTCCTGCGTCCATGGTTCCACCGCCTCGCGACGGACGACTTCACCACGTGCACCGCGACCGCGAACGAGCTCGCACTCAGCGTTTCGCGCTGGCCAGGGCTCTGGTGGGTGCGCGAGCACCCCGAGCTGCGCGACCTCGTGCGCTGCCTCGTGCATGTCGTCGGCGAAGAGGCGCGCGAGGCGCGCCGCACACAGGCGCTCGCGGACGCGACGCGCATGCAGGACATCGTCGGCGGGCTTGAGCACCTCGCGCGCTCGTACCAGATCCGTGGGAGCGTGCGCTTCAACGGCGTGCTCTCGACCCCACCTGTGTCGTCCACGGCATCTGTTGCGGACGAGGAGGAGGCGAAGGCGGACCGCGATCCGGTGTTTGGGATCGTCCCGATCGAGGACGAAAGGGCGAAGGTGAAGGTCACCGAGATCCTGCCGACGCCCGCCCCGACGCCGACACCAGACGTCTTCCTCCCCGTCGCCGAGGTCGCTACCCCCGTCGCCGAAGTGGCAGCTCCGGAGCCCATCATCGTTCAGCCCGCTCCCAAGCCCGAAGTCGAGGCGCCTCTCCCCGAGTCGGAGGAGAAGAACGCGCTAGCGCCTTCGCTGTCATCCTCGATGGCGCGCATGGTGTTCGGCGCGCCCGCGGAGGGCGAGTCGCCGCGCGAGTACTACGCGCGCACGGCGTCTGCGCTGCTCACGGGGTTCTTCACGGGCGCGTTCATCGCGCTGTGCATAGCGTCGCAGCACCGGCGCGAGATCTCGAACCACTTCTCGTGAACGCGCGGCTGCTGGTCTGCTTGCGTCTTCCTTTCCTCCATCCTCAACTCTCGCCCGCTCTCATCATTGTCCGTTCCACTCCCCATCCCTATCCTCATCCCCCGCTCCCCACGTTCCTATATTTGCATCAGTAGATCCAGGGTCCGATTCTTATTCGAAGCTGGAGGTGTTGGGTCTGCGAGACCCCGGCGTTGCGCGTGCAGGTAGTGCGCGCGCGGCTTTGACGTAACTTATTCTCTTCGCGTTCGTTGTTGTAGCACTAGCTAGACGCTGTACCAGTACCGCATTTCTATGCCCTATGAATGCTATGCACACATATGCACACTTACCCCCACACCCGTCGGTGCCTCCGATCTGTGTGAAGACTGTGCCCGTAAACGTTTGCGGAAATACGTGCCAAGATCGCGCAAGCTTGGCGGTACCCACCCCCGAGTATTGTGGTTGGAGGAACAACTTCGGGACCCCGCCGAGGGTGCCTGAGCCGCACATACAGGGAAGTGCTTTCGTGTCGCCGGTGGGTCCCCGAGCGCGCGCGTGAGTGAGCAACGGCAATTTACCGAATGCATTCAACACCGAACGTAGTAAAACACCGAACGTAGTACACAACCCTAGATCATACAATGATACACAGCCTCGCACGCGAGGTACACCGGGGGACACAAAGGAGGCTAAAACACATAAGGGCCGTAAGAGCCCGTGAAGCGCACATCTAGTTCCGAAGCCTTAAAACGAGAGCTGCCAGATTCTGGATCCTGGATCGCCGATAGCCATGTGCCGGGGAGAGCGTTGCTGCTCCGTTTACCTAGACCCGCTTGGGGATGCTGGGGGAGCGGTCAGATTGTTTCGGCTGTGGGCTGGAGGAGACTTACACGGGGGCGACGCCGGTGCGGGGTCCGGGGTCGGTGGGGAGGGTGGGGAAGGGGGTCTCCAAGCACTGATAGGATGTGTGAGCACGGCAAGTGTCTAAATGGAAATGAATGACTCACAGCCTGCTCGATGTCGCGGTGGGTCATGCCGGCGGGGAAGTGGGTCCTGGTGGTGAGGGGCCTGGGGATCGGGATCTGCGGGCGAGAACAGGTCAGATCATCGAGCATCTTCTGACAAGAGCTATATACTCACCACTTCCGTGCAGTCAACGAGGTCGTCGATGTTCTGGCCGAGGATGGAGAGGTCGTGGAAGACGAACTGGAACATCTGCTGGACCTTAGTCTGGTTGTTGACGAACGACTGCCACTCGCACGCGGTGCGCTGGTCGCGCGCGATCGCGAAGTCGGACTGCAGGCGGAACTCGCCGCGCAGCGGGGACGTGACCTCGCCCTGGACGGGGCCGCGCCCGGTGAAGGCGGTGCCCTTGAGCTGCGTCTCGAGGAAGAACTGCGAGTCGAAGATCTCGGGGGTGGAGTCGAACGGCGAGCCGGGCACGGTCGGGTCGACGTCGTTGGCGGCGGCGATCGTGTGCGCGGTGAGCAGCCAGACGGTCAGGATCTCGTCGAACTCGCCCGAGGACGCGTCGGCGATGCGGGCGAAGATCTGGTCGGGCGTGTGGAACGGCTCCGGGACGAGACCGTCGGGGGCGGGGCGAGTCGCGTCCTTGCGGCCGACGAAGGCGCTGAGCTGGGGAGCACCTGCGCAGTTGGACGCACCGAGGGCACCGGCGAATTGAATGCTGTGAACGAAGCATGAGCGGGAGCCCGTGAAAACCCTGGGGCGTGCTGTGCAACTCACAAGTCAGCAACACCGATGTTGTGGCGCTGGAGGAAAGGCCGCTGCTTCTCGACAACCTCGTCGAGACCGATGTTGGGGTGGAAGCCCGTCTCGATGTGCGAAAAGATCGTGATGGAGCCGTCGGCACCTCCACCGCTGTAATGCGTAGTCTAGTGAGTAATGATGATCTGCAATGCATTGCGTATGCCACTAACCCGAACTTGCCCTGCGCCTCCAGGGCCGGCGAGATGGCGATGGCGTCGTGGAACGTCAAGCGGAGAGACTCGTGCGCCTCAGCGTTGCACTTGCCGCCGTCGAAGAGGTTGGCCTGGAGATCGTCCCGGAGAGGGAAGAGAGCGCAGCAAGCCGCGTTGGTAGCGGTGTGCCTGCCGTCGGGGCACGCAACACGGCGCGTCAGGGAAGCTATAACAGAATCAGCTAGGCGACTACGATTTAAACAACGTCCACGTACCGTTAGCACCCAGGACAGCAGCGAGGGAGACGAGGGAGGTGAAGAACTTGGAAACCATGTTGCCGGTGCCGAGGGAGGTGGAAGAGAGGGGAGAGGAGTACGCTGGAGTGCTCTGAAGGTTCTGCGCCGTTTCGTCCACCTTTTATATTTCCTGGCCCTCTCGATGTCGGGGCTCATCCCGGCTCCCTCCTCAAGGAACCGAGGACGACCGCCACAATGGATTGGGAGCCGTCCTCTGTTGCAACCGCGCCTCGGACCAATCGCAACGCAAGTATTTTGTCCACCCCGAGGAACACGAGCGGGGCCGACCATGTGCAGCGCACCCGCGGGAGCGTCCGACACGTCGGTGTGTCGCGCCTCGTCCATCATGCGTCCAATAGTGACGCTTCGACGAGCGCGAGGATGCTACCATACGCCGGAAGCTCACTCGCTCGTGTGTTCCGGCATGGACCATTGCCGTAACTCACTGAGAATAATGGAGGAAGGCAATATCAGCCATCGTCGGGAATTTCTCAGTCATTTTCTCAGAATTAAGTGACGGACCTTCTGGCGAACCCGGCGACAGTTTAATAATTCTTGGCGGCGGTCCAAACGAGTCCATTTCGTCGCAGTGCCCCTACGAGCAAGTCCTGCGGTGCTCGGACGAAAGCGTTGCCGCATGGATCCTAGCGTCGTTCACATAGGCAGGGACGGCGGGCGTGGTGTCGACAGACCAAGGATGTGGGCGCTATCGCTGGAAGTTCAACAAAGATCTGTCAGCGGTATCGTGGAGTCCCATCCCCGAACTTCTATTCTTCGTGAAGAAGAAATCGAGGCAGTAAAACCCAGCAAATTGGTAGCATGAGCCGACCGGCTAACCCGTCTGTGAACACTTGGCCGGCGCAGAAGACATGAGGCATTGAGCAGACGGGCAGGCTGTGTTCAGCGCGCAAGCATTCGGAGGGCAGGTGCAGAAGGCGACTCGGTTCTTATATGCAGGACTTGTCCAAGCTGTCCAGAGACGGACGTGAGCCGCAACAAGCTCAGTCTTGCCGTCCGTCACAGGACGCAGAGTGAGCCCGAGATGCACGCCCGCGCCGAGGGCCATCGCTACATACATAGACCACTCGGTGGACCCATGTTCTGCGCGGCACAGGTGGGATCCATTGGAGTTGAGTTTGGCGCTAATCTGCGGCATGCAGAACACTCACCCTATATTTCTTCCGTCTTGGCGAGGGCTGGAGGGCCGGTACCGCTCCCACCATTTCTAAAGCGTGGACACTTGCGGCGCTCGAGGGCATACAGTTGTGCGCAAAATTTGCTCAGGCATTTTTCTGCTGTGAACAAGTGGGAGATCTGCGTTGTTTGTTTGACATATCCTCCAGGTCGGATCGGCATCCGCGGGCGAACATTGAATGTTCAAAGTGCGTATTTTGCATCGCCGCCATCCGATTCAGAGCTTAACCCTGACGATCAATTTGACTCGATAGTTGAGCTACGCCAGCGCTGGTATTTTCCAATCAGCTACCCCGGCCCCAAAGCGATGCGAGAAGAGCAAGAAACGAACCCTCGTCCACCTGTGCCTGGCGCATGCTTGACATTTAATTGTGACTTCCCAAGGTTCGAGGCACGAATAGCGTGTGTATGGGAAACCGGCGGCACTGTTGCGGCAAACACTCCTCGCGGGCCGCCATGACGAGGCTCAAACGCCTCGCAAACGTGACAAAACTCGGATTTTCCCACCATACTGAGAATGGCGGGAACGCATCCCTCGAGTCGGAGTCGAGCGTCCCAAGGAATACTCTTGGCAAAACAGCACAGAGGAACAGGCAAATGGAATCCTCTCACCACCGCCCCTTCGTTACTCGAGCACATGGCTCACCGTCAAAGTTCGTCGTCGAACCCCATACGACCCATCTTGTGTAAGCTAGGTCCGAGAGGTATCAGTCGGCATCCCCTAGCACCAGGGTGAAGAAGGGCGGCAACGTACGCGACTGCGACCCCAAACTTGTCGTCCGATTCCTCCGACTCCCATAGCTGAGGTCTTGGCGGCTCACGCGGTCCCTCAGCGAGTGCACGGTACCGCGCCGTGAGGAGCCCCGAATCATGCGTATTCGCTACCACGCGAAGCGCCGAGCACAAATCGCGCTGAATTTCCTCCAACACGCCTAGAGGGGCGCCGAAGGGCGGGCTCGACCAAGGGGAGACGGTCGAATGCGTTGCCGGCAAAATGTAGGATGCGCCGCTCGACTCATCCCCGCGTGTCCTCGGGGTGGGCTTCACAGGACTGGAGAGGTGACGTGCAAAGGCGGCACAGCACGCGCAGCTCGGGCGGTTGGTTCCGATGAGCATCTGTGCGGAAAACTGCCACATCTACATCAACACATATGCACACTTCATGTGGTGGGCTGCGACTTACGGGCAACAGGCCCTCCCTATGCACAACACGCTGGAGCACCCCATCTTCCCCAAGATATACGGAATGTGCTAGCGCCATCAGAGCCGCCTCCGAGTGTACCGAATCGTTTTCTTGTGAAACCAAGCTAGCATCCCTCTCCCCGGAGTGGCTGGGCAGGCACTTCGAGAGGAACATGTTGGCATTTGCGGCCGGTCGCGACGCAGGGGTCAAGGACGACTTGAAGGCGTTGTGCAGATAGTAGACATCGAGAGTTTGACACTGCGGTGGGACTCGGAAATCAAGTATGACCTGGGCAGCGCGCGAGAAATCTGTGAGAGTGCGGAGGTACCGTTGAATGTGTTGCGCCGTATCTTCGTACATTTCCTGCGGCAACACAGCTGTGATACGGAGTCACAAACGCTCTCATTTGAACTTTGGAGTCGCACGTGTGGCATGAAGACTAACCATCAGGGTCGAGTACTCCAGAGCGATCTCCCTCGCTGGAAATAGAATTTGCAGCCCAAGGATCTCCACGTTGACGTGGCGTTAGTATGGTGCATACTTGCGAGCGCATGTCAGACCCACCCGCTACAGGCCTAGCAAATCTTGCCTCTAGATGATATTGTCAGTCGTGGTTGAGGATATCATTCCTAAATTTCGCGAAAGAGTTACTCACTCCACTGCTCCTGTCGCTCACGCTGGCGACTTTCGTAGCCAATTCCACGAGGCACGTAGGCACAGAGAGCCTCGATCAGCGATGAGTCCACTAGTATGCGGAGGACCTCCAAGGCGATAAGTATCGTCGTGAACGCCTCTGGCTGCGTGGGTGTAGGTTTGACGCGGTGCCGATGACTACCTGGAGAGTCTTGCTCAACGAGGTTGTGCAGCGGCTCGCATATCTCGTCTATGACGGAAGCCCAAGCGTAAGCGTTGTCGGGAGTGACAAGATAATCAGTGCTGTCCTCCGAGCATGGGTCAAGGTTATGGCGTTTTAGATGTGCCGTGAGAGATGATGCCGCAGATGAGTCGGTAAGGGTAAGGGTTATGGTGGATGGAGTAAAACCCCGCATTTTCTGCGAAGTCAGAGCGCGGCGGAGAAGTACCGTGGGATGATAACCCCAGACATTGAACGCAAGGGCGATTTGTGCCCCGACTTGGGTATACACACGACGCATGATGAATGTCATAAAATGTCTGGATGTGGTAGGAGAACGGAATGGCTGTCGAATGAGATAGTGTAGAAGGGTTACAATGTCCCGAAGGTGAGTCCGAAAATCAACACAGGCGCTGTGTGCGGCAGGGAGGTGAAATGACGATTGCGCTTCATCTGGGTGCGTTGCACGGTATGACAATCGAGAACTCACGGTACGACTGCCTCCTCGTCCCAGTGCGACAACAGTGCGACCGCCTCGCGTGCTTGCTGGGGGGGAATCTTCAAGAGGGCTGGGCCGGGAACAGACCCATCTGCAGCAGTATGCATTTCATCGCGACTGCACACCAAAAGAACGACGCGGTCCGTCTCTAGGTTGCCAGTCACGGCGGTAGACTTGGCAGCGCCATCACCTATAGTGAGCACCTTGGATATGCTCTGGAAGATCTCGAGTATTTGAGAATCCCCTGAGCGCAGCTTGGTGGACTTCGCAACATGGGTCTTGCACCCCGAGAGTGAACGTGTGAGAGACTGGATCTCGCAACGAAGTTGGTCGGATATGGTGGCCTCACGCGCTGGCGCAGGGAGGTTGCAGGCAGAGGGAAGAAAGCCATTAGATATAGAGCACGGAAAGTCTGTACACATGGGAATGGGCCCGACAGCAAAGAAGGTGGTGGTGGTGGTACTAGGTCAAGCTTGTGTATACATGAACGCCGGCGCCAAGGTTGGTCTGCACCTCCTCCTTTCCGTCCATGATGTTGAAATATAGTAATACTCCCAGAAAAGCTGATGCAGGATTCGTTGTATAAATCTCATTGGAAAACTTGCAACGCTCTGACTGTAACAACGCAGGGTCTGAATCCATGGTGTACACCGCATATACGCGTTCAAAAACTCGTACTAGGTGCGATACTTTCATCTACACATCGACAATTTGCACCAAGCTAACATGCTTACAGAACCGCTACATCTATCAGAGGCGTGTCGCGATTATTTTCCACAGGTTCCTCCAAGCACCGAGTGTAAATGCAATATGTCCGGGCCCTCCAGCGCCCTAGAGTGCTGGGTGACCTGCGCCTCTCCGACATCCGGCGTGGGGTGGCATGGGTGAATATCATGTCGGCCTCAATCGGATCTGAACGAAGGCGACGACCTCGGGTTATACGGTGTACGCAGGGCCTCGTTTCGCAAGTCACTATTCGAACCGTTGCTCTTCAAGCGCTCCCTAGCCCGAGACCTTAGTGCGACCCTACGCTCCTCGAAAAGATGACGCAGACTGGCATCTACTCTGATCATCGGGGGGCTAGCATGTACGCGGAGCTTACTCCATGGCCCAGCGGCGTCTTGACGCAGCACGGCACGAGTCGCCGGGCCTTTTCGTCTACAAATTAGCAACATACACCGCTTTCCTCATGTCGATCCATGCATCGTTTATTCAACTTTAGCTCAGTACGACTGAGATCATGTAGGAGCTGCGGGACTGTGCATTGCTGTAAACTTGCGCGAGGGCCCTTCAGGCCTCAGGCTCTTTCGCATCGACGGGTGAATGACATTCCAGTGATCGTGAAACCCGGGCCATGACTTGGAGAAAGCGCTCTCACCGCCGCCCAACATCGTGGCGTCTTGGCGACCTTGATCTGCCACCACAACATAGACGCCACCACTGCCTCCCCCTCTCGCCCATGCTCTACTTGCGCAGTTATTTGCTTATTGATCAGCGCATACCAGTGGTTGTTAGACGCTGCTCAGTACAGCGAGAATCCCTTCCTGATCGCAGGCGAGCGCCTGAAACAGCATGCTTTGGGCCGCGCGGACCGTCAGAATGGCATCTTCACTGATATATCAATGCTCTGCTGCTGCTTCTCTCCAACTCACTCTTACCAGCCAGCCGCGTGTTCGCTCGGACCTTGCTACTCATAAGCAGGATCTCGGAGATTTCTGAGAACACCCGCAACATAGGACGCAAGTTCACGACCGGCGCCTCTTAACCACTCGAACCTCTTGTGGACGCCACCATGACGGTCCGCACAGGCATGGGCACATCGCTCCTTCTCTCCGCTCTCTTGTTCCAAAGCGCGTACGGAGCGCTTGTCCCCGTGGACCCCACCAAGTTCAAGGTCGGCGAGCTCAAGTGGTCAAATTGCACTGGGGAGGACGTCGTTCCCGGTGCAGAATGTGGGTATGCGGTGTAAGTCGTCATACTCATACTTCAGGTTTAGTTCAGCAGGGGCTGACGACATACCGTAGTGTACCTTTGGACTACTTCAATCCTAGCGCAGGTGTTGCCAAGATTGCTCTTGGGCGGTTCAACGCGACAGCTGCTACGAGGAAGGGCAGCGTATTCCTGAACCCCGGCGGACCCGGCGGGCCAGGTGTGAGCCTGGCGACAGTCTCAGGTCCTGACCTCCAGCAGCTGGTATGAGCGGCAGCACCCCTACGTTTTGCAGTCACCTCAACACGTTTGCACGTGAAAGTCCGAACTCCCGCAATTCCCCCTTCCCCCTGTTCCCCCTGGCCCCCCGGAACGTGCCGGCCTAAATAGACGCCAGCGCCACCCGCCGCGCTCGGTTCCCAGTTAGGACCCGTCTTTCGATCACGTCCGATGTGCTGCCTCATCGACGTGCTCGATCCCAGGGGTCGTCACCCGGCATGCTCTCGTCTGGGACAACGCTGGTGAGTGCGGGCGGGAGGGCGAGAAACCTACACAGGGCATCTGTATCCGTACCTAGTCCCCTTCTCTCATCTCCGGCGACACCCTCCCCCTCTGTACTACTTGAAGATCCTCTCCTGTTATTCTTCTGCTCGTCATGGCTAATGATATCGTCTGCACGTCCCAAGGCTGTGGGAAGCTCGGAGTGTCCAGCTCCTGTGGGCACAGACAATGCGCAGCCCACTGCCGTACAGCTCTCGCAAGCTGTGGATTTCGACCTCACGACCAGGCTCGCAAGCTGGAGCTCGCCGCGCGCGAGCTAGCAGCCCAACAGCGTATCGACGCCCCAGTCATTGCTAGCCAGGGCGGTTTCCATCTTGACCGTCCACAGCCTATCCATCCACCCGACCCACTCCCAGCGCCCGGCATCATCCCCCTGCCTGCAGCAACCCCTATCCCGGCAGTCCCTTCCAGCGGGAACCGTGCGCCAGAGCCAGAGCCGACGCTTCCACAGAGAGAGCTTCAAGTTCCCATGGCGCCAGAGTGGAAACGCAAGTGGGAGGCAGAGCGGAGCCGTGCCATGAGCGAGCGGGATGCGGAACGAGAGCGCCGTGAAAATGAGAAGGCAGAACTCGAGTCGGCAACGCTATGGTTTTGGGCCGAGGTACGTTACAATATCCACTCTCCCAAGGGTCTGCACACTCACAGTAGAGCACATGTAGAATGATGCACCCCCCACATGTGAACGCGTACAGGGCCTGAAGGCGTACCCAACTATGAAGCTCTCTGACCGGCCGCGCACACTGCAGAGGTTCGACCTCGGTGAAACGGACGACATTCAAGTGTACGATCTCGACTCTCGGTACTGGCAATACCAGAATGTGTCTGACGCGTTCAACGTGAAGCGCAACCGCGTCCTGCTCATCCGCCGTGTTGGAGTCACCCTCTGCGCAGATGTCGACGCGCGCATCGTGGATGCTGAACGTGCCAGTGTTAGCTCACCCCGCAAGGGCGTTCACAATACACCGATGCCGCCTCTGGCGGGTGACCCTTGGGCTTCCCACCGAGCGAAGCGTCCCCGCGAGGATGACCAGGCATTCTCACATCGCCACACCGCCCCTCGTCTAGCCCTTTCGCAGCTCTCCCCCTCTCATCCCATCACACACTCGCACTGGCACCCTGATGGGTATGCGGTATCGCCGTTTATGCTCCCTGCAGCCCTTCCATTCCACTCGATGTTTGGGTCACCTGCCGTGGGTGGATCACCCTCTGGGCTTGCATCCCCACTGGCGCTCACATCACCGACACCAGGTACACCCACCCACTTGCCAGCCCCACCATCGACACCTGCTCCTCTGTGGTCACCACTACCTACGGCGACTCTGGGTACCTTACTGAGCTCATCCTCGGTAGCCTCTCCTCCGGCATCCTCGCGGACCTCCTCATCCCCAGGCCTGCTCGATGAACCACTACAGACAGATGCACTCACCAGCACACCGTACCGGGCATCTGGGCTTGGACTTCAGGGACTCCCGGGACCACCATCCTCAGCTGATGGACAGCTCGACGATTGCATCCTCGACGAGCTCTGGACTGCTGGGCAGGTGTTTGTCCCTCTTGGAGCAGCGGATCTAGTCTGGCCGCAAGGTCTATACACCCGGGATCTGGCCAAAGGACTATCTATTCTGGCGACACTTCAAGCAAACATATCTGCAGCGGCGGGCGAACGGATCAAGGACTACAAGCTTGCCCTCCTCCCTGAGCACTTTGCGCAAGTCTTCCCTGGGTATCGGTTCGTCCTCAAGACGTACTACACACAACGTTCTGTATGGAAGGCGGCAACCGAGGCGCAGCGCACCGCGATGCTACAACAACCACGCACCAAGCCACATGGGCTATGGACAACATACCGCTTGCAGCTGCCAGCGTGGACGCTCCGGAAGGTGCATCGCAAAGGGGCATAATATTATTACAGGCTCAGGCTATACTTTGTACAGTTCGCTCACTTTGTATCTACTCTTGTTTTGTCTACAATATCTCGCATATTCCATCTGCATATAGTGGAGAACATCCCATTTGGGAAGCATGTGATAGATGGTCTTCCGTGAAGAGCGTACAGCCGCATATGACTCGCAGCTGCGAGCCGCCATGTTCAACTACACTCTCAACCATTCCCTTCTCATATTCTACCTGGACATACTCCCCTGAGCACACAATGTCCTCCTCTACTCCTACTCTAGGCTCTGAATCACCGGCATTCTCCAGCTTTGAAGACTATGCATCCGGAGACATGCTCGGTCGCTCGACTACACCACCTCCACCGTCCAGCCCATTTGCGGATAACAGATCACCTACACTACCATCTACATCACCCCCTGCACGCAAACGTGCTCGTTCAGATAGCCCACCACTGAAGGAGATCGGGTCCGGTGGCTCCGGCCCGCGTACACCCAAGAGGAGGAGGCGCTCTGCAGGCATCATAGGACAGGAATGCTGGGTGCGTTCCTGGGAAGGCCAGTGTCTTTGCATACTGTGCGAATCAGAGAGAGCGGATGCGGAGATGGATCGGGAGTTTGCCAGAATTCGTGCAAGCTACAACGCATACCGGACACCGTCTCTTTCCCCGCGCCTGACTCTCGAAGACTCAAACACGCTCGCGTCGATCGCGTCACTACTCAAGAGCCCAGAGCCACCCGTACCCCAGTCCTTGGCCGCCTCGCCTGTTCTCTAGGTGGTAAGTCCCCCCCGAAGCCCCGTTTACATTGTTGAATTCCGCTGAGTCCCTCCCCAGACAGAAGTCTCGCAGTTCGCATTTCTATCCTCGTTGTAGCCATACCCTGTTGATTTGTCTGTCTGTATCGCGCCCTCCACCCAATTCAATGTCAACCATAAACACCGTCACATCGAAGACATGATCAATTCCTTCACAATATGCCTTCTGTGAAGCAAAGCCTAGGTGAACAGTATATAGGACAGCCTGGGGGTCCTCGAATGCACAGACGTCTTACCCCCCAACCACGACGTTCCTGCCATCAACGCTCCGGCCCCGCCCCTCCAGCCCCCGGTGTTTCTCCCCTTTTAGCGATACCTCCCACCCAGTGCCGTATCATCATTATCCTCTCATCCTCTCATTTTCACCTATACCCGCCGTCATGTGCCGCGATCTTGAGTCCTTCATCAACGCGTCCAAGTCCCGGTGGCAGCCTGTCCCGCGCGGTGTCAAGCACTACTGCAAGCTGTGCAACATGGGCCCCCTGGTCCCGAAGACAGTCGATGCGCTTGGGCCCAACACTGGCCGAGATGCGATTGCGGTAAGTCATGCACATATCCTACAGTAACTGCGCCTTACGCATACCCCACACAGTGTCACCCACACGACGAGAATGGAGTAGAGATCCACCCTCTCTATTACATGTTTGTCAACAATGCGCGCGACGATGCCCCTCCTACATTCGCCCGTTGGCCAACACCCCGAGCACGTCCCCTTCGACCATGCATGATCAGTGACTGTACCGTCAGATGCACCGCACGGAGGTGCACCCGCCAGCGCTGTCCCAGACACTGCGAGATCGCCGGTGGGTGTGCGGTACACAAGGCTCTCAGCGTGACAGCGAGGATTCAACTGGGACAAGCACCTACGATGCCGTCCAGCAGGTATGAATTACCCCATGATGACAGTGCAGTAGCAGCTCACATTTGCGATTCACAGCTCTTCAGTATCGTACCTGGAGCCACGCACCCACGAGGAGGAACGCATACAGCTGGCGGCTGCGATAGCCGCATCTCAGTCAGGTACCACACTCGACAGCAACACATCCTCCCCCTCCGTCAAGCGTCGTAGGCTCCTCTCATCCGAGGAGAACTCGGCCAACTCGAGCCCATCCTCCATATCAGGGTCACCCTATGCCATCGTCCCACAGACTAAAGAGGAAGAGGAAGAACACCTTGCAACCGCCTTGGAAGCATCGCAGGCAAGCTTTCGTTGCCGGTCACCCCACTCGACATCCTCAGCTGGCGGCCCATCTACATCTAGTGTCTCCTCCCTTGGCTTCACCAACAGCTCTGCTAGCGATTCCTCCGGTTTCTCTCGCTCGAGCACTGGCTTGCCCTCGTCCCTCTCTCCTGGCCTGGCTGAGGCTGCTTATGTCTGGAACCCTGCTGTTCTCAACTACGTCCGCTCAGCTTATGGCTCATCTCGGTCTGGATCGGTTGCAAGCTCAAATCAAGATGAAGGACAGGACGGGCAGGATGTGAAGGGAAAAGGCAAGGCAGTTGTTAAGACAGAGTACTCGGAGCGTATCAGTGACTTGGACATCATCGACTTGACGGTGGACGAGGATTAGCTATACATTGTTGGCATGTCTACCTATTGATTTGTATACTAAAGTCTATTTGTGTCCTATCGAAACATGGAACCTCTCCACACACGGATGCGAGGACACAACGGCGAAGGAGGACACCAAAGCCATTGTGTGCATTCCCTCGTGAAGCATGTAGGCGAATTCCGGGAAACCCCCCGCGAAGCAGCGTCGTGGGTGCAATCGAGACTGACGCGCTCTTGTAATCGAGACGAACGCGCTCTTGCAATCGGGACGGACGCGCTCTTACAATCGGGACGGACGCGCTCTTGCAATCAGGACTGAAGCGGCAATTGCACGCTCGGGGGGACAGCTCTGGGGCCGTGGGGTGGGGAATGAGCGGAGGGGCGGAGGGGCGGTGACATCCCCGAGCTCCTGACACTCTACCATCTGCGTACACCCTGCGACCTCTGCACCCTGACGCCAGACGGCCATGCCGGACCTGCACGCCCAATCACGTCGACAGTGCCATCTTTGTCGCGGTTCGCCGGAGGACACGCGACAGCGACACAATGGCGACAGGCGCGGACACGGAGAACACGACGAGGGATGTGGACGCTAGGGACGACGAGCGCGTGCCTCCCTGGTGTCGTGACTTGGCCGAGGCGTAAGGTACGCGGCCTACGGGCGGGGCAGGTGGGCGAGGAGGATGGCGGAGACGTCAGCCGGATGAATGGGACAGCAGGTCTCGTACGACGACGTACCCATGGACGACGCAGAGTGCAGGCGTGCACGGCCGTGACCTATGCACTCTTGCAATCGCAACCGACACGTTCTTGCAATCGTGACCGACGCGCTCTTTCGATCGAGACCGATGCACTCTCGCAATCGCGACCAACACGCTTTCACGGGCAAGCTGCAGTACGAGCCTAGAGGAAATATTGGTAAGGTGAAACCAATGTAGAGGATGGGACGGATGGCATACCTCGAGCACCCTCGCGAGACGCATAGTCCGGCATAAGAAGCAGAAAAACAAGCAGAAAACCCTGTAGAAAATAACACGTGTGCGTGGGGAACGAGTCTTGCGCAGCATACGGGGTGCACCGAGGAAAGTATTAGCAATTCAAAGTTGCGAGGGCGACATACCACGGCGACTCAGCAACGACCCAGTCCCTACCCTGCCTAAGACACGCTGCCCTCTCATCTTGGCTTCGTCTCATTGCCCCTTGCCCAGGCCTGCCGTCTATTCCACACCGCTGATGTCGTCCTTGAGAGGGAAGGTGCCACAAATTGGTGGAAAGATTCTGTACGATCGAGGCTGGCCGGTCATCGAGGAGTGACCGAGAGCAGAGACGTACAGGCGGTGGACATGGTAAAGTTCTAGCAGATGAAAGCTATGGGAACCTGTGCCCTAAGGGACATCACAGACTGGCAGTGCACCGACAAACAAGACAAGTAGGTGTCGAGCGGAAGTGGGAAACCAGAGGTCGTGGTGGAGAGAGAGGAACAAACGACATCAGCAGGCCTGAGACAGTATGCATGGGAACCTAATATGCCTAGGCGCCCATGGAAAGCGCTCACGCGAAGCCTCTGCTCTCGTATGATGATTCACTCCTGGACCTCACCAGCGTCCACCGCCGACAACCGAGCAGCTCTCAACCGAGCAGCTCTGCAAAGAAGAAGAATGTCTATGTGACCAGCCCTCCCCTATGCTCCGCTGACAGATCCCCACCGCCCCGACCCCGCGCCTGGCCTGCGCCCCGCGACCTCCACACCCCGACGCCGGACGGCCATGCCGAACTCGATGAGCCTCCACCGGGTAAATACCCCTCTCACTCTGACAACGCTCTTGCGCAGCTCAAGGGAATGTAGGTACTCTGAAGAGGACTGGCCACGATCGCTGCCGCGGAGTACCCAATCACACATCCGGGCGATGGGAGCAAGCCGTACGCCAACATCTGCGCCCACGGGGCCAGAAGACGCATGCGCGGGGCCGCAGGACCGCCACCGTGACTGTTCCTGACGACGTGATGGCAAGCGCAGACACAACGGCAGCAGGCGTGGACGCAGAGAAGACGACCAGGGACGTGGACACGACAGGGCAAGGACGGCGAGGACACGTCGAGAGCGCACCTTACGTCTGCCCACCACGTACGCGCTACGACGACGATGGCCACGGAGCTGGCTCGACTAGAGCGTAAGGTATTCAAACGCCACTATTGACTTCGTGCGCGCCGAGACTCACCACGCCCGCAGCGCACCGCCCCATCGTCCCCTAGTGGCTCGTGCAAATATCTACGGACACGGGCGCGCCGACGTCTGCGGAACAGAACGTACAGCGGCGGCGGGGGCGGCGGCACAGGCGACCAGACGATCGTGCGCATGCGAGGTACGACGCCTGCTTGCACGGTCGCAGACGCCTGGAGATGTGAGGTGTTGTGGCGCGAGCGAGGTGAGCTGAGGAAGGAATAGCATGCCAATGCAAACTTCTATGCTGACAAGCTAGTTGCAGGTCGCTCGCGCGCAAAACTACGCATACAGACTCCACCATTCACAGCGATGTCGCCGCTGCCCGCCGACGTCTGCGCCGCATCACATCCTGCGGGCGGCCCCGTGCTAATACGCCTCCTCCGCGCCAAACATAACACACTGGGGCGCACCCCCACGCCAGCACTCCCAACACCCCGCACATGGTCCGCGCCTGCCGGCAAGTGCGTACCTTTGCCGCACCTGGCCTGCACCCTGCGACCTCCGCACCCCGACGTATCCTGCAGCGACTGTCCGGACGACACGCGACAGCGACAGCGACACAACGACGACAGGTGCGGACACGGAGAACGCGACGAGGGACGTGGACGCCAGGACGACGAGGGCACTTGGCCGAGGCGTAAGGTACGGGAGCTACGACTGCAGACACGCTGCAGCGGGGCGAGCGCCGCGCGACATTCCCTGCGCCCCCTTCCACAAACGCAAGCTCCCAGAGCGCGACGAGGCCACCACAACGTACGTATCTCGCGCTCGGACAATGTCCCCACGGCTCACGATGCATCGCCCATGACAGCAGAAAATCAGCCGCAGAACGGCAGAAAAACAGGCCGCCGCACGTCGACGTCGACGTCTGCGCTGCGCTACACCCCGCACCCCGCGCCTGGCCTGCACCCCGCAACCTCTGCACCCCGACGCCGGACGGCAATGCCGAACTTGACGAGCCTCCACCATGTAAACACCCCTCGCACTGACGGGGCCCGGTCCGCGGCCGTGCCCCCGTGCCAACACTCCTGCTCGTGAACAGAGTGACCCTGACGCCGGTGCGAGAAGACGCACGCCCGGGGTCGACATCCCCAGCGCTCAGTTGACGGCCGTGCCGGACTCGACTATCCGCAGTGATTTCGCCGCCGCACGCCAACGTCTGTGCTGCGACACTCCGCACCCCGCGCCTAGCCTGCGCCCACGCCACCTCCCTGCTGACACTGCTCTTCATATGCATCTACAGATGATGATGTCAACCCAACCGCGAAACTATGCAATGTTGGCCTGCAGGTCTTTCTCGCAGCTGGAGGCAATGCTGCGAGAAGAGACCTGTAATGCCCGAACCTTATGAGGACGACAAGGACACGCGAGGTAAACCCGAGCACGACGGCGAAAAGGAACACACAGAGAACAGAGACAGGACCCAGATGAAGAGGAGACTAAAGGGAAGGCGGAAGCCCCAAAACATGAGACCTGAGGGTGGGGATGCGGGAACGTGAGGGACAGCGAGTGAGTGAGTGATCGACAGTCCGCCGGGTTGGAAGAGAGGGTCCCTGCAGGCGCTTAGGTGTTTGTCACTGGCCCTGCTGTCCCTTCGGCCTGCCATCATCACCGCTGCCACTAATAGCCGTCCTGATCAAGAAAAAGAAATAGAGACAGGAGCCGAAAAGGACTGGGTAGATGCAGGCGCGGTCGCTCCTTTGACATTGATTGGGTACGTTTTCCCTCGTCCCTCGTGTACTTCTCCTAGTCTACTATATGCTCACCCCCCGCGTCCGCCGGAAACCCGTCCCTGCACACCGCATCCCCGAACACTGACACCTCCACCCCGCTCCCCCTGATGCGTCTGCGACACCCCACGCGGAAATACTCGCCGCGCAGCTGATTGAGCGGCCCGAACAGGATGGCGCCGTCCTGAATTCCCTTGCCATCTGTCACCCTCCGCCAAGGCCCGCAAGAACGTCCAGCTCTGCACGCCCTCCCCCTCCGTCGACTCAGCTACCGCCGCCGCTGCCGACCCGCGCTCGACCTCCGCAACGATCAAGCTCGCCCGCTTATCCGTCGACGACCCGAACCGCAACGCCTCGCCCACCCGGTGCGGCTCCATCGCCGCGCTCACAGTGATCGTGCCGACCCCCGTCTTTGTGCTTCCCGGGCCGACCGTGCCCTCGCTCACCGCGCATATCGACTCCATCCTGCCGACGATCTTGCATACATATGTGCTCGCGCGCATCCCTGGCCAGCCGGAGGAGGCGCTGCAGTGCCCGCACTCACCGCGTTCTTCGCCGCCGCTTTCTCCGTTGAGCTTGCGCGCACGCATGGGAAGTAGCTATACATTGTGTTGGCATGTCTACCTATTGTGGTGTATCACTATTTGTGTCCTATTGAAACATGGAACCTCTCCGCACACGGATGCGAGGACACAACGGCGAGCTCCGCACAAACACACCCGTGGTTGCATCGTGTGCATTCCCTCGTGAGGCGCGTAGGCACATTCCTGGAAGCCCCCAGCACCGCGCGCGACATTGCCCGTGGCCCGCGACATTGGGCGAGGAGGACCGAACAGAGGAGGCAGGCAGCGCACTGTGGGCGAGGTGAGTATTAGCGTGCACGGAGTGACGGGTGGCAACTGCATACCTTGCACTCTCACTGAGCCCCGGGCGGCAGGAATAACTGCTGCGAGGACGACCGCTGCAACGAGCCCGTCGTACGGGCACGATTGCAGGGTGCAACCTACGATCAGAGCGCTATGGGCGGAGGCGGAGGAAGGACAACGGCATCGTGGTGGGCGAGAAGTGCACTAGCGCATGCCGCGGAACGGGGCGCGCGTCGCATCCTGCGGAACGGGGCGCGCGTCGCGTCCTTCTGCGGTTGCGCCATCCCGCGGACGAGCGGGATGACCGTGTACGGAATGTTGTCGCTGAGCCCGGGGCCCAGTGCGGCTTGCACGGACGCGGGGATGTGCGTGAGGAGCTCGTTCTGGAGGAGCGCGCCGCCGACGGTCACGCCCCAGATCTACGTAGCAGCATATATATATATATATAAATCAGCAGGCGCTCGGATGGGGAAGGATGGGGCGGAGGGCTCACTGGAGCGAAGGAACGCAAGAAGACGAAGAACACGAGTGCGAGCGCGTTTGACGTGACAGGCAGCGGCGCCAGGACAGGGAAGGAGTGGGGGATGGAAAAGACAGACCGAGAAACAAGGGCAAGCTCGGGAACTAACCCGGGCTCGCGCCAGCAGCCAGCAGATGACATCCAGCCACAGTGGAAACCCATAGAAGAACGTTGAGGTGCACCTATAGTGTCCCGCGATCAAGCAGCGTGGCGGTGGCGGGTGGAACAAGCAGGAAGCATGAGCGCGGGATGGACGAGCGGAGCCAGACGGCGAAGAGAGAGGCCTGGCGGGCGCGCAGAGAGGACGGCGGAGGGACGTGGACGCACGACCTGTCCGAGGTGTATGGAGTCTCTGTCGAGGGGCGGTCGAGACTCGCTATCATGGGGCCATAGATGCCTGCGCAAAGCTGTACCCTGGGCACTCGAGGACTCAAAGTCGTTCGAGCACCGTCGCTAGACACAAAGTCCGGCGTAACAAGGGGCGATATGAGTAAAATAACCTGTAGGAAACGGTACGTGTGCGAGGGGAACGAGTCTTGAATAGCAGAAGGGGTGCACCAAGAAAGTGTCAGTAGGTCAAAGTAGTGAGGGCGACGTACCGTGGCGATAGCAGTGACCCATTCCCTACCCTGCCTAAGAGACCCTGTCCCCTCATCTTTGCTTCGTCTCATTACCGCTTGCTCATGCCCGCCGCCTATCCCATGCTGTTGATGTCGTCGTTGAGAGGGAGGGCGTCACACATTGGTGCAAAGATGCCATAGGACCGACACCGGCTGGCCTTCCAGGAGTGGGCAAGAGCAGAGACATGCAGGCGGTTGATGGGCATGGTACAGTTCTATGGGACATGAGAGGCTGCCAGTACTCTGGCAAACAAGTACGCGTCGAGCGGAAGTGGGGAGACCAGAGGTCGTGGTGGAGAGAGAGCTGAGCAACTACCGAGATCAGCCCTGTGCCTAGCGACGGTGGCCAGACCCCCGAGCACCGCTCGCTCTCACTATGGGAGTCATGCATGACTCGTGCCGTATCCACCTCACCATTATCCATTATCCCACCCTGCGCTCACCACAACCTCGACCGGGACACTCTCTGGCAGAACGTTGGGAGAAGACGCATGCCCGCCCGGGGCCGCAGGACGACAGGAAATCGGCGTAAACGTACCTATTTACAAGCAGAACGAGAACAATGTGCGGGTAACTGTCAAGAGTGCCGGGGCGCGGGCGTCGGTGGGAGCACAACGTGCTGGAGGTGGAGGTTCTGTAGCGGTGAGCGTTGCGCTGTGGCCTGGCCCCGATCGATCGTGATTGACATGCTCTTGGAATTGCGACCGACGCGCTGCTCGCGATCACGACCAACGCGCTCTTGCGATTCAGACTGAAGCACGCAAATGGCGTACATGCCGTCCGATACCTCCACCTGAACAATCTACGCACAATGGCGGGCGCGCACGGACGATGGGGGCGGATGTGGGGGCCGCGAGTGGCATGCAAGGATGCGGATACGTCGATGAAGGCAACAGGTACGGGCACCGGCGGTGCACTACCCGCCGAAGTCAGATGTTGATTCACGCGCTCTGCACCGACGCCCACTGAACTCGACCATCCGTGTAGGGCGATACGCCTCCTCCGCGCCCTACACGACACACACTGGGGCCCTGCGACACGCTAGACCATGCAATCAAGACCCCCAATGTCGATAGGTACCCGGTCAATGGCACCCGCGTGCATCTTGATGAGGTCGAAATTCCGCTGTCGAAGTCGAAATTTCATCTCGCCGGCAGACGGATTTTCGTGAGCACGATTCAGAAACCTCCGTCCCGTCGGCGACGCGCCATGCCAAGCTGCGGGGGCGACCCGCTCGCGCGCAGAGTCGCGCGTGGGTCGCGATAGGACCCCCGCCTATGCTGCAAGAGGTCCGATAATAGTGCTGTACAAAATGACCTGTAAACAGGCCTTATGTCCGATAATCATGCGGTATATTAGGCCCTTATGGCTAGCTATGTCCGATAATATGTGCTGTATAATGGGCCTTAGGGCGCTGCAGGTCCGATCCGTTATGCTGACAAAAGAGGCAGCTGCCCGGCCGGCCTACCCGTATCTGCCGGTGGCTGTCGAGGAAGACTGAGCAGAATGGTGCCCACTGGGCAGCACTGGGCTCGTATTTGGGGGTACGATCTCCATATGCTGGACAAAACGGTCCGTTGAGCTTGCTCCACGGTACGTCTACCCAGGAGACTAGACAAATCGAACCCTTATGCTGCACGAGGTCCGATTGTCATGCTGATAAAAACGACCGTCAAAATGGTATGTACCATTATCATGCTGTATATAATCCCGAAAAAGTATGCTGATAAATGTGGTCAAATTCGAGGGTTTTGCGATCGGACCTTTGGCGGCATAGGCGGGGGTCCTGTCGCGATTTCATGGGCGGTTCGGAGGCGCCCGGGGCACGTCGGCGGGGGCGTGCGGGCTAGGGGAGCTGGGATGGTGGTCGCAGGCCTCGGACCGTGTAGAACACAGAATGTATCATATAATACTACTAGTAGCGATAATAAGGAACATGATTCTGCCTCGCCAGCTTCGCAACCGTCAGCTCATTCTTCAGCTTGATCATTTCGTCCAAGAAAAAGTCATACTTGTCCGCCGACATCTCCCTGATTATTGCGTGATACCCCCCCAGCCACACGTTCGTCTGCTCTGCGATAGACGAGTTAAAAAACCAAGTGTCATCTGCGTTGCGGATCTCGGGGAAGGCGTATGGGTTGCAGTGGATGGAGCAGGCCTCGTCGGTCTTCTTGTGTTTGCACTTCCAGTGGAAAACGTCGACCGGGAGACCGATCTCCTTGTGGAGAGTCTCCCCGTTGGCAGCGCACCAGATATAGAGTCGGCAATTGTTGTCATAGAGCGAGACCCGAGGGCGTAGTGCCGGATCAGGCCATGTCTGCTTGTACAAAGACTAGACCATATGAGCAAGATGTCAACAGCCGCACGGTGCACTAAAATGATGGACGTACGCATACTTGACGAACACTCTCCGAACCGTAGAAGGTTTCACGCCGGATGATGACGCCGCAGGGCCGCACAATGAGCTGTTCGTTGTGCGTCCTACGGCGACCAAACATCGCGCGCAAAGTGCGCTTGGGTACGGCGGGCTTCTCGGGGCATGGCACGGTCGTTGCGTGAGTTCCGTGTTCATCGGCTACGTTGGCATGGGCAGCACCCGACGAGGTGGCAGGCTCGGCGGGGGCAGCATGGGCGTCAGCTAGATTTAAGCCCGCACCAGCCGCTGCAGGCGGACCCTCGTCCACGTCGACACGGATGCGGCCAGCGCCATCGACAGTCTCCTCGACCTGCACCTCCACCGTACCATCCTCGTGGGGCTCGACCTGCGTTGAATCCTCAGGCTGACTGCCCGTGTTGGCACGCTGGAGACGACGGCGCAGTGTGAAGAGCGCCTTATTCTGGAGTGCCGCATACTCCTCGACGGCACGATGGGACGGCAAGTCGCAGGTGCGAAAATTTCCTACCCGCTGTTCGTTGCAGGCCTCGATGTAACATAGCGTGTTGCGGCTTTTGTGGGACGGACAATAGTGATCCTGGGTGGACGAGAGGGCCTCGGTACAGTGCCGCACCTTGCAGCACGGCCGACCGATTTCGATCCCGTCCGTGATCACCGCGTCCACAAAGCCTGAAGAAGTAGCGGTCAGATAGCAAGTCGCAGATGTGGGTGGATGCACACCTGTAGAGCCGTCAGGCTTCTTATACTGCCGGACGCACTTGTCGCAGCAGTGCAAGAACTCCGGCTGCCCCGACGCACGCATGTGGTCGTTCCGTGCTTTCATAGCGGCGGAAAAGCGTACGCTCTGGTCGCCCTCCTGGGGCACATGCAGGACGTACTGCCGATCGCGTGCATCCTTGAGGAGGGCCAGTATCACAAACCCGTCCGATACGTGCTCGGTGCGAAGATGGTACCGGGCGATGCGGCGTGTCTTTGCATCCAGACCAGACAGGGCACGGTCGTATATGTGTGCCGAATTTGTGTGGGAAGTCCAGGATAGCAAGGAAAGGGTGGTGAATAACTCCAGGACGCGGCGTTCGACGAACGTGTGCTCAGCGACCTGTATGATGTCAGGGATGCCGGCATAATAGATGCGTTGTTTGGCGTGGACGGTATAGTTGAGCTTGTATACTGTGCCGCAGCCTGAAAAAGCAATCAGCGCACATTGGAGGAGGAAAAAATGAGCACCATGACCTGGACACAACAGGTTTACTGCATGTGCATCACAGACGCCCTGATCCAGCGTAAAGAGCGCGACATCGTGGAAGGCGTCCACGCGTTGGCGAAGGAGCTGGCGGTCGGTGCAGTATGTGCGGTCGCATACCCGTACGGGAGGATAGAGCATTCGAAAGCCTGCCATGATACAAGACATCAGCAACCCACCGAGAGGTGCGTCGTGCGTATACACATACCCAGGCCCCCAGGCGACAGTGGACTGGTGCGGCCCCACTCGGGATCATCTCCAAGCCAGCGGATTGAGTCGGTCTGCCACACGAGCGGTCCGAGCGCACTCCAGAGGGCGAGGACCTCAGGCTGAGACATTTCCATTTGCAAGGCGAGGTACGCGACGGTGCTAGGCGTAAGGTCCTCCGCCTCCGGGATCGCAACCTTGTCGCTGGTACAGTCTGGAGGGAAAACGGAATGCAAGGCATAACGCTTTACAGCGCTGGCCAACCGGAGAAACCGCACAAGGAGGGGGAGCGTAACTTTGGATGTAAGCCCGGGCAAACCATACTCGTTAGACATTTGCTCTAGGGCGCGATAGATGGCGTCCATTACGGCGTGGATGAAGACGTTGCAGATGAAGGCAGTGGGAGGAGACGCGGCTAGGCAAAAACAGTCGCGCACACGAGGACGCGAGTCCGAGTGCGAATCCGTAGAGAGCGTCGATGTGACGAGTAGAGAAGGTTGGCAGCTGCCTATTCTAGACAGGTGATCGAGCGTGGGCCGAGGTGCCGTGGCCCCTTCTAGACCGTACCGATGGCGTCATTCTCCCCCGAAATTCTCCCCTCGCAGGAGAATTCCCCCCGTTTGGCAGGGGAGAAGGGAGAATTGTGGGTTTCCGGACGTTCTCGTTTGCACAGGTCGGCGAAGAGTATGACATCATCGGCTTCGACCCTCGAGGGATCGGTCAAACAGAGTGCGTCCGCCTGGCTGTCCCGAGGTTCATGCGGCTGACCGCCGAGGATTAGGCCGGTCACTCAGTGCTTCACGAGTCCTGAAGCACGCCAGGCCTTCATCGCGAACACTGTCTTCGACCGTGGATATGACGTCGCCCCGGACGTACAGGACCCCTTCAACCGGTACCACCTCATCCAGACGCAGCGCGATGCGGATGCGCTGTACAAGTCGCAGTTCCAGGTCTGCGCGCAGACGATGGGTGACGGTCTCCGGTACATGGGCACGAGCACGGTCGTGCGCGACATCGACTTCATCACGAAGTTGTTGGACGGCGAGGACGCGCTCATGTGAGCTTGCTTGTCTGTCATAATGGCCCTCTCGTCGGCGTATTTCTGACGTGGCTCTGGCAGCAACTTCTGGGGCTTATCTTACGGGTCGGCGATTGGACAGTACATGGTGAACATGTAAGTCGTCCCTCGCGTGTTGTAGAAATCTTATTCACACCCGTGACAGGTTGCCCGACCGGGTCGGCCGCATTGTCATCGACGGTGTTCTGGATGCGGTATCGTGGACATGTAAGTGGCTACTTCAACCATTTGGTTAATTCGTCCTCTTGACGACGATTTTTATCAGCTGTGCCGTCGTACAAGTGGGAGCGCACCTTCTTGGTCAACACAGATGATGTTTACAAGTTGTTCATGTCTGAGTGCGCCCAGGTATGCCTCCTACGAATGCTCGTTCGCAAACATCTCACGCTTCAATGTATAGGCGGGACCCTCGCAGTGCGCTTTGGCAAAGAGCGCCAACGAAACGGGATCAGACATCCTCGCACGTGTAGAGAATTTCGTGAACCAGCTGTACTGGTCGCCTCTCGCTGTTCCGAATGCGACCGCGCCTGGAATCTTGACGAGCGGTCGCGCACGACGTACGCACTTTCTACTAACATTGCGCTCCGTCACTGACAATTGGCCCTAGTCTTCCTCATGGGCGCGCTCATCTCTCCCACCTCCTGGCCGCAAGCAGCGGAAATCATCGCTCAAGCCATTGCTGGTAACGGCACCGCGATCCTGGACGCCGTGAATACTAAGGACCTCGTCGATCTCGAGCGCTCCGCAGTGTCCTGCAACGACAACAAGCCGTTCAAGGCGCCAACTCCCGCGGAGGTCATCGACGAGCAGCTGTACGATCAGGCGCACGTCTCGCGCTTCTCATTGACGGTCGTGATCTCCGAGCCGGACGCTGGATGTCAGTTCTGGCCGGTGACGCCCCCGGAGCGGTTCCTGGGCCCATGGAACCAGACGTTGAAAAACCCCATGCTCATCATCAGCAACACGGTACGTCTCATGCTGGGTGCACATAGTTGCTTTAGTTGATAGCATGATCGACGCGTAGCTCGACCCCGCGACGCCCCTCAGGAGCGGACGTCTCGCGCTCGAACGGCAAGGTAATGATTCCGCGCGCCTGCTTGTTCAGAACGGCCCAGGGGTGAGTAGCGCGATCTTGATGTTTACCTCCCTCGCGCAAAGTACTGACGCCTCTCTTCCGCAGCACACGTCCCTCGCGCTGCCGTCGCTCTGTACCGCCCAAGTCCTGCGCGCGTACTTCGCGAACGGGACGCTGCCTGCGGAGGGGACCGTATGTCAAGTGGACGCCTCGCCCTTCCCCACGGAAACGGACAGCACTGCCAAGGTCCTCAGCATCGACACTTCCGGGCACCAGAATACATTGGACAGCATGCATCGTCTGCGGAAGGCCATCTTCGGTTGAGAGAGTGCTGTGCTGGATATGAGGATATACGGACTTCTGTTGTCGCGCTTCGGACTATCACGCCTCTACTTTATTTTCGCGAGCTGTATATTATGATCTACTTCCAATTGAGCACCACAATCTACGTACATACATTCCTTTCGCGAGCTGCGAGACATCGCAAGCGCCTACAAGGGTCGCGCTGTCTCGCGATTGGACGCGCTCGGTTCGCGAGTCGCGCGGGCGCCTGACCGGGCAGCACCATATGGACGTCACTTGGTCGCTACCGCCCATGTTGGGCTTCTCTTCCTCTCACCACCATGGCGGACTACTACAACTGGGGCCTGGACCCTACAAACATACCCAAGGGATCTGAATTGCCCCTGCCGCAGCAGCCCAGGAAGCCGCGCACGAGCTGGAAAGATCGGGTGGGGCGCGCCGCGCTCTGGGTTGGGTTCGGTCTGTCTTGCGTCTCCCTCTACAGACGACACTACGGAATCGAGAGGACTACCGGGGAGTCCTACCATGTCGGAGACGTAAAGTGGTGGGCTTGCGAGGAACAGGGTCATGCTCCGGGTGCGGAGTGCGGGTATGCCATGTGAGTAGGGCGGACGGCAGGTGGTGGCGAGAGTATGCGAGACTGACCCTAGCGCGTAGCGTACCGCTGGACTACCTCAACACTAGCGCGGGCGTCGCCAAGATTGCGCTTGGGCGTTACAAGGCCACGGCCTCGAACAGGAAGGGCAGCGTCTTCTTAAACCCAGGAGGACCTGGAGGAGCCGGCAAGCGTCTCGCGACCATGTCGGGCGCGTACTTCCAACGGCTCGTAAGTGTGGAGTTATTATTTTCTTTTCCGCATTCCTGAGAGTTTGTAGGTTGGGGAGGAGTATGACATGATTGGCTTCGACCCTAGAGGTATCGGGGAGACTGAGTACGTTTCCTCCGCACTTCCATCATGCAACCGGACTAACGCCGCCCGCTAGACCGAAGACGGCGTGCTTCTCGAGCCCGGAAGCACACGCCGCTTTTGTATCCAACACTGTTCTGGACCGCGGATACGACGTTGGCCCTAACCTGACCGACCCGCTGAACCGTTACCACCTCATTGAACAGCAGCGGGACGCGGATGCTTTATGGAAGGCGCAGTTTGAGATCTGCGCCCAGACCATGGGCGACCAGCTGAAGTATATGGGAACTAGCACCGTCGCCCGCGACATCGACTATATCACGACTCTCCTGGAGGGACAGGACGCGTTGATGTAAGTGTTCATCGTTAGTTTTCAATATTGTGTTCTCACTGTCCACCACTTTGTCAGTAACTTCTACGGGCTTTCATACGGCACGGTCATCGGGCAATACCTCGTCAACATGTAAAGCATACTTCCTCTTGCAGCATGAGGTCCAGCTCATCTACTCTAGGTTCCCCGACCGAGTCGGCCGCGTAGTCATCGACGGTGTCGTAGATGCCATTGCCTGGGCCAGTACGTTTTCGCCGTCAGTCCATGAAAAAGCACACCCTGACATGCCGTACAGCGCTCCCCGCTTATAAGTGGGAGCGCCTTTGGCAGACTTCTACAGATGAAGCATACAAGATTCTCTTCTCCGACTGTGCCAGGGTAAGATTGGATTTTGGTTCTGCATGTTTCTGCATTGCACGTCTCTGACTCTAGCTCAGGCCGGACCATCCCAATGCGCATTGGCGAAGAGTGACGACGACAAGGCTGCTGATATCCTCACTCGCGTCGAGGCCTTCCTCGAGAAGTTGTATCACGAACCTTTGGCCGTACCGAATGCGCTCAGCCCCGGAATCCTGACCAACGGGCGTGCACGTCGTACGTCGCATACCCCTTGGATCTCCTTAATATCGCCCCAGGCTAACAATACTGCAATAGTGTTCCTCCTTGGCGCGCTCGAGTCACCTTCATCATGGCCAGGTGCGGCTCGGGCATTTGCTCAAGCCATGGACGGTGACGGCACCGCTGTCCTCAACGGCCTAAGCCACACGCAGTACCTGAGTGACCTCGAACGCTCGGCCGTCTCATGCAACGACAACAAGCCATTCAAGGCGCCAACCCCCGAAGAAGTCATCGACGAGCAGCTCGACGTATTGAAGCACCTCACACGGTTCGCCCTCGCGGTGGTCGTCGCGGAACCCGACGCGGGCTGCCAGTACTGGCCGGTGACGCCCCCGGAGCGCTTCCTGGGCCCGTGGAACCACACCCTGCGGAACCCGGTGCTGATCATCAGTAACACGGTGCGTAGTCTTGTGTACGGCTGCGGGGGACGCAGCGCGCGGATTTTCTTCGCAGGCTTACGCGCGCGGTCGACAGGCTGATCCGGCGACGCCGCTGTCCAGTGGGAAACTGGTGCATGAGACGCTCGGGAACTCGTCCAGCCTCCTCGTCCAGGATAGCCCTGGGGTAAGCTACTATAAGATCCATTCATGTCTTTACAAAATGCTAATCACACGGCGCTGGGATAGCATTGCTCATTGGCGTTGCCATCATTCTGCACCATACGGCACCTGCGCGCGTTCTTCGCGAACGGCACCCTGCCCAAGGCGGGAACAGTGTGCAAGGTAGATGCATCGCCGTTCCCGCAGCTGGGCAACATGAAGGCATACTCTGCGGAGGAGGAAGAGATCCTCGAGAGCGTGCGGCGGGCTGCGCAGGTCGTCTTTGGGAATGATGTTTGATCGCTGTGCATCTCGCGGTCGCTGGATATGGATGTAAGATAGGCGCGGTGGGAATATGTATGTGTGGGCGCTGTGCTTACTGCGTCGGTGGCGATGATGCTGCAAACGGCACCCGACTCCCAAGAAGCACCCATTAAGCTTTCTGCGTATACACAGTGTGGCAAGATAGCCTAATAAGCCTGCGAAGCATCAGGTACTTCTAAGGTACTGTATGCCATTTCATCTATGGTTCTACGGGTGCTTACCGCGTTGTTTATGTAGTGTTTTCATCGCGAGATATGCCGCGGTACGCCAATGCCCTCACGTCTTGTGCCATCAATATCGTCTGCGGCTCTCTTGTTGATTGGCTGCGCCGTGACGGCGGGCTGCGCGCAGTTCCTCTCACTCCGCTTACTGCTCCGGCCCATATGCTGAACGACCGTTACCCGACGCTCTGCAGCAGCCCGTCATGGGCCTCAGCGCGCAGTCTGTTCAGACATCGGTGCGTACAGTGGGCAGGTATATAAACCTGAGATTCTCTTCAGGAGATCTCAGCCTCCACAACAAACTCCTTCAGCGACCCGGCGTCACTCACTCTTCTCAGGACTTTTTCATCGACCCGGCGTCGATCATTCATGCATCTTCACCAACAACTTCCTTTCTCTCTTCATACGATACAATGGTTCAACTGCGTATTCTGGCTGCATTCTCCGCGTACGCCATCTTGCTGGCGTCCCAGGTCACCATAGCGGGTTCGTCATCTCATTCGTCTCAATATTTACGGAGCAAAGATTGACATTATGTGTCAGCTCCTGCTCGCCGCCAGCTCGGTGACCTGCAGTGCAACATCGACCGCGCCGAGATCATCTTCAACGTCGGGCAGCTCGCCGGGACCGTCGCGAACCTCGGGAATGCCACCGGCCTCGTTTCCGCGTATGTTCTCGTCCTCCTCGTCCAAGTAGCACTATCCTTACCGTTCACGCGCCATAGAAACTCGACGGCCGACGCGGACGTCACCGCTCTGCAGACAGGCGTGCAGGGCGTGGGCGGCGCAGTCAAGCAGATCCTCACCGCGCTCGTCAGTGGGGAGAACGCCCCGCCGGAGCTGCGTACCCAGCTCGGGGCTAACCTCACCCAAATTAGGCTCGCCCTCGCGGACCTTTCCTCGTGCGTACCTTTTTGTTCGGCTTGGTGCGAGGGTGTTGGGCTGAATGCTATGGGGCAGGAACCATACGATGACCGCGGCACTGCTCGATACGGCCAACACCCAATTTACCAACGCTAATTTGGCGGCTACCGGCGTTGTCACCAACTGCAAGTAGTAGTGCGGTCTGCCGCCTTCAAGTCGGCACACTACCCGCGAAATATCATCAGGAAAAACCTCCATCCATAACGAGGGCTAATGAGTGCTAATACGCGGGAATAGCCGTTTAGCTCAAAAAGTAAGGTCCGGCTTTTATAAGGGTGTGAGGAGCGAAGGTTAGCTCGATTAGTTGACATTGAGAGCGGCGGCAGCTTTGTATCCTTCTCCTTATTCAGATCATTCCACTCGAAATATTGCGCAAGATAGAATATATTGCACTACGGTAAAGACATACAAATGTAGCTCTACGGGACCAGCGAAAGATAAGGTGGCCACGGAGGGACGAAAATGCGCACCTTAGTGAGGACAGCGGTCGCGCTCTAGTCGGAAAGAGGGGCACACGGATACAGATGACTTGAGAGCTTCGCAACACCCTGACGGCGCCGTGCGGACTCGCAAACTGGTACAAGCTGTCAGCTGAGTCGTAAGAAAGGTAATGTGAAGTGCGAGCATACTCCGCGTGCCAGTTGACTGGAGTACGCGTACCTTGTTTGTTTTCCCGAAAGACCGCCGTAAAGGGTTAGCCAAGGGTGACGGCGAGCCAGGAGCTCCGATAGCTGGAGGTAGTTTAGGTCGCATAGCAGGGCTAGTCATACACTAGGAGTTACTTTCTAGACCGAAGACCAGCGATAAAATAGTTAGCAGCATATATGAAAGCAAGCAGGTGGTGGTACGAGGTCAAGATGCACAGACGCCGGATGTGCGCGGCGCGGGCATAAAGGCGACTGAAGTTTGGCGCCAGAGTTTAGGGCAAATGCGGACGGACTTGTGCGAAATTGGTACGTCTCTAGTTCTCCAAGAACACGCGCAACCATAAACATTTCATCTTTCTTGAAGCTTTCTATGAGCTAGATATGCTGCGAGATGCCATAGCGTCCGCCTGTGACGCAGGGGAATCAGTCCGACGACTTTGGACAAAATGATCAAAGTGAGCAGGTGATTATCTGGTTTATTTGGCGGTAAATACTAATTAACGCTCGTTAGGGATGGAGGTTTTTCCTGATGATGGACATTATTGGACAATTCATAGATACAGGTCCTTACCGGTTCTAGTTATCTACTTCATCAACATGGCCGTTGGTGCTTACTCAGAACCAGCCTGCCCTGCAGGCGCTGCCACACTTCAAAAGGCTTTCTTGAGGCTGGTCGAGGTGCAGTTGTCGACTGCGGCCCGGGTTTGTTGACTTCCGGCTAACATCAGCGAAGCGCCGGTCCGAGGGTGTGTGCGAGCCAACATGAGCAAATCGGGACAACTCCGCAGGAAACGGTCTTTTCGGTGTTTGCGCTCTCCATCTTGTTGCTTCGTCGCTATGAGTGCACACGGCATTCCATGCATACGTGCCGTACACAGGTCCTTGTTGCTCCTTGGATCTGAGTCTATCAGCTCGTAGCTGGGGCACGGCATCGCCTCCATTCAAGTTGGTAGGTGATTTGAAGCTTCTCTTAGCGGGGAATGCTCACATAACATGGAATGCTGTCCACCAGCTCTGATTCCAAGCATCCAGCAGAACATATTCTCAGGGTGACCGGGTGCTGTGCCCTCGTGCCTGCGGGAGAACAGGGAACAGGACCTGAAATGGTCGTCGACCTTACGAACGAAGCTCCACGCCGCGATCGCCTGTGGGCGTCGCCATGGTATTGTCGCCACCCCGGGCATGCTGACCCTACGGATCGTTCGATTAGACTGGGCACAATGTTGAGCATCATGCACGTCGTCCCGCATGCATGCCGCTCGAGCTTCGACCGCGGCATTTGCCACTACTCTCCGCATTCGTCGCTATGGAGAGCCGGGGCAGGGGATCGGTATATAACGCAGCGGTGTCCGCGCCGTGGACCGTCCTTACCCTCGTTCGCTCTTCTTACCTTTCGAACTTGATCCCCTGCGGCCTGGTGCTGTTCTTTGAGCCTTTCGTCCTTGCTGTGCAGTCTCGTCCTCAGCCTTACCTTCTAGTCAACCTTTCGTGACCTTCACTGCACCTCACCATGTTCCGCTTCTTCGCTGTTGCTCTCACTTTTGTGTGTCTCCTCTTGGGCTCGCAGATCTCTGCTGGTATGTGTCTTTTTTGCCGAATGTTACAACATATACTAAGATGTGATCACAGCCCCCACGAATGAGATCGTTGCGCGTCAGATCGGCAACTTGCAGTGCAACGTCGACCGTCTGAGCATCGTCGCGGGTCTCGCCAAGACGCAAAAGACGCTGAAGGGACTTGCCGCATCGTGAGTTCCCTATCAGCCTTACCGTACGCATCTCTTCGCGACGCTGACGTTTCTCATTTCTGCAGTGACAACTCCACCGCGTCCAGCGTGCAGTCCGTCATCGACAGCATCTCCGGCGCCCAGGGTGCTATTGGCGTTATCGCCAAGGCGCTCTTCAGCGGTGCAACCGCTCCCGCCGACGCGCGCACCCAGGTGCAGGGCAACCTCACCGCGGCCGCCGGCGCCCTCTCCGCGATCAACTCGTAAGTCTCACTGTATCGACCACTGCTTCCAGAACGCTGACGAGCGCTGTGTTGCTACGCGTACAGCACGGACACTGCGACTGCTGCGAGCTTGCAGAAGGCGCTGTCGGAGCTTTCCGACGCGGCGACGGCGGGCGAAGGGGTCGTCGCGAACTGCAAGTGAGCGGGCGCAAGTGTTGGATTGGGAATGGGGATATGGACTTTCAAGGGGGCAGGCTGGCAGTACATGGACGTTAGCACCGACTCGTCTCAAAGAACTTCGTCGCAGTTTCCCATTTGCATCCTGTCATTGAGACGGCGTGCGAGGCCGCGTTCAAGTGTTCCGAGTCCACTGGCACCGACGCGATGGTACTTCCCCGACGCATCCGCTTTGGGGAGCCCCGAGAAGGACCGATGCGCTGAAGGTTACGTCAAATCTGGCGTGCACGTAGACCACACTACCAAATACAAACAAGCACCTCGAGTGGCAAGGTTTCTGAAATTCGGACCAACATTTGCAAGAATGGGACGACGAGGCTATAAATGCTTTTCAAAGCGATTCCATTCGCGGTGCATTATTAATATTCGACACAACGATTACAATAATCAAATGGTACAACAAATCGGCCCCATATCCCGAGAGCGTAGATCTGCCGTGAAGAACGAAAACTGGCGGCCGACAAATGGTACAGTACAGTAAGTTATTGGTACATTGTTCCTTCCGGTGGTTCGTTTTGTGTCTTTGCATTCTTCGATCACCTTCACAGGCCCACACCTCCTTCCAGTGTGCGGCTTTGAAGTGGCTCGGTCAGGTGCCGTCCCCCAGGGTCAGGTCGGCGCCGCAGCCGGGAATCATGTAGCAAAGCGGTGGGCACCACAACGGTCGGTTCCGAGAGCGTGGGTGTAGGCGAGCGAGATGCGCGGGAGATGGGGAGTGGGAGTGCATGCACTTGGACTTCTTGGGTCGGGCAGGGTAGATCTCGGCGTCGGGAGCCCGTTGATGCTTGCTTGGACGCAGTGCACTGGGCTTGACGACTACTTCAGGCCTGAACAAGAGAGATGAAGACGGCCTGTCAGAAGCTGAAGCTGGATGAAGATATGAGACGAAAACGCACTCGTTGACCGGCTCCTCAACCATTGCCACCGGTTCAGCCGAAAGACTTGCGAGCCATGCATCGACTTGCTCCAGGGAGTTGTCAGAATCGGGCTCCTCCACAGCCACGGGCTCCGGCGCCTCTTCGTCGTCGTATTCTTCGTCGGCGTCGGCGTCGTCGTCGCTTCCAAGCTGCGATGCGCTGTGCGGGATGAACGGAACCACGTCGCAAATGTCGGCCGGGTTGACAAAAGGGTACGGGAAGGGCTCCGGGCCCTCCGGGCCGAATGGGATCACGTGGTCGTGACTGTCCCAGCCACACGCGTCGGAGGTGGTCGCGACGGAGGACACGAACGCGTCAAAAGGTGGGGCCAGCGCGTCCTGAGACGCGTAGTACGCGTTCTCCATATCCTCATATGAGTAGGCGTACGTGTTTGACGCGTCGGGCGCGTCGGATGCGAGGTCGGTCGAAGTGCGAGCCACACCACTGTCGGCAGCCCAGCAGTCGAGGTCGAACAGCGAGTTAGGGTGCATATGCATTCAGAAGCCAGGACAGGAGGCTACGAGGCGGGACGTGCTCACCTGAAGGGATCCTCTTCCGGCGCAGTGTACGCTATGTGCGGAAATCGATGTGGACGCCTCGAAGTACGTCGAGTTCGTAGAAGAACGCGTCCCTCGCCTCCTGGGATGAGAATAAGGCGTCGGGCACCGAGTAGCCCTGGGTGCTCGGCGCGCAACACCCGGCGTACGCGGCGACGAACGCCTCCGTCGACGAGAAGGACGAGGAACTCGCATAGAAAGGCCCCTCGGTGGATGTGCAAGACGAGAGGTGCGGGTAGAAGGTCGAGGTATAGGGTGCGCCGGGCGCGCCGGGCGCGCTGAGCACGAAGTCGTTCAAGGCATTGGACGTATCGCTGCCGGTGTCCCAGCCCGCCATGCCGGTCCACTGGCGTACCGGGAAGCCGTCATTCTCGGGCGGCGGCGCATTGAGCTCGTCGACGCTGGACAGAATGCGAGTTCAGCTGCTGGGACAGAGACGTCTGCAAGTTTGGATGCATTTACTTTGGTAGACCCTGGTACGGCGCGAGCGGCAAGGGGGCCGCAAAGGTGTAGGTGAAGCAAGGGTCCATGAGTGTTTACGACTGCCCTGAGGTGAGGTGTGTGTGTGAGAGAGGAGTGGCGTTTCATGTCGGTTTAGGGAGATAGCAGGAGAGGCGATGTGGGAAGGAGAGAGGGATGGATGAGCAGACCTGTTGAGCTCAGAGCCTTATATACGTTTGCAAAGCCTAAACGCCGGCGTCTGTGCAAACAGCCTATTCACCATTCGGAAGTATGTAGAATGTGGTCCGTCAATAGCTGCGAGGCCGCTTGGCCCTCATGCAAATGCCGCCGCTTTGAGGCCCAAATGCCAGATCTGTTGACGCCCGATTCATTGATGCGCGTCTGTGGCCGTCCTGCGCTCTCTGTGGCTGTTAAAAGCGCCATAGCCAGGTGCGCATGAGATATAAGAGGCAAATAAGGGTGATTCAGACCTACCAATGGCGGGAGGGGCCGCGGTCACACGCCAGAAAGGTCCAAGAAGATGGGGCTATTGCCCTATCGGAGCCTGGCCTACTGTATGCCGACGCCGATACTGGTCCAAACAATGCCGCTACGAGGTGGTGGCGCATCAACAACGAACACCGAGACTTCGGCACCCGAGTCGTCGGACAGATGGATAGGCCACAGTGGTGTTTGGACTTTGCAGATATATCTGGTGAGGAGCTGAGGTTCGTTGAGAATGCCGACAGGTACCGTAGCCAAGCTAAGGAGTCGCGGTTAGAGTCGCGGCGGCGAAAAGTTGTCAAGATGTGCGGTAGCCGCAACGATAAACCTGGTATTGAGTCCATTACGTGAACTTCCTATGAGCCGGGCAAATAGCGATTTCACTGCGACCGCACTGTAACGAGAGCCTGAGTCGCCTGAAAAATGCGAGTGACTCGTTCCTGCAGGAATCCCAAGTCAGGGGCGAAAGCTAAAGATACACAATGTGACGTACGTAATCCATGATCTCTTCCGAAGATCCGCGGGGGCGGTATCGATACAGCTGAATACGTTGCAGCTGTAGGAATGCGCGAGCGACGTGGGTGAGAAGGTCTTCCTCCCCTTCATCTGCGAAATAGACCAGATCTACTGCAGGCTTGAAGGCGCCGCAAGATCAACAGAGCTTCCGTAGTGAGAAGGATGCCAAGAGGTGCAGTAGCGACTGAAAACCACCGGGTCTCGATTGCAGCATCCCCGCGAGGAGAGAAAACACATCCTCGTTGAGCTGCAGTATCCTGTGATACAGCTCGGTTGAGTGCAATTCAGGTTCCTCGAGCGGAATCACACGTACGGTGATGGTTTAGGGGACTGTGCGCCTTCCGACGCAGGCTCGTCACGGTCGGACTGGTATAACGAGCCATTACTAGTCGAAACGCTGCGAATCTGTGATGAACCAAGCAATGTCATTCCATCAATTCCTAGAGACATCTTGATCAAGCTAGAGTGGTAGAGTACTGATCATGGTCGTAGCTCAGATTTCAGGATGGTGAGCGACCAACTTGCTTGAAAGTGTCTTTAAGCGCCTACCAGTGCCGGGCTTGATTTGGTAATATTATCTTCCCGAAGCACCCTCCCTATGAACACCGACAAGTCAAGCACGTCGTTCCAGGTAATGCAAAAATTCGGCCTTGTATCTCAGGACGGCGGAATTGGTGTGGATTTTTGAGGTTTTTCTATTGGTGGCATACTGTTCTCATTGGCTCGTACAACCGTCATAGTGATCGAGCGGTACAGTAAATCAATCCTACATCCCAAGCGAACGCAAGCCCGCCGTGAACACGAAGAGTGGCGGGCCGCTGGCGATACAGTACAGTAATTCATTCGTACATTGTTCCTTCCGGCCGTTCCTTATGTCTTCGCAGCCCTCAGTCGCTTCCTCTCCACCCGCCGCCCCAAACCTCCCAGGCTCACGCACGCCCCGCCTTCAAGCTGTTCCGGAAGCACATCTTGATATGCCGATCGATCGCATACTTGCGCTGCTGCTTCTGCTCCCCACACACCGGGCAGCCGTAAAGGACGCCGATGTGCTTGTTCAGCATGTGCCGCCCGAGGCTGTCCATGGACATCGTCTTCTTGCACGTCGGGCACCGCGCGCTCTTGCAGCCCTTGGCGTCGTGGCACGAGCTGTCGGTGCACACCTCCTTGTGGTGTGCGTTTTTGAGGTGGTTCCGCCATGCCCCATCCTTCTGGGACAGGTCGGCGCCGCAGCCAGGCATCGCGCAGCCGAGGTTGTCGGTGGGCACAACGACGATCGCCTCAGGGAGCGTGGGGGTGGGCGAGCGGGATGTGCGGATGGGTGCGGGAGATGAGGGGTGCATGCACTTGGACTTCTTGGGTCGATCAGGGTAGATCTCGGAGTCGGGAACCCGCTGACGCTTGCCCGGACGCGGTGCACTGGGCTTGACCGATATTTCAGGCCTGAGAGAGAGAGGAGGTCGTTCAGGAGCTGCAGGGGAATGAGGATGTGAGAAGAGAACGTGCTCGTTCACCGCCGCTGGCTCAGCCGGGAGTCCCTGCAGGCGGCACTCGTAACCCGCTCGCCATCCATCCATCCACATCTCATAAAGCCTCTGCTCCAGGGTCACGTCGAACTCGGGCTGCGCAGGTGCGACAGCGACAGCGACGTCTCCCGGCGCTGCTTCGTCATCGTCGTCTCCTAGTTCCGATGCGCTGGGCGGCACGACTGGGACCACGTCGCAGATGTCGACCGGGCTGACGAATGGGTGCGGGAGGGAGGCCGGGCCATCCGGGCCGAGGGTCACGTGGTCGCGATCTGCCCGGCCATACGCGGCGGAGGTGGACGCGACGGAGGACGCAAACGCGTCGAAAGTGAGGGCCGGTGGATCCTGGGACGCGTAGTACGAGTCGAAGATGTCCTGAGACGCGTAGTTGTACGCGTTTGACGCGTCGGGCGCGCCGGATGGGAAATCGTTCCAAGTAGGGGTCGCACCCACACTGGAGTCGGCTCCGTAGCCAGCGAAGTCGAACAGCGAATCTAAGCTATGGTCTGTAGATGACATGGTGTCAAAAGCGTCGATTCTAGGGTGCATATGGATTCAGAAACCAGGACAGGAGGCTACGGCGCGAGATGTGCTTACCTGAGAGGGTCCTGTGCCGGCGCAGTGTACGCGATGGGAGCGAAGTGTGTACTGAAGAAGGAATCCATGTCAGGCTACTAGTACGAGGTAGTTTGTGAGCGGGAGGAGGGTGGCGCGCTCTGGGGAGACAACGGGAGAGGCGATGTGGGGAAAAGTGAGGGATGAGGACTGCCATGCCAGTCGAGCCAGATACATATACATTCACAAGCACAATCGTCCGCGCTGCACGAAAAACCGATCATCGAATTAGAAGAACGTAGACGAGGTCCTCCAATAGCTGGTAGCGGTTCTTGAGCGATTAGCTAATCAAGACCAAACGCCAAATGATTAACGCCCAACGCATTAATGCGCGTTTTCGACCGTCCGGCGGTCTCTGACGCTGTAAAAAATGTGATATCATGATGCGCATGAGTTGTACGAGTCGAATGAGGGCCTTTTCAACGTACCAAGAGGTGCAAACGCTCCAGAGAAACGCCAGAAGTGCGAAAGAGGACAGGTGGCTGTGCACTAGTGTAGCACCCTGGAACAAGCGCCGGCGCCTATGCGCTCGCTGATAGCGCGACACGAGGCGGCGGGGCGCACAAAGCAGTATGCCAGGACTGCGGCCGCCGACGCGTCGGGCCACAGTGGTGCTCAGTAGGTCGAGATTGGCGAGGAGCCGCGCGTGCAAGTGCCGCGAAGGACCGCGAGCAACCAAGGTAGTCTCGGTGAAAGAAAGAGCTTCAGGAAGGTGAGATACGCGGCGGGGAGCGGAGTACAGCCGCGTGCGCATTGGTTCTGCGAGACGTGTCAATTGGAATTTGGTACGAAGAGAGCGCGTTAGACTGGGGGAACTCACAAGTTCCGGTCGTAGCGGTGGTTGTTTGAGCCGTGTCAGGAGACCCCTGGTCATGCGAATACACTGTGTTTGCGTTAGATGAGGTTTATAGTGGTGTTGTGCGGGGAAAACAGTGCATCCATGTCGGCAGCCAAGAAATCCTTCTTCACTCTTCCCGTCATTATCATGCCGACACGACGAAAGTCGTTCTCCCGTCCCGAAGAGGAAGGGGCGAGGCAAAGGAGGCCAAAACACAATGGACGGAACTTCTCCGATGCGCGGTAAGGGTAGCTTGCGAGCAGCAGGAGATGCGTAACCTCCTTCCATGCATCCGGCGCGTCCAAGTCGTCTAGCGTAGGCTCGGACCATATGAAATCCAGCTTAGGATCCAAGGCCTTCACCATGACCCCCGGCTCGCCGTTGTAATACTTGAAAGCTTCTCCCCGTGCAGGGATGACTGGGGCAGAAAGCGTCAGCGTGCCTCTCCCGGTGCCAAACCCACCAGTCTCGTTCATCTCGACGCGGAGATCGACGACCTCGGCCCACAGCTTCGGATCCACCCCATACCAGATCCAGCTCGTGAAGTCGACCCCGCGCCCGCACGACGGCCACGCCCACGACGGGAACAACCCGCGGTCGACCTTCTCCGTGACCTTCTCGCCCTCCGCGCGCCACGCCAACAGGTCGCCCAGCAGCGGCACCCAGCACCCGAACACATAGTCCTCGGCCTTCCACACCCCGGGCCAGCGCATCTGGAACGCACGCGCGGCGCCCTCCACTGCCGCGACGCGGTCGCTGAAGTACCCCATGCGCCGTCCCGCGAACTTGCTCACCGTCTCCACCCACGCGTACGAGTACGTCCGGCCCATCCCCAGCCGCTCGAACCGCTCGGACATGCTGACATGAGCGATGCCGTATTTGTGCGTGAACACGCGCTCGCCGAAGTGGTTGAGGACGTCGGGCCCGGGGACGCGGCATTCGCAGCACACGGCGCTGCCGCACAGCCAGGAGAGCTCGCCCGTGCCGAGGATGAGGGTGCGTGGGGAGAGGAAGCGCTCCTGGAATGTCCAGGCGCGACGCTCGATGGGGGAGAGGACATCGATGGGGTCTTGGTCGAAGGTTTCGTGTGCCCAGTGGCCGGGGAGGGCTCGACAGCGTTCGTGTTCCATTTGCTCGATCACGATGGTCACTACAGTCGGATCAGCGCTCGAGCCGGGCGGATATGACAAGGAGAAGGTCTGGGGCGGCAGCGGCTGTTTGTCACGCGGGCTGAGCGGACAGCCGTCGAGGACGGTGGTCGACGCCGCGGCGGAGAGTACGAGGAGGGCGCCGGAATAGATGTCGGCCATGAGTGGGATCTGCGCCATTTTGTCGGCGTCGTCGTCCTGGACGATGCATAGGGCGTCGACCCAAAGAAACGTCTGGCCAAGGTGCTTCGTGACAAAGATCGCATCGCGGATGGTCGGCGGCAGCTGAGAGACGATGATCCCCTCCTCGGTGTGGCTTTTTAGATTATCTTTCAACGTGCACAGATTCCCAGTCGGACCCCAGCAGTAGCTCAGCGCGACGTAGGAGGCGTTCGGAGGCGGGGAGGTGATTGGGACCAGTTTGACGATGGTATCGTCGGATATGTCCAGTACACGGTACGGCCATTTGTAGACGAGAGTGTCAGCGTTACACGTATCGTGCGTGTTGAGGCAGTCTGTCAGCCACCGCTTGGCTAAGGCGAGACGACGCTCGGGAGTTTGCTCGATCGGGCGAGGTGTGTGGTGCATTTCGCGGATGACTTTGGGCATAATAGGGATCCCGAGCACGGGATCTGTCCTCGCGACGTTATCGGCGCTGTCTGTTTTTATGCAGAGTAAGACCCCTGCTTCCTGCGGACCAAAAGTCAAACAAAGTTACCATCGTCTACGTATATTTCATAGCCCGGCCCCGTCTCGAAGGTGTAACCCGGGCTGATGACTCCGATCTGGAGCGTGTTGTTATGCCAGATACTCCCCACGAGTGTGGTGACGGTGTTGGAGACGTCGGTGACACGACGCAGGATTTCGACCAAGGCCCAGCACCGGGTGCAGCTTGTGGAGGCTGCCACGATATCGGCCAGCTTGATATGTTCGCGATACACCTGGCCGAAGAGCTCCTTGCAGTACGGGCAGCCGTCCCAAGGTTTGGTCATGGGTTTGGCGTCCGAGTCAGACATATCGATGGGGATGGCGTAGAAGACTAGACAGCTCTGAGGAGTCAAGGCAATGGGGGGACGGTGATACGCGCTGTTAGTGGACTCGAACGTTGAGGGGCTCCGGTGGGTTTCGGGGTCAGCGCCGGAGGTTTGGATCTCAAATTTACCTTAGGGGTTACAGACCATCATCGGCCTCGCCCACGACGAGGACGTTCAAGGACGCGTTGAAGGAGATGAAGGTGCAACTTGTAGCAGCGTGGAGGAACAAGTTGAAGATGACGATACGGAGTAAGGGAAACAGCCGCCCGTATACATGGGCGGCCTCAGGCCTCATCGACTCCCTGCTACCAGGATCATATATGAATCGGGATCAAATTGTTACATGCAATCGTTGTGCATTAAGCGTATGCAATATTTACAGTAGTACATTGTGCGAGCGAGAACCTCCATGTCCGACATCGATGAATAACCGACAACAACCAACCTGAAATCCCGACCCGGGCGACTGCAGCTCTTCAACGTTCAACCGGGGACATTGAGCCCATCCGTCGGCGTCGTGTCTAGAAGTCTCCTAGGTCGATCTCTACGCTCTGCAGAAGCGACGCCTCGAAGCTCAACCCGCTCTTTGCTATCTTCGTCGGTGCAGCGTCCGAGGACGGCGACACAGAGCGCGGCGTGTCGGCCTCACCGTTCGCAAGGGGTGCTCCTGGTGTGCCTGGCCTATACAGACGGAAGTCGACATGGCGTCGGATGGCGGCAGCACACGGGGAAGGGGGAACACAAGCACAGACATCGTCAACAAGCCGCACGCACACGCACACACCACGACCAAGCAGAGACGACACCGACCTGGAACCCAACATCTTCGCCCGCAGGCGGCCCGCCGCGTCGGACAGCGTGGGGGTGGCGGTGCCTGCGCGGAGCGTGCGCTCGCGCCGCTTGCGATCGAGCTCCGCGCGCTCAGCCTTGCGCACCGCGTCCTGGTTCGCCTTCCGGTTGCGCTCGTTGAGGCGCGCGAGCACGTCGGACGAGCTCTCCTCGCGTTGGCTTTCGCGGGCAGGCGCGAGCTCGCCTAGCTGCGCGTCGATCTCCGCAACCTCGGTGTAATCTTGCCGCCGCACGGCGAGCGTTCGCGCCTGCATCAAGCGGGAACGTTCCATAGCCATAGCGATACCGCTCTGCTTGGAGGTCTGCATCGTTTGCTTGCGGGCAAGCATGGCCGCGATATCGCTCTGCAGGACATGATGCGCATGCTCAGATAGGATGGAAGTTGGGGCGTCAGATAACGGACCTCGGTCATTTGCTGGTTTGCCAGCTTCTCCAGTTGCGCAGCCTTGCGCTCGATCTGACGCTTCGTAGGAAGCTTGACCTTTTCAGCCTCGCATACTTTGACAAGGCGCTCGAACTCTTTCTGCAATGCAACAGTCTAGCGCCGTCCTGAGAAGGAGTGACGTGCGACTCGCACCTGTTCGAACGGTGCGTTGGATACCTTGTCCATAGCGAACCGTCGGGTAGACTCGCCGTGCTTGAGCTCGAGTTCTTGGTTCACCGTCTGATCGTTGATCTTGTAAGGCTTGACCAAATTTGGTGCGATATCTGCGTAGAGCTCAACGTATGTGCATGGCCCAGACTGTAAGAGCACTCACCTGCGACCTCGCATATACGGTACACGGGCTGGTTGTTCTCTTGGCCGATCAGGTAACGTACCCAGCCGCCTATGGAGTGGTCGGTATGTGGGATGACATTGTGAACGGACGTTCCATGTCACCTTTGATGTAATCCTCAAACCAAGGCGCCATGCAAAGTTTTGCGATCTGGTTGCGCGTGACCCGGCATTTGTTCAGGTCCTCGAGGTTTATTGGCTCATCGTCGGGGTTGCTCTTCCCGTAGAGCTTCCGGTCGCGCTCTTCCTCCTCATCGTACTTGGTGATTTGTCCATCTTCCTCATCCTCGGACATATCCATGTCCATGGGTGACGATGAACGATCACGCTTGGGGGAAGAAGTCCTCGTCTGCGTTCGTCAGAATGTGGCTCCGGAGAAGAGCAGTGGAAAATGTACGCGTTTCTTTTCATCCTTCGCCTTCCGCTTCGCCTTGAGCTCGTCAAGCTTACGCGACTTCTCCTTCGTGGCCCCACGAACAGCATGTTGGCCTAGAGGACAGTCAGCGCGATAAAACTGACACTGTAAGTGGCGACGCACGTTTTGCAGCTTTCGAAACACTCTCTTCCGTGTCGCCCCGCCCATTCTGCATCTTCAACATGTTCTCTAGCTGCCGCTTGTCGGTGTAGCGCTGCATCTCTTCCTGCCGTTGCGCCAGCGTCGCCTCGCGGTCAATTTCCGACATTTCCATGAGCCTGTCCATCCTGTTAGACAAAGGAAGGGGCGGATCCAAGTGGTGTGCGATACATACCGTGCGCGATCGGCCTCGTTTATATACTTGCCCTCGAGCGGGTACGGGTTTGTCTCTGTCTCCTCTTCCTCGCTTTCAGGGCGCTCAGCATCTGATTCGGTGTCTTCGTCCACGCTTTAGGAAGAGTCAAAAGCGCATTGAGCGGCATTATGCAGGGGGTGCCAAAGCCGAAGCTCACTCTGGTTTGCGGCGCTTGGAAGACGAATTGGGCTGGCTTCGCTTGCGCTTTCTTTCCGACTCGCCTGCGAGGGCAAGGAGCTCGTCGTCGATATCTCCCTCAGAGTCAGACATGGTGTGCAAGGTGTAGAGGGGGTGGTGATGGGGGTGGAGGTGGCTAGAGGGAAACAAGGCTGAGCTCTGGCACCGACCAACACCGCCGTTGTGGCCGTCCGGCAAATGCCGTAGGGCCATCAATCCGTTTTGGGAAAAATGAGATGGGCGCTTACCTCCCTGCTCCTCGACCCTCAGCTTCTCCAGGGTCTCCTAGCTCCCCTTAGTTTGCGCTCTCGACGGCCGCAACTTCTCTCTGCCCTTGCGTCGAATTTGGAACTCAATACTAGCTATCAAATCTTCTCTCTGCGCTATAAACCTTGCGAGCCAGGCCTTGAATACACACAAACAGCTAGTTGGGCCGCTTGCTTTTTCGCACTTCATCATCATGGTGGCAAGTGTGCTCGATATTGTTTCTGTACGCATAAGCTGAGTGATCCTGGAACAGAAAATATCCGTACTCCAACATGCACCGTCGACGCACCTTCCCGCGCGGCCAGGAGATCCGACGCCGACTTCACGGAACCTCGATCCCCTCATGCACCCCTTCGCCCGCGCCCGCGAACGGACGCGAGCGCTGAACGCCGTCAAAATGGAGCGCATGTTCGCAAAACCATTCATAGCGAGTCTGGAAGGGCATGTCGATGCCGTCGAGACCATGGCGAGGAAACCGGAGACGCTGGATATTGTCGCGAGCGGTAGCTGGGATGGAGGTGCGTAATGACCTTGGGTAAACGCACGCGGTAAAGGTACTGATATTGCATAGGACTCATTGTTCATGATGTCTCTCGGAGAACCAGGCTACTCCAGATTGAAGATGCGCACAAGGGCAAAGTTTCTGGCGTTTGCTTCGGCCAAGACGATCGACTCTTGAGTTGCGGGGTCGACAGAAATATCAAGCTGTGGGATAGCCATAAGGGATTCGAACAGGACGAATCAGGGGCAGGTCCCTCTCAGGTGTGCTCGCAAAAACCTCATCCATGTAGAAATTCCCTAACGGCGTTTGCGCGTAGCGGAAACCGATCAGCATATTCCCCGGGAAGACTGCATTCAAGTAAGATACCCCCTGAATATTCCACAAGACGTGAACTGACGTGCTATCTCAGCTCAATAGACCACCACCGCTACGACCCCCTCTTCGCCACAGGATCCAATCTCGTTCAAGTGTGGGATGAGACGAAGTACGCACCGTCCATCTGCTGCGCCTCGCACAAACTGACTGACACCTCATAATCAGGAGTGCGGCAATCTCAAATCTTACACTCCCCACATCCACCGAGACTGTGACCGCCGTCCGATTCAACCTCGCGGAGGCGTCGGTATTGGCAAGCATAGGGTCAGACCGTTCTTTCACCCTTTATGACATTCGCACAGGCAAGGCGGAACGGCGAATCATCATGCAGGTGTGTGCATTCTCTCACCTCCCTGTTCGTTGTACTGAACTATCGTATTCCTTAGATGCGGAGCAACGCACTGTCATGGTCCCCGACGTTCCCCACCACAGTTCTCCTTGCCTCCGAAGACCACAACCTCTACACATTTGACATCCGCGCCCTCAACAACCCGACACAAATATACAAAGCGCACGTCGCAGCTGTCATGAGTTGTGACTGGAGCCCGACCGGCCTCGAGTTCGTCTCCGGAGGCTGGGACAGAACCGTGCGGATCTGGAAGGAAGGCGCGGGTACACAACCTGAGGTCTACCACACAAAACGGATGCAGCGGTATGCCATGTCCCCACCGGATTGCGCAGAATTGGGAACTGACACTGCAACAGGGTGACGTCGACACTGTACTCCGGCGACTCACGCTTCGTGCTCTCCGGCTCCGACGATGGCAACGTGCGTATCTGGAAAGCGCACGCATCCGACAAACTCGGGATCGTCACCGCGCGCGAGCGCGCGGCGATCGAGTACCGTCAGGGCCTCAAGGCGCGCTGGAAGGGCGATGCGGAAGTCAGCAAGATCGCACGGCGCGTTTCTTCAGCCTTTCTCCTTTTTTACGTGCTCACTGTGCGTGTGGGACAGGACGCGGCACCTGCCTCGGCCCGTGCACAAGGCCGCGCAGCTCAAGCGGGAGATGCTCGACGCAGCGCGTGTCAAGGAGGAGCGCCGCCGCAAGCACACGCGCGCGGGCGAGAACAAGCCCAAGGCGGCGCGCAAAAAGGTCGTTATCGCCGAGCAGTCATAGCCGTTGTCGTTGTGCGTGTACACCCCACTGTTGCTTGTGTATCCCTACTTGTATGCGGTGCCTATGCAGCGTCGCGTTCGGTCACCTTCAGACACGGTGTGATGTCGTGCTTGTCTGGTCTAACAAGAGTAAATTCCAGACTCGCGTGCTTGCGTCCTAACGTCTGCTAGGATCTAAACCTAATGGCGACCAATCTAACGTACATGCATACCCTCCCGACTGAACCCCAAGATGAACATCTGCAGCATTCACGTCGTCAGTAACGGCCCCATAAAGCCTCCGGGTGTCCACTCACAATGTCTTACCCCCACGCTCCCACAAACTAGTCAATACCGAATAGCACGCCCACACCCACGCCCGAGACAACGAGCGGGACCACCGACATCGCCACCGACGCCTACACACCCCCAATCAGCGTCTTCGCAACCATCACATCGCCCCTAAAGCTAAAGGCTAACGCACCCTCGTCCGTACCCGTGCCGCGGCTCTCGGCCACACCTTCGCCGGATACGCCCTGTACGCGCGATACGACACCGACACGCTCCGGGACGGCGCCGGGCGCGCGGGGCCGTCGAACAGCACGGGGGGCGGGAGCGAGGACAGTGCGGGGCTGGGCGCGGAGTACGCTGCGCGCGACGGGCCCGCCGCGGCGAAGCGGACGTGCGTGCTGGGCTCGCGCGGGCGCTCGGGGGCGTCGAAGATGTCTTGGTAGCCTGTGTCGAAGGATGCGGGGCGTGGTGGCTGCGCCGAGGCGGATGCAGCGGCGGAAGTGGAGGTGGACGCCATCGTTGTCCGTGCGTGAACGAGAGGGTGCTACCGGGGCGGCGCGATTCGGAATAGTGGCCTGGAGAGACGGGGGCACCGGCGTCGCAGTCCAGGGCATGTTATATAGCTCGCCCCTGGCCATCATGTTGTCCTCCGCGGGCGCAGACCGCGGCTGGAACTGTGAGATAGACGTCGCGAGTCGGAACCTGAGCGGACGGAGGCGGCGTTACGGGCTGGAGGCGTCGATCCACGATCGTGCACGGTGCGTGAGAGGCCGGGACGAGACGGATGCAGGTGTATGCACATCTGACCTGCGGATCAGCTGGTTGGGTCATTTGACGTCTGGTCGTTCAAGCCTGAGGTATAACTCCTCCGGGTCGTGCCTTGGGGAGCGCAAGTCGGCGTCCTATGTACAGAGGCACAAACGGTTAACGCATAGCATAGATTCGCTGCATGCACACCGTGCTCACCGCCGCAGGAACTCCCCGCTTAAACCCCGCTGCGTACGCCGGACGACGAAAAACTGACACTGCCCAAAATGGGTGACATGCGACGTTACATGTCATCACACGACCAGCGGCGATACCGCCTGGAGCGGTCGGTAGGAGGGATATGTCTAACTAGAGCCGCCATGTGAGCTCGCACACGACAGGGGTCCGGTACTTAGCACCGTTTGTGGGCGCGAGTGTGCGATGACACGGAGACGATCCTTGTCATCCTGCAGGTGGCGGACGCAGCGCAGGCCTCACCGGACTCGTCGATTCGGGTCTCATCTCTCCAAGAGCCGTCTCAGCGGTTGGCTGGCACTTTTGGGGGTGGTCTAACCCCACTTGGTGCGGTGGTATTGCGGCTGAACGGCGCGAGAGAACACATGCTGGCAGGTGTGCGCGTTCCTTTGGCGGATGTATCCTGCTGATGTCACTGGATGAACAAGGAGTGCAGCTGGAATTCAATGCTCCTGAGCTCCTCAAGCAAATCCGTAGCGCGTCAGATGAATGAGGGTCATGGACAGGGTTCGCCGGCGTACCTCTTGACCGTCAGACCTAATTGCACATGTTGCTGCTGCACTGCCTCTCAGGGCAAAAGGCAAACTTGAAAGACTCGAAATGTGCATTTACGGGAACCCCATGCTGAGTGGGTTTCGGTACGTATGCAAGCTCTTCGATGATATTCGTCTGTCTACGCCCAGATCTACTGTCTCGGGTATAGGTCAGTAGAACGCTTCAAAGCGAGATGTGAGGCTCACTCACAGCAGACAGCCCCAATTGACCTGACAAATAAGATGAGTATCTCGGGCAGTTAAGTCGACGGATTCCAGCCAGCTGGTGCCGCAGTACTTGCAGTACTTATATAAGCTGGAAGCTGGAAGTCGTGGACGTCGATCGCGAGAGAGGCCTGAGAGGGTCTCAGGCACCCACTTGCCGAGGTAGTACCGGGGTCCCCCGGACCCAGGACACCGATTAAGCGCCATGTATAAAAGCGTCCCGCCGAACATCGACGGTACTCTACTCACCGCTAGGACCCCTGTCCACTTGTTTCTCTAGATCGACGTGAAATTTTTTCCATATTCGATGCAAGCAACATCGACTCTCGTACCCCACTTGGCACACCCTCGAGCGTGGACAGTTTCACCTTCGTCATTGCTAGTCAAGCCTGACTTGAAACCGGGATGCTATAGGAAGATTAACTGGCACGCTAATACACATGAAGATGCCTGCCGCAGACCTCAAAGTACGAGCTATAGTCAGCGATGGCTCTTCAAAATTACAGGCTTTGCAACAGCGGGCGAGTAATATTTACGGTATGACGTCATACCTCGCAGACATTGCAAAAAATGGCTATCGAGTGAGTGCCGTCGGTCTAACACCCTCATTTGTACTCATTTCTGGCTTCCAGGAGCATGTTTCGTCGACCACTATACCTGCCGTCTGTCTCCTGGAACACTGCTACCCTCGTTATCTCACTGTGATTTTCACCGTGACTACCTTCCTTGCTCGCGGTCCTTCGTGGCAATTGCAGGGGCTCGGGGCCACACCGATCTCGATTTACTGGCCACGAATGTGGCCACAGACTGTGGCCACTTCGGGTGCACGACGCGTCGGCGGCATACTGCATTGTGCGCCCCGCCGCCTCGTGTTGCGCTATCAGCGACCGCTTTGACTACCCTAGGCGCGGCGCTTGGTCCAGGGTGCTACACACTGGTGCACAGCCACCTGTCCTCTCTCACACTTCTGGCGTTTCTCTGCAGCATTTGCACCTCTTGGTACGTTGAAAAGACCCTCATTCGACTCGTAAAACGCATGCGCATCATGATATCACATTTTTAACAGTTTCAGAGTGCGCCGGACGGTCGAAAATGCGCATTAATGCGTTGGGCGTTAATCATTTGGCGTTTGGTCTTGATTAGCTAATCGCTCAAGAACCGCTACCAGCTATTGGAGGACCTCGTCTACGTTCTTCTAATTCGATGATCGGTTTTTCGTGCAGCGGGGGCGATTGTGCTGTGGAAATGTATATGTATCTGGCTCGACAGGCCTGGCAGTCCTCACCCCTCTCTTCTCCCCACATCGCCGCTCTCCCGTTGCTCCCCACAAAAGGCGCGCCACTCTCCCCCAGTCAGCTCTATACATCAAAGCAGCTGGAAGCAATGCACTCCTCCTTCCCATTCACGTTCAGCGCGCCGGCCGCATACCCCTCGCAGGACCCTGACAGGTAAGCACGCTGCGCACGCTCGTCCCTCGTCCTGGCTTTGAACTTCAAAATAAGTTCTGGCATGGACACACTCGACCTATACACGCGGTCTAGTAGCCCGGACCCCTTCTACGACTGGTTCGACCTCGACCGCTGGGCCGCCGACAATGGTGTCGCTCGCTCCTCGAGCGACATCGCATCCGACGCGCCCGACGCGTCGAACGCGTACGCCTACTCATACGAGGACATGGCGAACGCGTACTACGCGTCCCAAGACGCGCTGGCACCACCTTTCGACGCGTTCGCGCCCTCCGTCACGTCCACCTCCGAGGCGTGTGGCTGGGACAGTCGCGACCACGTGACTCTCGGCCCGGACGGCCCGGAGCCCTTCCCATATCCGTTCGTCAACCCGGGCGACATTTGCGACGTCGTTCCGTTCTTCCCGCCCAGCGCATCGCAGCTCGGAGACGACGATGAAGACGATGAAGACGACGATGTCGAGGCGCTGGAGCCCGAGGAGCCCGTCGCTGAGGAGGAGCCCGATTCTGACGACTCCTTGGCGCAAGTCGATGCATGGCTCGCAAGTCTATCGGCTGAACCAGTGGCGATTGTGGAGGAGCCAGTCATCGAGTGCGTTCTCTTCTCACATCTTCATCCAGCTTCAGCTCCTGACCGCCTCCTTCTCTCTCGCTCAGGCCGGAAATCTTGCTGAAGCCCAGTGCCCCGCGTTCATGCAAGCGCAAGCGGCCCGACCACAACGACGCCGACATCTTCCCCACGCCACCCAAGAAGTGCGCGCGCGGTGCGCGTCGCTCTACCCCCCATACCCCCGCCCGCCCCAGCCCCTCCTCCCTCGCCCGCTCCCAATCGCCCGCGCTCGACAAGTCCACGATCCCGAAAGCGATCGTCGTCGCCCGTACCGAGTTCCCCTGCCCAATGCGCGGCTGCGGCGAGCCCCTCGAAACGAAGGACTCCGTCTGGCGGCATCACTTCCGGCGAGCACACCACGCGGAGCTGTGCAGCGAGAGCGCGTGTGCGGTGAGCGGGAGCTGCGAGCGCCGCTGTCCGCTGCCAAAGGAGAACGGGAGCCCCTGCGACAGCAAGTGCATGACGGTGGATAGCCTTGGGCGGCATGTGTTGAACTCGCACCTTGGGGTTCAGTACCGGTGCCCGGTGTGTGGGGAGCAGAGGCAGCAGCGGCAGTATGCGGCGGATCGGCACGTCAGGATGTGCTTCAAGAAGAGTTTGGAGGCGGGGCGGGCGTGAGCTTGGGGGATGTGGGGCGGCGAACGGGGCGGCTGAGGGCTGCCAAGACGCAAAAGGAACAGCCGGAAGGCACACTATGCGACTAACTTACTGTACTGCATTGCCAGCGGCCCGCCACTCTTCGTCTTTACGGCGGGTCTGCGTTCTCTTGGGATGTAGGAGCGATTTGTTGTACCACTAGCTGATTGTTGTAACAGCCGTACGCGCTGAACTTAATGAAGCACAAATTCAGTAGCTCTGAAGAACGCGCGATAGTGATCTCGTCACCTGTTGCCGGCGCGAGTACTTGTTTGCCCTCCTCCGTACGCCTGCGTGCTCGTCGAGTGATCCGCCAGACGGAGCGAACTTGCACTATACTTTGTGGGCCGTAGTATTCAAGAGTATTTGCCCAACACATCCCGCTTCGCATGCCCGCGAGCTGTCGGAAACCCCCGAGTGACCGCACCAGAGGACGGGAAGTCTGTTGTATCGCCCTTGCTCAACAGAACCTGGTCTTATTTGTATTTCAAGGAGGATGACTCGTCGTCTACGTCCCGGGCCCGCATTCTGAGTAGTAGTCCGTTCGTCGTATCTATCGTGCTTTCCACTCATTATCGTACTCTCAAAGTCTATCGTCTCCTACTGATGTGCTATCCAAGTGCTATCTCATCTCTAATCCATACACGTTCATGAATTCTGCGCATTCGATCAATCGATAGACACCGGACCCGTGGGGTGCCTTACCCGTGGAGTCACCGCATATACATACAAAGTCGACAGGGGAGGGTAAGCACGGGGTGCTTTGGAGATCAAATTCGAATTGAAGTCGTGCTTGACGCTAGCGAACGCGGACATAGCACATAGTGCAGCACCTACCGACCGCCGCCGCACCGACGCCATGAAGTCATCGATCCCCGGTCGGAGCTGCTACGAGCTGCTACGCCCTACAGTATAGGCTATAGCAGGTGCTGCGAAGAGACGCACTCGCGGCATATCGTACTACAATGCATGTCAGGCGGTCTGTCCTCCCACGACGCCTTCCACCGCACTCCTCTTCCCCATGTATACCCGTATCCGATTAGTCACCCCAGAACCAGCTCCCCGCCTTCGAGGACCGCTAGAAGGCTCTAGACAAATGCTGAGCCATATATAAAAGGTGGCCACTCACCCCTGGAGCGAAACAACCCCCACCGTTACCCCCACCCCACCCCACCCAGCCACCCCCTCGCCCCCAGTGAAGCACAATGTCCAAGCTCTGGCAAGCCGCCCCCCTCCCCGCCACCGCGCTCGGCCGGCACCGCAAGCTCGCGCCGATCGCGGGCGTGCGCGTGTCCCCAATCCAGCTCGGGGCGATGAGCATCGGGGACAAGTGGGAGAAGCACGGGATGGGCGCGATGAACAAGGAGAGCAGCTTCAAGCTGCTCGACGCGTACTACGACAAGGGCGGGAACTTCATCGACACCGCGAACGGCTACCAGGACGAGTCCTCGGAGGAGTTCATCGGCGAGTGGATGGAGGCGCGCGGCGTGCGCGACCAGCTGGTGATCGCGACCAAGGTCGGTGCCTGGGTTGCGCTGCGAGATTAAGTGTGGCAGTCGCTGATTGAGGGCGTTTGTGCGCGGTGCAGTACACGACGAACTACAAGCGCGGGGATGAGAACCAGGAGATCAAGCAGAAGACGCACTACACGGGGAACAACATGAAGTCTCTGCACCTCTCCGTCGCGGCGTCCCTGAAGAAGCTGCGCACTGACTACATCGACATCCTGTATGTCCACTGGGTGAGTATTCATATCGAGGAGTATGTACGGACAGCGCTCACCACAAGGACCGGCAGTGGGACTTCGATTGCACCGTGGAGGAGGTCATGAACGGCTTGCACAACCTCGTCGTGTCCGGCAAGGTCCTCTACCTCGTACGTAATGTGTTTCCCACCTCCGACCCATGCGCCGGCGAAGCTCACTAGTGGGCATTTGCAGGGCATCTCGGATACGCCCGCGTGGATCGTGTCAAAGGCGAACATGTACGCCCGCCTCATGGGGAAGACGCCCTTCGTCATCTACCAGGGCCTCTGGAACATCCTCCAGCGCGACTTCGAGCGCGATATCATCCCTATGGCCCGGGAGGAAGGTCAGTGAGGCGAAGTGGGTGACGTACTGTGCGTCGGCTCACCTTTGGCATGAAAACAGGTCTGGCCCTTGCTCCATGGAGTGTCTTGGCGGCTGGTAAGATCCGCACCGACGAAGAGGAAGAGCGGCGGCGGAAGACGGGCGAGAAGGGTGAGTTTGTCGCAATGATGCGATGTGATATCCGCTGAACTGTCCGTGCAGGCCGCACGATCAGCAGACCCGACTGGGAGAGGACCGAGGACGAGAAGAAGATGTGCAAGGCCCTCGAGGAAGTCGCAAAGCAGGTCGGCGCCAAGAGCATCCAGGCGGGTAAGTGCTTCATAACACGGTTGTCGAGCGCGGGCTTTACTTATGCTGGCATTAGTGGCAATCGCGTACGTGATGCAGAAGACGCCATTCGTCTTCCCCATCATTGGTGGCCGCAAGGTCGAGCAGCTCGACGACAACATCGAGGCGCTGAGCGTCGCGCTCTCGGAAGAGCAGGTCAAGTACCTCGAGAGCATCCTGCCGTTCAACCCTGGCTTCCCGAACACCATGGTCGTAAGTGTCGCAATTGTCTGAGATGCTGGCACGAGAACTCACTATTCAATCGCGCGTCAGGGTGACGGAACGGAGTACACCGTGCTGACCAAGACGGCTGGCAACTTTGACAAGTGGCCCCGCCCTCAGGCCATCCGCCCGTCGACGTGAAATTAGCTACCATAGGCATCACGGGGAGTGTTGTGTTCGCTCCATGTACGAGTATACTCAGAATGCACGATGAAGATACTGCATTGCGTGTCGGAATAATCGCGAAGTCGTGTCGGCAGGAGTGAAAACAAGCAGAATTACGTTTATCCTGTACACGTGTCGTCGTGGTGCGAAGGCAAACGCGTACGAAAATGGGTCTCGCGTGCAATACTGAACGCTTCGGCAAGCGCCGGCGAGCCGGCTCAGGCCTCACTCCCTCCGTCCGAGTTCGCCATGTACAATGACTCAGACTCTGTAACCAACATTTCTGTATTTATGAGAGTAAAATGCTGGCCAGAATGACAGATTCCAGCCTAGACTGGGAAGCTGTGATAAAGCGATACCTTGCAGCACAACACAAGAACATACCGTACTAAAATCCGACGTACAGGAGGATCCCACAACTACGACATGTGAAATACAGGACGTCTAAGTATTTGATCCTCATCGGACACCGGCTCCCAACGTATTGCTTCATCAAAGTGACACGCCCACCTATGGTAGTCGATGAAAAGTTCCGGGTCCTCCGCTGCAAGACTAGTGGCGTAAGAGACAAAATCAAGCAAATGGTCCTCCACGGTCTTTTGCGCACGGAACTCCCCAATGACGCGTGCTCGAGTAGCGATAATGGCCTCTCGATCTTCAGACAGGTCTTGACTCAGAAGCTCGTCGAACCAGGGAGGATGGCCCATGAGGCGCACAGCAAGAAGGAGATATGCCAGCGCAGCCATGTCGTCAGCCCGCGTGTAAGGATCTGAGCGTTTGGTCAGAATATTCGGACATCGTAGCTCAATCAAATGTCTTACAACCGTGATCAAGCATCCTGTCAGATGCATAGGCCCAACAGACCACCGAGTTGTCGTCGCCCCCCCTAGGATGGAATCCGCCCATCTGGGACCATCCGAAGTCGATAAACGTCGGATGTGTGGACTCCGCTGTGTCGGCAGTGAGTGGTGCCACCAATACCCCCAACGAGTCGCACGGGGTGAGACCCGCGTTCCCCGGGTGAATGTCGCAATGCAATACGTTGTTCGAATGCATTTTCTGCATCAGTATGATCTATATCTACATATCAGCCAAGAAGTGCACGGCTCGATAGCTGTTAATCGCACCAGGGATTTGGCACACCACGCAGTAAAGTCGTATGGGATTGGAGGAGAGCCTTGGGCGACTGTAATGAGGGTAAGATGTTGGATACCAAGCGAAATTTGACGTAGGATAGCGACGTACCATAATTTTTGAACAAAACGCTGAAGGTGCTCACACGATGGAGGAGCAGCGCCGCCTTTCGCGAGCCAGACCCACAATCCACCAATCGCTCGCAGATGAGAGGGAAGTCACCCTCAAGTTGAAGTTGGCTATACACCATATACTCCCATACAATGAGGTCGAGTGGGCCCGTCTTCACGTAATGCTGTCCATCTACAACGGCTCGGACCTCTAGAAGGCCAGTCGGTAAGTACAGGAGAGCACGACATGTTTTAATGCTGGTCTGACTCACCAGCATCGGTGTCCGGATGTCTGTGCACAATCTCAGGCGTAACACGATATCCGCAGATAGGGAGGTTGAGTGTACGAGGATATTGATGCACACACAGGTGGTTGGAGTAACTCTCAGACATGGGCTGAGTTGCGGGTGGGGAGATATATAGCTAGCGAGTGCCAGGCGCCAAGTCGCTGCGGTGCATTTTCTACTTACGTACCTGGAAGGACTACTTCACGCGTATAGAGTCAAAAACCAAACCACAAATAGAATGCACTATTGGTACACGTGAGATATTGTACATGAATGAGACTGTCCGATGGAAAATCTGGAAACGCGTGCGTAGGTAGACTGCGGGAAGACACAAACAGGAACCTGGGAGACGGTGTAATAACCAAGCTGCGTGAAACGACTCGAGCCAGAGCAGGCATCGGAGTACATACTATACAAACACTGCAAACGGGCCATCTAGATGAGATATCGCATGTACGGACCGAGGGGAATGAGGAAGTAACATAACAGCCTAAGCCTAAGGTTCGTGAGGGGCGGAAGAGGGGTCCGAGGTAGGGACGTCCCACGGCGCGGGTATTCGCGGGACGTCGACCAGGTTGTGGTCCATACGTGCGTCCTTGACGCGCTCGCGGTCGGTCATGTTCATCCGCGCACGACAGCGGACGAGACGGAGCTTCGTCCGCTTGATCCCTGGGGGCGTGGCATGAGCACCCGCACTATGCTAACGACGACGATGGACACGTACATGTGGAGATGGTGCTCCGGTCTTCCTCGAGGAAGGGGTTACCCGCTTGCAGCAGGTCGTCCTGCAGCGTGTACAGGCACCACAGCGACTCCTCGTACAGCTTCTCGCACTCGTCGGGCGCTTGGGCCTGGTCGAACAGTTCCTTCCGGGCGGCCGTGCGACTCTGTATGGGAACGAAATTAGGATAATTGGTGTGGTTGAATAGCTCGTGTATACGTACCAGCATCAGGGCGTGGTCGTACACCAGCTGGTCCAAGAATGTCGGCGGACCCGTGTACTGCGCGGGCAGCCAGGTCTTTACGAGGGCGGCGCGATCATGGCACTTGATGAAGTGCTCCTTGAACCATGTGAGCGCTTCATCGAAGCCCTCGCTCATCTCGAGCTCCCCATCCGGATCGCGCATCTGCATGTGCTCATAGTAGTTCCGCAGCTTGTCGATGCCCGTCTGCGCGAACGTCATGAGCAGCATGTACAGTGCGACACACGTGATCGCGTTGTATTCCGCCTGGATGTCCGCGTTCTTCCGCCGTGCCGCGAGCCGTTCTGTCTCCCCTTCGCGCCTCAAGAACTTCGTGGGGTCCGGGAGCGGCTCTGATTACACAGTGTAAGCGAGGTTACCAGATGATAAAGAGAAATACGTACTCTGCGGGAACGCCTTAACATAATCGTACATCTCGTCCGCCCAGCGCTCTAGCACCTCCGTCTTCTGCGCGAGCTCCTCGAGCGTGGAGAGTAGCTCTTCCTCCTCGGCGTCCCGTTGGCCTTGGAGCTCGAGGCCGAGTCCCTGACCTCGTGACCCGCCAAACATTTGCGCCTTCCGTGGAGACGATGGAGTGTACTCTCGGTTGTACGAAGGGCGCCGCTTCGTGCTGCCTCCGCGAAGGATTCCCGTCGCAATATTCAGCGCACGAGTGAGGGCATTACCGCTGGCTCTGACGCCAGCGCTAGATGGAGATGATGACAGCGGCGGATTGGGGATAGGAGGAGGGGGAAATGTCGTTGGAGGGCTTGGGGATTCGAGCGTAGGGTCGTCTCCACCGTAGTTCAGAGCGTCGTCAGTGAGCGGGGAAGGTACCTTGCGGTCGCGCAGCGGTCGACGGCGAGATGTGATCTCTTTGGAGACGTGTGAGGCATGTTTGGAGACAAAGGAAGGGTGCACCTTACCATCGACAGCACGGTTGATTTCCACGGCGCGGCGGTCGCCCACCAAGACATATTCGCGGCGTAAAATCCCGTCCTCTTCGGTTTCGCCTGGTATCGTAGACGATGCGTCGGGATTATCCGCTGGGAGGGGCTTCGTCTGCAGCGCAGGGCTGAACCGAGGAGACTGTGATTGCGCAGGCGGAGATCGTGGACGCGAAGGGCCAGCCGCATCAGCCATGACCCTACACAAATCTCAGCGATCTGCGTGAACAATGGCGTTGTGGAGACTTACCCGTCGGCCAATGGCTCGTCAAGCACGGGTCCGCCTGTATGCGACTTGCGTCTAAACTTTATCTTCGCCGGTGGAATCATCGCCTTAGGATCGAGCACCTCTGGAGGAATGACACGGTGGTGGTCGGGTATGCGATCCGCATCGTCATCGTCTTCTGGCGGCGGTATCGATTCCTTCGGTCGGGGAAACTTCGACTTGACCATCGCCGTGCTCGTGAAGAACTCCTCGAAGCTCGCGCGCTCGGCGGGCACCCGCTTCAGCAGCGCGCGGATGAGCATCTTGATATCAGGCGGAACAGGTTTAAGCTCCTCGCCCTTCGCTTGTGCGCGCGAAATGGCTTGCGGGTCTTCGTCCGGGAACTTGATGCCCTTCGATTCTTCAATCTTCTTGAGCAGTTCGATATGGTTCTGCGCGCGAAACGGAGGTTTGCCGACCGCCATCTCGTAAAGTACCGCGCCGACCGACCACAGGTCTGCCTTCGAGTCGTACTTCTGATAGCTCAAGATCTCCGGAGCCATGTATAATCTACCGCTGCTGAGCGGCGGGAGGAGCAATGCATGATAAAGTAGACTCACGGCGACCCACACAGTGTTTCCGCCATCATGGCCGAGGGTAAAAAGCGTGCGAAGCCAAAATCGGCCACCTTTAGCACTGGAACCCCATGTGGATGACCCCGGGAGTACTCGTCCGGGCCCGCCGGTGTCAAGAGTAGATTCTGAAAGGTGTTAATATATGCATTCGTGCTTTACTATACAGGCCATACCTGGGGCTTGATATCTCGGTGGATAAGATTCCGCTGCGTGAGGAACTTGATTGCTCGAGCTGAGCAACGCTGTCTTTAGCAATGGCCTCCAATTAGCAATGTTCTAGCCTACCTAGTTGTCTCAGAAAGCTGCGAACAACAATCTCGCTCAAGCCGCCATGCTTGGGATGTGGGTAATAAGTGGGAGCCGCGTTGGGAGCGGGGACATATTCCAAGCCCTCTACCCGACCGCGCTTCTTGATGTAATTCGCGAGGTCTCCCCCGGCACAGAACTCCATTATGAGGTATATGTTCCGCTCTGCACGCTGGTAGGGTGGTCGGCCCTCGCTTCATCTTGGTTAGACTTCGTATGCACTCACTATGACATCAAGCAGCCGGGTGATATGTCGGTGGGAGAGACTCCTCAGGATCTCAATCTCTCCTTGCAAGTTGTCAAACAGCTTCGGGCTGAGACCACTTCGATTCACTGTCTTAATCGCCACTTGGTGGTGCGTTTGCTATGAGCACCACATAAGTCAGATGCGCACCTCACTCTGTGTCGCCGAGACGCACCTCATGGTATCCCCGATAGACCGTCGCGAAACTGCCCTTCCCCAAATCGCCCACAATTACATACGGCTTCACCTCCGCATCTTCTGCCCTTAGCATCCTCTCGTTCGTCATGGTCGAAGTGCGCTTGCTCGTGGAGGGTGTGGGTGTGGCTGGACCAGGTATTGCAGACGGTGCCATTGAGTGCTACGCGTAGTGTACAAAGTCAAGATGTTCTCGGTCAGCGACTGCGATGGCGTCCGCGTAACATGAGGCTCTGTAGGGCCAAGTAGGGGTGTCGGGATCTGCAGATGCGGAAGAGGTTGGGGAGGAAGCTTGATACTTCTAGCTCAGATGATATACCATGCTTAGTAAGGCAAGTGAATAAGTACCGCCTTGTAATACCCGCTTATGTCACCCCTTAGCCCCTTTGTACAACGACTACACTGCTCCCATAAGCGCCAGAAGCCTGCCACTCGATCGCTCGTTCCGCTCAAGATTTGAAGTTTGAAGCTCTCGAGTGGTCCACGAGTCATATGCCACAGCCAAGTGCTTACGGGTAACACCCCGGAGTCAGGAGAATAATTCAAAGTCAGCAGGTACTTAAAGTTGCCATATTGTAGATACATGTAGCAGCGCCAATTTTGGTCAAGTAGATACAGCGACGTCGGAGCCCGCAACGCCAAGGACGGGTCGGAGCCCATAATTGCTACAGTGTGGGGCGAAGGGAGCGGAGGAGAGAAAGCTACAAACGCCAGCGTCCAAACGTGTGTACTGGGGGCGTAACCAAGCGGCATCTGAGGAGACCTAATCAGGATAGTCGCGGCGATGTACACAAGAGAATACGGCTCACCGTTCACTGAAGGAGCCGGGACTCAGGACCATAGTGCGGAGCTGGCCCTCACAGCATCTCCGAGTCGCAACACGTCGTGCACCCGCACGACCGTCGCGCCCTGCTGCACCGCACAGCTCACCGCCGCGGCGGTCGCAAAGTCGCGCTCTACAGGCCGCGTCTGCCGGCCCTCGTAGTTCCCGCTGCCTACTGGATCCGGCCGCTCCAGGATCGCCCCGAGGAACGACTTGCGTGACGCCCCGAGCAACATCGGATATCCCGCCAGGGGGTTCCGCGTGGGCCGCGACGGCGGCGCTGTGAGCGCCCGGAGGCGGGGCGAGTACTCGCCCACCACAGTCGCCGCGTCCCGGAGCACTTCGAGGTTCCCCTCGACGGTCTTGCTGAATCCGAGTCCGGGGTCCACGAGCACAAGCCACCTACGAATGCCGCCACGGCCCTTGATCGCGGCTTCGACCTTCGCGCCCAGCTCTATCCGCACGCCCTCCAGCACCGCGCCCCGTCCATCCCGATGGTCGACCGCGTAGTCGTACTGCGAGTAGTCCTTGTTCGCCGATGCCGGTCCTCGAGAGTGCATGAGAATGACGGGAACAGCGAGGTCGCGCGACACTTGGCGCATTTTCTTGAAGTGCTCCGCGGACCGCGCCGTCGCAGGCCAGTCCGCACCGCTGAACGCGTACACATCGTTAATGCAGTTCGCGCCAGCGTGCACGGACTCCTCCGCGACTTCCCATCGGAACGTATCGACACTGATGAGCGTCGAAGCCGTCCGCGCGATCGAGGGGAGTCTGCCACCGGGGGTGGTGACCGCACCTTCCTGCCATAGGCCGCGAATGGCTTGGACAACAGGGACGACACGCGAGAACTCTTCCTCTGGGGAGACGTAGGCAGCCCCTGGCCGGGTCGAGTAACCCCCGATGTCGATGATGTTGGCACCATCGGCGACAGCAGAGTTTGCGTACGAAAGGGCATCAGGAAGGCTGTAATGTGCGGAACCGTCAGAGAACGAGTCCGGAGTCGCATTGAGTGTTGCCATGATATAGGTTTTCCGGGGAGGTGGTCTGCTGCTGGAGGCATGCGAAGAGACGGGGAACGACCAGTAGGTTGCTGTTGGCGGGACCGGACGGATTTTGGACATGTGCGCCGGCCGCTCGCCTTCATGGTTAGGTAGCGGATAACGGGGGAAGGGCAGAACCTTGTACATAATGGGGTCTGCGGATGGTTGAGCCATGAGGGCTGACAGAGACTCCTCGACGGTCTTTCCTGTGGTAGGTATGATGTAGTTGGGGATCATGCTATTTGGACGTCAGTACGAGTAACTCAACGAATAACGTGATATGTGAACGTACTCAGCCAAGGGTCGCAAAACGAACTCTCTTTCACCGAGACGCGGATGGGGAACAAGAAGCTCGCCGCTGAGGTTATCGAGCGTGGCACGGGCGGATTCCGGCCTGGTGTCCATGACCAGAGAGTCGTACAGGATGATGTCGAGATCGATCGCCCGAGGGCCGTTGCGGAAAGACTCGACGCGTCCAACGGCGCTCTCAACCTGCTTCAGGAAGGTCAGGAGCGCACGAGGCTCCAGGTCGGTCTCCACCTATCGGACAGATTATCAGGCGGGCATAATCAGAGCATAGGCGTGCACTCACCACACACGCGCAGTTGATAAACCGCGGCTGCTCCGCAACGTACATCGGTGCCGTCTCGTACATAAAGCTTGTGTCGACAACAATGACGCGCGGTTCACCTGTCCAACTCTCGATGTCTGCACCGGGAGCTTCCAGGAGGCGAAGTGCGCATTCGATGTTTGCAAACCGGTCGCCCATGTTACCCCCGATAGCTATCGCAGCCCTGTGAGGAAGCGAAGAAGATGGTCCAGCCGATTTGGACCCTGAGGTGGGCTTAGAAATGGTGACCGGCGTGTTGGGTGTCTCTGTCAACCCCGAACTATCCGTGCTACTGGTGTCGAGGTCGGCAAAGGAGCGAGTCACCTCCAGCTCGGAGGCTTCTGCTGTGAGGAGAGCACTCGGCTTCGAGATACGTACTGTAGCCCGAGCAGTCGCATCCGCCAAGAACGTGAGGGTCAATTTGGCGACCTCAGAGGCCAATGACTCGACTGTCAAGAATTTGGAATCTTGAACGTACTAGGATGAACATCAGGATCGCCATGCGCGATGAAGGTAGCATATACGCACGTCAAAGATCCGCTGCTCTAAGGTACGGTAATCCAGGGATGCCGCGCGCGATCGCATCTTCGTCACGCACACGTCGATCCGTACGCTTTGCTTGCGCTGGCGTTCATGGGGATGTATACCGAGCACCGCGTAGCACGCGAGATCGCGCAGGAAGAAGGTCTCCTCCTGCGGCGGGGCGTGCGGATCGGCCTTCGTGAACTCGAGGCCGAACGACGCACCGTAAAGCAGTGCCTTCGTGCGCGCGATGGAGAGCGTGAGGGCGCCCGCCTCGAACCGCCGCGCGTGTGTCTCGCAGATGCGGTCCGCGAACGCCTCGATGGAAGGGAAGACCTCGGCGTCTCCGACGGCCTTGATGTTCGAGGCGACCGCCGAGTAGTTCACCGAATGCGTGAGGTCATCGGTGGCCGCCGCGCGGCGCACGTCGTGGGCGATGCTGCATGTGACGACGACGGGTTGCGCGTGCGGCGTGCTCGACGGCCAGCGGGAGCCGTCCGAAAATGAGACGGTGAGGGCGAGATCCTTGACCCGTATGAAATCGCTGCGGGGTACGATGTTCACTTTCACAAAAGGACGTATTCAACAGCGTCCTACCTCATCGTGGCCGACGATGTGCGTGGTTGTGGTGGTAGAAGGTCAAGACGTTGACGGCCATCCGAGACTCCGACGGCCAGACTCCGCCCGAGAGGGCGACGATCGCGCCTATTTCCCCATTTAGCAGGTAATCCCGCCCCCTTTCCCGAATTGGTAAGGAGCGGGATGCGCGTCTCATGCATGATGCAACTCTGCCTCGTACTCTCTCGTACTACTACAACTTTGAAACACGGCGGGTCTTCGACTGCCTGATCGCTCTACCATCTAGAACATGGAGGTCGCATTCTCTCTGCAAAAACTGGCCGCGTACAAGCCTCGAAAGACCCAGAAGTCCAAAGAAACACTCGACGCGGGCCTGGTGCTCCTCGAGAATGGAGGCCACGCAACGAACGGGGAAGCAGGTACGCCATAGCACCTGATCTTGCTCGTCTCCGCGACTCACGTCAGGACTCCTGCAGGATGGGATGCCATAGAGAAGCTTGCTCTGGCCGCGCTCGACCAGGGCAACACCGAAGTCGCTGACGTGCGTGCATATCCCCCCGCGTGCAGCCCCAAACGGCACTCATGTTCTGCGTTACTGGCTCCTAGCGGTGCATCCGGATACTCTTAGACAAGTTCCCCGACTCCCCCCGTGTCCACATCCTCACCGGCATTCGACTGGAGGCCACGGAGAAGACGGAGGCCGTGCTGCGCTACTACGATGAGCTGTTGGAGGAGAACTCCTCGACCGCGGTGAGTGATGTCTGATAAATGCGACCGCCCCGCTGATGCGTACGCCCTAGGCTGCATGGCAGCGCAAGGCGCACGTCCTGCGTCAAATAGGCAAGGTCGACCGGGCAGTGGAAGAGCTCTCCGCCATGCTCGACACGTTCTACACCGAGGTCGACGGCTGGATCGAACTCGCCGACATCTACATGTCCTGTCAACAGTACGTTCCCGTTCCCCGTCCCTCGCTCTCGCGGTCTGACTGACCGCCATGCCGCAGATACACCTACGCGCTCCAGTCCCTCTCCCACGCGCTCCTGCTCTCGCCCCAGAACCCGTCCTACTTCCTGCAGTTCGCGGAGACGGCGTACCTGGCGGACGACGTCCCGCTCGCGCTGAAGATGTTCCTGCAGACGGTCGACATGACCGACGACGACGACGACGACGGCGACGTCGCCCCGGGCGACTCTGTGCCCTCCGGCATCACGCTGCGGGCGTGGTTCGGAGTCAAACTGGCAAGTCCCGCGTATGCTCATTCGAGACCGACGCATCTGACCGAGACCATTTTATACAGTGTGCGAGTAAACTCGTATCGGAGCCCCGTGCTGCGTCCTCTTCGCCCTCGCAAACCCCCGCACCAGCCGCCGACAAGCTGTCCGCTTTGAACGACCTGTCGACGGAGCGTTTACGCACGGCGTACTTGAACGTCAAGCACGAGTCGCCGCCCGCTGGCGACAGCGAGCTCATCAAAGCTCTTGCTCCACTTGTAAAGTAGATGTTGTACAGTCGGCTATGCCATAAGATACCCCGGAAGCGTGCTCAATTACGACCCGTTAGCAAGTCCGTGATATGTATATACCTCTCGGCATGTCCCATCTGTGCTCGCAAAAGTTGCTATTCGTTCTGCGAACTCGAGGCATTTATTTGACCAGCTCATTTTCACCGACGACATCGTGTTCAACATCGCATTCGACCTTTGTGAAGCCTCAAGCATATCGAACTTCAGCAAGTTTTGGACAGACGTGTACACCGATCTTCATGACGCTGTGATACAAAGACTTCGCCCGATCCTTGATTACGCGGCGAACTCGGAGCGATTTGCTGAGTGTACAGCACAGTCGTCGTTGCCCTAAATCATAATCGTATATGGGGCATATGCGCGCGGATAGAGTAACATGAAAGCGAGAGGCGAATGATACAGCTGATGTAGCTCCCAAACCAACAACACTCCAGAGCCGTCGTGCGACATCGTCGAAGGGCTCAAGGCCCGAGGGGTGGGGACGCCTGATGCGTCTAGTAGATGCCCGGAGCGGGGTGTTTTACTTCTCGGGGTTGGCGTTCCTGGAAAGGGGAGACCAATGTCAGTAACGAAGGACATCAAAAGGCAGGAGGCGGGAAGGGAAGAGTCAGATAGGAGCGAAAGACGATGCTTGTTTATCAACACAATAGTTTCAGTGTGAACTATGATACAATGTCATCACGATGGGGCAGCACGGAGCACGAGGAAGTGTGCAGCGCTGCGATGTGACATTTGGGATGAGTACTCACATTTTCCGCTTTCCGTTAGGGAGCAGAGTGACGTTGACGAAGCTACGAGATCGTCAGCACACTTTCAGCAGTCCCATAACACACACTACGCACCGACGGTTGTAAAGAATGCGCTTCTTGGCACGGCCCTTGGGGGTCTTCTTCTTCTCCTGCTTTTCGACCTTGGGGGTCTGCGACTTGACCTTACCGGCACGGGCGAGAGAGCCGTGAACTAGAGCATTCCGACAAACAGATGAGCGGCGGCGACAGAAGCGACAGTGACGAGGAGTATCGACCTTTTCCCATGTTTGCTTGCTGTGGGGAGGAGGTGGTCGCGGTCGATGAGTAAGGCAGGCAGTGGTCCTGTACAGAACTATCCTCCTTTTTGAGCTCCGCCTCAATCTCATCGGCTTTTGCCTTATAAACTTTAGGGCGTCTATGTTTCTCTTCCTGCGTTATACCGTGCTCCTTGGGCGCTTGTAATCCATCCGTCTCTTTCTCGACACACCTCTGCTGTTGTATTCTGCTGGTCTGCCATAGAAGTGCAGGTTTTACTCCTGGTGTATATTGGTCTGCAGACGTCATGATTTCTTTCACTCGACACAGACAACATCGAGCTCAGTCCATTTTCAAACGTGAACGTACTGTCGTTCAGTCCACTGCAGAGGCCCAATACGTGCAAGTTCATTCGTGCCCATGGGCTCGTGGGGTAAGCATTGTCCGTTACGATACACAATGACCGACAGTATTTGCTAGAATCTAGGTGTTCATTGCTGAGTTGTTGCCAATGAATGGCTGCGTGTAGCGATTGTTTACGCGTCGTACCAGATATCATGGAGGTTGGTTCCGCTGCGACGTTTGGGAGCATACGTATACTGTACCGACGCAAAAGCGACTAGCCACGCGTGTGTCGGCCATCGCGACGGTGTGTCGACAAAACACGGCCACATAGGTACTCGCGGATATGCCGAGAGATCGTGAATTTGGTACGCAATGCAATACCACCATCTGAATATACTGTACAAGGAAGCGGGCCCGACACTGAGACCTTTAATAGCTAATTTTATGACGACGGACGAATTGCCTGGGGAAGGGGCCACTTGTCGAAGTTCCCGGCGGTCTTGGCCAACACGATGTACTCCGATCCGTCACCCTGACGCGGAGCAATGCGGTGAGTTCCCGCGCTAGTACGTTTGGTATATGCGACACTTACGACAATGGAATGCGGGAAGCCAGGTTCGAACGGCAGGATGCTCTCGAGGTACTTGACCTGCTCCTCGGAGAGCGCGATGCTCAGCGCCTCGATGTTGTCGTCGAGCTGCTCGACCTTGCGGCCGCCGATGATGGGGAAGACGAATGGCGTCTTCTGCATCACGTACGCGATTGCCACTACATAATGCCAATGTGAGCAAGGCTCGCCCCCGGCCATTGTGTTCCGAAGCACTCACCCGCTTGGATGCTCTTGGCGCCGACCTGCTTTGCGACTTCCTCGAGGGCCTTGCACATCTTCTTCTCGTCCTCGGTCCTCTCCCAGTCTGGTAGCACGATCGTGCGGCCTACGCGGACTGTTAAGCGGACTGCGCCGGACAGCATTGCGAAAAACTCGCCCTTCTCGCCCGTCTGCCGCCGCCTCTCTTCCTCTTCGTCAGTGCGGATTTTACCAGACGCCAAGACACTCCATAGAGCAAGGGCCAGGCCTGTTTTCATGTCAAAGGTGAGCCGACGCCGAGTAGGTCACCCACTTCGCCTCACTGACCTTCCTCCCGGGCCATAGGGATGATATCGCGCTCGAAGTCGCGCTGGAGGATGTTCCAGAGGCCCTGGTAGATAACGAAGGGCGTCTTCCCCGTGAGGCGTGCGTACATGTTCGCCTTCGGCACGATCCACGCGGGTGTGTCTGAGATACCCTGCAGACGCTCGCGCGTTAGCTTCCTCTGCACGCAAGTAACCTATTGGATGCGTTACGCACGAGGTAGAGGACCTTGCCGGACACGATGAGGTTGTGCAAGCCATTCATGACCTCCTCCATGGTGGTGTCAAAGTCCCACTGCCGGTCCTCGTGGTCAGCCATATCCGTACACACGTCTCGAAGGGAATACTCACCCAGTGGACATACAGAATGTCGATGTAGTCCGTGCGCAGCTTCTTCAAGGAAGCCGCGACAGAGAGGTGCAGAGCCTTCATATTGTTCCCCATGTAGTGCGTCTTCTGCTTGATGTTCTGCCAGTCATCTCCACGCTTGTAGTTCGTCGTGTACTGCACCGCGCGCAAATGCCCACGATCAGCAGCCGTCCCATCCTTGCAGCGCAGCCTAAACACCGACCTTAGTGGCGATCACCATCTGGTCGCGCACGCCGCGCGCCTCCATCCACTCCCCAATGAACTCCTCCGAGGACTCGTCCTGGTAGCCGTTCGCGGTGTCGATGAAGTTCCCGCCCTTGTCGTAGTACGCGTCGAGCAGCTTGAAGCTGCTCGTCTTGTCCATCGCGCCCATCCCGTACTTCTCCCACTTGTCCCCTATGCTCCCCGCCCCAAGTGCGATCGGCGACACGCGCACGCCCGCGATCGGCGCGAGCTTGCGGTGCCGGCCGAGCGGGGTGGCGGGGAGGGGGCGGGTTGCCAGAGCTTGGACATTGTGCTTTAGGTGCGAGGCCGTGGGGAGGTGACCGTGGGGGTTCTTTCGCTCAAGGGGTGAGTGACGCCCTTTAACATATCGCTCCGGGTCCGTTTGGGCCCAGCGAGCGGTGCACAAAGAGCTGGACTGGGGCGAATGATCGCAGTCGGTTATCAAGAGGAAGAGGAGTGCGGTGGAAGCTGTCGTGAGAGGACAGACCGCATGACACGCATTGCAGTAATATAACTCGTCGACTCGGAATGTGTCGTTTCGCAGAACCTGCTATATCCTATAGATTATTCTCATGGAATGGGTCAGAATGTGCTGCGTTATGTGCTATGTTCGCGTTTGCTAACGTCAAGCTAGACCTGAATTGACTGTAGACGCACCCCGTGCTGACCATCTCGAGTCGACTGTGGATATGAGGTACGGTATGCTGCGGGCAATATGCCCTCAGATCGATCAGGTGTACAAAATCTGTGGACAACGAACGTGTATGAATTGATAACGAGATAGAACATAAGTAGTACGAGACGATAGACTGCGATGACCTGAGAATGCGATGATGAATATTACAGAAAGTACGAAAAGATAGAGACGACCAGCGGACTACTCAGAAACCGGGGACGCCGGGGATAGCTCATCCTCCTTGAAGTACGGATAGAACCAGGTTCCGGTGAGCAAGGGCGATACAACAGGGGCCCCGTCCTCTGGCGCGGTGTCCTCCCAGACGTGCTCGAACGACCAATCTGCGTCCTCCTCCGCAGAATCTTGCCCACTCAGACACGCGCCAACGTCCGCCTCGAGCGTCGAGATACGAAGACGTCCGGGGGTGAGCATGATCGGGTCGCCGGTATGGCGTACCAAGTAATTCAGGATGAGCCGCTGCACGGCCTCGTGCAAATGGTCATCGTACTGCGGTTCCGGGAACAGCGCAGTGTACGGAATCCGCACGTGCTGCGCGATATCGAACAGCAACCGGGCGACGTCGAGCATGATGGGCGGGAAGGGCGCGATGAAGGCGTCCGGCGGGCAGTCCAGGAGCGGGGTCCGCGTGTCCTGCGGGAGGTTCTCGCACTCGTGCTGGCCCGGACGCTTCAAGAACTCGTGAGCGGACAGGATTTGCCAGTATTGCCGAAGGGCGTTGGTCGTCAGGCTATTCTCCTCGTCGATGTATCCTTGTGGAAGAACCCGGAGGAGCGCGGAGTACATGGTCCAGTATACGGACTCTACGTCGTATTCCCACCGGTGTTCGTAAGGCTTGTCCTTCAACCGTTTCGCACTGGCCCAGGCGTCGTCACCAGGGTCGACTGCGCATCCGCCGTGGAAGACTTTCGCGCCATCGTCGTACTTGATGAGTCGCTGGAATCCATAGGCATCGAGATATAGCTCCTCGGCCTTTTCCGACAGCTCGGGCATGTGAAGCGGCGTGTGCCGGGCGAATATTGCACGGCCCACAGCCGCCGCGCGAGCCACATACATACTGGTACCCTTCCCAAGAGGTCAGCTATTTCGAGTCTTGCTGCACGGAATACACATACCACAGAACGTCCAAGTTCTTCGGAGGCGACGTTGAAAGGGTCGTCGAGAGTCATTGCTAGGTCGAAGTCTATGAGCAAGCATCGTGGCACACGCTCCCCGGGCACTCTGCGACAGTCTCCAAGTTAGGCCATGGTTCGTGGACCCCAAAGAGCGAGGACTGACCTGTCTGGTTCGTCCAGTACATCGTCGATAAAGGGTGGAAGGCCTTCCAAGACCTGTGCGTTAGTAGCTTGCGCACACCTCGGGTACATCAGGATATTATTGATGGACATATCCCGATGGAGGACTCTGGCACGGTTCGCCAACGTTCGGTGAACTGAAAACAATCCCGTGCCAGTGTAAGTCTTGATAGAAGAAGGGAGGCATATCGTACAACATACCCTCGAGTGCGTCGTACACGGCCTTCAACAAATCGTTCACGCTCTTGGCCTGCAAAAGCGACTCGCCAACATCGGCCAGGACCATCCTGTGCTTGACGCGCGGCGAGTTATGCACGGTGGTGATCTCCACCTGTCCCGGCCCACCCAAGGGGACGAGCTCATGGTGCGCGAGGCGAACAACGCCCGGGACGAAACCATGCTGATGGATCTTCGTCAAAATCTCAACCTCCATGAACCCTTCAGCCGGTCGCTCCGTCTGGTATGGGAATGGCGGCCCGCGGTAACATTCCTTGATGATAGCTTGGCGTGTAGGGCGTCGCCCAGCGATGAACACCTGGGTCCCCTTTCCACCTGGAGGTTGGGCAAAGATGCACCTCACGTCGGGGAAGACCTCCCCATTTGAAACGATCGACATCGTACTGCGCTTGTGACCTTCACGCCATACCATCGTTGGATCACGGGTGTAGTGTCTCGCCGGTGGGTCGTAGAGCGAATACACGTATGACATGAGGACCTTGAGTCCGTCGTCGTCCCATGCCATGGGTTCCGTGCACGCAAATTCCATGAAATCGGCGTAGTACACCTGGAATCCATCCACGACGAGGTCCAGGCAATAGATTCCCGTTCGGTCCGGATTGTTGCTCAGAAAACTACGAGCGTACCGTCTGAGCGCCCGTCCTGCAAGCTCAGGGTTGCTTAGCGCTTCATCCGCCACGAAAGTTTCGACGAGATGGTGCGGAAATTTGGTGATCTGATGGATTCCCTCGTCGTATGAAGGCGCAACGGGGCGGACACCGAGAGTCCCCGGCATGAGTGACTGCCCGCCGTTTGCAGAGGATCCTGGCTCGGGCGAACACACAAACGTGAATGGTTCGGCGACCCTGACAGCAATGCCGCTTCCCTCTGTCGTCAGATATGCTGTGATTTTCGTCAGTTAATGATGAACACAATGCTGAAGCGGCGACCTCGAAGTCACATACTATGAACGTCGGCGCTTAGTGCCGACAGAAGTTCGCGAAGGCGTTCTGCAATATTCTGGTGTTTCCTGATCTGATCCATCATGTGCTGAATGTCACTCTGCTCGAAAAGCATCTCGAGGAGCGGCTCTGGACATGCACTAAAGTGGTTCATGTTGTGGGTGGCTAAGATCTGTACAGTGTGAACAACAGCAAACCCAAAGACGCAAAGTTGACTGGGCATACCGAAGAGCGAGGATGATGCTTGGGATGGATGTTTGTATGGTAGAGCGCGACGAGGATCGAGGATGGAGAGAGACTGCTGTGGATGATGAGAGTTCGGTTCAATAAGGGCGCCTTTTATACCAGTCGGATTAGCCACAGCGTGGCGATGTTCACAATCGCTTTCCAGCAATGGACACCTCATCCTTTCAACCATGCTCACGCAAAAGCCGGTGTGGGGCGTGGAAGCCACGCGCCATTGATTAAGCGGGTTGCACAGTACCGCAAGGACAAAGGATATAGACATGCTGTGCGGCGTGTCTCAGCCAGTCGCCATGGCTGCGTGGCGCCAAAGCTGGTTCGACTTACCTGATCATGGCCTTGTGCTGCGTCAAAAATCGAAGCTTTGGTTCAGGTCTTCGCGAAGGTGCTCGCGCATCCCAGGAGGCAGGATCGGGTCCTTTCCATCTGATATGTACTCTGGGTGACGTGCCCTGTCAGGACGCCGCAGCTCATGTCGAGATGAGACGGAGGACGCACTGAACGGCATCTCCACGCTTTCCTTTGCGTTGAACACAATGGTAGGGAATTCCTGACTCGATGCGTTGAGCACAGCGCGGCACTAGATAGGAAGATCATCGGCGTACGATGAATGGGATATCTGAGAGCGGCTCTGCATAATGGGCGTGAGCACATGGTTCGACACCCAAATCCAATTAGCAGCACTCACTCTTGTCCTGTACCACAATCTTCGTGACACCTAGCGCAGTGTCTGTCGTCATCTGAACCGGACCAAGATGTCTGCCAGGAAAGCCTAGTACGCGGAGCTCGCCCGTCCTATCGCGAGGAGGATCGTCGCCTGCAAGATGACCGATGAGCTAAGGTGTAAGCCCAGCGCATATAGTCGAGGTCTTCAGACCTAAGATCCCCTGTATACCTGCTCAGTCATCGATAAGAGATATACGAAAAGTGAGAGCGCTTACGCCGAAAAGGAACCACTCGAATCGTCCGTCGCCATCTTCTGGCGAAAGCTCCTTCTCCGCCCTTGGGTCAAGCAGGCAGACCTTTTCAAGTGGAACTCCCTTTTCCTCCATCAGCTGTAGAACCGATTTTTGGTGTGCATGCGCAGGGGCCCTCGACGGGTCCGGGTTTTGCGCGAACAGAGAGGTGAGCGTGTTGCACGATGTTGGCGACAAGTGGGTGAACTGCACGGTCGCGTCTGGGCCAGCAAACGACCTCATATGCTGCTTAAAGCATCAGAAAACTGTACGCAATGCAAACCGTACGAGTCGCACCACTGACCGAGTATTCTAGCTCGACCCATTTTGGGATGGACTTCGACGTTTCATCGTCCTCTTCCATATGCTCTGCGAGAAGGTTAAGCACCCGCGAGTTGTGGTTCGACATGATTCATACCTATTATATATGAGAATGCCATGTTGAAGATGGCAACTGCAATACAGCTGAAGTCCGTCGGTGGTGGGCGTGGACAGACCGGGCGTGGGCGCTTATACGGTTTGCGAACCTTGTAGTGAGCTTCCCAAAATGGTAACTGGCTACAGTCGTACTCAAACAAAATCGTTTGCTTTGCTTCATTCTCTTCGAACTCTGCAACGGTGAATATAATCAAAGAAAGCCTAACTACAGACCATGTAATATTGTTCAAAATCGCAGAAAACCTGAAGCAACAGCGGTCATCACGTGACCAACGCCTCGCTAAAGCTTCTTTGTCTTTCGGAAATTTTGTGTGCAGAGGCAAAAAGGTGCCATGCTTCCTAGAAGCCCACCGCGAGGGTCGAACTCGCAGCCTTCAGATAACCACTAAACGTATCGGTCATAAGAGTCTGACGCTCTATCCGATTGAGCTAGGCGGGCGGCGAAATGTTTTGATGTTCTCTTCCCATGTCCACATTTATTCATGTTCAAACGGCATTGTGCACTGCAGACTCAGTACCCAAGAGCATAGATATTGAACTGCACCACGAAGCAGCACTCCCCGTTGTATAATTCGGTGTACGGAGGTATGCCCGCTTTATTATTGTCCGAGAATTTGAGACAGTGTACCATAAGAGTTGACATGGGAAAGCATTCCTACGTCGCATGAAGCGCGTTCAAGATGTAATCAAACTTTACTACATTGCCCTTACGCGTTCTTCTTGGCCTGCACATCGCTGCTGCCGCCGTATCGCTCTCTTCCAGCCGCGGCAATAGACCCATCCGCTTCCTCCTTGACGCTGAGCTCCACCGGAAGCACCGTGAAGTTGAACTCGAGGATGGTGAGCCCCATACGACGGCGGAAGCGCGGCTCCCAACCCTCAGGCAAGCGCTCCTCGCCAAGGACAACGCGCAGGTCTGCGATGTCCCCACCGAAGATCCGAAGCAACGTCGAGCAGCTGTTAGACATCATGTTAGTTGCGTAGTAGCGGCTCGGACGGTGAAACCGGAGCGACGCACTTCCAGCTCCCGAACAGCTTGTGGAACAGCGAAAGGCTGTACTCGGGGTTAGCGCGCTTTGCCTCGACGCGCCGTTTTCCCATGAGACGAGAGAGGTCCGGCTCCGTAAGTTTCCCCCCAGGTCCCGTGCCGCACGTCAGGACCTCCTCGACGAGCTCCTGTGGGATCTTGCCCTGGTCCTTCTCCAGGAATGCATCCGGTCCTAGAGCACCCCGCATTGAGCTGTCAGCTAACCGCGTACTAGGAAAGGGTTGGGACGTACGGGTGACAGACGCGTCGTGCTCAATGCAGTTGTGCGCGTCCAGGTCCCGGAGGTCGAAGCGGTCCGTCCAGTAGTCGCGCCCGAGGAAGTTCGCGGCCTGCTTCGGCCCGATCACGCCAAACGTCGGTGCGAAGTTGTATACCTCTTGTATGACACGGCCGAGCTCGGTGAACTTGATGTTGCGCCCGTCGCGCGGAAGGATGCCTGCGTGCGCGCCGTCAGCCCGTCCGACGCTGTCTGAGGAGATCGTGTGCGCGGGAGGGGAAACGTACCGTGGTTAGCCAAGGCATTCAGGGCTGGGCACGAGCAGCGGCTATCGCTTTCCTGAGGCGGGGTGTACTCGGGCCACTTGCCGCCGAAACCTGGGAGGCCCTCCTTTACGACGCGCCCTATGGAACGGTTCGGGACGACGTGATTGTACAGCGTGAGTAGGACGTCCCATACGAGGAGTACAACGAGCATCAGCCCATTGAAGATGCTGCTAGTGAGTCCCTGCCAGAGGCGTTTGGCAATGATGAGGATGGCCATGGTAGGAAGGGGGTACGAGTCTGAGCATGTTCGTCAGTTGGAATAGCACATTATAAAGAGAACCGAGAGCGCTCACCTGGCGTTCTTAGTTCACTAGTGTACGTCTGTGATGGAAGCAAGAGGCTTCCCGTCAGGCGAGAGCATAATGTACACAGACGTGAGGCGGGCTGTAGTACGTGCGTTGAGGGCGGAGCGCCCCCGGGTCATCCGGAGTCCCGCGAGTCCTTTAAGCAGCACCATTCGAGTGTCTCCCCGCGAGTAACCGCTATAGCTCGTTTCTCAGTGCCGGGGCGCTGACATGGAGGCGGCCGTCATCGCATACATACCCGGTTGGCATCACAGACAACGCATCGTAGCGAAGCCGAGCTCGGGTGTACTGCATGACATCAGAAGTTCCCGTCTTGCTTGACAGCTTGCACTAAATGCTAGGAGTTAGTTCGAGTACGTGCGCACACCAGAACATTTGTTATAGAAGACATTACCGTAATTCGCTCTTCCGAGTCGTACCCGCGAAGAGCAGAAGAGACGTGACCCTCCGGGCGCCTTCATCCAACGTTGAGAACGGACCCCGGTGGATAGGAGTAGGATGCTAGATGGACCGGCGCGCGGGCGCGCGCTCTAGATGGCGAGCGGTACCTAGGAATATGAATTCGGTCGGTTAATGTCCGATGCCCAAGCCGGTGTGCTCGGCACTCTGTAAGTCGGACTCGCGGGCGGAGCCGGCTCGAGTCGACTGTTGAAGGCGAATCCGCACTTGGAATATACCCCCGGCTGCCAATAAGCCACTGACTTGGCAACTCCGAGACCGAGTAGGCTGGCGCCGTATGTCATGACATTGAAATCTGTGGCACCCGGCTGCTGACCTCCGTTCTCACTGGTTTGGACCGTGACCCGCGGCAGCTGCAGTGATAGAGCGATGGATGGAAGTCCCCGCTAAAGTGATCCGAACTCTACGCACCAGCCCGTGTTCGTTCAGGGATGGCGGAAGACGTGCCAGAAATCACGCGTATGATGTGAACCTTGGACACGGTCTGCTCCGAGCGAGACATATCAACTTGAGTAGCAAGAAACCAGTGCTGGTCGGCTCGAGGGTGCATGGGCTACGCGCCGCGTCGTCGGGGATGCCGAGCGTTCTGAAAATCATCCCATAGTAAGCTTAGGTTATCCATATGACCTGGCTTCCCTGCAAGCTGAGATGTCGGAGATTGAGAGGCGGAGTCCTCGAAGCTCATCCAGACGTTCGTGGGTGCCCTGTGCGGCGCCTTCCCGAAGATCTGCGCTATCCAGGAACTCCCCGTCCCATAAGATAGATGAGATTAACTCCACCCACTTCCCCGCGCGCCTTGATAAGTACAAGAAAACAATCACTGATACTTGCTTCTCCATACAACCCCAGATGGTTATATCAAGCACAGGCGTCCGCCCCCCGCGGCGGATCAATCGCCAACAGTACGCGCTCAGGCGTGCTTCTTCGACCCGACCGCCGTGTAGCGCTCGGTCCCGGCCAGCGCGATCGACCCGTCCACCTCCTCCTTGATGCCGAGCTCGACAGGGAGAACAGTCAGGTTGAACTCCGCAATGGTGAGCCCCATCCGGTGTCGCACGCGCGGTTCCCACCCGTCTGGGATGCGCTCCTCGAGCAGGAGCGAGCGCAGGTCGTCCACGCGCCCCCCGAAGATCGTCAGGAGCGTCGAGCCACTGCGCGCCCAGTCAGCAAGCGGCACGTGACACGGTACTACGGGCGGACGCACTTGGAAGCCCCGAACATCTTGTGCGTGAACGTAGAGCTATACTTGGGATTCGTGCGCTTCGCCTCGACGCGCCGCTTCCCGAGCAGACGCGAGAGGTCCGCGCGCGTGAGGTCGCCGCCCGGGCCCGTACCGCTGCGGAGCACCTCCTCAACGAGAGGCACCGCGACACGGCCCTGGTCTGCGTCGTAGAAGCTGTCGACGCGCGTGAGCGACGCGTCGTGTTCGATGCAGTTGTGCGCGTCGATGTCCGCGAGGTCGAATCGGCCCGTGGAGTACGGCCGCCCGAGTAAACCTCCGATGTACGTCGGCACAAAGAAGCAGAAGGTGGGCGCGAAGTTGAACGTGCGCTGCACCGCGTGGTTCAGCTCGCGGAACGTGATGTTCTTCCCGTCGCGCGGGAGGATGCCTGGGGCATGTTAGCAATTGCGCGAGGGCGGACGAGGGTCGGACACGCACCGTGGTTGGACATGGCATTCATCATGGGGCATGAACAGCGGCTGTCGCCCTCGGCTGGTGGAACGTACTGCGGCCACTTTCCGCCGTATCCTGGGTGTCCTTTGGGCAAGACGGCTCCTACGGGCTTGTCTGGTGTGATGAGGTTATACACCGTCAGAAGGAAGTCCACCGAGAACACAGCGGTGTTCGTGAGCAGCCCCTTGACGGAAGAGAGGAGCCCTAGGAGAATGCGGCGAAGCACGACAAATATCATGGTCATCATGGGGGGTCGGAATGGCGAGAAGGGCGACTCAACGCACGCCGTACTTTTCTACATCGTCTGGAGTTTGGCACATGCATGGAAGTCGGCCATGCTACCGATAAACGCGCATCTAGCATGTCGCAGAAGGCTGTTAGCGCTGGGGCGTACGTAAATGCCGCCGGCGTGTGATCTGCATACCGTCTTGGTCCGCTTCCCTCCCAACTCGGTGAGTCCATCGGTAGCGGTTTCCAGCTGCAAGGTTGAACACGAACAGTCTCACGCACATAACGTGCTAAAAATCTTATAGGGGGCGCTAGCTGACACGATGAGCGAGTGATATGATACCCCAACAGGTGACTTACCTTGCCATATATCGACAGCAGCAGCACCCTCCGGAGGAGAGGCAGGCAGCTGTCACACGTATCTGCATGCAGCGTTCAATCATCATGATATAAGCTAATTAAAGGATGGCACTTACCCACTGCGGCCGCCTCGAGGCCCTCCAACAAGGCGAATCGCGTCCGGACCGAGTAAAGCGTTGCGAGGTGAGAGTAGCCTTGAACGGTACCCCAAGGATTATAGAAATCCGCGTGCCGACCCCCGCCGTCACTCGAGACCGCGAGACCGACCATGGGCGTGCCTGAACATGATGCGGACGATAAACGCAAGCTGAAGAGTTCACGCCTTGCGCAGCTTGTTGACTTTCTCTACGGTCTCCATACTACCGGACACACTATTCTTGTATTTCTCGTGCTTCCGTCGGCGCCTCGAGTCTCAGAGGAGGTCCAACACCCGGAGCCCAAGATAGCGCTCCGCATCCCACAGCTACGACCGGGATGGCGCTCGCGATCTCGAAACCGTGGTGTGTCTGCGGCTCTGCTGCGTAGACGGCGAGGTCCCAGTCGATCAGCATCCCGCATGCGACACCGTCGACACGGAGTCGGAACATGGGGCTGTTCAGACTCAGATTCAGATATTTGTGTTAGATGTCGCTGAGCCAGCCACGACATGATGTCAACCATGAAGAGCTGAAAAGAGCACCGAGACGCGCACCTTCCATGCAATCAAACCACCAGAGATTCCCTCGAAACCCCCACCGACAGTTGAAGCGGTTCCGGGTGGCCAGCCTAAGGCAGCCTTCCGTTATTACACGGATCCGGAGGACGTGATCAGACAACGACGCAGTCTGCGGCTCAACGTGCTGAGAATGGGCTTCCTGGTCGTCCCAGCTGCATTTTTGTACGCATATAGCGAGCTCGCGACGCTGGAGAGTGTCTAAGTAGTGACAGTGAGAGAGGGAGAGAGACTCAGTGCATTCTACTTGCACTTAGATTTATCGTTGAGCGCCTCAAGAATTCCCACGAAACACCTCCCTCTCAAACTTGCTAGGGGGCCGTGAAGACTGAGTGCCGCCCCTTTGTCACCTAGCTGTCTAATGACCGTGTTAATAAGTGCTAACAAGTGGTGGGGATGAAGAGACATACCAAAAAGTGCCAGTTAATGCACGCGTATAACTACATGCCGTTCAAGCGCGCGGACGGTTGGGATGGTGTGTCGGAGAGGTCAAATGCTTTTGGCATGACTGTACAGTGTCGAGGACAATACGGCTGAGTAGACTGATACGTCGCGAGCGTATTTAAATTTCATGAAGAGGCCGCGGGTGATTGACGAGGTCTCCTTCGACAGGAAGTGGCTTGAGGTGGAATTCAAGAAGTCGTTGCGAGCCTCGCCCGCTTCGCCGGACTGTCCGGCGTACCGTGTGCTCCTCGCAGGTTATTAACCCTTGTTATGAACCTTTTTCACGATTTATGTCAATTGTAAACGATCTGTTAAGAACAGTTAATAACCCTTGTTAAAAAGTGCCCAAAGAAGCCATCAGTTATACCTGCTCAGATCTCCGTTTTCACTTATACGTATACATATAGGCAGGCTAGCCTACGCTCCCCGACATACATATTACAACATCCGTTGAGATGACTTCTTGTGATACCACGGTGCATCCTCAGCGAGGATGGGTTGGAGAGAGCACCATCACTGGCCCAAACCCCATCTGTCGTAGTCGAACCGCCCGTGCAACCGCGTGACGATCTCCTGATAGTCCGGCTCGTTGTCCAGCGTAATGATTCCCTTTCTCACCATGAAGTCGACGAGGACTGCGAGGTACTTTGGTAAGGCTCCGCCCTACACAGGAATCAGAATCAAACACACCTATTGAACAGTTGTATTTAAACAATCCGGCGCGCATATGCTCCACTACCTTCTCGAGAGGCAGTAACTGATTTGCACAATGAGATATGGCCAAAGGAAGAAGGAGTTAGCTCACTTCGAAGGACTCGACCTCGCCATCCAAGGGCTGGGGTTGCACACCCGAGTTCGGGGGCAGGGCGAGGTCGTACACGTATCTGCGCGTAATGTTCAGTGACAACGCCGGCAATGGTCGAGAAAGCACCTACTCCACTTCTGGCTGTAGCCATCCACGAGGCGTCCTAGAAGGCAACATAGTCTCCGGACCGAGTGAAGCGCGGTATGCTGAACGCGGCAAGCTTACCGGAAGAAGTAGCTTATGCTCCCCGTCGCACGCGCATGGCGCCGCACAACGTCCTCAGGGAGGCTCGCCTCCTCCATCGCCTCCTTCACGACACAGTCAAGTACCCCGAGGCCCGCCTCGATCCCGCCCGCGACGCTGTTGTCCAGGTACCCAGGCCATGTCTGCTTCGTCGCGGCGCGGCGCGGCACCCACATGCTGTAGCTCGGGGGCTGCCCGTCCGCACCAGGCGCCTCCTCGTACACCGTCATGTGCACGCCGAAGGTGACGATGCCAAAGAGGCCGCTCGCCGCGCGCTCCATACGGAACGCGTAGTTGAGCGCGTCCCCGTGCGCGTCCTCGTCGGCGTGGCCCGGGAAGTCGCGCAGCCCGAAGGGATTGCGGTACACCGGGTAGAGCTCGTTCCGCCACTTCCGTGGACTGATTTCGTCCGGCCACAGCCCGCTGTCGCGCCATCGCTCGCAGGTGTCTTTCATGACGCGCGAGCGCGCGGATGGCGTGTCGATCCCGTGGGCGAAGCTCACCCATTCCCGCCCTGTAGTGCTCTGCCCGAACTCCCAGTTTGGTGAAGACGTAGATGCCGCCTCCTTGCGTAGCTGCGTGACCACCTCAGGACGGAGAAGTCCGACAGCGGGTGAGGGCGGCGAGGGTGAAAGCAACCATGGAACCAATTGTTCCGTGTTGGTTGACGCGGAGAGCCGAAAATTGTCGCACGATTGAACGATCTGGAGGAACGTTTGAGGCGCAGACGGAGTTGGTCCCGGCATGTTTGTGTGTGTTGTTTTGTGTTTCACAGGGCTGACCGATTTGGCGAAAGAGTTGCCTGAAGATGTAGCCGTTTCAGACAAGAAGAATGTCCTCGTCGTTTCATCAATCCGCAATGTGCGCTTATACCACGTGGCTGGACCGCAGCAGCCTCAAACCAAAAGGTCTGTGGAACATCGGAGGAATGAGGTCGATTTTAACCTACCACTAAGTTGAAGTTAGACGCAGTTTACATTCGAAGAGATTGAGCACTTACCATGATTTTTTCATATGCCAATGGATAGAAACCAATGCCACGGGCGGAACCACCCTCAACAACACGGCGGCTACCTTACATATGGCAGCCAGTGAGGTGACAAAGAATATCCTATGCCGATAGTTATTGATACAGTAATGTAGTGTGAATAGCGTGCCACTGTTCGATAAATCTCCTAGAAATGTCCACCTAACAAAGTCCAAAGTCCACGTGCTTCAGCCCTACTCCCAACGACGCGCACCGGGCCCTGCATCATTGGGAATACCGCGACACCGACGAGACAGACGAACGTCTCGACTGCAGGCCACGTCCCCGCTCCTCCTTCTGGATGAAGGGGTTGCTCTCCGCGATCGACTCTGACGTGTACGAGTATCGGCGGTGGTCCTCTGTCGCGCCCACGACCACGGGGGCGGAAAGCGCGGACACCTCGATGTACTTCGCCTTGGCCTTCCGCTTCCTGAACATCAGCACGGCGATCACGACGACCAGGGCGAAGAGCGCCACAGAGAGGATTACGACGGTGATGATAAGAGAGTGCTTGTAGGGGGCCAGACGGTCCGTGGGAGTTGTTTGTGAGGCGATCGCACTCGGTTGATGCGAGTCTCCCGAGGACGAAGGTGTTAGCGAGATGCTGGCGTCACCAGAAGTAGGAGTGGCCGTGGGTTCCGTTGTGGTGGCTGGACCTGTGGACAACGATTGTGACACGGCGCCCGTATCCGTAGTAGGAGAGACCGATGTGTCAGGAGTCGACTGCGTTAACTGTCGGCGTAGAGGTGTGTGTATCACTGGCAGGGAGGGAAACTACATGAAGTATGAGTAGGTCAGGTTGTGTCAGCTACGCCTTATGCGTGATGGCACTGACCTTTGGAGCAGCAACGGCGAGACTGTCAGATGCCCGTGTCATCGCCGGGAGTTCCGACGAGCGCGCGAACGTGGGCAGCCTATGCTGTCCATTTTCCGCAGGCGCTCCCCCGTCAAAATACAAGGCCTGTGGGTACTGTTGTGGTCCGGTGCATGGCAGGGCATGTTGGAGGGCCACGCTAGCAGGATCATGCTATTTCGGTGGAATATCCTGGTGAGATCATTACACGCTAAAGGTAACAGATACAGGCTCACCGTCACGACCGCGACGTCTCTCCAAACGCGCTCCGAGTCCAGAGCAGTATCCTCCGATGCGGTCCTATCGCGGATCCAGGCAGCACGAACAGCACCAATGAAGCAGAGGAGCACCACGTTGTGGCTGCAACGCATGACGCAAATCCTGGCCGAGCCTGCGGGGGAAGGAGAGTGAGAGATGAACGGGATGAAGACGGGGTGATAGAGACAGCAAATGCCAACTGGCCTCCCAATGACATATGTACATATACCTCCCAGGGTCGCCCTACCGAGCACTGACCTACGGATCACTCGTCCTGTGATTGGCGGTATTGAAACGCCTAGCTACCCCATGCTGTGCTGGCACCTTACAAGCGCGCTCGAACAGCTGAACTCTGGGCTTTGGGTTCACCGCCTTTCCCACTCGGCAAGGATTGACCATCCCATTTGAGAGCGACGTTCAGCCGAGCTCCCCTCGCGCAGCCATTGCGGTGAGTCCTCTCGGCCAGTGGCGGCGAAGGGGGTGCCGCAGATAAGGGATTCGTCGTCTGAACCACAGCCCCCAGCGTTCGCTGCGCAGTCCCTCAGTGCCCGGCGTATGCCGCGCCATCTGCATACCACTTGGCGAAATTACACATCGACTGCGCGAAGATCAGCGTTCTGTATCAAACGCAGCTGCGAGCACTCACCAGATGTTCGGATCGGGGACGGACTCAGGACCACACGCAAACATGATCTCGTCCGTATGAAGAAAAACAGAGAAAAATACATTAGTGATACCGCGGTACAAACATTCGACAGAAGGTATCCAAGTTCGCGAGACTGAACGAATAGGAGAGGAAATGAGACTCAATATGTACATAATCCGAGCTCTACATCACAAACCGTCCACGGGAACGGCCTTCGTGGACGATGGTCCACCAGGAAGATGCGCTGGAGGTTTCTCGGATAGTCCTCCGTTCGCGAGACGCGACATGCCGGAAGACGATAAGGTCGAGGGCAGCGGTGGGAGCAGTGCCCCCGGCCCAGACAAGCTCGACGGCCCCGCAGAGGGCCCGCCGCCGCCGCCGATCCCAGCACCAATGGGCGCGATGTTCCCGCTCTCTGGCATGGGGAAGCCTTCCATCTTCGGGAGCCCCTTGCCCAGCCTTGGTGACGACGGTCGTGCTCTCGACAATGTCTTCATACCTGGGCTACCGCTGAGACGAGGGCTATGTGTCATGAGCGGGGGTGGAGACATTGGCATTCCCGGATGTCCTAAGCCTAGCCCTCGACCCGATTGAGAGCCTCTTGTTGGAGAGCGCATCGAGCCCGCGAACGAAGATGGCTGGGGGCTACCAGGCGGGGGGTTACCGTACGGAGGCGAGCCAAAAGGGCTGTGGAAGGACGGCGTCGATGACGGTTGGGGCATGCGCGAACTTGACGGTCGCTGGCTGCCAGATCCGGAGCCTCCTGGAGGCATTCCAGATGGAGAAGGTGCATGAGAAGCCGACGGCGGACGGCCGACGCTGCCATCGTCGGCGGCTGCCGACCACGAGCCGCGGCGGGAGGAGGGCATGGACGGAGGAGGATTGCCGAGCATACCGCGCGGCGAGCCAGGACGACTGTCTAGCAGCGGCTGCGACGGGCCCATAGTAAAGGGCAAGCGTTCGTGCGGGCCGGGGGGCGGAGGTCCTGAGGGCCCGGGAGCTCTACCACGGTCACGTTCGCGCTCGCGCTGCATCTCCGTGGGCGCCGCGTCGTCGTTTCCTCTCCAGAATGCAGACATTCGCGGAGAAGCCGTGGTGTGGGACCTTTGCGAAGAAGCGGTCAACTCGATGAGTTCGGTGGGTGCACCAGAACGAGGACGGCGGGGCTCTATCTCGCGGCCTCCGTGGGGGCTACGCGTCGGGTTCGGTGCGGGTCCGTTAACGGCGCCAGACGGGAGCCCGGACATGGGGGGTCCCTGCGGGACACTCCCTGGTCCGGTCTGGGATGTAGGGTGATGATGTCGTACATGGTGGTGGTGGTGGTGGTGAAGGTGATGGTGTGGCCCATGGGCAGCTGGGGCTGGTGCGTTGTTGTGAGCGTGCGTGTGGGTATGTTGGTGAGCGGGGAGTCGCGGCTGGCCATGCGCGATGTGATACGCTCGTTCCGCCTGGTCGCGTTCCAAATCCCGCTGAGCACGCTCCCGCTCGGCGCGCTCACGATGGCTCAGCGCCTCGCTCATCCGATCTCTGTCCCTATCTCTGTCCCGCTCTCGCTCTCTTTCACGCCCCTCCACCTCGCCGTTGAGTCGAGACAACTCCTTCCCAGGCCCCATGTGCACGCCTGTCGATGGCCCTGTCCACCCATTGGGCTTTGATCCTGAAAATCCAGGAGGTATCGGCCCACCTCCCATGCTTGTAGGTATCCCCGAACTATCTCCCACGCCATTACTGAGCGGAACGGGGGAGATGGACCGCCTCATGAGCGTGCTCGGGCCCGGGCCTGCGCCGAATTGTGGTTGCATATGTGACGGGTGTGGGGGCATGCCGGGCGGGGGACGCATGCCCATAGCGATTTCTTGGTCTATCTGCATTTGTGCATGGGATAGGTGGGGGAGCGTTCCGGGAGGTGCGGAATGATGGTGGGGAAGACGTGGCGGAGGGGCACCGAAACCCTGTACAAACCCTTGCGGCTGCAAGTGTTGCTGGTGGAAAGGGGGCGCGAATCTACCGCCGGCAGGTCCCTCGAGGATTTGCATACCCATTGCGTACGGATCCATCCCGGGAGGTGGAAGCCCTCCCAAGACGCTGTTCATCAACCCAGGCCCGCCACGATGTGGGTCAAACCCAGCTGCCGCGCGCCGATGTTGGAAGAACAGGTCAAGATCTTGAACGATCTCTCCAGGTGAAAGTGACGAGATCTGTGGGTAAACCAAAGAACTGGAGGGTAGCGGTTCCCTCTTGTGCTGGTAGCGCTTCGACAGAGGCAATGCGGCTTCCGGGATACCGAATGGACTCGACTTAACGATCTCACGAAGGGTAGGGGCAGGAGGAACTTCGGCAGGTGGTAAGGGAAAGCGACGAGCTACCGTAAACGCATTAGTAACGTAGGAGCAGCTTCAATGGATGACCACGTACTAGGTTGCGGACGCTCGAGAGCCCGTCGCTCGCGCTCCAGCCTGCGTCGTTTACTATTTGTCTCCGAGATCATATCTGTCTGGAGCTCATTACGGGCGTCCTAAAGGAGACATTCAGGGACGAGTAATCCAAGGACCAAAAAATTGCCATACCTTCCACCAACTCCATACGCCTTCTTCGTCAAGTCTGCGACGCTTTGTTACATTGGCGGCTTCAAAGTCGCGTCTGTGGGACGCAAGCTCCAGACGCTTATCCCTCCGCTTCGACAGTTCCGCGTGAAGGTGCAACAGCTCCGGATGATTCCCTGCAGCGCGCAACACCGCGATATATGCGTTCAGACTCCACGCATACACACAGCAAATACCACAACGCACCATCCGCAATCAAGCCCTCCTCCCATGCGAGTGTGTCCATCTTTTCCACGTACAAGCGCTCTCTTAGCAGAGCGAACTTCAGTTCAATGGTCGCCAGAACATCAAGAGCCTCCGCCCGGTGTGCGGGTTGCATGTCCGAGTCCAGATCGAGCTCCGGCGTCGCGACGTCCATATCCTCACCGTCCGCGTTCTCACCGTCCGGCCCATCCGCCTGGTCACCGTCGAGGTCGGCTTCGCCAGCGTCCGCGGCCGCTGCGACGCGTGAACGTCGTGCTCGAGTTCGCGCCTTCCCCTTCCGCGACCTCGGGGCTCTGCTCCCAGATGGCTTGCGCTCCGGCTCGGGTTCAGCCTCACGTTCAGACGCCGGATCTTGCTCTGGCTCGGCTTCGGCAGACGGATACCGGGAGGACACTCGCGATGCTGATGGTGTGGATGGCTGGGAGGAAGAGGGGGATGCTGCCTGTATGAGACTTGAACCCGCCATGATAGAGGATACTGCGACCGCGACGGGGGACATGACTATGGCCGGAGGCGCGTCGACCTCCATCGTTATGTCCAGGTCTGGCTCCGCCGGATCTACAGCGCCCTCGGCGGGGGTGACCGCCTCAGTCGTCAGAGGCTCGTCCCCTTCAAGCGCGTCGGGGTCATCAGCGGCCGCATCCGGGTCGTCTTCGTAGTCCTCGGCGTCGGAGACGTCCTTGGGGGCTTCTGCTGCGTCTGGAAGATCGTCTTCATACGCTTCTTCCTCCTCCACGTTGTCGTTCTCGTCGTCGGATAGGTCAGGTGACGCCGCCACCTTGGGCGTCCGATCGCCGTTCGCGTCGGGCGCGTCGAGGCCAGCTTCGTCGGCATAGTCCTCGTCCTCGCCAGAGATATCGCCGCTGTTGTCCTTGCGGATGCGGTGGGGGGCAGTATCGTCAAAATACTCACCATCATCCTCGGGCGGGTCGTCGTCGTCGTTGTCCCCCGCCTCGTTGTCGCTGAGCGCGCGGGACTTCCCAGGGGAGGCACCGTCCTCGTCGGGATTAGACTCCTTATCCTGGTCGTCGTCTTCCTCCTCCTCCATGGCCTTCGCCGGGCCTGCCTGTTCCTCCTCCTCTTCCTCCTCTTCGACCAGGTCCGTGCGCCAGTTGGCCTTGTCCTTCTTCTCCGATTTCTTCTGTTTGTACGCCCAGTCCCACATTGGGGCTGGTACTATGCGGTCGGAGCGCGGGCCCTTTCTGCGTTTGGAGCTGCGGGATGTATCGTCGTCATTTGTGCGACTGTCGTTGTCCTGCTCATCCTCGGTGAGCTCTGAGAGCTCTGAGCCGCTGTCGAGACCGGCAGCCCCGCTGTGGTTGGAGTTGTTGGAATGTTGCGAGCGTTGTTCTTCTGGAGGGGGAGGAGATGGGGACGGGGAGCTCAGCGATTCCAGGGACGCTGTGGAGGCCGGCATCGTCGGCGACGGCGACGACGACAAACAAGGAGGAGGGCAAGTCGGATCGGTGGCCTTCGGTGGCGTGGATGTAGTCGGCAATTGCCGGATACATAGAGTTTAACGGGCGCTAAACATGCGGCCGCGCTCGAGCTCACCGTCTCTCGCAGTGAGCAACCTCTTCCGGACAATGGTCTCCGCCGACAACCTCAACTTCGACTGCCTTGAACTCATATTCGCGTATCTTTCTGGGAATGACTTAGTGTCTGTCTCGCTGGTCAGCCGGTCGTTCCTTGCTGCTGCGATCCCGCGAGTGTACAAGACATTAACCTTCGGCTTGAATCAAGCGAAGCGTTATCCATCGGTACGCCTTGGATGCTATGATGCATGAGAAAACCAGCTCACCAACCTCCGGTTAGATTGTATCTCCGTTTGCTGCGGTTATAGGACACTCGAATTTGGCATCGCACGTCAGGCACATTGGTTCGCACATCCATCGCCGTACTCCACGTTGCCTTGTTCAATCGCGACACAGACATACGTGCAATACCGACCGTGAAGTTCTCCCCTCAACCCAAATTTCTTGACGACTGCGCTCGTACCCTGGCACTATGCAAGAACCTCGGCTCCTTCACATGCACGTTAGACATGATGCCCTCGTTTCTACCCGCCTTGCAAAACAAAGAGGGCTTAGAGTGCCTACGCTTCAACGGGAACCTCACCGCCGATCAGTCAGAAGAGCTCGTAAAGCTCTCGGGGCTGCGTGAGCTCACCATCGACAGCTGCTCCTGGAACGTCGTGGACGTATTTCCTAGGTGGATGGATGTCTTGCGCCCAACCCTCATGTCCCTCACTCTCAATGTGAGTTGGCGCGGAACGCATATCTCATGCTATGTGCTAATGTCTGCCTATAGTCGATACATACTCTCAGCATGGAGATGCTGGACATCATTTTGCCGAGCTTACCGCATTTGACGCGTCTCCATGTAATAAACTGCACCAAAGTCGATCACACGGCAATGCTACGGGTGATATCTCATACCCCCAATCTTGAGAGTTTGGCGTTTACGAGCTATGTAAGTCTTTCCAACCGCATATATGCATGTATCTACCGTCGCCTCACCTACTTTGCTGCTAACTAGGAATCATCTCGTCCACTTCCCCCGGTGATATCGCCCTTGCCACGCCTTCGCCATCTTGCGCTAGATACCCAATACGCACCCACACCTGCGAATAACACGCCCGCCTTCTGGACGACCATGATCGACTTCACGCGTACTTGGTCCTGCCCGCTCAAGTCGCTCACGCTGCGGCTGTCGGATAGAGTCAGTCTGGGCGATACGTTCGTCACCAACATCATAGACTCGCACCACGCCACGCTCAACCACCTCGCGATCCTCAATTGTACACTGTCGAAGGAGAGCGTGGAGAGAATCTGTATACAATGCACGGAGCTGGAGCGGTTCGCGCTCAGCATCCCCGCGAAGGACTCGGTGAGCACCACCACATAGCACGCCCTTTTTTCGCGTTCTCACACGATGCTCCGCGCGCAGTACGCCTTCGCCGTGGCCGCCGCACATGCGAAGCGCCTACACACAGTGACCGAAGTCGGAGACCTGCACTCTTCGCACAGCCCTCGCCCGCCGCTCACTCGGCTGGACATCCGCACGATTATGACTCACCAGCCAAGCATCGAGCGGATCGTCGCGGACGGACGTATCTGGACGGTGCGTGCCGTATACTCCCAAATGCCGTGTCACGAACTTAACGTCAGTGACGTCTCCGTAGGCGACGCGCCTTCCGCAGTTCCGTGAGGACGACTTCGATATAGCGGTGGTGAAGAAGAAGACCAGATCTTCATATCACTGGTTCATGCCGCCCTCGTCGGCGTTCTGAATATGTACGTTAGGTGCATCGAGCGATTAATCTAGGGGTCATATTGTTCACCGTCTCAGAAGAGCCGGCGACGACCGCGCGCGTCCTTGATCCTTGTAAGCCACTTTTCGCTACACTCGGACAGGTAATGCCCGATCTGCGTGAACGGCCGCCGCATGTTCGTGCGAGTCAGCGCGTCGGTCGTCTCCGCGCAGCTGTTTACAATCACTCAGCCGGTTCTGCAAGAATGAGTAGTAGAGTATATGCCATGTTGAAATTCTCACATCTGAGTGCCAAAAGACATGTCTTCGAAGTTCGTGGTGTTAAGTCCAGAACCCCCTCGAGAAAATGACGAGAGGTCGCGGTGGTAAGCGGCTCTTATGGAAAAAAGACGCAAGATACAGAGTTGAGTACACTATGAACCACAACAACATGACGAAATAGATTAAACACTTGTGTAAATGTCAGGGCTTTGTATGCATAGTACCGACAAGTTGAAATGACCGACGTTGGAGGGCTAAGGACCTCTAGGTTAAATCAATAACCTCGTCATCATCCGAAGACGGAATATGAATCGGCGACATCTCTCGCTTGACAGCTTTCTTCGCTCTCTTTGCTGCCCTTGCTTCCTCTACTCGTCGCTGCATCATCTGGAGTTGCTCCTGTGCAATAGCATGTTTAGTCGATAGACGGAGCGGACGGCAGAGCTATCGCACCTCGAGGAACTGCATGTCGTCGTCGTCGTCGTCGTCGTCGTCCGCATCGTCCGCGGCCTCCGGTTTGACGACACCTACTGGCGGTGTATGACGGCGTTTTCGGCTACTACTACTAGGCCCGGCGCGGTTAAGTTCATCTTGTAAGGGCCGCTTATTTTGAGCAACGGAACTTCCAGGGAGGGGAGCGATCCCGTTCGCTTGCAGAAGCTCTACCAATAGGTATCAGAGAAGGAGTAGCATTACAATTCATGAAACGCACCCAACGGCCGGTAACGGAACTTAAATGTGGCGAAGGGTTCCTTGTCAACTCCATGACCTGTCCAAGACTCAGCAGGTGTGACCTCCTGAGGCTGCCCGAGGCTATAACCCAGTCGCAGTCGATGCAGTTAGATATGCTTCAAGCCGATCAAGTCTTGTTCCTCACGCAACCGCATGCACTCCTGCCTTCTTGCTTCTTTCATGTACTGACCCGATTTCAGGCACATGTCTCCCGCGGAAGTTCGTCTTATTCTTCGTATAGCGCTGCACCCGCCTCATTTGAACGTGTATGGTGCCGAGATCTCCGCTCACGTCGGAATGGAGAAGGGCATCGTCGTCTGGTGCGTATTTAAGATCGGTATACTCAAACAATCTACGGAACCAAACATGGACTGACCTGTGAGAACCAATGGAGCAAATAGGAATGGGCGCAGACTGTCTGAAGTTTCTATTGCTCCTCTACAATACTCCGTCTTTTTGTTTTCATGCGCGAACACTTCCACTTTGCGGCCGTCCATGAATATGTCCACTCGCATGGTAGTTGAGGATGAATCATCGCCCCAATGGACGATAAATGTCTACTTAATCAAAACCGTGGCTCAACGTACGATCTTGCGAGCCACCAACGTGCCAAAAAAGTGGAAGGTTCGACACTACCTTTCCTTCTTCGCTAGGTATCCAACAGCTGATGGTCCTTTCGTCCTCCATGCGTACGTCGTAGGTCTCCAGTTCTTTGCCATCACAGTTGACATGCGCAGAGTAGCCGTTCAGTTCAAGAGGCATGCTAGCGACAACGAAGCAGTACAGAGAGCGGCTTGATAGGGTCTCGCTGTTGGGAACGCCCAGTGTACGTGGTACAAGCGAGAGGAGCGAACAAAGTCGCGTCTGAAAGGGTGCCACACCCACCCACGTAAAGGCAGATCCAGATCGGGGAAGGGCGGTACCTCTAGCGCCCGCTCGTTCCTTTCTGTGAGGTCACATTGTAAGCGGACCCAGAGCGTTCAAGCTTCCTGGGTAACGTGAAAACGCAGGTAACATAGATGTTATGTGGTGGCGTGAACTAGTGATGACGTGAACGGATGGCGGAAGGCAGACAGAGATAGCAGGAGTGCACTTGAGGATGGAGACCATAGCAAGACAACAAGCGTAGATATTGACGAAGAGCCATGCAGAAACACCCCAAAAAATGGGTCAGGTCAAGTCGATGACCTCAGAGCTTGAGGAGGGATGTACGCGGATGGGAGAAGTTTCCCGCTTGAAGGTCGTACCGGCTCTTTGCGCAGCCTTCGCGTCCGCAATGCGCTTCTGTAGAAGTACCAATTGCGCCTGAACATATGTAGTTCAGATTGAGGCGAGTGAGGTACACGAAAAAATCTACCTCTAGAGAATTGACGTCCTCCGCGGCGCTGAAGTGCGTGTCGTCATCGGCATGCTCGACCTTGGGCGCGTCCTCTGATTTGATTGCCTCTACGCGCACGCGTTTCTGGTCGTGCTGACTAGCGTCGCTACCGCTGGCCTGAGAGTCTGAGGCTCGCTTTTTCCCTTTCAAGGATTGTGAAGGCAAAGGCGGCGAAAACCGAAGCGGTACAATGCCGTTCGCTTTCAGAAGTTCTACACACAGCCTTGAGCCAGACCGCCACGGCATTCGGACCAGCGCAACGCACCTAACGGTCTATAGCAGAATGTGAACGTCGCGAAAGGCTCTTTCTCTACTTTGGTCCATTTGAACAAGCCATCAGACTCTCCAAGCTCCTCTGGATCTCCAAAGCTAGTAGCCGATAAATCAGGTAGCTCGTTACCGGCGTGGACGGCTGCTTCGTATGGCGCTTGCGACTTACGATACTGCATGGACACCGGCCTTCTTGCTCTTCTCGTGCATCGCTCCAATTTCCGGTACCGCTCTCCCGAGGCCCGGGTAGGGCACGCGCGATCTGGGCTTGCCCGCACTACATGTCAATGACATGGTTACGCGGATGGTTCCTAGCTCTTCGTTGGGCCCGGCGCATACAAGGCTCTCGTCGTCTATGAAAGTGGGATGATGAGAGATGTGTCCCCAGAGTGGGCTACCACGCACCTGTGAGAACCAACGGAGCGAAGATGAACGGCCGTTTGCGCCCTCCTGTCTCATATACCCCATCGCAGAAGCCCGTGATTGCCGCACGGTGCTCCAAAGAGTCTACCAGGCGGCCGTCCATGTACGTATCGACGGCCATGTGCGTTTTTGCGGACGAATCTTCCCACTTCACGATTAATCTCTGGTGGAGATTGTCAGCGGTGATTTTATGAATAGCCCGCTAATTTTCAATGCATGAGCATGGAAAATACATTACCTTCCCTTCCTCGCTTGCAATCCAGCAGGTTGCGGTGCTGTCCCCATTTTGTACGTCATACGCTTCGAGTTCTTCGTCGTCACAGCTTATATACACGGAGTATCCATTGACCTGGAGACGTGGCATCCTTGCCAGACCGCGCGGGGTTTAACGAGCCGGCAAAACTCCTGAGCGCTGTTTGGAGGATTTTGACTTTCAGACTCCCAGGGGCTGAAGGAAAGCAGTAGGTGTTCTCGGATGCGGCGAGGAATCCACAGAGTAGCAGAAAAGTCGGCAGGAGTGGGTGTGAGTTCGGAGTACTGGCTTCAAGCTACATAAAGCTGGGCCCGATACTCGACGATCGACATCGGAGAACGCAATCTACCAGCGGATCGATCTGAGATCCCGAACGCGCCCACCACAAGGCACACTTTTGCTATGTACATAGAAATCTAACTGGCGGATCCATATCAAATTTGCTGTAACCTAAACATTAAACTGGAGGGGGTATGGAAACGAAAACACATTATGCAGGAAAGACGTAGGGTGTTCGGGAGGTATGAGAGGCGCAAAGGCTCAACAGCGATAACAATAAACCCAACAACAGAAGAACCCGGAGAAGAAATGGCGTGAACGGCATCACACAACCAGCTCGGACACGAGAGGGAAGGAGGGCGCGTCACGTCAGATCGATGACCTCGTCGCTGATTGAGGACGGGACGATGATGGGGGACGTCTCCCGCTTCACAATGGTCTTGGTCCTCTTCGCAGCTTGCGCGTCTGCTAGGCGTTTCTGAATCATAGCGAGTTGTTCCTATACGATGTTAATGTTAGCACGCGCATAAATAGACATGAAGAAACATACTTGGAGGAACACAACATCGTCCTCGGCGTCATCGTCATCGTCTTCATCAAACTCGGGCTTGACCACACTATGCCCGCGCGCACGTTTACTGCTGGGGCCTGCGCCGAGGTCATCATCCGGAACGTCAAGAGATCGCTTCTTGCCCTTCTTGTCCTGGGGAGGAAGCGGCACGATACCGTTCGCTCTCAGGAGTTCTGAGAAACGCGTAAACTCTTAAGTTGGAGCTTCAACTTACATGAGGGAGGAAACGTACCTAGCGGTCTGTATCGGAACTTGAAGATCGCAAATGGCTCCTTTTCAAGTCCGACTGCCGTGCAAGACTTCACGACTTCAGCCGCCTTGACTTCTCCGAAACTAGGTGGGCGAGGGTTTGCTAAGGTCACCGCCGGACGAAAAGCACTTTTAAACAAGGACTTACGAAACTGCATGCACGCCCGCCTTCTTGCTCTTCTCGTGTACAGCTCCAATTTCCGCCACCTTGTACCCAGGGTGAGGTACATCGGTAATGAGAAAGCTTTGAGCACGCGTCATGGTGATGCGGATGGAGCCAAGCTCCTCATCCACTTTGGATGACACCAGGATATCGTCTAGTGCACCGCGACTTCATTTAAGCCACCGCATATTGAGAAATGAAAGCACACTTACCGGTGAGAATCAATGGCGAGAACACGAACGGTCGTTCCTGGCCTGCGGTGTAGAGACTCTTGCAACGACCCTCGGCTTGGTCGTAAAATGCCGAGCTACACACATGACGGCCGTCAACATACCCGTCGATTTTCGCCGTCGTCGCAGCAGCTTCTTCACCCCAGTGAAGCGTGAACGTCTGATGGAGAGTGTCAGCGTGAAGTTGTATCCGTATCCTGAACTGAGCGGCGCCCTCCATCGAAATGTAACTACGAACCTTTCCCTCCTCGCTAGAAATCCAGCACGTTACGGTCTTGGCGTCTTCTTTCTGAACATCGTACGTTTCGAGCTCCACGCCATCGCAGCATAGATGTGCGGTGAACCCTTCCAAGTTGAGTTTCATGGTCTTCGCGGAGGTGCGGGTCCGGCTTGAGTCAATGATGCAGTATGAGAAGGAGGTAGAGGTCTGCTTGAGCGGTGGCAAGCGCAACTCGAGCAGTTTATATAGCACAGTCGCGCACCAAGCGGGAAGGTGAGTGGACGAGGCGAAGCCTGGACTTATGCAAGGGCGCTTTGCAATGCCAGCGTGTGAAAGTCTCCGCCGATCACAGATCGGGGAAGCTTATCTGAGCCTATGGTGCATCTCATTCTGAACAGCTACCTCCTCTCCCTGTCGCACAGAACACCCGACGAAACACTCAAAGGCAGCATAATGACGACCCTATCGCTCAAGATCGAGTTCAGCGGTGGCCTCGAGCTGCTCTTCGCAAACGAACGCTCACACCGCATCACGCTCCCTGCTCTCGTCCCCGCCGCGCAGGGGCAAACCGCGGTCGAGGATAGTGACGCGCCCAAGAAGCCCGTCGACCTCGAATATCTCGTGTTCTGGCTGCGGGATAACCTCTTGAAGGAGCGTGTGGAGCTGTTTATCGAGAACGGGACAGTGTGCGTGCCGCAGGCGCGTCCGGGGTGGTAGCAGCTTAGACTGATATTTGGGATGCCCAACTCTCAGACGGCCGGGCATCCTGGTCTTAGTCAACGACGCAGACTGGGAGTTGGAGGGCGAAGGCGAATACCAGCTCAAGGACGGCGACGAGATCGTCTTCATCTCGACCTTGCACGGCGGCTAGCCTCAAAGACTCATGATCAGTTGCTCTATCAGAGGTGTGTGGTTATCAATCTGCAGCAGGACTGGGCTTGACATTGACTGAGTTTGTGCTCTTCCAGGATCTGTTATCCTACACCAAACTCGCGATGCGCAAGACAATCCTCCCGGTCCTGCACGTCGCTGTGCCCAAGACCATCATGTCTCCCGCACATGCTTGCTCACGGAGGAACCTACTATACAGTAGCACACAGCTCCCAGCGAGTGATGAGGAGAGGGGTCTGCATGTATTCGTAGGATGGAATACGAGCCGAATATGCACAGTATTAAATAAACAATCACGCACTGGGTCCCGCTCCTTTCGACGCGGACGAGCCATCTGCGCCCGCGCCCCCCGACGGCCCGCCCTTCCCAAACCACCCGCCAAACCACCCGCCCTTGACACCGCCCTGCGCGCCCGCACTCGCATGCACCTGCGCCTCGAGCTTCTCGAGCTTGTCCGCCTCCTCCGCCGCGCGCAGGCGCGCCTCGAACCCGGCGCGCTGCAGGACGCGCTCCTGCTCGGCCGCGTTCGCGGCCTCCTTCTGATGCTTCATCTGGCCGTACCACCACGAGCCGCCGACGACGGCGACGATCGTGAGGCCCTGCATGAGCACGCGCACGCGCAGCCAGTTGTTGAGCGACGCGCTGTCGCGCCGCCGCAGCTTCGCGCCCGCGACGATGAGCGACACGGTCGTAAGGCCCGCCACTGTGCGTGATCAGGATCGTGAGAGGGAAAGGGATCGAGTATGGGGTAGAGTGACGTACAGACGGGCACGAACGGGTTCTCCTTGAACTTGCGCTCAAACTTCCCGCCCCATGATTCGATGGGGATGCCGTTTGCGTCCACCGCAAAGGCAGGATTAGGCGTAGGCTCAGCACTCATGTTGAAAGTGTCGACAACTAGGAGAGTCGTGCCGCTGAAGGTTTAGAGCAAGCACCGTAGGAAGTTGTGGAGCGGACAGTCAGAGATTACTCAGCCACTGCCGGGACGGGTTGTGTTGCTCAGTTGGTCGGAAGCCACCAGTGTGCGGGAAGACGTTCGCTGGACAGAGAGGACGTCGCCGACGCCGTGTGCAAGACGGTTTGGCGAGACTGGAGATGGCGGAGTGTCGAGGACATCTGGGGTCGGAGCGCTCGGGCGCCTACGCCCCCACGAGGCTACCAAACCAAAGGGCGCAGCCTGATGCAGTAGAGAGTTCTTGCTATATCGGGCAAGTCTTGTGAGAATGCAAATACGAGCATACAGCAAATAACACGATCATATGTGCTACATAAAACTGCTTAAACAAGTAAAAGACAACGGCGAAACCGCCAGACACTCGCAAGCACTCGGGAGCACTTGGGAGCGCTCCCAAACCCCAGGAATGCTCGCACCCCTTCAAGGCGACTGCCCCGTTTGAAAATACACCCATGTACACCTGCGTGCTCGCAGCAATATAAGTACATTTCAAAAAAAAAAATGATAACTATTCTCATTCGAGCTTACCCGAAACAGTCGGACACAACATCTACGATGAAAGCAAACAGTATTTTATTGCGGCGTACTGATACAAGATGCATACAGTAGACTAGATATAAGTAGTACAAATCGACAACACTAACCTCGCGAGGGAAGGGGCGACACACGCTGGAATGCCACGCGATCGGGAATACCTCCAGTAGTACTATTCATGCCACACGAGAAAGCAATGGGGGCGGCGTGCTAGTTCCGGCCTACTAGCCGCATCGGCCAGTAGCCTCGGGACCTCGAGTATATTTATGGTCATCCGTGCCTACACACAATTCGAGACGTAGTTTTACAAGCGGTCGAGCGATGAGTACAACAACTCTAGTACACAAGCCCATTCTACGTTAGGAGCAAACGACACCGCGAAGACCCGTGGCCGATCGCTATAGACTGGCAGCCTTGGAGCGACCTTCTATGATACTCTTGACGATGGGTGCCGTGGCCTTCCTCGTCGCGTCCACGTTCTTCTGCTTCCACACCCGTGCGCGGAAGCCTGAATTGAAACCCTTGTGCACGCCGAAATCGGGGAACTTCTTCCTCTCCAGCTGCAGCTCCTCGCACTCCTCCAGCCCGTCGAACAACACGTCCGCGAGGTCCTTGTCGTCGCGCACGACGTACATCTGTTCCCGGCGGTGCTTCCCCCGCCCGCTCTTCCCCGCCTTCTCCTCGTCGCGGAACGACGTAAGGATGCCCAAGACGGTGAGCTCTCGGTCGGCCATGTATTGCTCTGTTTGCGACCAGAAATCCGCATGGCGCGGGAGCCACGACTTGAAGCCGATCGGGACGGTCGAGAGGCCGACGAGCACTTCCTTGGAGGGCGCCAGAGCGGGGATGAGGGCGTACTCCTTGTAGTCCCTCCGTAGCAGATCGAGCGAGTTTAGGTGCGCAACAGACGCTTTCTTCTCTTGCAACGACGTGTGCAGCTCCTGGATGTGTGGCATCCCGTCCGGGGCTCCGGCGGTGAACCCAGCCGCCTCGACAGTGTTGTTATGGGAAACTGACGCCAAGGGAAGCAAGAACGATGCAGCCCAACGATCCGCATCCTCCGCCTTTCCGCCAGGCTTCAGCCCACTGGTGTCGATGAGGACGCTGCACAGAAGGAGCGTCGCGAGCTCGGGCACCATCTGCTCCGGATGGTCCTCGAAGAGCCGCGTAACGAGCGACGCGCAACTCCCAGTCGGCACGACGATGATGCGCGGGTCCGCCGTGTCCGTGTACAGGCCCTCGTCCTCGTGGTGGTCGACGACCGCGACGACGCGCGCGTCCGGGTTCTCCCGCGTGAACCGCGTCTGCAGGCGATTGTGGTCGACGAGCGCGAAGCGCACAGACGGGAAGGGGTGTGCCGTGGGCACGTCGTCCACGCAAAGGATGTCCGCGTCCGCTTCGAGGCGCGCGAGCGCGAGCGCGTGCTCGTTCTCCGCGCGCAGATGGAGGTCCCCGCGGGGCGTCTGTGTAAGCGGCACCGCGGGCGTGCCTTGTACCTTCGCGGCGTACCACGCGTAGGCGATCGCGCTCGCAATCGAGTCGAGATCTGGGGGGACCTAAGTGAGCTGTGGGTTGCGCGCGCGAAGGTGCTGGGTGCTTGCCGCCGGCCTCGTTGCCCATGACCACTGTCCAGTCACGTCCGTTTCCGGCTTTCACTGCATCTAGGTATGCTGCCTTGGTCTCCCGCAGGTGCTGCGACAGAGTGCTGCTTGACGAAGCCATAGCCACCGTAGAATGACCGCGTAAAGGTCTAGCGATCCACGTTGAGCATTGCGCTATGCCTTGCAGAGCATGTACCCTCACATATGGGAGGCAAGGAATGCGCGAATGCGAAAGCAGAGAGATTTGGTTGCGGAGAGGAGTGGTGCTCGTGGCCCTGGTCGAAGGAGCATATGAGGCAAGCGCTCGTTGACCTCATTCTTTTCAGTACGTCGGGCGCTCCCCCGCGCGCGGTGGGTCCAAAATTCAAATACTGTACCCGCCAGACGTTAGGCGAAGCGATGGACCCCTAGGCTAGGGGTTAGACGAGCGTCTACACCCGAAAAGGAAGGTCGTATACTATATAAGGCAGGTGACCTGCCATATATGGTAATCGACCGAGGCCTCGGGGACAGGGGACGTCGCCTAACGTCTGGCGGGTACAGTACGATATTACAATCACAGCTGAATACAGAGATGATCTACTGGTACATAGAAAGGTGAGAATATACGTGACAATAAGTACTGCTACATATAGCTAGCCCAAGTAAGTAATTTGAGGGACTCAACGCCGCCGGGAATGGATATGCGGAAGAGAAGGAACGAGGAAAAGAGGGAATGGATGTTACGGGTCAAAAATGCGCCTGGATAAATGCGTTATGCCACTCGACGTCGAATGAGTCGTCGACAACGAGCGAGAGCTGCTCCTGCCGTAGCCGAGCGAGGAAGTCAACGGGCTCCGACGCTTCGTGCACCAGCGGCATGGCGATCTCGAAACCGTACGCCTTAGCGCCAAGCTGCTTGACGATCGGAAAGGCTAGGGTGTGGAAGCGTGGGTTATAGGCAAGTCATTGCAGAGTGGAAGAAGCACTTACGTGGGAACCGCAAAGCCTTTACCGCAGCCCAATCCCTGCGTATGGTTCCTGGACTACGAAGTAGAACAGGTCTTGGACCAGAAAATAACGCCTCAAGTGACGGTAACGTCACCCCCACGTGGGGTCACTTTTGTGACCATTCCTCGGACCGAAGGGTCCCCGAAAGCCGAGTTTACACTTGCTTGTACAGTTCTCACGGTTCGAGTTCGAATCGTTGCGAGGCGACGATCCTCCTCTTTATCTCTTACCGTCATGCCGCCGCCACCGTGCACCGTGTCTACGTCGTCGCGTTTCTCACTCGCGGAGGGTACCTCGGCAGCCATGTCTTCAAGTAAGTTATCGTGTCTCCTTTGGCGCTATACATGTCTTACGATCAGCCTTGCCAGCGCTCAACGATGTTTCGCTGCCTGCTACGTCGGAGACTTCTGGACCGCGCGGATTGGGTACGTGCTTTGCCTATGGCAGAGGCTATCGCTGACGCGGTATACATCTAGGGCCCCGCGCAGCCTCAGATACAGGTTCTATAGTAGCAGGAGCAACCTCTGGTGGGTGCTGGTTCGTCAACGTGCGCGGTCTCCGCCGGGGCTCAGTGTGTTTGTAGAGAGCAGTGGTAGTCGACCTCTGGCCGCCAGCAGTGCGTCGCCGGTGCCGTGTAAGTTCTCAATTTCTCATCGCTGGGATATGTGCTTACATTTTCAACACCGAACCTCTCTTACCACGACGATAAAATGACGTTTTAATGACGATACATATACGACCCACTACGTTCTTTCACGCTGTACTCACTTCGCGCTCTATGCTTGACCCCACCGCCCGCCATCTCAGTCTTTGACGCGTTCTATGTGATTTGGGAGCTCGGCGCTTTGCGCCCGATGCCCCGTCGTGTCAGCGGTCAACATCTCGACATCATGTTTCAGTTCAAGGCCATTAAGCGGTCATACCTCTCCAGCGGTCTCGCTCAAGGTGGTGAGTTAATTGTGCGTTCGTCACTGGTCGATCTCGTTGCGTCGTTCAGTTATTGGCGGCCTGGCCAACTTCGCTCCCTTGCTCAAGTACATAATGTGCAAATTACTGTGAGGGATCGTCCCGAAGCTATCCTGCATCGGTTGAAGTGTCATGAGTGTACTGTGTGTCCTAGCGACCTCGAATATGTGTTTCAGACGTTAAGTGCTCCCAGGCACCGGTCGGCCGCTGCTGTACAAGACAGCAGGATTGTGGCTCCTGCTATGGCAGCCCCCAGTTCCCATCCAGATCCAGATCCAGAGGCACATCTTCAGGTACCTGGGGATGAACTGAAGTACGAAATAGTGGCAGAATGGCAGCGTGCTATGTCTCTAGAAGCTGTCCAAGACAAAGTTTGCGCAGTATGCGGCAGAGATACCCCCCCGAAGTCCATCGCGCTAGTGAATGCAGACAGCATAGATTTTTCTCTTCTATGCAACCCAGAATTACCAGTGCACGTGCTACCAACGACGTACAACCGGGCGGCGTACCACGGGGCCATCCTACACCCAAAAGGGATGACGACTTTGCACGAGAAGGGCGATGTACATATTTGTAAGGCATGCTTGCCTGAGTTGCAGGGCGGATGCGCACAGATGCCTAAATTCGCTCTCGCGAATTGGTTATACTATGGACACGATAGGGTACCTGCTAATGTAAAAGCTGCATTTTCAGGCGCAACTTATAGCGAACGCCTACTCGTTTCTCGAGCGCGGGCTAGCAAAATCTCGTACAAATTCAGTAAGCTCCCGGGGCATTACCTCGAGGGATCTCGCGATATGATTTCGCAGGGTTGCATCAAAGGCAATGTTGCTATACATCCCCAGGATGCTACACACCTCAACGACGTACTTCCTCCAGCAAGCGAAGTCATTCGCGACATGGTTTGCGCTGTCTTCGTCGGCGAGAAGAAACCCACTGCGGAGACGCTCGAGAGCCTGAAACCCGTATTAGTGCGGAAGTCGAGGCTGAAGTCGATGATCAGCTTCCTTCTCGAAAACAACCCGTGGTACGCACGCGAAGACGGATTCCAAGGATTTAGTCAGAGGAATATGGATGATTTGTTTGGCCCTGGTACCGCAGATGTTGAGCAAGGGGTACCCTGCTCGATGCAGATAGGTCATATTCAGCTGAACAATGCAGTAGCGGGAGCGACAGCCGGATATGTTCCTGGAGCGGACGATCAGTCACTGCTAGAGGACGACGGGACACTCATGGAAGCGGTCGGATATACTGAAAGCGATGATGCCCTGATGGACTTCCATGGATTGACGTTGAAGGCGATAGCGCACTGCATGAAAGGTGGAGGGTTTATCCAGTCGCAGGCAGGCTCGCGCTTTGTGCCGGACTTCCAGAACCCGCGCTTGCTGTCATGGTTGTTCCCGCATCTAGACCCCTGGGGTATCGGCGGGTTTTTTGAGCCACGCCGTCGCATCGCGCTCACATTGGATCAGCAACTAAGCTACATGCTGTCTGTACATGGCTCACCGTTCAGGCATGATCCAGATTTCGCCTTTGTGTACTACAACATTCGGCAGAAACGAGCCGTATTTGATTCTATCGCATTCCGAGTGCCTGCATCGCAACGTGACTATGTGACCGCCCAGATGATGAACGTGGATGTGCCTACTGTAGAAAAGCTGATTAAAAATTTCAAAATAAATCCACGATATCAGCCTGCCACCGAGGAGGAAACTGCGATCGTGAGACTGTTAACAAAGGTCAACACCGTCTCTCATGATCTGCCAGGATCCAACGGCTACAAAGTAATGTTGCGAAATCAGATACGTGCTCTTATAAATTATGAGGGGACGCCAACCTTGTTTGTTACGCTGAATCCTTCGGATAGAGACCACCCCCTGGTGAGGCTGTATGCTGGGGACGAGGTCGTAGTAGATGACGTTATGCGCGGAGAAGAGTATTCGTATTGGCAGCGCATGGTCATCGCTGCAGAAAATCCGTCAGCGTGTGCACGATTTTTCGACCAGATGATGAATCAATTCATAAAAGTTGTACTGCGTGCCGGGACCAAGAAGAGCGGTTTATTCGGTAAATGTAAGGCATATTTTGGCACGGTAGAAGCGCAGGGAAGAGGGACGTTACACTGTCATATGTTGATCTGGCTGGAGGGACATCCTTCGCCGCAGGAATTGCGTGACCGAATGGTGTCTTCCGAGAGCTACCGAGAGAAGATGTTTCGATGGCTAGAGGCGATCATCAAATGTGAGCTCCCTGAGACACACTCTGTAGTGGAAGAGCGGAAAGGCTGCCCTTTGCTTCGCCCGGAACGCAAAAAAGAAACTGGTAACCCGCTGTAAGTAACGGTGCGGTCGCCTTATCAAACCAGTGTGAGTTGCACAAAGTCTTGAGTATAGGCGTGATAGATGAGGATACATGAGGAGAACGGCGGCGCTGAGGCCCCGGAGTGGTGCTATACAGTCCCAGTCCAGCCACTACCCACGGGCGCCTAAGCGCCAGAGCCCGGCCGCGGCACTGCCACGGCCACCGAATCCTTACACCCTCCCTCTCCGGATTGACCCAATCCCTCGGATGAGTGATGATGAGCGGTTGACGACGACGAGCGCGTGCTGTGGCAGCGGATAGAGTGGGGGGATCGACGGGTAGCCGAGGGCGGCGAGCGCAGGGATGATGATGGCGCCGCCCT